GGACCTTGTGCTCCGCCCGAGTACGGCAAGTCTCCCGAGGAACCCGAAAGCATCCCCACTTCTTCGTGCTGACGGTCAGTTCGTGCAGCCGAGTTCCGCGGCCCCGGGATCCGGAACCAGTTTGAGGATAACCCGGATGAATATGACCTGGAGATGGAGCGTTCTCGTGGCTTCAGTGTCCGTTCGGGCCGCATCATCCTCCTGGGTGATGGCACTGAAGTTATCCCGGACCAGAACGATGAGGAACTTTTTGACCAGACGGAGGAGGACCAGGACCTTGCCAACCAGGTGCAGCACGAATCAAGCCCCCGGAACGACCGCCAAGCCACCCCAGGTCCTCAGGGGAAACAAGATAATGTCAGCGGGACTTCAGCTCAAATATCCGAATCCCCTGCCTCTACCGACGCCGAGAAAGAGAAGTCCTCATCGTAGACTATGACTTTAACCTGAACAGTCTATCGATTTGGGTCCTCCCTGTTTTGGTTTCAATCTGGTTTTATTTTCCTTGCCCACTGTCAACGACCCCCCCTGATTCCACGATCTATGCCTTGTTTTCCTCCCCCTTCTTTGTTTTTGCGCTTAGTTATCGTTGGGCTCTGGTCCCGAGCCTGTTTACATCCTTTTTTTTAACTTCCTTCGACTTGAAATGGATATTTGTCAGAGACAGGACATGCGGCAAAGAGAACCCACAGGGAATTGAATGAAATGAAAGACAAGAGCTTTGAATTTCCATGGAGGATGTTGAAAGAGATCCTTTCGGGAGTCAAATGGGCCTCATGAACACGTTTCTTACTTTATGCCATCACCACAACGAGATACCGCAGAAAATGCCCGCTATTGACGAGCCATTTACACTTTCCTAACCGCTTTTCGAGTTTTTTCCCCTAATCCCCGGTACATTCCCTACCTACGGTCATTGATCTGTGGTCTGGTTTATACGAGAATTGATTCCTTGCTAGGGGCGCAAGCTGGTAGATTCGTGGAGATTTCGTCCGGGTGAGCAATGGAATGACCATGGTCAGTTACATACCCTTGGGCGTATATCTGCATTGAGCGTTTTTGTACCTTGGTAGATGTTTTAAAGCAACGGAGTTCTGGAAAAAAAAAAAAGGGGATTCTGTACAAAGTACCTAATGCTCCACCTCAGGGGTATGAAATCTCTGTCTAATGTTCTGAAACGAACAGCTATACCTACCGTCAGAGCATGTCCACATTTACCCCTGTCCGTGCCAGGGCTAATCCACACACGTGGTCAGTGTCATCTGCCAAGACCTTATTTTAATTTGCAATACCCGTGCGAAATTGCAATTCACTGTATTGTAACATTCAGCCCCCCCCGTATCCTCCTCGCAGTTCAGGTCCACGAGTGGACCGTGGGTGGCTTACGACAGCGGAGTGGTGGGTCCCCACTATTTCCCCAAACAGAAAATTACCAGTCTCCCCTAAAACCGGGTTGCCGTCATTAAGGGTTTCTACATTCTCTCCCTGATTCCCTCTCCCCCCCAACCTTTTTTCATCCATTCCCCTCGGAAGAAATCCCTCTTTATTCTCCAGGGCCATTATAATGTCACCATCTACCTCCCCCCGCAGCCAAGCGCAAGCGCAGCGCTTCCCACCTTCCCGCACCCATTCCGAAGAACGTCACAGCCGACCTCCAGCCGTCCTCACGCGACGCGTCCGGTGAAGAAGGCGGCGAAGATTCCACAGGTCCCGTCAATGCGAGCTCTCATACCAATGGTACCCGTCATGCTTCCAAGCGTGCCCGCAAGTCTGCCGCCGCCGATGCTACAACCCACGAGGTGAACGGGGCCATCAACAAGGAAGACCCCGGTGAGCCATCGGAGACAACTGTCGCCAGCAGTGATATTGAGGGCGGTGCTCGGCCGCGCCCGGATTTACATATCGATCTGCCCGAAGACGATGAGCCTGTTACAGAGGAGCAGATGGCACCCCCAGTCTTTGGGCGCTTGCAGGATCCCGTTGGTTATAAGACTAACCCTCCTCCGACGGGCCGCCCCGTACGCGTCTATGCGGACGGTGTCTTTGATTTGTTCCATCTTGGGTAGGTGATCACGCGAGTGGATTGAGTTTCAGCCTCAGAGTTCAGATTCGGCCCCCCTTTTCCATTTCGGGCTTTAGTGTCGCTCAGTTGGGTAATAGGTGCTGACTATTTTTGTAGTCACATGAGACAGCTCGAGCAGGCTAAGAAGGCTTTCCCCGATACCTATCTTATTGTCGGCGTTACTGGCGATGAGGAGACACACATGCGCAAGGGTCTGACGGTGCTCAGCGGCGCTGAGCGTGCGGAGACTATCCGTCACTGCAAGTGGGTTGACGAGGTTATCCCCTGCTGCCCGTGGATTGTGACACCGGAGTTCCTGTCTGAGCACCAGATTGACTATGTTGCTCACGACGATCTGCCCTATGAGGCTGCTGAGGGTGACGATATCTACGGACCTATCAAGTCGCAGGGCAAGTTCCTGGTGACCCAGCGTACAGAGGGTGTCAGTACCACTGGTATCATCACACGGTATGTTTCACCCCCCGCAACATTGATATAACAGAATCAAAGCTAATATTGCTATCTATAGTGTCGTCCGCGATTACGACCAGTATATTTCCCGCCAGTTCAAGCGTGGCGCCTCGCGTCAAGAACTAAACGTTTCCTGGCTGAAGAAGAACGAGCTTGAGATCAAGCGTCATGTCGCCGAGCTGCGTGATAACATTCGCAATAACTGGACCATGACTGGTCAAGAGCTTGGTCGCGAACTTCGCCAGATCTGGCAGAACAGCCGCCCCAACAGCCCCGCGCCTAGTGGTCGCAACAGCATGGACTGGGGAATGCGTGGACCCATCACCAGCCCCACAGGTGGCAGCAAGTCGCATCTGTCCCGTGTGGGTGCGGATATCCCCAACCGCTCCGATAGCCCCATGGGCTCTCGCCGCAATGAGGATTTCGCTACTGGCTACAGTCTCGGATTGATCGGAGGTGTGCGTGCTTGGGTAAGTCAATACTCCGGTGGATAATCGAGCGCAGCTTTCTACTGTAATCCGTACTAATATGCTTCATACAGATGGCCCGCAGCCGTCAATCCCTCCAGGACCACCCCAGCGGCATGCAAAGTCCCACTGACGAAGACCCTGAGTCCGAGCAGAACAATGTCTATGAAGAGGAGGTGCGTGGCCGTGCTGGTCACGTCTCTACCAAGTAGATGACTTTGCTGCCTTTCAACAAGCTACAACTTGGGTGGTAGATAAGCCTGCCATCCATGCTATCGCCTCAATTTACCCCCTTCGCCCCCTACTACACCTTTTATTCCTTTGCATATGTATCCATCTTTTCATCTTGCATTCGGTTCGTGTCTTATACTTTACAAATTGTGCCGTAACTGGCGGTTTTTCCTATGTCGGGCGCTTGGTGTGTTTTCTTTCTTCTTGTGTCTTCTATGAATGGGCTGTATGCCGAACTTGGCTGGTTCGGCTTCGATACAGTTCTTTTTTGTCATTTGGTATTTCCTTGGTTTGGTTCTTGTTCGGCGGTTTCAAACACTCCTCCCCCTAATACTCCAATGAACTCGTTCCCTGTTTGATATTTTTGTATCTAGGCCTTGGGTTGGTGATTGGTGTTGGTTGATCTGACTCCTTTCATCTGACCAGGATCACGGTCTTTGATCATGACCCGAGGCTATTTTCTATGCTCTTTGTTTTAGTTTGTGTACAAAAAAGGTGGAATCGATGGACATTTGATCGGGTGAGGTATATGACCTCGACCATCGTGTTCGTCCTGGACTGCACATAGATTGTGGTGACGTTTTTTTCAGTTTCTGATTTCAATCGAATTTCACGGATTACTGGGTTTGATACATTCCCTGTTTGTAGAGAGAGTAATCTGTAAGCCAGCCTGATCTTCATAGTTCAGCCTGAGATTCGCCACTGGGCTTCCATTGCTTGGATCGGAGAAGATATCCGACCTACCCAGTCCTACAAAGGGAGCTACTTACTGCAGCTATCTTGCTCTTTGGGGACGTGGTGTCGCACCGAAAGAACCAGAGTGACTACAATAGCCTGCTAGCAGAGTGTCATAAGGATGGTTGAACATGGTTGCTTTGTTTGCTTGACCTTGTATATCAGGTCTTCCAGCCCAGCACATATAAAAGAACCCAATCCCCTTCTCATGAACATTCCTACCTGCTCTCTCCCTATTATGCTATACTTCTTTATCTATGATCAACTTATACCATATATAGCTTTCGCAACGCGCTAAGTTTCTTGATAATCCTCCATCCCAGAGCGATGATCATTCTTCGCCCCGCCTAGTACCAATGAGCAAGAGGAGAAAGGCTATGCGTGTCTTTCCCTGAGCTCCCCATAATCGAGGCAACAAGAACGAAGAGCCAAGTTCAAATATCTAGAAGCTGAAGCCGAGATATCTCAATAGGGTATCAGACCCTGATTATGTCGACTTTGGGGAACTTATACGAGTCAAGGTTTCCTTGGGACAAAACGCCCTCATTTCTCTCTGGAGCGCGATATCTGAGCCATTTTCATGGAATTCTGGCACATGGTCATGTCTCTACGTCTTTTTAGAGGAACAGCAATCAAACAGACGATGGTCGTGTTGGACAGGCCCCTGCTATGACGAGCGCGAGTCCGATGCTTCAATTTTATCACATTTATCATGAATCATGTCCTTGTTCATTGTGGATATTCTCTTATTGTAGGGGATATCAGATAGTGAGCATGCTCCTAGTGTGAATTTCGTCGTATTTGAAGAATAGTAGGGTAAACGGTATAGTAATTGAATACCTGATGCAAATGTGTATTGTCGGACTATGTTCAAGTAGAAAATCTCTTATGTACAGTACCCCTGGCCCTCTATAAACACAGGAGAGGAGGACCAAGTCCAGACTTGGATTCGGGGGTCATGGTGGAATAAACCCTCCGTATGGCGTGGATTTCCCACTGGAAAATCTCAGGAGAGTGTTGATCGATGCTCGCGATTAAGCTGGCACTGTTGCAGCGATGACCATCTGTGCCCAGAAATAAAGCGCATAGCCCACGAAGATCGCAACGCAGCCCCTGCTCCTCGGCGCAGCGTTTCTCCCAAAGGCATTCTTCGCAACGAAAAGATCGCTTACAACAAACATAGCCGCACCCAGGGCTCGCGAGTGGAACCAGTCAGTCGGAACGACCACCGGGGCGGTAGCAGTAGCAGCAGCGAACATAACAGCAATAATAACCGCATAAGCAGAAACCACCGGCTTCATATCCGGAGCAATTTCAAGGTCCAGTACATTTGTCTGGAGTGAAGACTGCGGCGGAGGATATATGACACCCAACCATTTTGCAGCAGCCAGAGTAGCTACAAAGGTAGTTGCAAAAGCCGTCCAGGAGGTCTGAGAGGAATCCTTCAGGAAAGCTATAGTGTAGGCTATATGAGCCGCCGCGAAGGCGACAATACCGAGTTGAAAAGAGATAGATACTTTTCCTTTCGGATCTGGTTTGGCGGATGGGGTTTTGCTTTTCTGGCCGTGGAATTCACGGTGCGAGGGGATAAGGAAGAAATCACCCAGCATGGAAAAGCCAAGACCGATTGTGATGAGACGGCGGTAGTCTGACCATTCTGTGGATGGGAGGAGTAATGGGCTGCTAAGGAAAGCGACTGAAGAGAGCATTTTGAACACTCCAGTGCCGGTGTGTGATCTGGATTTCCATTCTGAGAGCACTAGTAGTGGCAATGAAGCCAGCAGCAGGTAGGCTGAGGTCGAAATTGAGAAATCCATGATCTGTCGAGGTAAACTGGAACGGAGAGAACAATTGGAGATGTTTGAGGGGCCCCGGAGTCTGATTAATAAGCCAAACCGAGGCACCAGGGCTTGTGAGATTCGCTTGGCCCCATAGCCAATGATGCTGTGTTGTGGTATATGTTGTATATATCATCTAGGGATCTGGAATGGTGAATGTGTATTCTAATAGTTACTAGCATGTTCTTTGACTAGATTAATCTTAATTTCCGGCACAGCTAGATTCCAGATTCCCGACATAATCGATCTTCTTTTCGAAACACAACACCTCAAGTTCCCGGAAAGGTACCTTTATCGAAGTGACCTACTGATGTTTGGTCAGAAAGGCTTTGGAAACCGCCTTGAAGATGAAAGAACCGAGGTAACTTGGGTACGAAGTGGCTTGGCAGCCTTGTCTTAGGGCTTTGGAAGATTTGCGAATCCTAAGTATGAGGTCCCGCTTGCCCATCTTCTGATGTTGGTATTAATTTCAAAAAATTTGTACAGACAATTCGGAAGATACCAGCGCTGTCTTGGTCTCCGGGATATTCGCTTGACCAAGTCGTGCAGACCCTTGTTGCAGGGGACCGAATATGGACCTATAACATCGTCTCCAGTGATCTCGTCAGACCTAGTGGGAATATCAGAGCATCACGAGTGAATTCTGGATTCATCATGCTTAGTCGAGAGAGGCTGGATGTATCACCTTTTTGCTTATCGAGCCGTGCGGGCTGAAACGTGCATCGTAACTTAGGGCGAGGCAAACTGGGGCCTGACTTGTTGCTAAATTACTTCAATGCGGAAAGTCAAGACCCCTAATCAGGCAATGGTGCTGCATATGGCGTTGATCGGCGAATTGATAAAAAGAACAAGTTTGTAAAGAATCCTTAGCTGCAGACGCCAAGGGACTACTCTAGGGTGGTGAGTCTTCCCCGAATTTATCCAAAGCCCTAGAGGAACTTTTCCAGAACATCACCTTTTCGCTCATGAGCTTCGAAATGTTTTAGTGCATACTTCCGGTCTGCGTATTACACCCTTAACACTAACCACGCATCATAGACCCAATTGCACCTGATGATAGTAACGAGAGAAAGGGTACGAGATAGTTGTCAGCATGGGTGTTTTGGGAAACTTCTAATATAGATTAACGTCTCTTGGTGTTGGTGCTGGGGTGTAGGCCGTTGCCCAGTTTTGGAGCGTACTGGGCATCATGTCCTTGGATTTCCAGTCTTACAACCTTACAATTTATAAATTATGTACTTAATTGATTAAATTGAGATTTGATTTCGCTTCCCAGGCTTCTTTTAGGGTTACGTTCATTGAGAGTGCAACATTTCGCTGTCATTGGGATTCCATATGAGACAACTGGGACCTTTGAGCTACCTATTGTTCAAAATCAGTAAATGGTTGTACTGGATGAATATTGAATATTGGACGATGCACTCTAGACCTCGTACTAGCAGAGAGGAAAGCGCCGAGTAAAGACATTTTTCATAGATTCGAATAGAAGACCCTCTCTTCCCTCTAAATCCCGCTATCCTTCTCAGATATTCCCTGTAACTGGGCGATATCCTGAACAACATCTCCAGCAGACTGATATTTCTGCTTCCAACATTTTTCCGTGATATAGTAACATACATGCTCCTGCTCATCAGATGGAAATATCCCTCGTTCAAACAAGGACAGTATCTCCTCATCATCCTCAAGACTATCTAACTCCGGAAATATTTCGTGTCCAGTCATGATATAATAAATCACAGAGCCAAGTGCAAAAAGATCAGTATGCACATCCGCATAGTCCCCATGAATACGCGGTTGAAAGGACTTTGAACACTCACGAGATAGCCCGTCTAACAATGTTTGACCATCGGTGGACTTGAGCATCCCTTGAAAATCCGCAAGTATCAGATCAAAGTTCTCATCAAGAAGCAGATTCCGGGTATTCAGATCGCAATGGATGACACGCTTTGTATGGATATAACTCACTGCCTCGGCAGCTTGTTGACACCAATGAAGCCTTTGATCAAGAGTGATCAAATGATCCGAAGTGATATAGTCACTAAGATTGCCGTTAGGGGCAAATTCCAAAAGAAGACCATGTTCAGTCAGCCCCTTTGATTGGATTATTCGGGGATGAGCATAAAGGAGGTCGAGCAGTTGAGCTTCGATTTCCAAGCTACCCCGGTTGCCAGGAAAGAATGGGTATTTTAAGATAGTCGACTCGTCAACGAGACCGATGAAATGATCACCGCCTTGAGCAATGATCTTGGAGACCCCCAGTGGAAGATATCGAGAGAGTTGACGAATTTCGATATGGGAGGGGGAGTAGGTAGGTCATTTGCAACCATATCCTAGATTCATTAGTGGCTATATCGGTGACGAGATGTCGAGACTTACGGTGTCTGGTTGCAACATGTTTGAAGCATCAGGGGTCAAATGTCTTGCACGTTCAATATACAGCCCAATGCAAACCATGCAAATTGCTTGTACTTTCCGAAAATGCCATTGTATCAAAAAAGGATTGCGATTGTATCAAGAAATACATATCAAGCGGGTATCAAAAAGAAGTCAAGCAGAAATCAAGCAGTAATGGCCAATGTAATCCCTCTCCTCTTCCTCTCATTCGAATCCATCACCCTCTCCATCGGACCCGACAGCGTCTCTCTCAACTGCTCTCTCAAAAGCCCAACATCCTTCACCAACTCTCCCTCCACAACCCCCTTAGCAAGGAGATCACATCTAGCCGTAACCGCCAAATCAAACTCCTTCACCCCCCTCACCCTCAGAATAGGTTTCACCCATCCCTCCTGAATCCCAAACGGAATTCTCTGACCTGACACCACCGCCTCCCCAGTACTCCCGACCACACTGGTAAACCTCCCCAAATCCAAACTCAACCCCAACACCTTCAACCCTTCCAACGAAGCCACAACGTCCCAAAACCGCACCCACAATTCATCACTATGCGTATGCGCATAGATCGACCCCTTATGATCCAACCCAGCCATGGGCACCCAGATCGGCATCCATTGCACCGTGAGTCTTGAGATGGCCGCACGGGCAGTCGGCGACAAGGACGTCGCAAATGCAATAAAGGTATATAAATCATCGACATCAAAGTGCGACGCTTTGTAGAGTATGGTCTCTGCTTCGAAGTAGACCGAGCGACAGACGCGTAGCAGCGCAGTGTTACTATCGCTCAGAGATTCCGGGAGACGGGAATGGGTGTGTGGGTAGAGCAGTCTATCACTGTGTCCTGGCACGCGGCCATCGTAGATGCGCCAGCGAGCCGGGGTTGTAGGACAACAGTGACGGTTTTGCGTTAGAGCGGGATTGGGGTGATTGGAAGATGAATTGTGATTTGGAGTTTGATTTGTAGTTGAACAGCGAACATGCTTGATTTTGCCTTTTAATTGGACCAGATGGATGGTTTGGTCGGTTGAAGAAGTGAAGACATACGACCAAATGATTTGGCGGATTTCGGCTGGGAGACGGAGGAGGGGCGATTGTTGAGGTTGAGGTGGACTCCAGTTCATCGGTGGGCTGGGATTGTTGGATGGGGAGCAAATTGCGCGGGATTGGATTAAATCGCGGACGGTGTCGCGCCAGCGATGACCGGTTGGATAGTAGTGCCAGATAGAGTAGGGATCCCGAAGGACCCAGGTATCGAAGTGACGCATTGGATATATGAATGGTCTATGATCAGAGTCGAAGTAAAGAAATATGGGGAAATTATGGGGCGAGTGGGCTTTTATGGAGAATCAGAATCGACTAGGTACAGAGGTACCATCTACTAGCTACACTAGCTACATCCGACTATACCAAACATGAAGATATCAAACGGGACTTGCCGGGTTGTAACCCAATGACGTCTTGAATTTGGCATCGAATTTCACACCAATGTCGGAGCAGAGTGCTCCAGTGGCAAATAGGCCCAAGCACATGTCTAGGCCCACCCCTATGTACTATGTATACATACTACATACGATGCTATACTATATACGATATACTATATACGGAGTACTAGATACATATCTAACTCAATTCCTTTCCCCTGGGCTCTCCTCGTCAGTGACGTCCTTGTACCCCTCGATATCGTCATGCTCCACATTCCTCGCATTCTGTACAGGTTTCTCATGCGCAAGAGCAACGTAAATAGCACAAACCAAGATAATCCCCGATCCAACCCAACTAATCGGACTAAGGGTACTGCCCCAAACAACCTTATCATAAAACACCGCAAAGAGCATCTGCATATAGACCATCGAAGTGGCACGTGCCCCCCTGCCCCGTAGGCTTCCCATCCGAGACAGACGCAGGCGGAACATACGACAACCCCGCCGTCAATAAAAACTGCAACAAGAACCCACAAACACCCAGTCCCGTCAGTAATGTCCACTCTACCACCGTACTAGGAATCCGGAACGGAATCGAAGGCACGACGAGCATCGCAAAGAAAGAGATAACTGTCGTCACCGACGAGAAATACGTCACAGACACCAGCGGGTGTGCACGACGACCGATCATACGGATAGAGGTGTATGCGCCCGAAGCACCAAGGACACCGACAAAGGCAACAATAGTCGCCATGACGTGGTGGTAGGAGTCTGTTTCGGAGGGTGGTTTCTCGACATCCGAAGCGGACAGACCTAATGCCCAGGCGGCAGCGGCAGTGGGGGTTGCGATTGCAGCGTGGGAAGCGCGGGCGCTGAAGGGACGGGCGATGAGCACGACACCGCCGAGAGAGATCAATCCTGCGAGCAGCTGTTTGCGGGAAAAGGTCTCGCCGGGGATGAGGAGGGAACAGGCGTAGCAGGAGATGATTGGGGAGAGGAAGGTGATTACAGTTGCTTCGGAGAGGGGGAGGTATTGAACGGAGTAGTACAGGGCGTAGACGCCTGTGAAGCCGAAGATGGCGCGGAGGAGGAGAAGACCACGGACTGGACGGGTGCCTAGCGGGGAGGGTGTTGAGGCGAAGTACATGTACAGGTAACTTGCGATTGCTGTTATGGACATGCGAGCGAAGAGGATCTGGGATGTGTTAGTTATATTCTAAAAGAAGGGTTTGAGAGTGGGGAGGAGGATATAGTATCAAAGATCATGGTTCTTTTTCTTACCTGGAAAGGATGCATCGCACTATGAATTTCCAAAACCTGCGTCATGACATTCATCGAGGCAGCGAACGCCTGCGCCAGCAGGACAAGCCCCATACCCTTATTGCGCAACCACCAAACCTGCCATTTATGGCGGGGTCGCGAAGCAGCGATAGCGACGACATCGTCGTCTTCGATGGGACGGGGTTCTGATTGAGCCAATACCGGTTCGGGACTGGGTTCATTGTAGTAATCATTCTCATACTCGGCTTGCGTTATCGTTTGCGTTGAAGACGATCTCTGCGATGAGTATGACTGCGCCCGGATTGGCAGGGGTGCATCTGGATGATCCTGGTATTGGCCGTCTGAGGCCGGATGGTGTGCAGTGACCATGCTGGGATGTGTGCTGGGATCGTTATTGGAGGCGGTTGGTCCCTGCGGGGATTTTGTGGGGGATTGGAGATGAAGGTATCTAGAGGCACTTCTTTTTCCTTCTCTTCTTCCGGAGATCGGAATGTTTCTTTTATAAAATCTGAATGTACAGTATTCTCCCCAGGAGAATAAATGCAGATAAACCGTATATTCAGGTGGAAGGGAAGGATCTTATATCGCTGTACTGCCGATCTGGACAAAAGAGATTTCAGCTGGGCAAGTGGAGCCGCCGTTGACCGCTAACCGCGGCCTTTGATTTTTTTTTTCTATATTTGCTTTTTTTGTTGCTACTTTTGAATGACTTTCGTAGTCTTTGAGGTGACTTGACTCGAAATAGGTTGCAAATTCAGTTGCCTAGTACCTGGTTGTGTACTACTATGTATCCCCCGGCTTTGTGTGCAGCACACGACCTATTACCTACATGGACTATCTGTTAGCTACATATAAACATGCACCTGGCACGGATACTTATCCGATTCCTTTACTTGCTCTGCTTCTCAAAATTTGGTCCTGAGTTCTCTGGGGTAGGATTAGTATTGCTTACTAGTCGCCTCAACTCCCCGGGGCCTAGAGTTGAACTTACCTGGGGAGATGAATCTCGCATTTGGCTGGAATGCTGATAAAGCCATATATTGTAGGGAACCTAGCCAGAAGACTACGCATGGCGTAGAAAGTCGGGGTTGATGTCTCGGAGCCGAAACCATATGGTCTGTGCAGGATATATAGATGCTGGTTCCCTGACAACGATAGTTGCGGCTTAGGCTGTAGTAGTATTTCAGTAATTCTTTTGGTGTTGCTTTTAGTAGTCGGGTCCCAGTATTCTAGGTACCAGCTAGCATGCTCGGAACTAAAAACAGCGAGAAAGCGAACATCCTACTTGACGAGGAGATCACGACAAGTAGAAACATTGGACGAGAGAAAGCTTTTGGATTTCTGTAAAAACTTTCTGGGCAAGGTATCATGATCAATTCTGGGCTTCACAGCATCGTGTAGAGAACTCATTGCACGGGTATCAAAAGCAATAGCAGATCTTAGAGGATGCAACCCGTTCAAAGCTCTGCATCATCAAGTACTCCAATGCAGTCACACTTCAAGGGTTCAAGTTGAGGAGAGATATCCTGATAGCTCTCTCGGCAAAAGCCTTTGATAGGAGCCGCTTACCAGGTTTGTAACCAATATATATATGACTTTGCCATCTTCAAGTAAGCAGCCTAGAATAGAGAAACAACCTGAGCTCAAGGTACAAATTGCCATGATTATACGATACTATTGCCAACTCAGACCTTTGCGCCAAGAAATGCAGCGTTTCTTCTTCTTTGAACCAGAGATCGAATTGTCGAATGCATACACGTATATACAGCGTGGTATTCAGTATCACGACTTTGGCTTGGTAGTCCATAGATATGTAGGATTCAAGAGTGACCTCCGGAGTAATAACAGCTTCCAAGGTTTTGGGCGATCAATGCTCATCCATGGATGAAAGACAGCCTCACAGGGTCGAGCCAATCACAGAGAATGCGATGAAATCGTCGCCAGATCGGCTCGAACCTACGACCCACATAGCCGAAAACGGTAATTTAGACCCACTTCGAACCGCACCTCAAATCCTCGTATTAAAATGTCTAAAGAAAAAAAAATAGGTAGCTTCTGTTTGATTGAGCGTGTCATCCTAGTGCAGGGGCCATGCTAATCTTCTCTGTATATTTTCTGTTGACCATGTGCCCCGAAGGGCGAAATATATCTTCCTCGACCTCGTTATAACCTCCGATTCAGATGGGAATATTGCATAGAGCTGGATTATAGGACTGTGGTTGGTTCATTTCACAAGGACCCGCTTTTGCGCGTAACGTGGATCTCGAACTCCCGACCTCATTGGCTGAGAGCTCACGTGACTGCCTAATCAGGTATACCCAATCATAGACTGTGAATAGGCCCGCTTTTGTATACCCTCAATATCAAGCCTGTAAAGAAAAAAAATAGGTAGCTTCTCTTTGATTGAGCGTGTCATCCTTAGTGCAGGGGCCATGCTAATCTTCTCTGTATATTTTCTGTTGACCATATGCCCCGAAGGGCGAAATGTATCTTCGTTCAGTTCATTATAACGACCGATCGTGGCAGAATTATACCGCCTACGCTTTTGGGAATAGGGTAACAGGCACAAGTAAATGGGTGAGCATCCAACGTTGGTTACGTAAGACCGCCTAGAATCCACAGCCCGGAGGCACATATATCACGGCTACATCACCGTACATAAACTCTCAGGTTTGCATGTGAGCTTTACCTCAGGGCAGTTCAATCATAGCTGAATCATGCATGCATTCTCTCGATGTGATGGTTTTCTCTCACTGCACCCAATTTTCTCCAACAGATGATGCAACCCATGCTACCCAAGAACGGCAACGGCAACTGGATGGTATAGATCAATATGCTCCCCACCTTTCCTAATCACATCGATATGGACACAAACTGAGTTGTGATTCAAATCAAAAGTGACAAGTCCTCTGATATCTGGAAGATTGACTGAGCGTCGGAACCATAATCCGTCTGAGACGATCCCGCTGAATCCTCCAACTTCGTTGCCGTCGAAGGAAAGGCTTTCGATGTCTACTTGCGTATCAGGCCATACAGCAATGGTCCCTTTTATCTGATATTAGGGGGTTAGAATTGATTTTGCTCCAGATTATGTCAACAAAGAATGAATATGCAAGATGAAGTCATTTCACATGCAGTGCTCATTTCGGACAGGTGCTGAATTCTTTACTTACTTGGATGAGCCCGGCATCTTTAACCAGATAGATCTCATGGCTGAACCACACCGTCTCTGTGATCCTCTTCACGGCCATTATGGCGTCTAGCACTATGACTGGATAAATCGAGGGAGATATGTAAGAGGCTGAGAACGGATGATTGATGGGTAAGGTCTTTGTAAAAGAAGGACGGGGGAAGTAAAGGGTATGTCAGGTCCAAGGTAAATGAAGTGAGAGATATATCAAGAAGTTGAGTGAGAAGATCTCGATATAATCACCCGGTATGAGCTTCCTTTTGTCTCAATCGTGATAGATATCTCTCATCTGATAGTCCGAGGTCTACTATAGAGATACTGTATTGACAACTCCACTCGTAAGCATCCGTTCAATCTAACTCACATCTCTCTTACACCATACTTAGATATCTCCCACTTTAAAATCAACATCAGAGGTAGCGGCCCGGGATATAATAGTTTTAAGGGTTACACGGTTACACTTGGACCTTTGATACAAGTCTCTAGACGGGAACCTTGAAAGGAGGTTGGAGATCTTATCAATATGAACATACTAGTCCTTGTCATGTCTTCTTTGAGCTTTCTTCAAATCTCTTTTTTATAAAACGTTTTCCTATGTTAGTACCGTAGTTCGAAGGATAGGAACTCTAAATAGCCGCAAATTATAGAATATAGGCTGTGAAAAAGGTACAAGAGTATAAATTGACCTTATCATGTATGAAGCGATAACAACACAGATGAAGTGTTATGAAAGAATAATCCACAAGACTAAGATAATATCTACCTAGAAAAGCATGCACAAGCTCTGTTTATACAAAAGTAAATGTATCACCTCCCTTCTCCCGCAACATATTGCCAGTCCTAGATGTACCAACAATACGCTCCAACTTCAGCGCATCCCACTTCGAGAACAGCGCACGCACACCACCCTCAGCAGCCTCAATCAACTCTGCAGGATCAAGACCCAAGTATCCAACAATTTCGCTATAGAACTGCGCGTTATCCGGGAGGCCGTACATGATCACACGCTTGACACCACGGACCTGGTAACGGCGGAAGTGATGCGCACGCTCGGTATAGAGCAGCACAGAGTGGCGGCCGGACACGAAATGACTGCGGGCACGATTAGCCTCCTTCGACTCGGTGTACTCGGAGATAGCACCAAAAGCGACGTTGGTGGTCTGTGTGGAGGTGGCAAAATGGTTTCGCACGCGGACAAAGTCGAGGTAGGAAGGGATGAAGATGAGGGTGCCGGAACCACCCTTGCCACGACCGTGCGTGATGTTCTTCACCAGGGTGGACAGGATGGTGGTTGTGAAGTGCTTGAAGCGCGCGTCGGGGTCTTTAATGGGTGACGTGCTGTCGATGCGGGTGAAGGTTTGCTTGACGGAGACTGGGAGTGGGAGCTCGGTGATGGCGCCGGCGTAGGTGGGAGTTGCCTTGAGACGGCCCGAGGCGTTTTGCATCTGAGATGAGAAGAGAGCGTTGATCTCTGGGGTGATGAAGGATGAGACCACTACAGTTTGTCGGACGTGACGGGCTTGGTTATCCAAGTACCAGTTGCGGACACGGCCGAAGTCGCAGCCGTGCGCTTGTTTCGGTTGCAGATTCAGGTGTTGGAAGATGTAGTCGACGTGGTCCCAGTTCTGCATGAGGAGGGCGTCGGCGTGGTCGACAACTACGAGCTCGATTGAGGAGAGGAAGTCGTGATCGCGCTTCTTGACATCTGCTTGGTCCATGATCGTACGCAGGCCCAGTGGACTGGCCAGGATGATATCCGAACTGTAGAACTGCGCGAAATATTTGACTGTCTTGCGCGTGAACTTGAGACCCAGTCGGAACATGTCGTCATCATTGCCGCCGAAGAGCTCCTTGAAGTCTTCAGTCTTGTGCTCCCATTGTTCGTCATTTGGTGCAGAGAATGAGTCAGTGAAGCGTTTTTTGTTTTCTTGCTGTTCAGGTTGATAGATCCGAGTGATCGCATCGAGCACCTTAACACATGCCTGTCGGGTGGGCAGAATGTAAAGCACCTTAGGTCGGGTAAAGCCCTGGTCACGGCACTCAATGTCGGTGTCCGGGTCCTTGGCCAGACGGGCGTTGTTTTTGAGGACTTGATCTCGGGTCTTCAGCAGGTGGTTGACGGTATGCAAAGCAAGAATGTCACGCATCTCATCCGCATTGGAAGTAGTGCGGGCACCGTAGAGCACATCTTGGTAGTCGAACACATATGGTGCGATGATCTGGGCTTGACCGGTAATTTTAGGGAGGATCTCGGACGCACGAGACTTCAATTTTTGTTTAAGCTGCGCGATTGCATGTCAGCATTGGAGCAGATAAAAAATCCATATTTGGCATGCGTACCTTGATATTAGTTGTGCTCTTCAATGGCGGAAGGATCGATGCGCTTTTTGCTCCAGTGTCGGGAACAGTATGTACCAGCCGTAGCCCATCTACCTCTTTCTTGACGGATGCCCATTTGTTGGATTGGATAGGCTCAATCTGCTTGGTCAAATCTGCACTCTCACGGAGATCGAAGTGCTTCTCAAAAGCAGCAGTTGGGTCCTCATCCTCGTCTGCTTCTTCCTCTTCGTCGTCGGATGGTGCTTGCGCTTGCAAGTCATCATCGGCCTGCTCTGGTTCCTCTGCAATTTCTGCCATTTGAACCTCAGCATTTGAATCGGTGGCAATCTTGCGCTTCTTCCGAGCTGGTCCACTTGACTCATTGGTGTGAAGTAGCTGGAGGAGTTCGTTGTAGGGGCGTTCGGTATTCTCGTCTTCGTCGCTGCTAGAGCCCTCGTCCATCAGGGCATCATCGGCTACTTCCTCTTCGGACTGTACACTAGCATCATCTTCTCCGCTAGAAGAGTCGTCTGACCTAGTACCAATTAGAGAGTGTCATTTGAGACCTTCAGACTAAGGAACATACTCGGACTCATTCAATCGTGAAGTGGCAAAGGAGCGACCACCACGACCACCACGACCCCGACCACGACCGCCACGACCACGGCCACCACGTCCTCGAGCTCCTCTAAAAGAACCACCACGAGGAGCAGGCATATTGGTGTATGAATGACTATTAAGGGTTGGGTGCCAACACAATTCCCGGCCAAAATGAGAATTTCGGGCCTTATCTTATCTTAGCGCGAAATTTCCCACACACAACAGAATCGGAACAATCAGAGCGGCTCACTCCACTTCAAGGAAAAATTGAACCTCCGAGAAAGGCTGAAGTTTGGATCTTGAAACTTGCAGAGATATTCCATCCATCTCCAAATTAATCATGGCCGAAGATTCTTTCCTTCATCTCGCTCGCCCCCTCGGCCCCGTTAGCGTGGGGACCGCTCCTACCACTGCCCCTCTGAACGTGGTCATTCAACCCCAGGTATGTTGCGATGTGTATAACCTGAGGGGTAAAGCTCATTCTTTCAGGCAATCTTCTCAATTCTCGACCACTCTCTCCGCCGTAATGTCGACCAGGAGCGTGTCATCGGTACACTGCTCGGAACACGATCTGAGGATGGAAGTGAGGTCGAGGTCCGATCCGCCTTCGCCGTCGGCCACTCCGAGGCTGAGGACCAGGTCGAGGTCGATATGGAATACCACAAGCAGATGTTGGCTTTGCACCTGAAGGCCAACCCTCGCGAAGTTCTGGTTGGCTGGTACGCCACTGCTTCCGAGCTCAACACTTTCTCCGCCTTGATCCAGAACTTTTACAGCGGCCAGGGTGATGGTACCTGGCCTCACCCTGCTGTCCACCTGACTGTCTCCACCGAGGCTGGAAAGGATCTCGAGACCCGCGCCTACATTTCCGCTCCCGTTGGTGTCACCGCTGAGCGTGCTGCCGACAGCGCTGCTTTCATCCCCGTTCCCTACGAGCTCCGATACGGCGAGGCCGACAAGAGCGGTCTTGAGTCTATCGCCAACGCCAAGGATGCCGAGGACCGTTCCACTTCTGTCACTTCCGATATTGAGTCTCTGGAGCGTGCCATTGAGGAGGTTCTTTCCATGGTCGACCGCGTCTCGCGCTACGTCGAGTCCGTGATCGATGAGGAGACCCCCGCTTCCACTGCTATGGGCCAGTTCCTTCTTAACGCTCTCGCTCTCGCCCCCAAGGTCGAACCTGCCGACATTGAGCGTGACTTGTATGTTGAATCCGCATTATCTCTGAAGTTGCTGGTCACTAACTTTCTACAGCAACAACCACATCCAGGACGTCCTGGTCGTTTCTTACCTTGCCAACACCGTGCGCACACAGATGGAGCTTTCCACTCGCCTAGCAACTGCCCAGCTTACCCTTGGCAGCGGCGTCGGCGGCGAAGGCCCCTCCACCGGCGAGGGCAACCAGCGCAACCAGCGTGGCGGCAAGAACCAAGGCGGCCGCCCCCGCCAGGACCGCACCGAGGAAGCCCGCGCATGAGAGGTTTCCCACAGCAAAAAAACGCTGATGCATAATGTGATCAATTGCGAGAGGAGCACTTCCCTTCAAGTGAACGTCGATATCTCGTCTCGCGTTCTCTTCCCTTTCTATCTCACCCCTCCCTGACGTTATTACTTTTGGGTCTTTCGCTTCTTTGTTTACTATCCCTCTACCACCTTCTTCCCTTTTTTCCCCTTTTCCTTTTTCCGGCTTCTTTTTTTCCTCGCGAGGCTTACATGTTCTCTCCGGAGCTCACGGACCGCGGCCTGGTCACGCCCCGTCAACGGCCTCCGGACTCGGTCTGTCGTGATGCCCAAAGACGGTATTCAGCACGTGGTGTTACGGTGTTGAGACAGATTTAATATCAATGTGTTTGGTATAACGTGTGGTGGTTGATACGGGTGACTATGTGGTTACCGTTCGATAGAGAATCGGGGATGATGAGTCTAGACTGTTGAAGATGAGAGATGGATCTGCTGAGAGTCGATCTCTCCGGTTTACGAAGTCGCATCTTTCTAGGCGCGGCGTTTTCAGTTATGATGAAATGGACATAAAAGTTCTAGAGCTTCTTCGTATCTTCCACCAATGGCTACTCCGGCCATGGCCCCCGCAGTGCATACACCTACGTAGACAACTACATGACTATATATCAACAGCAACACAAGTCAAAACAATCAAAACAATGCATGGGACACCTATAGTACCCACAGAGAAATATTTCGGGCTTCAGAACCAGGGATCTTAATCACCAAGACGTCTTCAACCTGGTTGTGCTCGATCTATAGATCGTCCTTCAAGAGAAAGATAATGGACCCTTGTACGCATGGTCCTTGGTATCAATCAGCTGATAATCGAGGCCGCTCTGAATCAAGAAAAGGATCATGCTCGGCGTGAGTCCTTTGCAGCTAGATGAAGCGTTGCTTCCCCCTCTGGGGCGGGGCGAGCATGAATCTCTGCGCCGGCTACTAGAAGTGCGTTTACCATCTGGATAGCACCACTCCTGGCGGCACACTGGAGTAGATCAACGGTGCTATAACGGCTCGTATTATCCTCTGGTTTCGAGTACTTGGTTGTCCGGGACACGTTTAGGGCCTATCATGTAAAGCTAGAGTTGTACGGTCTGCTGGCACCATTACATCAGCACTATATTGAATAAGGTGCTCGAATAATGGGGGACCATCCTATCCGTTACCCTTTGAGGGGTTGTAGCTATCGCTATAAACAGCTGCTGAGTGGAGATGCGTATGATCTCCTGCGGTTATTGCGATTGATAACTCTGCTTATATTTAAGTATTAAAGTTAGGACCTCCCCGGACCTAGCCCTATAAGTAGATTCTAAGCATAAGCTGAACGAACTAGAGATCGAGAATAACATTGGTCTTATAGATGTTTGCCACTGTTAGTGTCCGAGGGATCAGGCCTTGGATAGTCATAACTACGTCTGATAGTGAATCTTTCCTCTTTTTTGTATTTTGAGGAACTATTTCCCGCTCTGGTCTGATAGGCTGTTTGCTCTTCCCAACATATAGTTTGAATTAATACTAGAATTCCAGAACTAGGTATCAAGTATCACCACAATTGTACACGAGTATTGTGTTCTAGATTTCGAAGTCCATTTCGATTATACCAACGAGCGATGATCCAGAGTCAGCACGAGCCTCCGGTGGAAGAGTACCAGGTATCCAAAGTGCTCAATGATAAATGAAGTCATTCGTCGTGAAATCGCGTGCTTCTTTTATCGCCTGATCGAAGCCCGGTATGTTAGTATCATGCTTGATCTCAACTTCGCCAGCTTCATCCCTACACTTCTCATCGTCCTCTTCTGCATGTGGGTTTAAAACACTGGCCCAATCCCTATGAGCAAGTGCATTTCAACCCCAGACTGATTTACCAGATCTTCCACATGCATATGCTTCCAGAGGATTCTCGCCGTAAGAAAATGACCCAGCTGGACTTTTGATCCAGAGCCCTATCCGCCAAGCTGCCCAAGAGGAACACCAAATGCCTTTTCCCCTTCAGGATGTGCGGAGTCGGGCTTAGTGTATTTTGGCCAAATTGCCGCAAAGAAATGAAGATTGAACGAAGTTTGCGTGTGTGCCACCAAAGTGGACTAGTATCTTGCCTATCTCACTCATCCACTCGTTCACTAGGGAGTATTTCCAGTTTTAGTCTATTCGAGAATTTAGATGCTGGTCTGGCTTGGGTGTCTTCAAGATAGCCCTGGGTGGCAATCATCACCATGTGAAAGGAATTAGTGATCCCGCAGCCACGTTGGAATCGACATCGAATGTTTCCGAGTAGGCGGGATGAACGGTGAAAAGGGCTATTGGTGTATCATGTCGCGGCTTTAGTTCCTGCATATGGTACCAGGGTCTCTGGAGGGCTGCACTTTAAATGAGGCATTTGTGATGTAGGACGTCTTGGTACAATCTGCTTGGGGTACCATAAAGGTACTCTTTCGTTGGGTTGATATCTCCAGTATTGCTCTACTTTGGCAGCAGGGGGTATTATCTTGTGACTCTTGTCTGCTTGTTTGGTAGTCCCAAACCTCAAAATATAGGTCGTGGGGCTGTTGGGAGAAAGACTTTTCTGGGGTTGGACATACCGTGAAGTCCCGAGGGGCAGTTGAGTATAGTGAGACTATTGTCAGTGTAGGCCACAACTAGGATAAACCTATTAATCATGTTTCATGGAATTCATAAATGACGCTTTCGTTTACGTGTTAGTCCTCGGGGAGTATATCGTACGTCTGAGACCCATCAGTCTGGCAGGAGCGGCACTAGTCCTTGTTTCGAAAGCTGATCGGTCCTTTTTGTGGCAGAGGTTGATACGTTGAGTATCATGAAGATGCTCGGTTGCGACTCAGATAGGCATGCGTAGTTCAAGCAGCGAAAGAGGCTCCAAGTTACTGTACATAGATGTCCACCCTTGTGGGGAAGGACCCAAACCTTAATTACTTTAATTTGACAGGAACAACGTAGATCTGATGAAAGTACACAACAGCATATTGTATAGTCCCAGATCATGTAGGGAAATCTCTTCATAAAGCCCGTTTTTGGTTCTTCTGTCTATCTTCAAATCTGCGAAAAGAAAGAAAGCCCCCTAAAAAAAAAGGGGGAATCTACACAGAATATCTGGAAATATCACTAAAAGAAACACCGCAAGGCAGCATAAGCGGCTAATTATTGTTTGGCCAGCATTATACGAGTATGTTTCTCAGTGCCGTCTTGGACTCTATCCTTTGGTCTTATCACAGGGGAGGTTTTGAAACGTGGTTGGTTGCGACAGCATATTCATAAAACCTCGGGATGAGACGATGTACTAGACGAGTGGTAGCGCTTTCGTTATATACGTAACTTCATTACAGGATATAAGGAGTAAATTGGCAAGACAAAAATCCATTGCCATCGCATTTCTGATTAATTCAAGGCTAAAAAGTAATAGTACATATGTGCGTAGAAACGAAACACACGTTGGGCATTAAAGTCATGTTCGTCGTGACCCGTGAACCCGCCCACAAGGGTAGGTGGGGATGATTAAGGGTACATAATCAGCCATTCGTCTTGCGCTTCTTCGAGACCGATTCCTCAGTGGCATCGGATCCACGGCGGGCAGCTCGCTTGCCCTTGCCCTTGTTCTTCTTAACAGTGGCAGCAGCAGCAGCTTCAGCGGCCACAGGATCCTCACCAGCAGCAGCAGCGGCCGCCGCAGCCGCAGCGCCCTTCTTTCCAGCTTCCTTGGCAACCTGATCATCATTCTGGTCAAATGCCTTGCGGGCTTCCTTCAATTCACGTTCCATGCGCAGCAGCTCCTGGACACGGCCAAGCTTGTTCGGGTCGCGACGAAGTGCAAAGCGGAAATCCTCGACTTTGATCTTCTGACGGCGGGCGTGGTGTGCGACTTGCGCGGCACCGTGGCTGAGTTCCAGCACGAAGTCGGTGACAATTTCATCCAGCACACGAACTGTCTCGGGGAGTGGTTCATTTGGGAAACTTGGGTGCGGGCTGGGGTCGCCATAGGCGAGAAGCAGCAAACGGACTGTCGAGACGGTGAGTATTGATAATGGCTTGGTAGAATGTGCGTGGGCTGCGGGAACTTACGCTCATTCTGGAAGTTCATCTGGCCCTTGTGGCGGGCCATACGTGCACGTGGTTCAGCCATGGTGGACTTGGCTGCGGAATCTGTCTTGCCCTTTTCGGCTGAGGTGGATGTGTCAAGTGTCTTGGGAGTCCACTGAGGTTCGTATCCGGCGCGGATTAAAGCTGTGTCTTGCTCATTGAAATTCCAGTTGGGTGAGAGCGTGGAGACAAGATGTTTAGAGCTAGGCTGGCGCGACGGATTGCGGGTCGAATTGAGGGAGTCAGTTTCTGGAGTCGACAAGAAACTGCTCGGGGTTTGCAAGCGACGGTTTTTAGTTGGCGTAACAGGGTTTGGAGTTGGGAGGTGAGTGGTTGAAGTTGGAGAGGATGTGGTTGGAGTTTGTAAACGACGGTTTGGGGTTGGCGAGACGGTGTTTGGGGTCCGAAAGCGCGCCGGTGGGGTTGCAGTTGACGTGTCCGGAGTTAGCAACCCAGTGTAAGAATTTGGCGCACGTTGCGAAGTTGGCGTGGAAGGTAGCGGAGCTGGGCTCTGGCCCGGCAAGGAAAACGATACCCGCTTGGGTGTTTGGTCTGTGCGCTTGGCGGACATGGTGGGCAGAATGTACTAGACTGGGGTTGGTTAGCAACTTGGCACATGCAAGCTACCTGGCAACTTACTGTCGCTCTACTTCTTTGCCCAAGTGACGGGCGAAGATTTCACTGCAAAAAATGGTGAGTAGATATGAATGACTGGATCGATGGGGAGTGACTGCTTGTCAATGTGGTGGGAGGACGTGAGACTCCACGTTTGCATGGAGACCACAATGTCAATATGATCACAATGTGCTAACTTTCACACTCACCTAGACTGCTCTTTTCAACTTTCAGTCGTTGCTTCTTGTGATCCTCTTGATAATCTGCACGAGCAGCTATGCACACTCGATAATGCCTGGGATCATGGACCGGAACCAGAATGGGTACGTCCTCACTCGAGGGAAGAAGGCCCGGGAACGAAAGATGGAGAAACTGACGGTCATTTGATGTAGAATTTTCGGCATATTCTGGAAATGCGCTAGAGTCGGAGAGCGACTCAGTCCATATGTCAGCATATGTTGTGTTGTGATGGCAGTAGGTTCCTTACTCCGCCGGTCCAGACGTATGAAAGGATACTGATGTTACATACAGGTCTCGATCTTCTTCGGTGGTTAATCCTGCTTGGATCTCAATGGGTGTTTGAAGAGGAGAGTTTCCATGGGGTTTCAATGGGCTGTAGTAGTCTCCGACTTCGTGACAATCAAACCTCAGGTAACTTGAGAGTGAGGATTACGAGATTACCATTTCCACTATTTGACATATTTGACAGTTTCCACATGCAATGAGATATCCAGACGAACAGAAAGTTCATGATGATGCAATGTATAGTACATGATATCCAAATCTACAAAAAAAAAGTTCAAAGCCATCTCAACACCAATGCGTCTAAAATGCTTCCAGGTTGCTTCGCCCACAAAAGGCAACAATAAAAGACAAAAGGGTATATATCCTACATCTTGGGCTTCGATTTTGACTCCAACTTCTCCAAGCCACTGTCAATGAGCTCGTCACGCTCCTGCTGATCACTGTGCACATCAGACGTAGGCTCGAGGGTGAGAAGCTTATGAGCTCCATGCGAGTCGAGACCCTCATCCATCTCCTCGATCGCCACCCAAAGGCGTTCAGGGTCGCGGAGATAACGCAAACTCTTCATAGTGTAGTGGTCAATGGCAAAGCCTTCTTTTTCCATCTTCGTAATTGCATTAGCGGTTTCGGGAATGTCTTGTGCATTCGCGAATCCGTTGATGATGGTATTCCAGGTCACTTGGTTATACTCCACGTCGTGCTTAGCCATCATCTCCTTGACTTTCTCGGCTGCATCGGGCTGGCGACTGTAATTGAAGGCACTAAGGAGGATGGTCCACGTGCGAGGTGTGGGTGAGATATGCTTGAGAGGTTTGCCATCGGTGGTCTCTTTCGGCATGGCGGATGTGTCAAGCATGTCTTCAACGAGACGTATGCTTGACCGCAGTCCACGGCTGCTCTTGCGGAAGGCGATAAGGAATTCATTATAGACGTGGTCGGTCTCGACCAGAGGAGCGATGGATGGGTGGCCCTGCTGCACTAGCTCGCGGAATCTGTCGTACATGTGATGCACTTGTGAGATCCGATTCCTACAGCGGAAGAATGTTGCGATCATAAGGAACAAGGACACCGGGGAAGGTGGTAATTTGACTTCAAGTCCTTGAGTTGGCGGCTGGGTATATTGAGGAGGGAGGAGAAGGAGTTCTTTGAGCGGTGTGATGTCGTGGAGTTTGTTGTACATGTCGAGCATAGAGTAGAAAACCCCCGAGGGATCGCTCTCGGGGTCAATATGCTTGGCGGTAAAAGTGAAATGGGCGTGGAAGATCTTGCTGAAAATGTATGGGTTGTTTCGTAGTTCCTCTTTCATCTCGACTTCCCTCACTAACTCGTCCACCCGACCCCGGTCACCTCGAGACACCGCATCAGTTAGGAGAGTCAAGTATGTGTAAGAATCGAACTCGTGATGGTGATTCTTCATGAACTGGAGCATGTCTGACCCCAATTGAGGATCACCGGTTTTGTAAGCATTAGCGAGCACGAGATTCATCATGTCCCGGTCTGGCTGGACTCCCATCTTGAGAAGTCGTGGGAGGATCCGGAAATTGCGTCCTCCAGCTTTGTCCTCAACGGTATCCAGGGTCAGGAGTTTGCAACAGTGTCGTAGGACCCCTTCAGAATTCATAGAAAATTCAGGGTCGTTGATTTTGGGAATGTATTCGAGGGCCCTAAGAGCATATTCCACGTCATTCAGCTGTGTGAATCGGTACATGTAGCAAAGTGCTGTTTGAGCCTCCATCGTAATGCCTCGCTCGTTCATTAAACGGAAACTCTCGTAGACACCTAAAAAGCCTGCTCGGCGAATATAAAACCGTATGCCCCTTTGTGGTGGCGAGACAATCGGCCAGTCCTTTGGGTCCAGGGTAGTTGCAACAACTGATTCGAATGTGTGGGCACCCTTTTCCCAATCCCGCAGCTCTTCATAGTGAAACCTCTCCAAGTACGCCAAGCAATCGACAATCATAGTCAAGTCTGGCTTATCTCGTGGCTCGGTTGTGACGAGTAAAAATTCCAGGGCCATTGCAGGGTTATTTTGCAACAGCCAGATGGCCAGGCGTTGCCAGGCCCAGGCCCTGGTAGAACGGTTCATTGCTAGCCATGCTTCTCGAAATTTGCCCTGGCAGTCATCAAGAAGCACCCCTAGCAGTTTCTCACCATCGTCTCTCAATTTTGGCAACGCAGATTTGTGCAAGATCTCACGACCATGTGTCTTGGCCTTGTGGATTGCTCCGTATGCCTCCTTCCACTGACGGAGTCCCAGCTCACGCGTGTATAGCGAATTCATTCGCATCGCAAGAGCCAGATATAATCCTCGATCCGTCAAGTGTCTACCCTTGTTTAAGATTTCGCGGTTGACTCTCTCGGCCGCCATGGCAACAAGCTTGGGATCAGCATGTCGCACGTAGGCGACCTTCTTCATTTTATCATTCGTTATAATCGGTGTCTGCGTTGACCTTCGTGGTTGGGATAGGGAGTTTGATTGGCCATCCCCCATGCCGTATCGATTTGTCACGGCCTGATCTGGTTGTTCACTTGTCGGCGGATGAGAACTGTCGGTTGAATCATGATTGTGTTGATAGGACATAGGGTCAGGAGCATCATTTCCCACGCCAGGTTCTGAGATTGCTGGAGCATTGTATGTGGAGAGGCGCACTCTATGACCAACATTCGCCGTCCCCGACTCCCGATACAATCGGCCTGGGCTCCGACATTGTTGTGAGAGCAACCCGTTGAGACGGGACCGAACGAGTTGTTGTGGACAAGGTGACATTCAGGAGCTTTTATTCGCAGACATCTGTGAGGAATAGACCAAGACAAAGAAAACAAGTCGATTATGGCGCGTGAAGAGAGAATTCAAGTCCAATGCCGGACAGAAAGTTGAATTCCGCCATTCCGCCCGATTTTGCCGTGGCTGATGTGTGGCGCACCACATCTACTTTTATCGGCTCCATCGTCGTTCAACTTCCAAGCAGCGGAGGAGCTTGGGATTTTCTTCCGGTCATTTCAGTAACTTTAATTATTATTCCTCAAGCTTGAATACTTTCTCCGTCATCAGCTCAACCATCACTCGAAAATATGTCATCAAACCATGCCAATCTTGATGCGGCATCCATCGACCGCAAAGCCCGGCTTGCCAAGCTCGCAGCTCTAAAGCGCAAGCAACCCGAGCAAGACACAAAAGAGGCCAGCGCTGAAGACGAGGAGCTGCCCGATGCCAATGCCGACAACGATGCCACGCCGGACGTGACCACAAAATACCTGTCCGGCCGCAACTACGACCCCGAGGCCCGCGGGCCTAAACTAGGCTTCGAGCACGCCCCGCAAGAGGGCCAGGTGACGCTGGAGGCACAGGCGGCTGCAATTGCAAAGGCCACAGCGGAACAAGCCAAGGAGGATGAAGATGCCGATGAACCCATTGATCTGTTCAAACTACAACCTAAGAAACCCAACTGGGATCTGAAGCGCGATTTGAGCGAAAAACTCAAGACTCTCGATGTACGGACGGACAATGCAATTGCCCGCCTTATACGTCAGCGTGTAGAGGAAGCGCAGCGTGCTGCGAAGGCAAATGGGGCCAAATCTAACGGAGATGACCAGGGAGAGGAAGTGGGCATGGCGGGTGAGACGCTCGTTGAGAGCATCCATATACGCGAACGAGAGGAAGAGAAAAGCGACGAAGAAATGATTTGAACGTGATACCCTTTGTGTCAGGAATGCGAGCGTGGTCTAGGGCTTCTGCCTCGACTTGTAATTGTCTATATTCTGCCCATTTAACTTATTCTTTTTTTTTGTCTTGGTTGAGGCGTCAAAATGATGCCATGGGCATATTGCGCACAAAATGAGGCGTTTAGGAGGGTTAAAAGCTAAGATTCTCAATGAGCATGTGTATCTTAGTGTGTTTCTGAAATCATTATTGACTTTTTTTGGGATTCCACTGTCGAGTGACAGATATTTTCGAACTCCAGAGATGCTAATGATACACTTGGTCATATACTAACGGAACATGAATTGGCACAATGTCCCCCATCAATAGTTTGCGCCGTAAAAAAACCCCCAATGTTGCAAAGCAGTGATTTCATTTCAATTTAACGTCCGTTATTCATGGCTTGAGTCAGAGCAAGGCGCTTACTGAAAGGACTCAAGCTTCGTTCACGAGGAGGTTGGCTCTTCTGTGTTATGGGATCAGGCCGAGACCGTCCAGGTTGAGACTGGCGTGGCGGGCTTGCTCGATCACGGTATGAACGGTCTCGTGGAAGATCTTGGGTTGTAGCACGCGATTCTTTCACGCGCTCCTTATCCACACTCTTGCTTCGGCGGTCTCTTCGTTCGTTGCGTCTTCCAGCTCCACGGTGCCGGCCCCGTTCATCGGGACTGGATTCTCGTCTCCGTCGTCGAGTGTTTCGGTCATCGGTGCGCTCCCGAGAGGGTGAGCGGTTTTTCGGTCCTGAGTGAACTGAACCGGAAGAACCCTCTGTGGAATCACTGTAGCGTCTCTTTCGGGACTTTGAAGGAGGTGCTGATGAATCATCTCGACGACCTCTGTCGGCTGTGCCGTGTTTGTTACGGCGGGGAGATGAGGAATAGGATCGATTTGTAGATATCGTTTCCACTGAGAGAGACCTGGCCCGCTTCGGAGACTGAGCGTTGCGATCTATCATATCCTCAATATCTCTCTTTCGGCCACGCTCTTCGTCCCGGGCAGCAAGTAGTTCATCCGCAACGCCCTCTCTTCGTGCAAGTCAGCGAGTATTCTCCAAAGCAATGCAGACATGACAATAATCCGAACTTACTTCCGCAGCAGCTCATTTGGATTGTCGCTGGAAAGCTTGGGCATCAGTTCTGGGTTCAGTAGCTGCTGAGTCCTTGAAGGTCGCGGGACGTATGGGCGCTCTTGCGCGGATGCCTTGCAATCAAAGCTATAGTGTCGTGGATTGGAGTCAGCGAAATGTCCGAATGACAAGGGAAAGAGTGCACATATCTCGTCCGAGGCATTTTTGGCACAGTGTGGTCGCGGTGGCCTTGTTTGAGTTGGAGCCGCCGAGCTTCGGGGCGTTTCGATATCGGTTCATTGGAGCTCGTGATGTTGTAGATTCTTGTGGAATACTAGACTATAGGGTACTTGAGGATTGAAACAGGAATATCAACATGCCCAATATCAAAAACAAAGGTAAAATGCGACGTAAAGCTAATCGGCGCAAATTGGCGGCCGTTGACCTCTGAAGCCGAAGGGAAATTGTAGGCGCGCGCCAAGGGCGGTCGGGCGCGGCATAATGCCCACGAATCTTCAGGCAATCAAGAAGTCAGAATTCGGATTTCCAACGCTCCTTCTCGATCTCGGAGTTCATTGTCAACTTTCACATCATCCATCTCGGACGGATGATCTAGAGTTGATCGGCTCTTCAAATATCCAGCGGATCTGGAGAATTTCCTCAAAATCCAGTACGAGGTCTTCTCCCTGACGATGAGCCAGCTTTGATATCATGTAAGGCGTTATTATCTGATCTCCCTAGATCCTCTGCTCCATTGAAGTGGATATTCCCTTCATGAAGCCTACAGATCTCCTTGTATTTCACCGTGCATGGTGCTAATGCGCCTTTCCCACAGTTTTCTCCATGGCGACTGCCCTACCCCAGAGATATGTCTTTCGTTTTGGGCTTGTGTGAAACGAAATTACGCAGCGACTTTACTTTCAATCAAACAAACTTCGACCTCCTTCACATTTGCAAATCCAAAGCGTGCTGAGTGCGGCCGCTGCTTGATTTGATCTCGGGTTCTTTTTTTTTGAAATTTCAACAGTTTCAGCGATTATCTCGCGGAGTATTGTCATGGCATCAAAAAGTCCCCCCGGTGGAGACTGTCCTCTCTCCTTTGCAAAGGTAAGTCAATATTTCGTTCCACCGCCTCATGGCTCGTCGCTAATTCCATGTCTAGATTGCCGCTATGCCCGCACCCCACAACCCACATTCTTCCTCGGTATCTGATGAAAACGAAATATGCCAGCCAGCAGAACAATCACCCTGCTCAGAAGCAAATGGCTCCGGTGCAGCTTTGCCCAGCCAGCATAATCTCGATAAAACGCCAGAGGCTAGTTCGATTGATCTAGCTGTTGACGATCTAGGGAAAGGCGTACAAGATATTGGCCTCGCCTTGAAGAAGCACAATGATGGCTCAACTTCCTTCATTGGTGGCCAAAATAATGGCCTGCTCAAGCGGGAGAACTCTTTTGAAGATGATCGCACTCATCTTTCCACCTCATCCACAAAAATGACCAACTTCGATTCCAAGAGCCTTGCCTCGGTGACGACATTCGCAATGGATGAAAAGGACTCTGTACGCCCCGATGACAGCGCTAGTGTCCAAGCCATTGATGAGGAGGAGTCACTTTCCGGAATTGCTTCTGGGGCTCCAAACTCTGTGGCAGGCTCCGAAGCTGGTAGTCGCGTGTTTCGCGAGCAGTATCGAGATGGTATCCCTACACGCCCACGCGGCATTTTGCCCGTTCCCCCCCTCTTTGACGGTACCCAGCCGGTGAATGGTGCAATCCCCCCAGGTTCAGTCGCAAATCATTTCGTGATTCCAGCCAACTCCGATGGCATTGAAGATGGTCAGATCTTACATGGGTTTCCCCTAGAGCCTGATGAAAAACTTTTAGAGGCAATGAAATCGCCGAAAGATCGTCTCCTGATCCTGCAACTGGAGGAAAAGATTCGGTACTTCATCAAGGACTGCAATGAGCAATCCCTGGAGTTGCCCCCCTCGAACGCGTTTGGCCGACTTCTTGCACATAAACTGGGTGATTACTATCACTTAACACATTTTGTCGACAATAATGTGACATCAGTCAGGCTTCATCGAACACCGTTCTGCCGGCTACCCACTCCCCTGTCTGCTGTGCATGCTTCCTGCCATAGTACTCCACCCCCAGTTGTTCCAGCAATGAAAATCATGCGCCGAAACGATGGAGGGCAATTTGAAGGAAGTATAGGAGGCTCGTCAAACCCTTCAAAAGCCAACTCGGAAGATGGCGATAGTGGACCAGATGGCGAACGCCACGGATCTTCATCTGGCGCTACACCCGCTAAAGATCGAATGGCTTTGACGAGGGAGGAACGGGAAGCAAAGTATCATGAGGTTCGTGAACGAATCTTCCGTGATTTCCCCGACAGTGCCAAATCAGACCCGGCCAGCGGTGACTCGAATCCCAATATGTCGCGCTCCAGCTCAACGAACGGCCGCAAGAAGACCCAGAGGCAGAGAACTCCTCATGATGACAGCTTTGAGGTTCGTTCGCAGTTCAACACCTACTATCTAGGTATGCAATATGGACATGGTGCTGCTCCGTACAATGCCCCTGTAAATGACAGCTCATACCCAAACCAAGTCCCTTACTTGGTCGGACCTGGCGTGCCGCCACCCTCTATCGGTTACATGCCATCCGGTCAGAATGGGGCCGTCTACCCTGGACAGCCGAGCATGAACATGAACGGTGTTTCTCAATATCCAGTGGCAATGTCGCCCCAGATGGCCTCCAATGGTCCGTGGCAGGGAAATATGCCACAGCAGTCCCCATATTCTGGGTACTCTTCGATGAACCAGCAGGGGATGATAAACCAGCCATCCTCAAACGCGTCTTCGCCCGCAATGAACAACTTTGCTGTGCCCAATGTGGCACCATATCAACAAACCCCCACTTGGAACTCGCCTCCTTTTCCCACAACGTTCCAGCAGTCCCCGCACCAGCGGAATGGACCGCCTGTCCACTGGCCGAACTATCCTCAGCAGCCAATGCCTTCCAGTATGCCATCTAACATGAACTCCAACGTGAGCTCCAATGTGCCATCCAATATGGGCGCATATCCTTATGCTCAATATCCGGGGCAACATATGAATCCCGGTCTCCAAAATCCGGCCGGGTCCCATGCAGCAATGCAAGCAGGATATGCCAGGTCCCACTTCAACCCCCAGACACGCTCATTCATCCCCGGCGGTGCTCCTCCCGGGCGTCACCCGAACAAAGGTCAACACACAATGCAGCCGTATGGCAACATCCAACCTAGTATCCAATCGCAATGGCAGGGGTATCCGGAACCTATCCCCAACCGGCCCATGGACGCAGCCCCGGCTATGATCCCCAATCGAGTGCCTACCGGTCCCCGAGACTCGATTGCGAAATGGGGCACGCCAGCTCATCTTCCTCCCAAACCCCCGCCATCGGAAGTTCCCTCCGACTTTGACCTGAAAAACCGACCTGCTCCAGCCTCGGTTCCAGCACCAACATACAGCAGCAATGGAATTCCAACCGTAAGCAATCGACCACTTGTGGTCTCAGGGGGCACAACTGTTTCTAAGCAGAACTAAAAGCTTGATGGTTTGGTCGCATTTGTACTATTTGTGGTGTATCTGCGTGTGATGTGGTCCCTGGGCCTTTGGAAATTGAGATATGAACTATTGTCCCGTAGTATATGGGATAGCTTCGTCTGTCCACATGCGGCAGCTGTGTTCCAAGGTTTACATGTACAGCAATACAATGCATGACGATCCGGGCTCTTGTGCCTGTGCCTCCTCGCTCTTAGCTAGTCCTGAACCTGCATGTTCAAGTGGTTTTTTCTTGCCTATACGATGTCCAGCGAGGATAATTAGAACGGGTATCTAGGCTTGCGAGAAACAACAATAAAAGCAACGTCTCTATCGTGATCGCTCAGTCTGTATATAAGTTTTCAGGGGTTTCAAAATAGCTTCTTAATCACGCCAGGTCGATTCAGTCAAATCATCGAAGTTGTCAAGACCTAATTCAGATAGCCCAGCCTCATCGACTTCTTCTAACAAAGCACATCCAGTCAATGTTCCGTCATCACAACAGGCACTATAATAATAGCCAAAAGAATCGCAATACTTACACCCCAAATAGACCAATTTCGACGGGATTTCCGCTTCCGCTGCACGGGTGTACTAAGATCAGAACCCCCGTCCTCGTCTGCTTGCTTGTGATCGATTTCGACGGCTTCCTTCGACCAGTCTATTGACTCCAAGGGTGCAATCCTGGCTATCTACCTGCAATGAGCAGTCGCCGTCATTGCGCTCAATGGGATTTGGAGGCGCTGTGGCTTCTTTCTGGGTGTCGGTTGTAGGTGGTGGGATTCGGTGGGTATTTTCGCCAGTCGTACGGTTGACTGTACACTAATCTCAAGAGCTGAAGTCTCTCTTTGGATGGGCTTTTCTCTACTGGGTTCGATTGTTAGCCAGATGGTCTATGCAGATCAAGGATTGATATCGCATACTTGTGAACATTTGAGGGGATTCAGATTGGTAAGAAGTATATTAGTATGAGTTACAATTTTCATTCTATCAAGTCGAGGCTTAATAAAGCAGGTTCGAGTGAATGGAGGCTTTTGTGTAGATCTTTAGTCCCCTGGTTGGCCTGATATCAGGGTCTGTCAGCCTGCTCTGCCTATGTTGAGACTGGAAATAAGCGAGATACTTGCAAAAGGTCTCCATTTTCTGGCTATAGTTGAATCACAGGATGCAAAATTGTCTATCTAGATACCGAGGCTTCTCTGGTGTCTGTCTCATTTCCTCGCCATGTCTTCCCATAGTAGATGCAACATGGATTTCTCCCTTCTCGTCTATGCTTCGCTTTCCTGAGAAGTCCGCAATATAAATGCGCCTCATTCAAAGCATCCATGCTATCATACTCTTCACACCAATACTTTTTGACGATAAGGCCACGGAAAAGGTCATCCGTAGAAACGATTCGAGAGTTGGCCAAGGTGTATGAGGCCGATTGAAGGGGCAATTATTATGAACGTGTCAAGTAGAGATTGAGTAGATGATCCACCCAAATTGAAAGATCTCAATCTTAGCAGTCACCTCGCTCTCGCATACGGTATCCATTTGAACCGTGGGTGGTAACAAGGTAGACTCGCTCAAGTTCGTAAACTTCAGTTCATCTTGAATACCCAAGGTGTTGCTGAGATACAGTTTATCTACAAACACCCTGTAGGAGTGAATTTGTGACAAAATCTTGATGAGGGAGGGAATCCAATTTGTCTTGAAGGACTCTTCTGGCTCCGGGTGTGTAGTGAGGTAAGTCTCAAGATTGTGTTTTTTTCGCGTAGACCAACCCACTCGTAAATTTAGAAGGGCATGTGGGCAGCATGATTCCTTCATTGCCGCCCAAGCGTTCGTGGACCTGTATCTCATGTCCCAAGAAGTCATAATACTCATCGGATATCATGGGGGTTCAGGCTATCGCGAGCATCTTCCATGATTTCGGTATCTGGGTCTATATGAAGGAGGTCAAAAAGGTCCTCATAGTCGGCGACGATGCAAGCACTTGCAATAGCGGGCTTCATGATCGGTTGACGCCGGAATGGTTCTCGGAGTACCGACTTTCGTGGGGCAGATAGGTACTAGATTAGATATGGTAGTTCTTTTTTTGGGGGTAACTGGGGTGATGCAGGATAAATCACCATTTATGATAAAGCGGGCATTGATAGTAGCCTTGATGCCACTGCACTGGAAGAGGGAGGAGGCTTGGAGCGAGCATCACATGGTAAATACTGTGTTGTTGTATATGCCTCGTATCAAACACTCAAATTCCTGGCGGACCGTGTTGGGTCGTCGACATTACCGTAGAACGCTGCAGTGAGAATCAGAAGGTCTTTGTCAAGAGTCGGAAGGTCGGCTGAAAGTCGATTGTAGAGCATTAGCAAGATACCCTCATCTTTGATGGGGAAAAGTGTAACTCGGGGTCCATGTCAAACTCATTCACACGCCGGTCTTCGCATATGATTAATTCTCTGACTGAGCTTAGAAAACAAGCTTTAGAAGCATTTATATAATGACAAGAGTAGACGGCCGCTTATGCGGTCTTATGATATCTTTCTTACAGGGCTGTGAAATGGTCTTCTCAGCGGTCCTCTCAATGGGGTTCTCACTGGGTTTCCCATCCATTATTATATATCTTCAAGACAGTTCTCCCTTCTTTCGGTCTTATGGGTAGACAGTAGAAAAAGGTAGGAAAAGCATACTTTGTGCAAGAGACCTTCCTATGTGTAACTTCTGACTTAACACAACTATTAAGTTGTTATATAGAGGGTCCTAAACCTACTATATACTAAATACCACTATTGTATATATACAATCAAATTTCTTAAAGATACAGAGAAAAAAATACACAAACAATCAAGTCACGAGGTCAAGGAAATCTACTTACTAAAAAGGCCCACGGGCGCCCACGGCGCCCATAGCCCGTGGGCCCTAAGGGTAGGGCCCGTCCATAGGGTCCATTTCCCGCTTATATAAGGCCTGTGTGCAATGCCCGCTCGTCCATGGGCGATGTTGCAGTCTAATAATAAGGGAGCCCTCGCCCTACGCCGCAGGAGTGATCTGCTGTTTGTCATTGTTCGCATATGGCTTTATACTAGTTCTGGCGAAGGTGAAGGGAGAGCCACTGGGTAGGAGATGGGCAGATTTACCATTCCATCAGAAAGAGTTTGTCTATCAGCAGGTTTAGCCGCTGTGAATGCTCTTCGGGTCGTCGGAATTGTCTGGACGGAACCCGGTCCGCACAACGTTCCTTGCCACCAGGATGACGCTGATCCTTTTGTGTCTGTCATGGACTTCGAATGCATCGAGTTGTGTGACAGGGAAGCAGTTGTAGCCAAACCGGGGATGACGGCTGTATTTGGACCCGAGGCAGTTCAGCAGAGAAATAACTGAACATATCCAGGAGGCTAAGGGCTGGCGGACGAAGGTAATGAGCCGAAGGACCACAGTGAATGGATATTCGCTAGCTTAAGGGAACTGTTGTGGGGGATGCAAAAAGAGATGTACTTTTTAGGAGCTAGCCAACGGCAATACATGGAATAAAGGCGGTTAGGGCTTTGTCCTATGATTAGTATGCCCGCTTCGAAGGCCTACCAACTACTATTTTCTCAATCTTTGGTGCACTGATTGGAGTCAGAGCGGAGATGTGCTTGACACGCGCTGCTGAGGCAAGACGTGGTATGTCAGAGAAGGAAACTTCAGTATTTGAAAAATCCGTCCAAGCGCGCATGTAAAGTGTAAAATCGGTGCAGCAAAGGCCATGCAAGGCCTAGATATACTTAGCAGTACTGCTAGTAGCTAGGGTTGACTGATGTTATGTGACTTGAAAGAAATAAAGCCTTGTCATTTGTCGAGTTGGTAAAAGGCAGAGGGAGGATTCAGGGAGCACAAAAGCTATCAATTGAGGAGATCACCATTCAATATGACCTTGAATTCTCATATGCATAAACCTCTGACCAAATTATAGACCATGAAACGAAGAAGCAGCAATTAGACCGACCTTCTATATTCACATTCAGTTCCCCAGCCCTCAGTCTATACATTCAAGTCCCATCTGATGTCAACACTCGACTGTCTCATGCAATATACGGATTCGAAGGCTGCTCATAGTGGGGCTTATAATGACGAGTCCCAAATATCACAGAAGGAACAATAATAACAACAAGAAGGATAACAGTAGCAAAAACTGAACCAGCGATAATCCACTCTCGCCGACGATATCTCTGACGTCTGACCGTCTCTGTCACTGACTGAGACTCCGGATCTTGTTTTTCATCTGCAGCAGACTGGCGTCCACTCGCATTTGTCTCGTTTTTGTCTGTAGCTGGAGCTGAAGCTCCAACTCCGGCCTCAACTTGCTTCTCTGTGTGTTTGTCATCGGCAAATTGATTGAGCTCCAGGTTGCAGTTTCGATCGCTGAACTCTAGTGTGCAGTCCCGGTTATCGACTTCCAGGGTACTGTCCTTGTTCATGCTGTGTTCGACGTTTGGTCGGGGTGAGACTGCGACTTCTTTGTGCGTGTCGGCATGTAGAGGGCTTGGAGCATTCTGTCGGAGCGGGTTCTGTGTTTCAATTGACACTTCTTTTGACACTTTTTCCATCCTGAGTAGATGTTCTTGTTATGTTTTCCCTACCGGTGGGAGATTAGCACATGTTGGACCATGGAGAGTTTAGTTCGAGATATCGGGCATCACCTACTTCAAAGAACAAAGTTGCGATGTCTTAGGACTGGGTATTGAATACTGGATAGCAGAAAGTAAAACTTTATATTGTTTGATTCGGGCACAGATCCTGCTGAGCACTGGGGTTTGGTAGAGAGGGAGATTGAGGCTTTGAATATCTCTCAGGAATGAGCTGTGTGGATGAATAAATGATCCCTTGGACAAACTGGTAACAACATGCGCTCGGATCATACGCTAGAGAGTTCAACTATTGATGATTCTGCATTTGAATCTTATTGTCCCTTGATTACAATTGCCGTGTCCGGGTGGCACTAGTCTAGTACGTCGGGGCTGCAGTTGATATATCAGATCCTATCAACCGCCCAGGATGAGGTGTTGAGAATCTGCAAAAAAAGTTTGATCGCTACTGCATAGATTAGGTAATGGATGAATTTTGAAAATGGCAACTTCAAGTCAAATTGCTGGAGATTTTATTCCGATTGAGATGGTTGTAGGTTCCTCAAAATATATTTATCCAACGTTACTCTCACGCCCGCAACCCAACCACCAAATCAAGGGAAAAATATCCAGTATTGATATCGATGCAATCAAGGTATCCATTAATTGCGGTGAGCATTTCATCTGATCTACATTGCATGTCATGGCGTTTCTGTGAAGATTGTTGAGATCTATATATTAAGGCCTGGATCGACAGGCATCAATATCAGATGCCGGTTCCCAATGTCTGTCTAATATGGATGGGTGTTCGTTGACAGCTTCCTTGATCATGATATGCTGTCTATCAAGGCTGTGATTAAGTTCCATATCTAATCCCGGGAAAGTATATTATACTATGGCGGCCCTTCTCCAGAATGACTCGACATAGGCCTTTACCCAAAGCTAACGAACAAACAAAATGCGAATAAAGAGGTATCAAAATCTTTTATACAGAGGCTATGTCACATGCGCGAGTGCAAACGAAGACGGAGATGCCATAATGAACAGGAAGAAGACAAAACTCCTGGTAAGAAAACAAGTAAAGAACAATGGAGTAAACCCCGGAGACCAAGCATAAAGGTGTCAACGTCGACAACTCTCATCAAGTCTAGGAGAAAATATCTCCCAGGCAGCTCCCAGAGCTCATCCCCAGGTCGAGAATCCCGAAATGAAACCCCCACAAAAGAGAGCTAGCACTCCCCACATCTAATCCCTCGACTCGACCTCAGCATCCTTCTTAGCATTCTGCTTCTTGGCAAGACTGAGCTTGGAAATCGCGTCCTCCAAAACCTCAACACCATTCTTGCGGAATTGCGTGACCTTCTTCACATTCAACCTCGTGAGCGAGTGCACGAGATCCCGGCCCTGCTCGCGCTCGCGTGCCACCGTACGCGCCGTCATAGCAAAACGAATGTCCTTTGGCCCATCGACAAGCTCGAGGATGGCGGAGGGAGCCTTGACTTGGGGTTTAGGCTCTCGGACGGCATTCTTGACACCCTTTTTGGGAGAATAGTACTCGTTCTTTTCGCGGGGTTCGATGCGGAGGACTCGTGTATAACCACCTGGCCGATCTGCGTAACGCTCGCGGAGGGGACCGAAGAGTTTGGGGAGCATTTCGTGTGGTGTCTAGGCAATGTTAGTGTTGTCATTGGATTGTTGATTTTTTTTCTTTTTCTTTTGGGTTGATGGACTGAGAATTGTAGTGATAGATCACGGATTTGGTAAACCCGTGGTTTCTCGTGACTAGACTAATTCCCGTCTTGATTGCATCGGGGTGGGTTTGTTCGGGAATTCAACATACGTAAAAAATCTCCAATGCTCGTCGCCGACTGGCTTCGGTGTTCTTCTTGCCCAAAGTAATCAACTTCTCGGCCAATCGCTGGGCCTCTTTGGCCTTTGGCCATGTTGTGGTGATTGACTCATGCTCAAAGAGGGAGGTCACCAGGTTTCGGAGCAGGGCCTGTCGATGCGCGGAGTCGCGGCTCAAGTGACGGTATCTGCTTCCACCGCCGGCCATAGTGAGGATTATTCAGGGAGAGGAGAGGAGGTAGAAAAAGGCCGAGTTATCAAAAGTAGAGTGGGAATCGCGAGGTCAATGGCCAAACTAAGGTGTTCCTGAAGACGAAGGAGAGAGGATGTTCGGCCCAGAAGAATTGTCTTGGCCAATCGGAGCGCTTCCACCGTCTGTCCGACTTCAGTTTTCCGCGTTCACTCTGCTTGTTCGAGGACATTCAGCTTTTCGAATACAATTCAGCTGAGCTTGTTGATCGGAATAGAATATCTATCATCGTGAAACGCTTCTGCAACTTTTCGCATTTTCCATTCACCCCTAGGATTAAATTCGCAATCCGGCGACTCCAAATACCACAACAAATATGGGCTTCTTCACGGGCTTTGTACGATTCCCCCCCGAGTTTATACCAGGAAACAATGACTAATTCAATGTATCCTCGGATAGGTCGGCGGCTTTGCTTTTACCTCATCTGTTCTCTACATCACCATCCAAGTCCACCGTTCAACACGCATATCACAACGCAAAGCCATCCATGCGCAAGTCGAGCAAATAGACTGGTTGACTGCCTCAGCTGGTGCCTATGACCGGCGGTTCCTACCACCAGACATATCAAGACAGCAGTGTGAAGAACTGGAAGCGCAGAAACTAGCCGAGCCGACTATGAAGGAGATACTCAAACATAGATGGAATAAGGAAGTGGAAGTCTTGGCAAGGAAGGCTTATGAGACGAGATGGGAGGATGTGAGAGAAGCTGCTTCAGAAGGCTGGAGAGCTGCTGTGCGAGTAGTGAAACGGGACTGAAAGATCGTCTATGGGACTAGAGCAAAGACTTGGCTTGGAAGGATCTTTGGATGTATCATCATGTCTACTCGTTTGGGTTTGTATTTGAGCACTGGAGTTTGGATACCCTTGATTTCATTATGGCATAATTTACATGCATTAGTAGAAAAAACAGTTGACCATTATGCGGCCTTGTTGTGTATTTCCAGTGGTCTTTTTAGACCTTCTGTTTAGAGGTCTTTTATCAGATGATTGTAAAGGTACCATTCGTGATAATGGCTTTTCCATGCATAAGCCGGATATAATTCCCCGTGGTGAATATTGTAAATGCGTCCAGCGCATTCCCAGACAGGATGGAGATATCAATACGGTGCAGCAAGACTCGGTTACCATCCGGTCAATCCTGGACTTTCGCACTAGCCCGCTAGAATGTGAATTAGTGAAATAAATGCAGCAAAGGTCGTGCTACAGCTGAGTTGACTGACACACTCAGTAATTCAACTTGTATGGGTTGATGACGGCGCACTTGTTGTGGCACTCTCCGAATCACTCCAGATATCCTTGCTTTCCCGCTCAACGGCGCGCATAGCCTGAGCTACCTCCTCCAATTTAGCAACAACATCTAAAACGCCCTGGTTGACACGATCAAAGTACCGGTCATTGGCCTCGCGGCGCTTTCGCGCAAGACTAATGTCTTTCTCAGTCTCCTCGTCCAGTGTGCGGTGCAACACCGAGCCGTGGCCTGCGCTACTCTCCATCACTGCATCATGTTGTTGGTTCGATTCTCCAATACCTCCCCGCGCTGAGCTAGTTTTCCCACTGGCTCTATCGGCACCGCTGTGGCCAGGATCCACAACTTCATCGTCTGCCTCGCTGCGGGCCCAGGCTTGAGCGAGCTTCAACTGTTTCATGCGTAGATCTTCCAACGCTTCAGAGTGCTTTGCACCGAAGACATTTTCGCTCGTCACGGCGCTGAGTTCAACTTCTGACAGGGCACTCTGCATTTCCTGCCAGATGGCGTCGGATCCATCTACATCATTTTTGGAGGGGCGGCGCGATATTAAAGGTGATAACAAGCTTGCCTTCTCAGGGGTTTCACCCTCGGCGAGAGCTGACCGATTCCGATGCAGAGGTGAAGGTTGGCTGCCGGAGGCGGTTGTTAATGATGAGCCTGTAGGTGGTACGGATAATGAGATATTAGAGGCATTGTGTGATGGTGGACCCTGAAAAAGGGCTGGGGGAGGTAGGCGCTGAGTATTCGAGTTTGTGGGTTTTCTTGACAGATCCATCTTCAACAAATGCTAGAGAGAGCAACAGACATGGAGCGTCCGAATGGGGTTGATGATGGAGCTGATAACCTTATCGTTATCAGAATGCTGACATAATCAGAGGTGGGGGCTACGGCTGTCCCGTGACTCGCTTAGGGCTAAGCGCACAAAGTCACCTGAGGTGCATCCAAAGCGTGTGGTAAGGGAAATCCGGAACTCTTCGACTTTTCGACAATCGACCCTCAGCCCCTTTGGCCGACAACACCCCTCCCAGTCGGTACGTATTCGATATCCTGCTGTTTCCCCTGCATTGTTTGTGCTTTTCCGAAATATTTCATTCGTGGTTCTGCGAGATCCTTCAACAATCGCATCCATTTCTACGCACAAAAACTCGGCCTCCACCAAACACGAACACGCATCGAAAATACCCACAACCAGCACAATCTACCGTTCCACTCGACACGACGCTAACTATTTTTCTTCGTTCAGTTGACCGTCGAACACATAATCCGCCAACATGGGTAAAGGACAACCCCGTGGTTTGAACGCCGCCCGCAAGCTCCAGGCGCACCGCAAGGATCAGCGCTGGGCTGATGACCACTTCAAGAAGCGTCTTCTCGGAACCGCCTACAAGTCTTCTCCCTTCGGTGGTGCTTCCCACGCCAAGGGTATCGTCCTTGAGAAGGTCGGTGTTGAGGCCAAGCAGCCCAACTCCGCTATTCGCAAGTGTGTCAAGGTCCAGCTCATCAAGAACGGAAAGAAGGTCGCTGCTTTCGGTGGGTTACCCCTTCTCTACTGTTATCGTCATCAATGTGTTGGAAAGGTCTATACGAGTTGGAATCACGACAAGATGGAAACTGCCACACAGCTACTACAAGACATTTGCTAACTAGGATGTTTTCACAGTCCCCAATGACGGTTGCTTGAACTTCATCGATGAGAACGACGAGGTCCTGCTCGCCGGTTTCGGTCGCAAGGGTAAGGCCAAGGGTGATATTCCCGGTGTCCGTTTCAAGGTCGTCAAGGTCTCCGGTGTCGGTCTCGCCGCTCTGTGGAAGGAGAAGAAGGAGAAGCCCCGCTCTTAAACAACTCGACGCGTTCTGTTCGAAATCAAAAATGCAGCGACCGGGAGCCTTGGAGTGTGGGAACGGTGCCGGACGGAAAGCCCGCCTCATCAGCGCCTTGATTTCATGAGATATTTTCTTTTTGGGGAGTCCCCCGGCGGGCTTTCGTCCGGAATGTGGTGGATCCGCTTATTTGCGAATTAAACACGATTGATACAACCTCCAAAAGATTATGGCGCCATGACTTTCTATCTCTTTCCCGGGTTTCTGACCTTCCCGTATACTCCCACTTGGTTCCTGGATTCTTGCTAGAGTTGTCTCTTAGGGATGCGGAGTAAAGCGTAGGATATGATAGTGATGTGAATACAGCATTCTTGAACATGATATGATCTGACCATCAAGCTGTCTGGGTATATAAGCCGGTCTCGTTTGCTGATGTGGAGTTGTCTATGGGGTTTTGATCCGTACAGACATGTCTATCCCATGCTTCTAGACCCTTGGGTGCATTTCTTCACAAGGTCGTTATGGGATAAGTCATCCACATGTGGAGTGGTCTATAATTGCAATGACCCATTGCAAGTTAATTGTCATGGATTCTGACTTTGCACGGATATGATTATATATCTGTATGTATATCTAACCCATGCCTTTTCCCGTCATCATAGGCTTGAATACCTCACAATGTAGGCCTCGCTCTTGCTCGAATCAGTCGGTTTACATCGGCAAGGAGACACCCAAAGTTCAGGACATGAAGGTATGTTGCCTTCCTGGTCTTCTGCGCAGTGATGATAAAGCTTGTGGGCAGTGAGAGAACGCAGGAAGAGATATAAACAAGAGAATGAGATGTAATTGTGACTTATATACTGGAATGCGATTTTATAGATGTAGATATATATCTACACTCTTCATGGTGCATGACGATTCTGCATTCAGTCCATTGATATGATAGACATGTTAGATTGTACTGCTACTAGTGCTCAACCATATCCATATACCAGGCGAAGCTCAGTACAAAGTTTACTAGACATGTGCAAGAGGATCTCATGTAATAGCTGGCACAGCGCTTTCTATATATTGGCGAAAGTGAAAAGAAATTTAGTTATTTTATTCATTACTTCTGCGTATCAATCGTCAAAGTAATTCCTCGGGTATCGTTCGTGCAAATGTCCCTCAAATGATTTTTTGTTGATTTTGATGAGCTGTTTGACACAATTGCCTAAGCCAACCACCAGCTTAGAAGCTGATATCTTCTTTGCGGTAGTGATCCGAAACAATGCGGTAAAGGTATGATGGGGCATGGCCGCCGCTGAAGTAGGGAAAGCAAGGTTAGCATTATGAAAAGAGATCAGCGAGTAGAATGAGTGCATAAAACTTACATGTTAGTGATGTAAAGATCGACGAGCTCTGCGGGAACGTAGTCATAGATGGGGTTTTGGACATCGACCAAGTCGACGAGATCACCTTCCTCGTATGAGAGAACCTTACTCGGGTCACCGTATTCAATGAGCGAGTCGAAGTCGAATGGATAGACAGGGCTGAGCTTGTAAACACCGCTCACGACCACGACGGGGGTCTGGTGGACCTTGGCGGCACGGGCGATGACACGGGTGCCAGCTGCGGCGACGAGGCCGCCGTTGGCAAGGACGGAGTGTGTTCCGAGGATGACCTTATTGACTCGGGACATGATAGCGAAGACGGCAGAGTCTGGAATGAGGATGACGGTGATGCCATGTTCGATCAGTGGCTTCTGGAAAGCTTCTAAGCCAAGGTTGTCATCATCGCTAGCGCTACCACTGACGGTGGCATGTGTAGCCTCGTGGTTATTCGGGTACGACTCGGCGTGAATGACGGTGAACTTTCGCTTTGTTGCGGCTTTCAGCAGGAACTTTTGAACGGTGGTCGAGGATGTGTGGGTGAGGATGATTTCGTTGGAGTGAATGTGGTCCAATGCATAGGCGGCGATCTGATCATCCACCTGGCCAAGCTCATCAATGATCTCGCCAATACCCTCGAGCACTTCAGCCCGTACGTCTTTGGTTGGGCCGTGGCCAAGGAGCCGTCCGGTTGGAGAGGAAGTACCCGGAGTACTGGGAAGTGAGTGCTCGGGTTCGGGATGGGAGAGAAGACTGAACATAGAGGTCAGAGGAGGGCGAGAGGATCTATCATCGGGCCGGATGGAGGGCGAGTCACGATCCAAAGGCAATGCTGGATCTATCAACATATGAGTCACCGCTGCGTAGATATTTGGACCAGGAGTTGGGACTCACCGTCGTAAGCTCGGGGTGTTTGTGGCTGACTTTCGGAACCAATGTCGCTAAGAGCGAACTCTGCCTCACGATCATCTTCCGCTTCGTCACGAATAAGACCCAGAACCCGGCGCACGATATTGCCCACAACCATCTCGCGCGGTTGCGCGGCCATCAGTCGCCTGCCCACACTCTGCACTCGCTCAATAAGCCTTGCTGAATCTGTTGTGCGACATGCAGAGATCACACTCCGTAGCAGATAGGCGGTTGCTGTGGCACATGATCGCGAATGGCGAATTTGGCGTCGCTTGAGCAATCTGATTGAAATATACTAGATTAGCAAGTTCAATCGTCGGCGCGGGTAGCCGCCATGGAATTCTTGAGATACGCACGAAATCAGTGTCTCAATAGAAGTATCAATCGGGTTTGTCTTGAGGCACTTGAGGAATGACCCCAGGCCCGGCGTGAGGGCCAACGAAGAAGACGGCATGAGGAAGTGGGATGTTTGGAGGAAATCTGCATAGTGTCAGCAGGGTTCGAGCAATCGAAAGTGTGTGGTATTCGTGTAATGAACATACCAAGTTTCAGATCCAAATCACACTAAGCATGTAAATAGAAAGGGTTGATCAGATTCTCAGATTCTCACAGAGCCAGAGATAGTGGGAGGAGACAAAGAATGATTTTCTGCCGTTTGACCTTGTCCGCTTCCCCACACTCATTGATCACTCTATTGTCTCGGCTTCGGTTGTCCTATTGGTGTTCGTTCAGATTTCGTATTTCTATTAATTCATTTCCGGCTTTGAGTTGCTTTCAACTTTGAGCTTGTGGTATAAATCCGATTTGGAGTTGCGGAAGTACTTCCGAGGCACGGGTGACTGGCGCATTGAGGTTAGAACAGCTTACGCCTCCCTGCGATCCCCCTCTTTCTTCAGCCATATTACATCCTACATTATCTCATGGATCGCTCTAAGTGGGTTTGATGATTTGCTTACGATTCATTTGTCAATAGATCGCTGCGCCCCCGTCTCCCGTGACGCCTTGAGGGAAGATGAACTCGCTGAATATCCTGTCCTCGCGAGTCATTGGCCAATCTGCCAACTCTTCACGCCATAGATCGCAATCTCAAGGCGATAGCAAACGTGAACCTCTACCGGCCGATTTCTCGAAGCTCCGGTCTTATAGTGAGGATAACTTTCGGTCTCTCGAACCCACTGAGAAGAGCTATGATGGCGGACCACCGCCTGTGGACGAACATGAAGAGGGGGATGCGGCATATGACTTAGACGAGAAGACACCGTTATTACATGAAGCTCAAAAGAATGGCACGCTCACTGCTCGAAGTACTTGGCGACTAATAACCCAACGATTTTTTGATGCGATCACGGAAACCCTCAAGTTCATTCTGTCTACATTTGCTGCACCTGGTGTGTATTTGGCTCAATGGTTTCAGGCGGACGATGGTCGCTATTCGCTTCTTGCACCTGTCCGGAAAATGCGGCGCTCATCTGCCGCCCCAACGATCCGGTCGGATAAGGGGGCCACCCGGATAGAAGGTCGGCGTCGCAGTGGCTCCACCCGGAAGCTCCGACCTCAAGGCTCTCACGAATCCATTGTATCAACAACGTCAGAGTCCGAAACAGATCGACGGCATATCAAAAATCTCTCAAGCGGGAAGAGTCGACCTACCAAGACAAAGAGCCACGATACAGGCCCAATCCTAGAAGGGGAAGAGCATGAGCACACGCCCCGACGGTCTATACGAATCAAGCTCCATAATGAAGAATCTCTCAAGCGGCAGAGACATCGAAGATCCCAAAGTTCAGACTTAGGACATCCAATGCCCGAGGGTGTCTCTCGAGTCCAGGGTGCTGTCCCCCTGGATAGCTTGAAGTCTCCAACCTCTCCCAACATCCACCGCATAACAAAGTACCCACACTCTCCAACTCCGCCGCGCCCACTCCTCCCGCCACGAGTACCGTCATATACAGCAGCTCCCCGCAATGCTAAACCCCCGCAGAAGACCTTGGTGTTGGATCTCGATGAAACCCTAATCCACTCGCTCGCCAAGGGTGGCCGGATGTCTAGCGGTCACATGGTCGAGGTTAAGCTCTCGATACCCACGACTACTTCATTATCCCCGGGCGGACCGCAAACAACGCTGGGCCCTCAGCATCCCATTTTGTACTACGTCCATAAACGACCACACTGCGATGAGTTCCTGCGCAAGGTTAGCAAGTGGTACAAGCTCGTCGTTTTCACGGCCAGTGTTCAAGAGTATGCCGACCCAGTCATCGACTGGCTCGAGTCGGAACGGAAATACTTCCAAGGCCGTTTATACCGACAGCATTGCACATTCCGTAACGGGGCATATATCAAGGACTTGAGCTCAGTAGAACCGGATTTGAGTAAGGTGATGATTCTGGACAACAGCCCGATGAGCTATATCTTCCACGAAGGTAACAATCATGTTTATCCATCATGGCGTGCTCGAACTAATAATATTGCCAGATAATGCCATTCCCATCGAAGGTTGGATTAACGATCCCACGGACAATGGTCTGCTCCACTTGATTCCCATGCTCGAAGGTCTACAATCTGTCACGGATGTCCGGGCCTTATTGGCACTTCGCCGCGGTGAAATTGAGTCATGATCGTTATTTGCATTGGTGTTGACGAGCGCATGTAAATGTATAAGGGTTTTGTGTTTAAGAAGCGATGTCCAACCTTTCAACATGAAAATAGAAAAAAAGAAGACATCGCGGAGCAATGGAGGGATAGGAGATCGATACGATCATGCAAACGCAGTTATTCATAATGGCATTCAGTGTCTCGTTTTGTCGCTAGGAATGGAATGGAGATCCGTACATATATGATCTTGACTTCTCTTCATGAATCTGGATACCTCAGTCAAATTTCGAGAAAGTTTCTGGATTCGTTCGCACTTGAAACCGGAGCTTGTTAAAGATAAATTGGCTCGATGGCTTTCGCGCAAAGCGGACATGCATAAAATAACTTTCTAGCACAAGACACAAGGAGATGATACCCTAATACCCTACTGAAAGCGCCATAACCTTCCCTCCTCTGGTACTTGTCCCATTTACAGGAAGCTCGGTTTCTCCTCCAGTAGTGACATAAAGAACATTGTGATCTTTCCGTGTCCGCCCAAAAGCCGCCGACGTAGCAGTCATCAAATCCGTCGAACCCTTCGAGCCCGCAATAATCTCATGATACCCATTAGGAAAGACCCTAATAACCACATTGTCACGAATTCCCGCCAGATATCCAATTCCATGTGGACCGATAGCAAAGTCATCAGCCATTGTATCATTACTGATAACCTCATAAGGCCCTGAAGCTTGACCGGTATGTGTATCGATTCTCACACGACAGAAAATCCGCTTCGGGGTGTTGCTGTAGTACATATAATCGCCTACTATCTTCAATCCATTGACCCCAAGCAGCAAGCCCATGTCAGTATTTGCGGCCATTGTCTCGTCTTGGTGAATCACGTCATATGTGCCGGAGCGAATATCAAGACGCCATACCCGGCCGAGTTGGGAGTCAGTGATGGCGACTGCGTTTCCTTCGTCTAGAGTAGCGATGCCATTTAGATAGCCAGCGGGAAGTTTCGCGATAAGCGTTGGTTTGGCTGATTCATGACTTCTGAGATCGATTGTCCAAACCGAGTTGGATGCAATCACTGCATAAAGATCTGGTGAAAGCTCGGTGATCCCATCTGCATCTTCGGCGCCGTCAAAGTGGTGGACCAGACGGGCTGAGCTGGGCCCTGATGGGGTAGAAGGGTCAATTTCCCAGAGCTCTGCTGTGCTCAGCACCGCGACTAGGAGATTGCCGTTTGGTCGGACTGCGATATTTTCGAGCCATGTTCCGTTGGGGAATCTGTAGATTTCGCGGAGAATGGGAGAGTGGGCGAGGCATATAGGGTGGATGAATGTAAGGAGTAATATTAGTGAGTTTAAAAGATTAGCCATCTTTCAAGGCTGTGGGGGTCCTTATCCTATACGGAGTAACGGCCGACACTTTGGGTCTTTAACATTCCGTACTGGGAAGCAACAACTTGGTCTCCTTGGAAACCGACTTGTCACATTGTACAAATTGGTAAGCAGAGAGCCCAAACTGGGTAGCAAGCACTGCAGGATAGTTGACCCCAACCCACTTAAGGCTATACAGGCAGCTATAAGTCACTAGTTATGTCGACTTCAAATTTGACCGTCATGATCCAGAACCTGCTTTACTTGTGTCTCATCCCATTCATGTCCAATGAAATCCCCCTTCTATCAATTCATCAAATGTCATAGATATCCACGCTTTACAAATTGCGATCCTATCTAGGCTCCTGCATTATGAAGTCCTCTGATTTAGACTAAAAGGTCCGCAGTCAAACAAATGCTGCCAAGGTTCAGTGCGCGGGTGGATAAGCCCCTTGGCGTCAGCAGCATGCAGCTTGCTCCGTAATACGCTCCGCTCTTGGCTTCTCACCTTGCCTCGACATGTCATTGTACAAGATGCTTGGTAATACACTCTTGGCTGCATTGCTTTTGCAGCGAGGTAGCGCCTCGATTTTACCACCAGCTCTCTAGCCGCTGCAGCCTGCACCCAGATGGAAACCTAGGTATCGAGCAATCTGATCTAGAAAGCGGACACCAGACATCACCAAGAACAAGCGGAATGAGTTCGAGTGGTAGGTGCGGAGTCAGGGAAAGATTGGGGGTGGAGACTATGATCTTATTCGTGGATTACTGATCTAGTGTCGAGCACTATAATAGCGTGGGTTGATGACGCCGATATGCATACTCCGTGTGGTTGGATGTTCTCTCCCTTCGGATTTTGAGGATTTAAGATCTCCATTTATGCTTGCTTACCGAGCGGGTCCAGATGTGATGCGATTGGTGAGCCAAGCTGAGTCACCAATAGCCAAAGGTCCAAAGTCACGATAGGACCCACCGGCTTCAATAGGTAATGCCCTAGGTACCTAGGTGGCAGTCACATAGTTGACCATGACGTACAATAAGCGCCAGAGCTCCAACAGAAGGTCCATCCAGGGGGTTATCCTTGCCGTCCAAGCCATGGATCCTGGCCGTCCTTCACTACTGGAACCTTAGCGCTGTTTTTGTAAGGTTACATCCCACCACAAGCTATCCCCATGGTACAGTTCATTGGGTCTGGGACAAGCGACTAGAAAATTGTGCAAATTTCGACATATACCGAGAGCCCGGGTTTTTGATTTCCTCCAGTTGATATTTCGCTGTGAACAATCTATACCGGAGCTTGAGTATACAACCATGTCAATTCGCAGGCGGACATACCAACGTCGCGCCAAAGACCAAACGTTGCGATTTACAGAAAATGGCACATTCCAAATAACGGTCTTCAATGACTTGCATTTCGCCGAAGGTACGATGAGAGATTCAAGCCACTGTGTCAGGAGACTAACTATATTCCAAGATGAGAAAGCCGACAACAACACCATAGAGGTGATGAACTCCGTTCTATCTTCAGAGAATGTGCAACTCGTGGTACTCAATGGAGATTTGATCTCTGGCGAGGCAACTCAAAGCGCGAACTCTAGCCTCTACGTTGATCGGATTGTGGCACCACTAGTTGACCGTGGTTTACCATGGGCATCGACTTATGGGAATCATGACAGCGAGATTAATCTAGACCCCGAAGAGACGTTTCAACAAGAGACAAAATATGATAACAGCTTAACCCAGCGAAGGGTTCTGAATTCCACTGCCGGCATCACGAACTATTACCTGCCGGTCTTTCCGCATGAGGGGTCGAATGATGATACCCCCACGTTTATATTGTGGTTCTTCGACAGCCAAGGTGGCCATTATACCACAAAGAAGGAAGATGGCAAATCAGGGGCGAGACAGAATTGGGTAGATGACAGTGTAGGTACCCAGTGGTGATGAGACCCTAAGAGACACATTTTTCCATACTTGATACAGAAATTTGAGGTTGAATGAGAATAGACTAACTTGTTACAGGTTATTGAATGGTTTCAAAAAGCCAACGCAAACATAACATCTACCTACGGACAAACAATCCCATCCCTAGCCTTCGTCCATATCCCAGCTCATCCAATGCGCGCACACCAAGTATCTGGCGTGAGCCCAATCAAAGAACCAGGAATCAACGGAGAACGAGTCCAGGAACAAGGCTATGACGCCGAGGCCGGCTACCAATCCCAAGACTTGCCATTTATAAGGGCTTTGCTGAATACCACGGGGCTAGTGGCGACTTTCAGTGGCCATGATCACGATAATGACTGGTACGGACCACATGTTCTCATCTTGTGTTCTCGATTTCGAGTCAAAACGCAAAATGATCTGATTTGACTAATACCGTTTTCTTCTTTTGATAGGTGCTTCAAATGGGATAGTGAGCTATCTGATCTCAATGTTACGGGGAATGGTATGAACATGTGCTATGGTCGGCATACGGGATATGGAGGGTACGGGGATTGGGCGCGTGGTGGAAGACAGATTTTGTTAGACCAACGGTTGCTTGGGGATGATATGCGGACTTGGATCCGGATGGAAGATGGGTCGATTTCAGGTGATATCCATCTCAATGCGACGTACGGCCATGATCGATATGGGTTGGCGCAGAAAAAGGTTGTCAATGGGCAAAATGGTGGCCTTTCTCCTGAAAACTTGAGTATTTTTTCTTTGTGGATATTTGTGTTTTCTGGAGTTATATCTGGGTTTCACTTGTGGTAGATAGATTCGGGTAATTTTCGCAATAGAAGCTGCAAAGGCTCTAAGTCTGTCAAGTCGAGAGACTGGTTGTGGTTCGCCTTCAAGGAATTGTGTGAGCGTGTAGAGTATGTTGTGGTGACACAGTCCAGTTTTCCATGAAGATGACTGACAAGCCCCAAAAAACATCGACTTGGTAGCATGCGAGTAAGGTAGATACTATAGCAAAGCTGTGAAATTCTGGGGTAGTTTTTGGCGTCGATGTAGGGCTGAATGATTGTCAATGAATTGTGTATTGTACCTGCTCGGTTAGTTTAACATGAGTGTTGTTCTCTATCGTGTCAATATAGCCCAGGGGCTGCACGGTGAAGACAAGCAGCCACTCGATAGTTTTTCTCAAACTCACATTCAGCTGTCAATTAGGGCTTATCACTATCGCAACCGTTTTGGGGGTTCCACCTCCTAATCTCACCATTGGGGAGTCCGGGGAGACAAGATTGTCTATTGTACTCCGTATGCAACATAGCATTGTGGCCTGGACATAATGAGTTCCCTGTCTCAGTGGGGTTGCCAAACACAGCCCTGTTGATCGTCGAAGACTCTCCCGGTGACGTCAGCAACCCCTGGGCTCCACACTTGATGCCTCAGGCCTGGATGACCAAATGCGGCCATTTCGACGGAAATCTTTGGACTTGAACATCAGTTGAATATCGCTTGAATTGAGAATCAATATTCCAAAATGATGTTATTCTTCATTCAGACTAACTACATACCTGACATGTACAAATATGCAACATCGCCTACTACTCCATATGTTGGCATATCAAAGCCAAGAGGTCCAAGTTCCATGGTTAGATCCGTGGCATAGCTTGTCTCGCCCTCTTGACACGCGTTTCATGTCTTGGCATATGCGTGGTGACCGAGATAGTGGAGATCTTCTAAGCCCTAACCCATCCAGGGACAGACCCTGTATTATTCGATATACCATGTTGTCGCTTTCACTCATTTGGTTAAAAATATGATTTCGACATATCGACACACATCCTGCCCAACCGAATCGTCCAACTGGACGCATATCAATGACATCCGCCTATACTCAGCTCGGCTGGTGGCAAACGAGATGATAGCTCTACTGGGTGATCGTCGGTCTTTGCGAAATCAACCAGCAAAAGCTTGCAATTTCTCTCAACCCCCACAGAAAAGTGGATTAAGCCCTGAAAACTATTTTTAATTAGGAACTTTGGACTGGGAGTCGGCACATACATCATTGCGCCGCATCCCCAACCCCCAAACACCCTCTGACAGGATCTCGCCCTCTCACCTCGAAATTGCGACCATTTCTTTGTTTAGATCGATACTATCTATGATTGATCTAAATCCGAAATGCAATTGTCCGGAACATGGTCCATCCTGAATGGCCTCGTCGCAGCACTTCTCTTTTCAACATTAACGCCTGCGATTGAATTAGACGTCGGCGATGAACGTACGTCATGCCTATTCGAATTTATTTTCCGATAGAAACAATGGCATGGAGCTGACTTTGCGATCACGCAACAGAATCAATCAAAGATGCCGCCAGCACGAGTACCTACTCGATGATGGGATGGTATGCCGGTAATGAAACAGGACAAATCCCTGGCTCTTTCCCTGAAAAATGGTGGGAAGGGTCTGCCCTTTTCCTCGCGCTGCTTCAATACTGGCACTTCACCGGCGACAATACCTATAACTCTTTGGTGAGCCAAGGAATGGAGTGGCAATCGGGTGACAAGGGTGACTACATGCCCAGCAACTACAGTAGTTACCTGGTGAGAAGCATACACCGATTCCAAACTACCAAGAATCTTTCTCTGACTATCCTCGAATCTCTAGGGAAATGACGACCAAATGTTCTGGGGTCTCGCAGCCATGATGGCCGCCGAGCTGAAATTCCCTGATGTCCCGGACAAATTCTCGTGGCTTTCGCTCGCACAGGGTGTATTTAATACTCAGACCGCTCGGTGGGATACGACAACCTGCGGCGGTGGTCTGCGTTGGCAGCTCTTCCCTTACCAGGACGGATACACCATGAAGAACGCTGTGTCAAATGGCGGTCTGTTCCAACTCGCTGCCCGTCTCGCCCGCTACACGAATGAAGACAAATACACAAAATGGGCCGAGAAGATCTGGGACTGGTCTACTTCCTCGCCGCTAGTGAACAACAAGACTTGGAATGTTGCCGACTCCACGCAAATGGCCAATGACTGCGCCGACTCTGGTAACTACCAGTGGACCTACAACTACGGCACATATTTGATGGGTGCTGCTTATATGTACAATATGGTAAGTAAAATATCTGTATTCGCCCCTTACCCATTCCTCGGGGCGATATTTAATTTACAGATGCTTACCACCGGGACAGACAAATGGAGACGAAAAGTGGAAGACCCCAGTAGACGGCCTCCTCGGCCGAACCCTCAAAACCTTCTTCCCCCACGGCGACGTTTTCGAAGACACGACCTGTGAACCGATCCACAAGTGCAATTTTAACGAAATCCTCTTCAAGGGCCTCACCTCCTCATGGCTCGCATTCACCGCACTCTTGGTCCCAGACACCGCCGCACAGATCAAACCCAAACTCGCGAGTTCCGCACAAGCCGCCGCAAAGTCCTGCACAGGAAACAACAACAACACATGCAGTATTGCGTGGTACCAGAACAAGTGGGATGGGACAACCGGTATGGAGCAAGAGATCAGCGCAACGAATGTCTTCCTTGCGAATATGATCAACTTCGACACGGGTAGCTTCGCACCTGTCACCTCCAAGACTGGTGGAAACAGCAGCAGTGATCCCAATGCGGGTGAAGGAAAAGGTGATGAAGACAAGGAGAAGCCTATCTCGACTGGGGATAAGGCCGGTGCCAGTATTTTGACGTTGATATTTGTCTTTGCCTGGGCTGGTGCTATGGCTTGGATGATGCTGGGTGTTTAATCTGTATATCTTATCTTTCACTCATTGGCATTGGTTTAAGGCGATCTGGAGTTTTGAGGGGATTCAATAATGTTTGTACATACTATCTCGAAGCCATTTTTACACCCTACGGCGGAGTGAGATACCTGTCTATAGCCATAAGTTCAACGCTGTTTGACTATACCCGCTGGATCTAACAAAAAGTCTCAGCTTAAATACCCTGACGAAATGTGCGTGGCAGAAATGCTGCATAAGAGTTGATGGTTGCTCAGCCGCCACAATATGCCTTGCTCTATGACTATGAAGAAAGGAACCTATAAAAGGATGACTTGCTTTGTCAATTGCACTTGCTGCTACTGTACTCCTAGGTTTACAAATCATGAGATTTCTTACAGTAGAAATTATTTTTGCATGAGAAAAATGGTCCGCCTTTGCATTCGCATCACGATATGGGGAAAACCCTAGACTTTAGGGCCAAAAACCCAGATCAAGGCTTCCATGTAATACAAATTGAACATCTCGACTCATACATGTTCTTTCTCATAACACCAACTCTTTGCCCGAAGTTCCAAAGCCTTTGCAAATTCTGGCAAATCAGGCACGCAATATCAGCATGGAGATAGTAGCATTAGGACTTGGGTCCATACCGTGTTCTTCAATAACCAAAGAGCTTTCCCAACTATCGGAATTGTATTAGTATTGTACAAGCCAATATCATACAAGAGGGTAGTTCACTTACTAATTCTTTAATCGTCGGATTCTTGGTGACGGGCTGGCCGGACATCGTTGTCTCTGCTTTGTTAAGTTCGCTTACCAACTTTTCATGGCATTTTGTTAGTTATGGCTCAGAATTGGTTTGTAGTATGCAGTATCTTGCATCAGTGCTGTACTCACTTTCTAGATCGAGGATTTATTAGTTCTGTAGCCTCAGATTGGATCACAACACTCTCACCTCCTGTTTTATCAGCAATGTATGAGCACTGCGCGGTAGTAATTCTTTATATTGTGGGCACTCAAATAACTCACAACCTGAATAGTTAGTATATGAAATTATGAAAATATTGTTGATACACCTTACTCCCTGATATTGGTAATTTCCGTCAGTCCTGAATACCAGCAGTATTTCATAAATTCCGAAGAGGATCACTCACTTCCTATAATAAATCCTTGTCAGTCGTATGTTGAGATTAGTATTGGAAGAGCCACTCACTGCCTGTTGATCATAATTCATAAGCACTTATCGGAAGATATGCCAAGGATGCCGATACTACAACTTACCAACTATCGATTCCACTCTGTCAGTTAAAATCCCAAATCGGGGTTGGAAATGTTAACTTACTTGCTGTTTTCAGCGCAATATTAGCTCCTTGTTAAAGTAACAGTTGTATAATCGCTCTGGACCGTGACTCACATCCTGGGGTTAGCATAGAGGTTAGCCGTGTCTTCAAAAACCTTTCATTTCCATGAAGACTTACAAACTGTTCAAAGAAGACTTATCAGGGTATTATTCAAATGGGACTTCGAAGACACGGTGGGTCTGACTCACAATCTATTAATCCCAAACCGTCAGTTCCATATACAAAAGTAGTGATATCCATGAATCGGCTCACTCACACTCTTTTGTACATCATCTTGCGTACTCGAAATCTTGGGTGCCTCTGCCCGCTTGGTCTCACCCACAGCCTAACAGTTGCACACAATATCAATACATATCCTGTCAGATATCCGAGTGAAACAAGTGGCTTACCGGCTTTTCCATGATTGAATTAGTTCTCTAAGCCATCAAATAGAATCTTATAGACAAGGACCGTTCACTCACAGCCTATACGTATCCCCCTTTGTGAGCATAGTGTCAGCTAAAGAGTATGATAATACTCACAGGCTATTTTCTGTCAGCTATATCCAAATGACAAAATTTGCATACCAGCGATAGGAGCCGAATCTCACCATGTTGTTTCTTTCGATTAGATCGTGCGAGGTGATTGATACTGGAAAGGCTAGTGTAAAGCCGAAGAACAGCATAATCAAGAACAAGATGGGTTGCATATCTGCGAGTTACAGATTACGGGTTCTGCGATTTGTTAGAGATAGCAAAGAGAAAAGATGGTTGTAAAGATGTCGATGAGTTGTAAATATGATTGACTCGAGGTGGTCTCTCATTGCCTTTTAATATCACTGTCTACTAGTATACCACAGTCAAAACAACAACAATGTGCCCCTTAATGTGGCTGATATTGAAGTCTAGAGACGAATAGAACCGTTGGATAAACGTTGTCAGGCTGTAGCTTCCGCATTTTTGAACGTTTCATGCAGCATCCTGATACATATCAAAATGTTAGATAAGTAGATCGGGACTTTTCAGCCCTAGATCTAGAATTATGCATAGTACTAGTATGGAGTTGCCCTTGAGGCATTCCTCAGAACCTAATACATATCCGACGGATGAACATTCCAACGACTAACCAACTCTATCAAAGTATCCGGGGATAGCCCCAGATGCATTCCAGACTTATTCAGGTGGATAAAGGAAGCGATTCGTTTAGCAGCAACTGAATATTTATGTTTTGGCCGAGACTGAGTTGCCCAATACTGAATCCCCAGGACTTTCCCAAATCAAAGGCTCCACTAGCTTCTCTTCTCCATTGAGGAATAACATTCATATTATGCAAAAACACGATTTTACGTATATCCAGAACTGACTAAAAAAAGAAAATCTGGAAGTGACCGTGAAATGTGCTCTAAAATTGCGCTAGACAAGCAGTAACTAGCAGCATCCAGCATAGCTTAGAGAGTATGAGGATTGTGGTGGCGCTTATAAGAATCTCACTGGGGCCGAAAGTAACCAGGGGGGGCTTTGACTTGTTGAGTATGAGTATTCGTAAATGACCATAGCAACAATTACAAGGACTGATAGCCGGTTGACCGGTATCTCTCAATGAAATTTCCATAGAAGCTACTGAAGTTTTCACTCACATGCACAGTGGCGCCATGACGGCACCTTTGATACGTAGGTAACAGCTATAACTCGTATATAACCTCCATATTAGAGCGACCGAGTACTCTCGTAGACATCTGCTTCATATACGCAGCATCGGTACTATTTAGGAGACGAAAAGAACCTGTCAATATCGTCTGCCAATGCCCAGCTAATTTTGTACCCATTTTGTCCAGCACCGTAGCAAGAGATCAACGGAATACGGTCGTCACCATGGGCCACTGATGACCCCAAGACAAAATGGAGTCCGCCACGTCTCATAGGGCGCCGAGCAACGTAGACTTGTTTTATATCAAACCCATTGGTCGAAGCAAATTCATCCGCCTGCTCGTCGACCATTTCAGGACATAGAGCTCTGACCCTCTTCAGAATGTCCTCAGTCGCAGCATCGTCGATATCCTCAGACCTGACGAGTGTTAGCGTAGCCCCAAGCTCGTGAGTCATCTCAGAACATACAAGTTATTAGGCTCCTTCGTCCCGCCAATAACAGTCCCACCACCGAGAGGCCGAGGTATGATGACGGTGAAGGAACCATCACTCCAATGATGACTGATAGTTTTATCACAGTGATTCGAGACTATGATGAACTGACCGCGCAAAGGGAAAGATTTGGGATCATTGAACCCCCTCCCACTTGCATCGACAACAGCCGAGATATGGTCACTTTCATTCTTGGATTTATTCTCCAGGTAGACCGACGCAGCCTGCTCCAGGTCCGTCAAAGGGGCTCGGATGAAGCGAGTCCCTTGAGCCTCTGCCCGTGTCTGTAACCACTTCAAGTAGACCGGCGAGTTTAGAACCCAGCTGCGGTATGTGACACCTAGCCTTATAGATGGATGCTGGGAGGGGTATTCCGCAGGGTCGAGAATACGGAACTCCGGCCATGTGGTGTAGCCTTTTTCTTCTGCCAGTAAGGAGGTTGCGTCGGCAGTATCAAAATATTCGACTGCGGGAATAAACTCCACCCCTGCTTCTGGGTGGTCTCTCGCGATCTTTTCAAACTCTTGGTAGGTGTGTCGCATCCAGGCCTGTTCCTTTCGTTCTTCCTCTGTCTTTGCGGGGATGGGACGAAAGTGTGCCCCTGCCCATGGCGAGGCGTAGTCAATTCCAGAGTCTCCGGGTAACTCTCTCGCGATGACGGTGATTCTCATGTATTTGGATAGTTTGACTGCGATGCTGAGACCGATAACGCCGGCTCTGTTGAAGTACCATTAATTGACGGCAAAAGGAGGGTAGACTAGGCTCTCACCCGACGATAATAACATGGCCTTGGCTCATGATTGTTTATTTCTTTGTAGTTCTAAGCTATACTGGTTGTCTCATGAAACGGAGTCTGGGTTAATAATCAAATATCGGGTAAAGCACGGAATGAGTCATTATTCTGACACAGGGGCCTCGGATGTCCCGAGCAGGTACATTGGGGATGTGAGTAATCAAGGAGAAATGGCGACTTACTGGATACTACATACATGCATGAGGTACATATCAAGCTACCTGGGCATTGTTGTTTAGGGGTTGTGTTATGAGCCGTAGCTTGGCGACACTGTGTGAGATAGTCTAAATAGCACATTTATATATAGAGCAGGAAGAAATCAAGAACTTCTTGGCTTTCTTGGCTCAAAGATGGCCATTGCAACAGTGAATTCAGCCTCTCATCATGTATACAGTCGGTCACCTCTTCAGGACACCGCGTTAGGCGCCCACCCCACACGAAAGCGGTGAAGGTCAATTTATTTGGCCCCAAATCCCCAAATTCCCAAGCTCTGACACACCCCCCAGAGATGGTGACTACACAGACAGACAGACAGCCTGTTGTTGTCAACGGGGACAGGGATGTAGATGAGACTACAGCCCTCCTAGGGTCCAGCAAGGTCAGGTATGATGAAAGCACACCAGACACTCTGGTCAGTCCGTCGGGGTCAGCTAGCGACACCGACAATGAGGAAGAAAAGCCCTTGCCCAAGCTGCAGATCTTTCTACTCTGCTATGCGCGCGCAATAGAGCCCCTGGCATTCTTCTCCATCTTCCCCTATGTCAGCCAGATGGTGCAGGACAACGGGGACGTGCCAGACACGGACATTGGCTTCTACAGCGGACTCATCGAATCAATGTTTTCCCTGACACAGGCTGTGGTCATGATATTCTGGGGTCGGGCAGCTGACCGCTTCGGCCGCAAGCCGGTTCTGGTCCTCTCCTTATTCGGCGTGACCGCGGCGACAGGTCTCTTTGGCATGGCAAAAAGTATAGTGCAGATGATCATATTTAGATGCCTTGCTGGTGTTTTTGCGGGGACCATCGTCACCATCCGCACCATGGTGGCTGAGCATAGCACGCCCAGTACCCAGGCCCGGGCGTTCAGCTGGTTCGCCTTTAGCGGGAACCTGGGAATCTTCCTGGGGCCTTTATTGGGTGGTGCACTTGCTGACCCAGTACGACAGTACCCCGGTGCTTTCGGGACTGGCAGCTTCTTCGAAAAATATCCCTATGCGCTCTCAAGCTTGGTAGTGGCGATGGTGGGAGCTACCGCTGCCATCTCTAGCGCCTGCTTTGTTGATGAGACCTTGAAGAGGGAACCAGTTGGGGTTGACCGCGATAGCGAGGAGGCAGCATGCAATGTGCCAGCCCAGAGTGATGATCTATCGACATGGCAGCTTCTCAGATCGCCAGGTGTCGGTATGGTCCTATTTTCGTATGCCCATATCATGATCCTCGCCTTCTCTTACACGGCCATCATTCCCGTCTTTTGGTTCACTCCCGTACATCTCGGAGGGTACAACTTCACGACTATCCAAATTTCCTTGATGATGGGTCTAAACGGTGCTGCACAAGCTGCATGGCTTCTGCTAGTGTTCCCCCCATTGCAGAAGAGGATAGGAACCAATGGGGTCATACGTCTCTGTGCTTTCATCTTTCCCTTATTCTTCCTCTGCTGCCCTCTTGGCAATCTACTTCTGCGGATGGACACAGATGCGTCCGTCAAGATCTTTTGGGTATTCTTGCCGATCGGGCTGGCGGTCGGCTGTGGAGTAAGTATGAGCTACACAGCGATTCAGCTCGCCCTGAACGATGTCGCACCCTGGCCGAGGGTATTGGGCACGCTGAATGCGCTGGCTTTGACTGGTTCCAGCACACTGAGGGCCTTTTGCCCTGCCCTCTTCACCAGCCTCTTCGCTCTGGGGGCGAGGACACAGCTGGCTTGGGGATATGCTATCTGGATACTCATGATCCTCCTTGCTTTGGCCTTATCGGTTACAGCGAAATACCTGCCCGAGCCCAAGGTTGCTAGCAAGCGCCGTAACAGCCAAGTAAGGTGATGCTCCGATTGGCTGAATGCACAGCACGATCAAGGGTAGTCTAGCGCTCTCCTTGGCGGAAGAGCCCACAGGATGATGCACAAAATTTGCAATTTTATACGATGATTTCATGTGGTAAGCTTAACTGCTGTACATACATGGGCTGTTGTCAAGAAGAAGCAGTAAAACGGAGCCGTGTTTGAGAGAACATATTGCTTATAACCAAGTACACTTTCAGTCTCGGACCTTTCTCAAATCAAAATTAGCATTGGCTTGTCATTTATCAAATTGAATCTTATTTCTACATCATATCACTCATCAATATCCCAACTCTTCAGGACTTTCCTCTTAAGATAGTATTTGCTCGTTTCTAGATTTATACGAGAAGTGCAAGAACATGAACCTTTGTCCAGATTCAAATTTATTGCTAGACTCGATCTACGAGTGTCAATCGCAGAGAAACTCATTACACCGGATCACAAGTTTCAAGGTCGTGTACGATCACTGCACACAAAGGTATTTTTAGATGATTTCACGTTGATTGCTAGCAGAACAAGCGATTCTTTCCTGGGCATGAATATCCTGCTTTTTCACTGAGCAATGGCTTCCCCGAGAGAAAACTTTATATTGCAATATTTCAGCTAATGCGACTTCTCTATATGCGTATATAGAGTACATAATATGGGATGTGGCGGAAGTATAGAAGCTTAAAATATAGAGCTATAGAGGATGTCGGCGTGGAGAACTCGTATAACTGAACCATGAAGACCTCTATTCAAATTTATACAATTCTCATATGATTAACGATTCTACAGCAAAAATTTAGGGCGATGGCTACATATGTTGTGCATATATATCGGATAATGCCTGGCGCTTGAGAATTTCCCCTTTCCATTTTAGTGCTCACCTCTTGCCGCTTTTTGCTCTCAGAGTAAAATTCAGCACGCCCCTGAACACTCTGATCCGCTCACTGATCATTACATAAGCTAGTGAAGCATCATGTGATAGTCATATGAGCGACCTGATCCATTCACTGATCATCGTATGAGCGATCTGATTCGCTCACTGAGTAAGAGATTGAACGACCTGAGTAAGCTACATCAATAAAATGCGAGACGCTAGCATCATCACGTGTAACCACCATCTAGATCACCCCATCCCATCCCATCCCATCAAAAAAGGACTGCCGCACTCAACGTAACCGTCCATCCTAGCGGCCTCGATTCTATCCAAGCGAAAAGCCCACAGCGGGGCAACTCATTTGACCTATCAATCTCCTATTTCAGCCTATGCTCCTGGGAGTACCCCTCGAAATACTTCCTACAGCCCGGCGATCTCTAATCGGGCTTTGGACTGCTACCAGGGCGAGAGTGACTGGATGGATTTATATCTCTCTAGTACGCGGCATACATCGCTTCTGCATCTTCATGTTACCCTTACCTGCCAAGCACAGTGCCAAGGTTACTGACACTAGTGAGTGTGTCAGGATGCTCACGTTTAAGTACCTTTTCACTTCCTTCTAGGTCCCGTCGATATATAGCTTCAGCCTCTTCATATTTTGCTTACCTCCTAAGCACAGTGCCAAGGTTATTAACACTAGTGAGCGTGGAGGGATGCTCGTGTCCAAGCACCTTCTCTCAAGCCTATAAAGCCCGTCGATATATCGCCTCCGCCTTTTTAATTTTCCCTTAGCTATAAAGCGCTAAGCTAAACCTACTAATACTTGTGAGTGTAAAAGGATGCTCATATCCAAGCACCTTCTCTTAAGCCTACAAGGCCTATCAATACATCACTTCCGCCTCTTCGTAAGCTCCTTAAAGATCTAGAAACCTGCTATAAGAGATAAGATAATGGCCATATTTAATCGATCTTTATCATACATCCATGGATATCATAGATAGACTTCGTTATCTCTTCCATATACAAAAGCAGTCTTTAGAATTCATTCTAGCTCTTATACTATCTATCAGGAAATACCTATACCATGATAGCTCATAACTTCTCTTACCACTATATTAGCTCGAGATAGATTGTTAGCTATATCCAGACCGATAACTATATAAATCGGTGTATAACTAATCAATAGCATCACTGTATCCTCAAAATAGAGTCTATCACCATCCTCATGGATAAGGCCTTTGGGGATTCCCTGCCGATCGAATATGCTCATCAACACCAGCAAATCTGTTGCTGCTAGCCAGTCGCGGCGTATTTGCACTCGAAAAATAGCTACTATATTGTAATAACTATATACTTAATACTAGGGTCCCTCTGGAGGTCTTTAGCATCTTTATTCTTAAGAAGATAGGTCTACTTTAAATCGCTCTTACAGAATAACTGAAGATACCGAGAGACTATGACCTAAGATAATCGATCCGCAATATAGGCCCCTACCTAAGTGATTACAAGTAGGATATATTCCAGGGTCTAAACTAGTACCTTCTTATCCACTTGAGACTCTTCGGGCTAGGGGGCCAGAACTGCCTCGTCTGCTCCGTCTCGTAGAAATTAACCACCTCTCGATCTCTGATCAAATTTTTGAAATCCGCCAGCTGGTGCATCAGTAGGTCCGATTTACTAGAGATCTGCTTCAGCAACTGCTCTCGTGGATGGCTGTGATCCCCGGCTAGCATCTGCTGGATATCGTCCATCACCAATCCTTTATGTGGGATGGCAAAGAGGATCATGCCGTACGTGGCTCGATGCAGCGATGTGATCGCCGGATGGTCTTCCTCCATTATCTGGATGACCTTTATTAGGCATTATAGGTTGATGTCAGCATACAATCTTTTGCGACTCGAACTGGATGGAGGTCCTACGTGAGCCAAGATAATACCTCCAAAGCTGTGTGCGATGAAAATTAGAGGTCTCTGCTGGAGCTGGCCACAGAATTAGCTCAAACTTGCTATCGGTAAACAAGCCCGATAGCATCTCCTAATGGTTAGAATGGTTAGAACTTGCTGGAATTTGTGCCAAAACAGATGTTCCTCGCTGCTTTGCATAATTTGAGTCTATGGGGATGGTGGGGTTGATATCGGGGGGTGGGATCTAGGCGAAGGATGTAATTTTACTACCTCACCAGCCCTTTACTCAGGTACGGTAGGTGTGAGTGCCAGCTACACGCTAGGCTGAGAGCCGCGTTAGCCCCTCGTGACAGGGGTAGGGGGGATCGGCCTGCAATGCCTAGAAACAGGGCGACAGCAGCCGAGAATCACCCCATTAGTGCCCAACCCCGCAGCTGCAGCCAATAAATCCTGAACCCAGCCAAGTCCCATGAAGAACCAATGTTGCTATGGCCAGGCTGTCTACCCCCCGCTTCAGCCTATCGAGGCTGAAACACCCCGAGCAAATATTTTCTTGCTTCCGCGGCGCTTTATGGCCAACAGCAGTAAATGAAGGAGCTACTTCTGCCCACCCACCTGCCCCTGAACTCATCTGTTATTCATGACCTCTGACTCCGATCCTAAAGCCGTGGATAGGCGGTGAAGATGAGTGTTCAATCTGATAGGTCTTTTCACACTTCCCAGCACTCGATATGGGATGGGATATCCGAATGGTTATCCACACAAAGCAAACGCGTACGTACGAAAGCTTCTCCGAAGTTCAAGATATATCTTTACCAACTTCCACAAATAGACCTCCTCTTCACTCCGGTGGTTGGCCTGCATCATATGGAGACTCAGCACAACCCCGTGGTATATTCTTCAAGGCAATGTCCAGGGAATTATCCTTCCACAAGACTCGGGACAACGCAGAGCTCGCATGTTCCATTGGCAGGAGGCGAAAAAGACCGAGTTTCAATATGTTGGCGTCATTGTATGTTGACTCTCCTGCGGAGCAAAGAGCACATATCGATGAAGCGAGTGAAAGAAGAAGAGAATCTGACCCATTATCAAGGGCTCCCTAATCGCATCCTCCGTATCTTCCTCGCTTCAGTGGCCCGGCATCGAAACCGCTTTCTGGCCCATCCTTGCTTTATGGTATGGGAGCCTAACAATGATTTTGTTCTGCGTTATCATCGCGTTCTATCTTCATATTATGCTATCCACATTTCATCTCGAGCAAGAGGGATGCGATGATTGTGAAAGACTGGTTAACCTGCTGAAGGATGCCTCTTCAAGCAAGAGTCAGCCCCGATGGATAACGCTATGTGCACTCCAGGCGCCGATAATGCTTCTCAGCTACGCCATTATCTCATATCTAGGGGGGGCTGTTTTTGTGGGTTTTACAACCCGTGTGGAGGACGCACATCTGGGGGTCACCGGTGTTGGTACGTGCTACAGGTCATACAGTCAAATTACAGAAAGAGATGTGCTAATCTTGAAATGCTGCTTGCCGATTTTAGGTCTTTATAGTTTTTGCTATCTATGCAACGTTTGCTGCTGCCGTATATATTTTCATTTTGTTTGCGATTTATGAGATGTGCTTATCCAAAGACAACATAGCAGTGCAGACCATGCAATAAGAAAAAGTCAGTGTTCTTTCATGGTTTCAACATATAAAAATGGTATGCTTCGTGCCCAGATGTGCTCCGAAGATCCAATTGAGAAACCCGCTAGTAGATATAAGAGAGAGATGACTACTTTGGTGGGTGACTCCGAGTCCCGGTTATGTCACAATGCCCCCCCCCGTTCTCAGATTATAACTTCATCGTCGCTGTCTCCGTAGTCATCGGTGCCCGATCCTATCATACATGTGTGTAATTGATATTAATATTGATATCAGATCAATAGATCATCGATATATTCTTCCTTACTTTTCATCAGGTAGTTTAAGAGCGAGTTCCAGTTCGAAAGTTCAACTAACGCGGATTAATTTTTGATATAGAAAACATTCATCCAAATTTCAACAAATTTTGATATGAAGCCCAGAATCCACTTTGAGACGAGATTCTGTTCGAAGATCGCACTATCATAGACTTAAATCCTGAGGTACCAAAATGAACAATCCCAGGCGACTGGTTAAAGATACCCTTGAAGTACAGCAAGGGAGATTAGAACGACAAATTTAAAGCTTCTGGGAAGGAATCTCTGCGACTTCAAAGGGAGTTTTGCCAGCTTGTACAGAAAGTGGTAGACCTGTGGATTTCAGCATGTCTTGGACCAATTTTGTGAGACAGTGATCGGTGTCTGGAGAGAGAAAAAATCGATTAGCACAAAACTAGCGGATACCAGGGTCTGTTAATGCTCACAGCGAGGTCCCATGATTGAGATGGAAACTGGCATGTGTTCCCAATTCCCACTCATGCGGGACAAATATGCCGTTTGGCCAACTTCGGGTAAAAAAACAACATTAGATAATAGTACGTAAAATATGACAGTTCATTTTCACATACCGGGTACGACAATTGCTGGCAATTCAGCGAGACAAGCTTGGTGATCCTCCTTGTCCCGCCAGTTGTATCCAGTCAGCTTCTCTGGAGACCTTTTGATTGATGGTTAGTAAGTTAACACAAACATGCCAACCAGTATGAAAGAACTTGACCTACAAACGATAGTTGTCACGATACACTGGCTCGGGATCACCGACTGGGTACATCGCAATCGCTCCAAAGGGACCATCCTTTTGCTGGAATACGACATCTTCCATCCATTTTTTGTAAATGGCCCGGGCATCCTCAACTTCCTTGATGGTCTCTTCTGTGATTGTAGCGCCTCTCTCCCTGAATAGCTATCAGCGAGTGTCTTGGGCTGTGAGAAATAGACCTACCAGGCAAATCTGATGACCGGGTTGACATATGCATCGGCATTGAATGTCTTCCGATACTCTTGGCGAAATCTGGCATAGTTTCGATCATATCCAGCCCATATAAGTGTATTCATTATCTGTTCAAGTTAATTGAGCTGGTCCATCAAGATGATATTGTTCTGAGACCTACCGGTGTGACGTGATCCTTCAACGAGATCCCTTTACCGGTTGGGTCATGATCGTCCCATAGCCTGGCCAGGTTGATGCGCTCAACCGACAAGCCCAGAAATTCACTCATATGCGTGACGAACCTGTCCATGATTTCCTGGGCATCGGGGTTATCATATGGAAGGTAGTCCTCAAGATACATGAGCCGCTTGGGTCGAGTCTAGCGGAAGTCAGAGAGTTTGTGATGTGACTGTGGATCGATATAAATGGCGCGATTGACTTACTATCGTGGAGATATTAGTAGGGATTGGGTAAAGCTGCGTGTTGATATCATGGAATAGTTCGGCATTGCGGGTGATGAAGCCTACGGTGTCGAGCAGCCTGCCAAGCGCGAATTAGAAGAATCTGACACGGAAATGAAGGGGACAGTGATAGAATTACGGGGAACATGGCAACATGCCATTGAGGGGAAGCAGGCCATGCGAAGGACGGTTCCCAAACAAACCCATCGCTGCAGCAGGGCCTCTGTTACTTCCACTGGCTGATCAGGCAGGGATAGAATTAGTAACTGATACAGATACTGTGAAAAGGAATGGAAGTAGAACCGTACTATCAGAACCCAACGACGCATCTAACCAAGAGTAGCCAGCAACTGCCACTCCAGAACCGGTACTACTTCCTCGAGGATTTAAAAATCCATCTCCACGTGGGTGCCACGGGCACAGAGTTTCAATCCAATCGGCTGTTGGTTGCTCACTCGAGGCAAATTGAGTACACTTAACCTTTCCGACGACAATCGCACCTAAGTCTAGGAGACGTTGGATGGGAGGGGCTGAACTGGTGGCTGGCCCATACAATTGATTGTATGAGCGAGACTGGCCACTTGTCTTGACTCCCTTGACATCAAAAATATCCTTAATGGCAATCCGCATCCCATTGAAGGGCTTTCTCGGTGTCTTTTGGAAGTGCAGCCTAGACGGAACAGCGATTTGAAAGTGACCGTCAAGACTCTTATGAGTGGCTGCCTCATACCTAATGTCCATGATAGTTAGCAATGATAGCCAGAGCGCCCGCTGAATCTTCAAGTATGAAATGCACATATTTCTGGTTTTAATCCACTTACATCTGATCATCATGTCTCTGCTGAATTGTGGGTAGATGGAAGGCGTCGTAGACATCGTCATATAATTTCCATTGTTGATAGATTTGACCATTGCGCATGAAGAATGGACCCTCTGGAAGACCTGAGTGACTGTCGCCCGTGATTGAAAACAGCCTTTTACAGGGAAGACCTTTCAGAATTTCCAGTTCCGGGGAACCTAGAATGGAAGTCTCGATAGAACCGGAAGGTACCTTCAAGATAACGACTTCGAGGAAAATGTCAGAAAATTCCTGGTCCTTTCTAAATCTAGCAATCGTCGAGGCCAGCCAGGATTGATCTAATGTCCCATCCGGAGATTCAATAATCGATGCGGGAATGTAGGTTTCTTTACAGAAGGGGTCCTGTCGTTCATGTCAGTCATATGTAGAGTCTGAGGTTTTGATGTATTTGAATGAAGATATACAGTACCTCTCCATTGTGAAATATCAAGCTCGAAGAGTTGAGTTTGAAGTCCAATCCTCTCAAGAGGAAAGATCCCTCGTCTTGAACGTTGATGACAGGGAGTGACTCTTGGATTTGCAGTGATGGAGTGGTAGATGTGTCGTGGAGATACGCCATCTGTGGGAAATTCGCTTTATTATCAAGTGAGAAAAAGTGGCCGCTATGGTCAATCAATTTCTTATCTCTCGGGAGGGTGGAAAGCATCCAATCGTACAGCATACCGGGCGCAAGGATTCACCTTACAGAGTTGTATGGCAATTTCAGGAAGAAAAGAAAGGGAGACCTAGAGCTTACTTCTGCAAACTGAGAGGAACCCGATCAGTTGAGAGTCTGGTCCCCCAACAAGGGTTGCCTTGGTTGATTGAGGGGTCTTTGCTTCGCATACACGAGTTGAGCACTTGGCGGATATCAAGTGGCACGCTTTGCATACAGGGAATGGAGGCTCGACCATATTGCCACCAATAAAAGCCTGGACAGAGAGCGTCTGGAGCGGCCTTGATGCACTTCAGTTTCACTTTGGAAGTCACCCGGGTGAAGGGCGCGTGCAGATACAGGGCGGGAAGACCTTGCAAACAAAATATTGCGGCTAAAGCGCAGCACGATTCACGGCAGCCTGAACGAAATTGGAGAAAAGAGGGGCATTGGAGAGAAAGGGGAAAGAGATTGTCCACTACTGGTAGACGACAGAAAGCCGCTACGGACGCCTTGATGCACGCCAGCCTCACTTTTGAATTAACCCGGGTGGAGGGAGGTGGTTGGTTCTGCTTTCCCACTCGGTTTTGAGAATGGGTAAATTAGATACCTGTATCGTTTTGAAATATGCGGCTATTGTCATTAATATAGCACAGTTAAAACAATGGGACCCAGGCACCTAAATTGGCTCGTCCCGAACCCAAGTTTTGACTTGAGTGAGACCCGAGGAAAACAGCGTTGTAATCATGGAAAACTTCAATAAACAAACAGCTCTCCCGGATGGAAGCGACTCTGTCCTGGCGTCGATTTGCTATTGCGCAAATCTGAAGCTTTTCGAGAAAGAGAAGCCCTATTATTGCAATGTTCCCTGTCCGCCAGGTTATGCACAAACAAACCAAGAAACTGAACGTCGCTCTGGGATCAAATTCACGGACATGCGATCTGACTGGGATGGCTTCAACCTAGATAAGCAAGGATTTGAGCCATTTTGCTTTGATGCAGAGGGTTGGAAAAGTGACTTCTCGAACGATGCAGCAATTGAGACAACCTACTACCCGTTTGTTGAGTCACTACTCAAAAGGCGCTTTGGGAACGTCCGTGTGCAAATATTTGATCATACAGTAATTACATTTATTTCTTTTGTCAGGGCACAACTAATTCGTTCTCCTTTGTCAGGTTCGCAAGCGAGACCCAACTATTCAAACTGGCGCAGTAGGGGAGAATATCAACCGCCAGCCTAGCGTATGTGCTCATGTTGGTACGTGATTTAACGCTCCTGTTGATGAAACAGAACCATAACTGATTTTCGAACAGATCAGACATTCTTAAGTGGTGTTAATCGGATTAAACTCCATATGAAGGCCGAGGCAACGGACTTACTGAAAGGCCGCTGCCAAATCATCAAGTATGCGATCTCCTGGCCCTCTTTGCAGGGTTGTTATTGCCGAATTAGGGATTAACCAGCAACTGAACAGTGTCTGGAAACCTCTCTTTGAGCCTCTTGAGGATTATCCCTTGGCGTTGTGCGACTACCGGACTGTTAACATTGACCGAGATCTTCTTGCAGCCGATCTCGTCTTTCCTCACTATGTAGGTGAGCAGTTCTACTGCAAGTATGACCCTGATCACCAGTGGTATTTCTTGAATCATCAGCGGATGAACGAATTTCTGTTATTCAAATGCTACGAAAGCCGCGAAAACGTGGCAAGGTGCAAGTGTTGCGAACCCAGTGACGGGCTAGGTATGCTAATGTTTATCTATCAGTTGCTCCACACGCTGCGTTCAAGAACCCGCTTTGTCCAGAAGGTGCGAGATTTCGAGAAAGTATCGAAGTGCGATGTATGATTTTCTACGACACGGATGCCTGAGCTTTTGAGGACCCTCCGGCCTGGAAACATTCCCTGGTTCACATGTTAGCCACTATGCCAAGCTTGAAGCTTGGGCTGGGTTTTAAGCCACTCAACCAGTGAAACTTAGAGAGATCAACCACCTAGTTAGCGATTTGAATAGTTATTTACTATATAGGAAAATTGTGATACCCTTACATATTTTACCTCCTAGATATTTCCACCAGGAACGACACCAAAGTAGTAAATCAATAGTATTCAGATGCTATCCCACGGTCAAATTAATAATAAGACAAACAGATAGCGAACTTTGCGCGTAAAGTTACATGCCAATGAACTGAACTCGGGGCCGAAATTTCTCCATGGATGTAGCAAGTATGGAGTCAGAATCGTTCGTTTCACCTTCCTTCATCCTCCCTCCGCACCAGAGCTAGGAGACTGGTCTTGACCATCTCCGTTGCGACGGCAAATCTTTCTAGGAACCCAGCCAAGCCAGGGCTTAGCGTTGGGCTTCGCTGGATCCGGTTTCCACGCTATCCACGGTTGAGCTTTGCGTTCTTCTTCCGACATCGACTCTATTTGCCGAGGTGGCCACCACTCACGCCAGGGCTGCTTCTGACCTGGACCAGCAGTCGGCTCCTGAAACTCAAGATTTATAGTTTCCATTTTTATTTTGGTGAAATTCGATGGTATTTCCCTTGTTCTCTGTTAGTTTGAACAGAAATAGGACCCAGAGAGGGGAGGACTAACGAGTAGAAAGCTTCTGTGACTATTTATGCTCTTCAATCGAATGTTTATCACGGTATCCGTTTGATCCGTGACTGAAATATGTGAGGAGCCTGAGGTAGACAAGTTCGAGTGAAAAGGCGACCCGCCAAAGACTTTATGTTGTTTCTATAGGAGGAAAGGCAGACATATGACCACACATCAAGTCATACCAGTGGCCTATATGTCCAAGTAACAAAGACGGTAAGATACAGTCTGCATGCCCCGCTTTACTAGTCAGTACATAGATAACTTTTATGCCCAAGCAATCACGAGCATCAGCTTGGGCGGAACTCTGAGCCTACATCATCGCGAACCCCTGCGCTGGTGGAATCCAAGTTTGGAAAATTGCAGCCGTGCCGCTATATGCGACCGAAGTGTAGAAAATAGAGATTGACATGGACTCGGATCAGGTGTAAGATATGCGGGTGATAAAATAAGTACAAATAAAAAAAAAAAAAAAATTCCAAAGTGTCTGCGTTGGATCGTACCTAATCAAATGTATGGCTTATTTGATATGATAGTTAACAACTAAGGATTTTCGAGCCAGTACCTTCGATCGGTCTACGGATATGCACCTCTTTTTCTTGATTTCTCAACAGATTCTACATCATCATGGATACTATACGAGTCAGTGGTTCACCTGTACCCTTAGACTATGAAACCATAAAAATCACGCTCGGTCGATGTGCAGATACCGACATACTGAGCACAAGAAATGCCCTCCAGTCAACTGGGAATCATGGAGCTACTGTCACGTTTCGAAGCGAGAAAACTTTAACCGATATACTTGAGAGATCAGGGATCCGTCGAGATCGTGTTCTTCAGGTTGATGGTGATTTTGATGGGATTACGGTTCTGTGTGCTCCCCAGAAGATAGACGTCGAGTGAGTTCTCATACGGCTGTATTGCCATGAAGACTAATAGGATAATCAGTATTATTGCCGTGCATGGGTTTGGCGGTCATGCTTTCAACAGCTGGGTCTATAGGGAGAGAGATGTGAAAACGATGTGGCTCCGCGATATCCTGCCTGAGGAATTCCCAACAGCTCGCATCATGGTTTTTGGATACGACTCTGGGATTTTCACTCGATCTACGGCGAGTGGTACTGACCTAGGAAAAGCCCTCCTTGCATCCCTGGCAGCCAAGAGGCAATATGAGAATGTATGGTGATGAGTGACTTTTATAGCTTTCCATTCCCAAATACCCATCCTTGCCCCTGACTGGTACAACGGTGAGTCTAACATTTGAAATAGGCTCAAGACCGACCGATTCTATTTGTCGCACACAGCTTTGGGGGAATTGTAGTCAAGCGCGTAAGGCTCTGAATGATCATGGCTAAACAAAGATACGTACTTACCACAGAAGGCTTTGGTTACATCGCGCAACCAAAATATATACCCTGAGATTGAGAAGTCAACCCAGGGCATAATATTTCTTGGTACACCTCATCGAGGAAGTGACAACGCAAAATGGGGTCAGATAATTTCAAGAATTGGAGCAATTGGAGGATCCACCCAAACGGAACATTTGAACGTTCTCAGGCAAAATTCACAGGCATTGCTCGAGTTGTCAGACACCTTCCTCGACTTGGCGAAAAACCCGAGGTTGCAGACTGTTAGTTTCTATGAGACTCAAAAAATGAAGGTCAAAGCCTGGAAAAGTGTCAAGGTGAGATCACTGAAAGCCTAAATTGATAGATATCTTTACTGACCTGTCATTGCCCATCTTAGGTTGTCGAACAATTCTCCGCCGTGATGGGTTTACAAAACGAGAGTTCGTTCCCCCTGCAGGCAACACATATCGAGATGGCTCGTTTTCAAAACCGAAGCATCCCGGCATGTGAGCTTGTGCTCTTCCAAATGAATAATATCATTTCTAAGTCACTTTCTCCTTCTCTGGGGAAGAACAGTCTGGAAGTTCCCGTTCCTGTTCGACCCATTTCACGGTGCTCTAACCCCGACAATAACAGTATCCTGGCAGATGGCGGACGCCATTCAGGGGCCACTACAGTTCCAGAAACCCTCCCTACCCAAAAGGACCTCGAGGAAAGAACGAATCTTCTCAATGAGATTAGCTTCGAGTTACAAAAACAGGATACCCGCACAAGCCCAGCCCCGCGTTGCTGTACACTATTCGGCCTGGGTGGGCAGGGGAAGTCTCAGCTGGCCCTATCGTACATGGACAAGCACAGGTCGCGCTATAAGTATATGTTTTTTGTCAGGGCAGACTCAAGGCCTAAGCTAGCCCAAGGCTTCGCCTCTATTGCCAGAAGGCTCAACCTTCCAGGGGCAGACGAATTTGCCGATCCCAAAGACCTACAAAGTGTGGTGCTTGAGTGGCTAAACACTGAGAGTGAGTTCTTTTACACTCTTTCCGTTTCGGCGAAAGGAAGCTCACATGTGAGATAGAAAATACGAAGTGGCTATTGACTTTTGATAATGCCGAGTCAGCAAAGGACCTCGCAGAGTTCTGGTGTGCAGAAGCCCAAGGAGATATTCTTCTAACAACTCGCGATGCGAATATGGCCATGAAACTTCCCACCTCTTCTGCGCATATCGAAGTCAGAGGATTTTCAAAGATCGAAGCCGTGGATTTCTTGATCCGGCAAACCGGCGAAGAACGTTTGGCAACAACAATTGAAACCTGCGAAAGCATCGCGCGGCAAGTGGGCTTTTTGCCTATGGCGTTGATGCAACTGAGTTGTTTTGCATTTGAACACTCGGTGAGCTTATCAAAAGTGAATCAACTGCTTTCTCTAGAAGGTCAGACCGGATTACTTTCAGAGGAAAGCGATATATCGGCAAGGTACTACGAACATTCCTTTAAAACTGTGTGGGCCGCTGATCTCAACTCCCTTGATCACAATTCCGCAGCTTTCTTGAATGTTCTCTGCTTACTTGACCCTGATCACATCCCTGGGACTTTATTTCATGGTAGAGGTCTTGGAAATCCGTTCTTCAAGAGTGAGATGGAGTACGCTTTAGTTTATTTTCTTTTTCCCCATGTGTATTCACCACGACCCTGATCTGACTTTATTTCTAGATACCTTCGTGCATTGCGCCCCCTCAAGAAGTTCAATATCCTGCACAAGAGCAAGGACGACGACCTGGAAATCCACCGGTTAGTGCAACAAGTCCAATTGGATCGTGTGGAGCGGGCAGACCGTAACGAAGCATTTGAAAATGCCCTCAAGGCAGTTCGCACTGGGTTTCCCAAACAGTACCTCGGAATGCATATGAATAGGTTCTGGCCACAGTGTGAAATTTTCTTGCCACATGTTCTATCAATCGAGACTGCCTTTCGACAGCGGAGCTTTGACACCAGCAGTGCCGTGGATTTCGTCAATCTTATATGTGATGCTTCATGGTATTATACATTCTTCCTACTCCCATTGTCCTTTATTATTTTTGCCCTTGCTAACTGTATCGCAGGTATCTGTTTGAAACAGGTCAACTTGAAGAGGCACTTGCTAGACTCCAAACCGCCGATCATCTCTGCAAATCCTTGGCTCCCAGCGAAGCTCTCCACAAGGCACGTGTTTACATTGGCCAAGCTATCATTCATGCTCATCGTAATGAGTATCAAATTGCTGGTCCTTTGTATCAGCGCGCTTGGAGTATCCGCAAACGTCTTTTGGGTTGCGACGATCATCTCCTTGCCAACAGCTACATGCAGGTGGCCCTCACATATACCGCGGAAAATAATCTTCATCAAGCAATCGACTTCCACAAGACAGCAATCCGTATTCGAGAAAAGGCTTCCCATCGCGCGCCAAGCTTAATGGCCCTCTCATATCTCAATCTATCGAGGTGTCTGATGATGACGAAGCAGTACGAAGATTTAGACGTTACATTGCGAGAGGTAGAACTGCGCATAGGAGATTTGGAACCAAGTGAACGTACCGCATTTCTAGGAGGGTGAGTTTTGCCGCCATGGTGCCTTTCCTTTTGATACAATGTGGCGAAGCTGAAACATGTAGTCTATACTACATCCGGGGCAACATGAAATACGAGCAGGGAGAACTTGACAGTGCCCTGAACTGCCATCACAAAGCGCGTGAGCTACGAGAAGCAGACCTCGGAGTCCACTATTACACAGCAGCATCCTATCATAAGACTGCTGTTGTGCAACTTGCGCTACGTCGAAACACAGATGCGTTGTATGTGGAAAATTGAAATTTCATCATGGTTTTATATGGCATCGTGATAAACTAACTCGGCCAAGATCATCTTTGCGGTCAGCACTTGAGATCCTCAACCAGCTCAAAGGAGCTTCAATTTCGGGAAGGCTAGCAAGAACCGAAATTCTCCTATCGCAGGTGTTACAGAGCCATGGTAGTGGCATGCATGCAGAAGCGCAGAAGATGCGTATTGCTGCGTATCAGCACTACAAGGACAGTACTGGTAAAGATATCATTGATGGTAGTACTGTTGACTTTGATTCTTTGGTTCCTTTTATTGACAGATAGCTACTTTGTACCTATTGCATTTTGACATTGTTGTATCATTACTAGTAGTTTCAATGACAGGGTTCAAGTCGAATGAAAGCGAGATTTCTCATTTCCTCAGAGATCTGGAAGGAAGAGGAGAGCTTAAAGCTCTACTCTTAATTAGCTACCTGTATAGGTATGCTCAACTTGAACGTTGGAAGCTGGTAGCCAACTTGGGTTAAAAGATCTACCTTCATCCTCTTTTATCTTTATAAGGGGTAGCCCTGAAGGTGATATCGTATACCTACTAGGTACATATAATATTTTTGGTTCTTTTTGACTCCCGGAACGTTGTTCTCAAGTATGACGAACGACAAACACGTGGATATACGAGATCAAAAGCCAGATCCGTCCGACCAGTCAATACAGGGACATACACCTACAATCTAGTTTGTTCAATGCATGTGGTTGGTCGGTCTATAAGATCTGCGCGATAACCGGGAACACCTGGAGAATGCATGACGTCATGAACAACCTTTAGATATAACTGAGTTGTCTCTGGACGAGATCGCCTCAGATTTAATATAATCCAGATCTGCAAAAATGTCGTCCTAGGGCAAGCGAAACAGCCTAGATGAGTCCGGGACACCCAATCATGCCGATCACCACGCCGAGCACAGATCTGAAGAACCCACCGAGCACACGAGATTACTCCCTGATAACAATGAGGGGTATCTGAGCCCCAACGATCCGGCGGTATGTTTGCTCGAATCGTGTCAATGAGCAGTCGGCTGATTATCTGCAGGTATCACCGTACAATTTATAGAGCGTGCGCGCTATCCGCGGTCTATCAATCGTCGCTCTAGCCCTCAGTTTCATCTGGTGGACATTCCTCCTAGTCTCGATCTTCGTTAGTCTGCCCATGATCCACCCACACGGATCCGGCTTCTTCGCTTTCTCGTATACCAACCACCCTTGCTACTGGGTACCTGGTCCTCGGACTGATGTTCTTCGCTGTGCCGTCGAAGCCAATGACAATATAGGGAATCACGCTTGCGGTGCTACATCTCGTCGATATGATTATCATTCTTACTATGTCTCGCATCCGCCCCGAGGAGGGCTGGGTGGGTATTGCTTCGGTGGTTTGGGTGACGCTTATTTCTCTCTATCAAGTCGTGCAGAATCGGGTGGTTGTGTGGGGGAAGAGGAAGGAGGAGGAACGTCTGATGGGTCGTGAGGAAACGAGAAGATTGTTACTAGAATAGGTTATTGTTTTCGTAGAGACTATTCTGTTGGCTGTTATGGCAGTCGCTGCCGTGTTGTTCACAGCTACGCTTATCCTACGCGCTTTTAATGCTGGGTTGGAGCCTCGCGGTGAAAGGTATTTGGTGAACGGGGACTCATACCAGGTTCATCTCACTTGTGTGGGGAATAAGAGTGAGAACTCCAATTCTCCGACGATTCTTCTCGAGGGCGGTCATAGCCCTGTCGAGCACACCCTGCAGCCTTTTATCGACGATGTGTCTATAATAGGGGATCGATCAGCTGATACTACTATTGGGATTGGTCAGGACTCGGGTGGTCTGATAACGCTCCCTCGCCTTATTCCGTGGGGATGTCGGCAGATATACTTACAGAGGCTTTGGCTCTTGTGGGTGAGACCATTCCCTGGGTACTAGTCTCGGCTGGGGTAGGAAGTCTATATTCCAGACTATTTGCCAGTCGCAACCTTCTAGAAGCCCGCGGCATTTTTATGATTGACCCGCTTTACGAGGAATATCTAGGCGACCTCGGCCGCCCTGGTCGCGGCTTCTTGCTTTGGCTCCGTGGTATCGTCGGGATCCACGGATTGATCTAATGGGATTAATTTATGCTCACCCAAGGAGCCACTAAGGGAGCTTTTGTAGTATAGGCTACCAAAAGCCGGAAACTGAATCTCAGTAAGTTCACGCTCCCATTGTGTGAGACGTTTAATAATCGATATTCGGTTGCTCTCTCCCATTTCATCCCATTTCTTAAAGATCTGGACACCAGGGACCCGCTCTATCACAATATACTCAGCGCCTACTGGGTTGGTTGGTTCGGCACTCCATGCTAAGACCTTAGGCATAGGAATAGTGGTATGTGTCCTGACTGAACAAAGAATTTCCATCAGTTTTATACATTGACGGGATTTAAGTAGGAGATCAATCTTACCGAAGCTTAAAACCGTAACCTTAGATGCTATGCAGTACAAAGGCCTTCCTACATTTGGACACGGAACTTTGACGGTGTATTCCGAGCCATCTGCGGTTGTTACAAGGAGGGCCTTGCTAAACCCACCCTCCATCTTCTCTATCTTCAATACCTACACTGCCATAGCTCTGGGGATACTTGCGATCACATCACAGAGCCAGTCAACATCAAAACGAATATAGCGCTTGGAAAATTGGTAGTCTTCCTCGGAAAGAAATCGGCCATTTGTGTATTTGAACAGCTCTTCTTTGGAGATGGGGTTTCCTAAGGATTGATCAGCATTGCCGACTCAGAACCCTTTTAGGCAGGTCGTACCTCAAAACGTAATAGATAGGTGTCTTTGGAGAATGTCTACAATTAGGCTCCTATTAATAGTTCGAGTCCGTGGGCTGGGACTGAGCTAGCAGCTTGGTATTGTTTGCCACCGCTGGTAGAACCTTCTTTGCCACGTCGAGAGTCATTAAATATTCCTCCCGGGGACTATTCAGAGACTCTGGTAGGTCTGGGTTGAGACTGTGTTGACACCTGAGGAGTGAGCGATTGATGAGAGACTCATCTAAATCACTGGCTGTTGTCCCTTTTTTTAGAAAACAAATCTAGCTATAGTAAGTCCAGGAGAAGGAGCGATACTTACAAGGGCCGCAGTGAACACCAGGACTATGTTGCATAGACCAGGCAAAATCACACGAGGGACCGATGCAAAGGAGGATGACATCCAGCGATTGGGATCTTTGGCTCCCAATGGAAGAGAGGTGAGTTACAAAATATTGAGCATATATCCCTTGCTGACTGCTATCAATTAGATCAAAAATATCGCAGCAGTTGCACACGCTCTCGCTGAGGCCGATACAGCGCAGGTCAGCTATAAATATTTGGAATTAGCAGCGGAATCGAACCATAACTTTTCCAAGGAATTTAGTAGGCAAGGCCCTGTTGAAGGGATGTATGTCTAACGGCATAGACTGCAAACCTCAGCAGGCCATTCCGATATCCAGGTTCTCGGCGGACCCGAACCTATATAGCGATGATTTCGGTTAGTTTAGTACACGACACTCTTAGATATCAAAGTTGAATTACACTCTGCAATGCTCTTATATAGGTCATATCATTCCGTAAAGTTCTCGAGTTCAAGGGTCCGGCTCACATAATAAGTCGGCTGACGATCAGCTTTCTGCCAGTAGATCCCGACCCTCGGATAGGTATGCCCAGTTTGTGGTGGTCTGAGTGATCAGAGTTGCTCACTGATTGGACACAGAGTGGCACTGAGTAATCAGTAAGCATAACTACCTAGTTATTTATGAGCAAAGGTTTACATAGTATCAGTCATCATGCACGTGACTTCTCTGAGCTGATCACTGACTCTGAGCTCGTGCTGATATCTACTCTGAGAGCCTAAGCCTGAGCACCCTCATTAAAGCGGCGGCAGCCCAAATAGGAAATCCCCAAGGGAAAATCCGGTACGTATAGATGCCTATGTACACAAAAGACGCCTAATTTGGCAATTTGCTATTCGGTGCAGCCCTCTACCTAGCAAGTTTTGGTGTGTTTGCCATCACTTTATGGAGTTTCGGATGTCAGATGGTTCTCCGATCCAGACCGTTCTCAATATTACTACCCGATCCTGTCGCTTCAAGGAATTTGATAGAGGAAAGGTTGGCAGATAGTGCGATCCATCCCACCAAGTGCCCATCGAATAATCCAAGCGATTTGACTTTTTCTATTTGGAAAAATCAATACCGTTATGCCATGTCTGGGACCCCGATAGTCCCTTGGCATCGAGGACCTTGAGAGGTTAGGGCTTGGCAGTTGCTCCCATAAAAGTTCACTATTGGGATATGCTTTTCATCCAATGGCTTTTTTGAATTCTCTAATTCAAACAGTATGCTGCGTGAGTTAGTTCTCCTATTCACTTGCATGGCATGGGTGGAATTTGCCATTCATTTTTCTCCATGGATCAAGGTCAGATCAATATAAAACCGACACTATCAGAACTGACATCCTATAGAACATCTCCCAAAACGTTGAACTTTACACTCCTAGTACATTTCACTCCCCAGTGCCATTGACCACATACAATGAAGAGCACACACGTCTGCTTCAGAATCTCCAGCGATCCAGCGGGAAATGGGACTCTACCCACCCTCGACATCGATTGTTAACTGCCTTGCATGGGTATACCTGCTACAAAGACAAAAGTCTAGCTGAGGTGGACAAATGGAGGAATCTTTATAAGAATGTTCCTAAGCGGCAGCGAACGGTATGTTATTTCGTCCTTTCTTTCACGGTTGTTAAGCAAGTTTGGCTAATTGGCCTAGTTGCTCGAGTCAACCATCCACTACACACGTAAAATCAACACAATAGAACATCTGGTCGATACAAACGCCAAGCTATCCAGATCTATTGTTGAGTACGGTCTTTCATTCTACAATATCAGTCAATCTGAGCTAGACGAATTCATCAAAGAAAGTGAAAGTCAGCAGCGGTCCGCTGATAGAACTAGTGTCTCTCAGGGAATGAAGCATTTTGTGCGTGACTGGGCAGACGAGGGTCATGAAGAGCGCCAACAATCCTCTGGGTGCATTTTGAACTCGCTCGCCCAGATGCCACGAACTAATGACAGACCCTTGCGAGTGCTACTACCTGGGTCGGGATTAGGAAGACTGGCGCATGAGGTCGACAAACTTGGAGGTGAGTATAAGTTTAATTATCTGCTAGACTTCCATTGGCTGATTCGAGAGACGTTAGGCTTTGGTGTCACTATGAATGAATGGTCAGCATACATGAACCTTGCGTACCGTTATGTATCCAGTCTCTCCGTCCCCAACAGTGTACAATTCCACCCGTACATCGACTGGTGGTCTCACCATGCGACGACCAATGATCTTCAGCGGTCTATTAGATTCCCAAACGAAGTCATTCACCCATCATCTGTCTTGCTCATTGAGGGAGATTTCACAACGGTATTCACAGAACACACAGGCCTATACGATATAATCGTGACCTTGTTCTTTATCGATACAGCGCGGAACCTAGCCTCATACCTTGAGACTATACACAGACTGCTTCGTCCTGGTGGTCGTTGGGTGAACCTAGGTCCTTTATTGTATGGCACCGCGCCATTTGTGCAGTTATCACTGGATGAGATTGTGGCGCTGAGTAATAGCATGGGGTTTGAGTTCCAGGGGACAGATCCCACGATTGGAAATGTTACATTGCCTGGCTTGCCAGTGCGAGGATTGGAAGTGGCATATGGTCGGAATGGGCGAGGGTTGAATAAAAATGCATATCAGGCGCAGTATTGGGAGGCTGTCAAGCGCTAGGATAGGAACGAAATCCATTTCGTAATTTGCTTTCTCCTATTAGAAATCGAAAATGAATTTAGCTGTATCATCCGAATGTAATAGTTCAACTACGGAAGACATAAGACGAGATAGGGCTACGACCTCCCGTGTCTCTGCTGAGTCGACCCAATATCTTATATGACACCCACCTAATCTAACCACCTATAGCGCAATGAATTTTCCTCCCCGGTTCGCAATTTACACGAAGAAAAAACTGTATCGCTCGGAGAATAAAGTATCAACACTCTTGGCAAGTTGGGATCGGCAGGGACTGTCTAGTCCAACCAAGACATTGGTCCAATATAGCCAAGACTTATCCAAGAAAAGTCATATTGCTCATTAATACTACCACTGTTACCCACAGAATACTATCTAATTGAAGGCCAATGCACAATTTGCCCCATACAATGAGACACCACCGGTGCCAAGCTGAGAACCTTTGGGGCACCAAGACTTCCGCTTTCTTGGCCTCGTAACCACTACTATCTCAACGGAGTGGCAGGTATAAATTCAGGTGCAAACCCGGTGCAGCAGGTCTCTGGCTTGAGAATATTTGCCATCATTATACTGTGCACTTTGAATCCCTCGCCATAATGAGACTATCTATCTACTTCATTGCTATGTTGAGTTCAGTCTCATCTGGAGTCTGGGCCCAAGATCCAGGTCCATCTCCTACTGCTTCAGTTGGATGTGAGCCACACGGAGACCATTGGTTTGTTCTATCCCGTATGTCTTGTCTATCACTCGGCGTTTATTAACGCCCTTTATATAGGCACTGTGACGGTCCAGCCTCGACAGCTGTCTCGGTTACATCAACGACAAGCGAGGTTGTAGTGAGCACCTCCACGCAAGTCACTCCTACAATGCCTAGTCCTACTGAGTCTGTTGGTTGCGAGCCGCATAACGACCATTGGCACTGCGATGGGCCGGCTGAGACGGCTAGTGCATCAGCGAGTGCCTCCGGAAGTGCCTCTGCAAGTGCCTCTACAAGTTCTGGAGACGAGGAAGGAGGTGCGGGAGCAGTCGGGGTGCACGTTTTCCTGCTTGTTGGGTTGTCACTTGTGGCTGCTGGTATGAATGTTTGATATCGACAGATTTGAGGTGGGGGAAAGAGATAGAATTGTGCGTGTTGCTATAGAAAGCCGAAGGTTTTAGAGTACATAGTCTCGCACCGGTCTGTATTGTTCCATTCGAATCCGGGAAGAGCGTTTGATCTTAGTTTCGTTATGGAAGTCCTACACTTTGCACTAGAACAAGTAAATAGGTGCATGTTTGTAATTTGACAATAATCTAGTAAAGTGAGAGTAAAGAGAAACAGAGGAAACACGAAAGACATGACGCTAAACAAACCATGAGGAAAATCAGTGCTCAGTCAAATTCTACATGACAGTAATCAGAGAAAGGCACAAGGTGCTGCCTGAAGCAGTGCTCTAGATAGTTAAACACCTACGTGCATGTCATGTATAGCCCAGAGAAGCGGCCTAATGTATGTGAAGTAAAAAGAGTAAGATAGCGTGCGCGAAATGAACGGCGAGGTTGAACAAAAAGAAAAAAAAGGAAATGCTGGACGGAATGGAACCTAGTAGCAGACGGCCCAACACTAACAGTATGCTACTGCTGAGCAGTATACCGCTAGGATCCAATCTGTCCCGCATTTCCAACAAGGGATCTTAATGGTGGTTGATATAGTATCCCGTATATCTGAATCTTTGGATTGGTGAAACGGGTCAGTATGCAATTCTTTTGCATACTGCAACATTGATGCCCCATTGGTCTCATCCGTGCTCTAAGATGACCGTGTAAATGGCAAATAGCTACATATATGTATGGATTTTTGTGATGAAACAAGAAAGTACCGGAGCGCCTTATAGTCCATTAAGGAGAACCAATAACCTATGTGTCCACTTGATAGTTGACATCGTACCATGTGAGACTTTGGGAGAATACGGTTCAATGTTCTTTTAGATTGATCCAGGTCTTATATGTGGTCAAGATGTCAAGACACTTTGTACTTTGTAAGAAGGGACCTCGGTTAAAAGTGCAAACTACGTCTATACGACACTAATAGGTAATCGATCGTGACATAGGGGATACACGATCAAACAACATACGTAAGAGTAAAGCAATGTTATAAAAGATGACTATTAGTTACTGCTTTGCTGTAGTTCAGCTGTGTGAACAAGATAAAAGCAAGCGAAAGAATTCCAAGAAAGTCCAATGATTTCTTTTTATTTGCTACGTAGAATGATGAATACAGAACGAGTGTGGGAAGAGCCAGCATGGGTATGTATAGCCAAGTCGAGGGGGATGCAGATAAGACGGAAAAGGAAAGGTGGTGGAATCCTTCTCCTTGACAAGAAAAAGAGCAGCCAGAGAACAGGAAGGAGATGAACTTGACCTTAATGTTCCAGCCCTAGATCCTATCCTAATCCAGTGCAGAGATCAAAAATTGGAAGTTGGTTTGGTTGGCTGGTAAAAAAAAACGAGAGCTTCGTGAGTAGTGGGTTACATTTAACAAACAAGACCAAGAATTCAGAACAGGAGAGGGAATAAATCCTGCATTGCACGCTGCAAGAGGGGGGAGGGTAGAAAGATCCAGGTACAGTAGAGGCAGAAGAGGTAACAGCAACAGACTCTCTATTCCTGTCCAAAGCCAAGCGTTTCCTCCACCGCGATAGACATTTTGTGCTCTAGAGCCTCGTGCGTCTTGTAAGGAGGGAGATCAAGACGATTGAAGCTGTGGAAGAACAAGGTTAGCTGTGATACAAGTACAGGAACAAGCATTGAATACATACCAAGTATGCGACTTGGGTAGCGCAGAAGGATCACCAGACTTCTCGATGGTAAACCGTCTGGGGCCATCAGATCCCTGCAGATCCTTAAATCCGTTGACAGGAATACGCGAGGTACCAGTAGTGAACTGGAGAAGACGAGACTTCTGCTCGGCATCCCAGGTGCGGACAATCTTCCAGAAGTTCTGAATGACCTCGTCCTGCTCCTGGTAGCCGCGGTAGTCGGTGTGCTTCTTCCAATCTTCAACATCGATGTCGGCGATACCACCGATAAGCAACTCGAGTTCGCGCTCGTCGAAGACGTTGACAAGATCGGGAGGAATAAGCTCGTTGAAGCCGGACATGAAGGCATCGAACTGCTCCTCGACTCGCTTCATGATCTTCCATTCCGTGACCAACCTATGATACAATTAGCGGGGGTGTACCAGGCTATGGGCTGAGGGGGTTCCACTCACTCAATGTATTGTGGTTTGTTCTCGTTGGTGACGGGAATATCCCGACCACCGGGTATCAAATCAATAGTGCGACGCTCACCAAACTTCTCGTCGTCAACCGAAAATGTGAGTTCCACAATTCCGTCAATGTCATTATCCCTACCATGGTGTTAGTGTGATTTCTCGAAATGAGATTGTATGCACCGAACTTACAGTGTCCATGCCAAATTGCGGTGCAGATCCTCATCCACACCTTCCATATCTTGAAGGCTGACCTTCTTCCGCAACATCATCTTGTAAAAGGCCCCAATGAAGAAGGAATCAAGGAAACGACGGTGGAAGATAGCCAGACCAACCACTCGGCCGATGAACTTGAAGTAATTGAGATGCTCGGGATTCACGCCCGAGTGGGGATTAATCTGCAAGGTATAATTATCGTGGGCAGAGTATTCGAAGAGACAGTAGAAAGGATTGAACATTTCGTGGGAGAGGAGGAAGAAGAATTCACTAAGAGAGTTAGCAAGTTTTGATTAATACTGGATAAAATGAGAACAGAACATACCGTGAAAGACCACCGTAATCAAGACCATCTTCGCCATCGAACTTGATCATTAGGCGTTTCTTGAGATCAGATGCACTCTGACGCATGATTTCGGCATAAGAGTCCTCAAAGATGTTATTACGACGGACTTTAACGTGGCACTGTCCGGACATGATGCGCAACGCGGGTTGGGACCGGAAGTAGATCAGCTTGCGGCGGAAATCACGCTTATACTGGGGCACACCCTGATCCAAAGAGGAGGGGAGTCGTGGATCATCCCATGTAGTCGTCTTGGTGTTGTGGTCGACGAAATATACTCGAGCAGTGTTGGTAAGACGCATCTCCCAGCCGCTGGGGAGAGGCCCCAACTGGGATACGGGCTGCTGTTGAATGGTGGTGTTGTTCGCGCCACCTGTATTCTGTCCCTGACCATACATGCGGATATACTGCTGCCGACGAGGATCGACCCATGTCGTCGTGCGCGTGTTATGGTCCACGAAGTAGGGTCGTCCCTCGGGCGTCACTCGTCGTTCCCAGCCTGGTGGAAGCTCCCCTGTGCCTGCAGTGGTGGCTCCCGTTGCCATCATGGAAATCGCGGCGGCGTTGGACCCGGCGGGGGCTCCAGTTGCGAGAGAGGTTCCTGCGTTAGGCCCGGGCGGTGGTGTCGGTATCTGCTGGGCATCTGGCAGGTTGGGCGAATTGGCGCCAGTTCGGTCTTCTGGAAGCATCCGGCTCTGGTGGGCGCGACGTTCGAGCTGCATGTTTGCTTCGCGCTGCGAACGCTGGGCATGCTCGTTGTAGTTAGCGGCTGGTCGTGACCATGTCGTGGTGCGCGTATTATGATCCACATAATATGTCCGTCCCAAGTTATCTTCACGTCGTTCGTATCCGGCGGGGAGTCGACCCTGACTGTCCTCAAAGGAGCTGAGATTGGCGCGAGAGGGGACACCGGGTCCAGGGGGATTGGTTGGGGCACCATTCATTGGGGGAGGAGCGCCGGTCGGTGGAGCAGTTGCTGGGGTGCGCTGATTCAATGATGAAGTTGATACTGCGGCGGGGGCCGTATCGACAGTGCTCGGGCCAGCCTGCGTTTGAGATGTTGATGCTGCAACCTGGGGCACAAGACCGCTGGAAGTCGATGTCTGGGCCTGTTGACGCTGGAGTCCATTCTGGTTCGGATGCGGGGTGGTGAGGTTTGAGGATAGGTTGATGATCAATTTTCCGTGGACCACGAGGTTGTCGTTTGATTTTTTCAAATCCCTAGTAAGCATTTCTGTGAGGGGGGGCACATGGCTGTCAGCTCAGTTCACGTTTTCTATGACTCGCGATCGGCGTTCTTCGGACGTACCATCACCACCCATCGACAAGTCAATGACATCTCCGATGCGAACATTGATCACTCCGAGGAAACCCTGATCCTTCTTCTTGAATTTCTTCTGGTCGAAGATCTGGATCGCAAGAATACTGTCCTCGTTGACTCTCCTGAAAAAAATGGTTAACCCCGATCACGCTTTTCTCTCCCTGACAGCGAGGAATTATCACGATAACACATACAAATCGAATGGCTCATTCCAATAGGGATTCAGAGTCTTCTTGATTACAGAGGTTGTATGTGTTTGCTCTCCTCCAACAGTAGCCACAGCGAATGGATCGGGAAATCCTAGAAATGGTCAGCTTCAACCCCGCAGTACTCGATCAATGGAGCCACCACATACGGAAGACATCGCGTTTGTACAAGCCGTCGGCCGCGATAACTAAAGAGCAGAGGTTAGTTACGGATGCGGAACCCCGCAGAGTCGAAAGTCGATTCGAAATGAGAAGCTCTTACTCGTGACCCGGAGATTTGGCTGGCTACAATTCATGTCAGCGATGATCTGAAGATCCAGATCTGGATGCTCGTGAGTCCAACTTACGCTGGGAGATTTGACGCCATATTTCCGATCAACCAAAGAACAGCGCGGGCGCGCACATTCACCAAGGGAAAAAGACCAAACCGAGTTTGCCCAGGTCAAAGCCCGGAAAGAGTGGATAGGTTGGTGACTTTGCAAGTTGGTGGATGTTGGAAGAGGAGAAAGAGAGAAAGGGAAGGGTTAGGTGCGCCCGGGTTTGGGGTACTCGGACTACGTATTCACTATGTACGAGATACCCGGTCAGTACTTCCCTGGGGCTGAGTAAGAGATTTATTAATATCTTTTCATATTTGCTATAGAATATTATATCATACAAATCATACAATTAATATGAATATTTTTTTTTATCAAGTTTCCTAGTCATACGTAATAGAGAATATATAGCGGGTGCGGGCGGGTAGAGTGGCAATTTGATAGAAATATAACGATCACAGCAAGAGCATAGCCATATTTAGGCAACCGTATTCGAAGCTATAGATCTCTATACGCTTTTATATACCTCTCTTAAGATCTTATGTATAGAAATTGGTATAATCCATGGTCCTATATCAGCTGATCACTACATTACTACATTAAATATAAGACCAATAGCTAAATTAATAGCAAAATTGATAGCTAAATTGATAGCTAAGCCAATAGCTAGCTATTAACTCTTCTTTTTTTGCTAATTCTCTGCCCGGAAATTATTGTACAGCACGGATCCCACAACTCCAAAGCCACACCTAGAGAAAATGAGATGATCAATTCAGATGGTCCTGAAATCAGACAGACCCGAGATTTCCAGGAACATCCTCAAAACACACTTAGTAAGGTGAGAAACCACGTCCCCGACCCCGGAAGCTAGCACCACCACGATATCCACCACGGGGGAAGCCACGACCACGAGGGAAGCCACCCCGGCCACGGCCACGGCCACGGTGCATACCAGGCAGGTTGGTACGCTTAGGAACGACCTGTGATTCGACATCAGCAAGTGTAGACAAGAATAGTATGAACAATTAGAAACCGACCTTCAAATTGCGACCGCGGAAGACACTCTCATTCAACACCAGAGCCTGAGCAACCAGGCTAGGTTCCGCGAATTCAACGTAAGCATAACTGCAGCACATTGTCAGCATAGATCCGTCTATATTCTCCTTCCATTCAGCTTCTCACCCTTTGGGCTGGCCAGAGAACTTGTCCAGCAAAATGGTAACCCGGTTGATGGAACCACAGCTCTGGAAATGAGCCTGAATCTCCTCTGGGGAAGCACCGTAATCGACATTGCCCACGAAGATGCTACGCGCATCAATATCTTCTTTGTTCTCTTGCAAGCTCACGGTTTGCTGATCAAGGTCGGCCTGCATCTCGCGCAGCTTAGCAGCCTCGGATTCCATCTCGGCCACTCGTCGCTTCATGGCCTCAATCTCTTCCTATAAGGATCAATCATATTAGCGGGGGATGCCTTGTATATGAAGAAAAGTACGCGACATTGGTATGAAAGAAATAATTCAATGAACTCAAACAAAGAGTGGGAATTGCTTTCAGGGCAACGGAACAACCCCGATTACACCTACCTCGTCATCTGCGCCATCTTCCTGGGATGGGATCTGCTCCGCCTTGACCTCCTCGGGGATCTCCTGGCCTTCGGCAGCCATTTCGTCGGTAAAAAAGGAAAAAAAGTCGGGTTGGGGGTATTCGAAGGGTCGGTGAAAGCGCCGGGGATACCGATGAGGGGAGCAAGTCAAAGCTCTCCGAGGGTCGGTCTGATCTCTGCGCCTCAAATTTGATAGATAAAAATGAAGGTATTGAGATGCTTGAAGTTGGAAACTGCCCAGATGGTTTGGACGAATCAACAAAACCCTCTGTTCAAGACCTCTAGGCGGTAGAGAATTGAAGTTCTGGGATTTGGCAATGAGAGGCTTTCTACTTTGGGAATAGCGCCATTGGCGCCTGGGATGAACTGGCGGTATACTGCCGGGCGGTATATACCGCCCTGACGCGTTCAAAGGGAATTGTTGCACTACACACGAACTTTCACCTGATAAAAGCTCCGGTGATTGGTATGATTTCTATAGCATGAGTATGCATGTACAAAGTACATGACTGTTGGGGTAGAAAAATATCAGCATGTACATGAATATACTGTAAAGGAGGTCTGTCATTGTTTAACTAGAAGAGAAATATAGTTGGAAGGATGGATCATTAGAGTGCCTATATACAATCTTCTTTTGATATAGTCCTTGTCTCTTGCAATCGTATAATATAAAATAATCTTGATACTGAGTCAACTAAATCAGACATCATAATTTAGAACTCTTATTCAACACGATCACAAAATGAAAGAGATGGATTCAATTCTATCAGGTGAATCCTGTCATGGGGGCCAATGGAGGGTGTTAGGGCAAGTAAAGTAGCTTGTAGTGATAGATCAAACATCATAAGCGATGTTGAGGAAATGACTCGATTCAAGGTATCATGTATCAAATTGAAAAAGCATGGAATCTGCAACAAAGTAGAAGGGAGAAGAACATATGACCGGGCGAAAACCAAGGCGATTATTTACACGGAGGGAGAAGGAGGAGAAGTAGGATTGGGGACATCAGGAAGCCGGGGGATGGTTCTTGCGGAAAGAGACCTTCTCAACAGCCACATTTTCTACCCCATTAGCATCGGTCTTCAACTGATAGACGTACAACACAAGGACATCACCTTGGATCTGTTCACAGTCAGTATTTACACTATCCTTTAACTTGATTAGGGCAACTCACGTCCATCAGGCAGAAACTTGGCGTAGGCTCCTCGCCATCTGGCCAGAAGCCCGAGCTCATGGCACCCGTTGCGCTTCCTGGGTTGATAAAGAACCGACCCTCCATCTCAAATGCCTCAAAACGGTGAGTGCCACCCCACAGCAGGACATCAACATCCATCTGGCGGGCCGCGATAAGCAGTGCGTCGGCATCGGCGGGTGGCACGATGGTGTGGCCATGGGTGAAACCAATTCGTAGACTGCCATGGTTCACGATCTTGGAGAGAGGAAGATTAGGAGAGTCGACATCGTAGTCACCCTTGACCATCTGCAGGTCTGGAGCTACCTCGCGGAGGAAATCATAGGTCTCGCGGTCAGTCAGGTTGCCCAGACAAAGAGTCTGGCCAATCTTGCCGGGGGTCAGGAGTTTGCGGAACTAGAATTGACGGACAGTGTCAGCGGGTCTGGAAGGAAGTGTAGTGTAGAATAAAGACGGACCTTGGCTGGAAGATCCTAGACGACGTGTTAGCGGAGACAGTGAAGCTGAGCTGAGGACAGCTTACAGGAGCTCGGTCAGGGATGAACAGGTCACCAATGACCAAGACCAAACGAGCGGTCATCCTGGATGGTGCGTGTGGGGTAGATCGAGGTCAATGGGCGATCCACGAGGATCGGAAATTGGAGCAAGCCAGAAAGAAACAACGCCTGTTGGCTTCAGCCTGATGGAGCTTCGCGGGGAAGAGCAACTAAGCAATGCCCTAAGCCCTATTTTATATCTCAATTCGGCTAGCGCTATCTGTTATGTATGAAGCCATGATCCTTTTAAGGAAGTCTCGCATGCTTTTCGGTTGATGATCTAATCTATGCATTTGTATTCCACCCTATATTGGTTCGAAGGTTTCCTAGCTCTTTGCGGAGGTCTCCGGAGACCAGGGGACATGATAATACATACTACATGCTACTTTGGGGTTCGACGGTTGAATGAGTAGCAATTGCCGGGCAGACACATTGTGATTAATATATCAACAAACTGGTATTTCTATACAGGAATATAAGGAAAAAAGCCGGTTGAAAAAAGTATCCGAATGCTCCTATCCCCAATATGCAGTCAACAGTATATCGATATGAACAATCTTGGATTGCTAATAAAATGATATAAAATGACAAATCTGAAGAATACCCCAGATTAAATATCCACAAATTCATAGAACCATACATCGTATGTAGACTGTTGGGAGGATCCGCCTTTTTTTCCCCCTAAAAACCTCCCTTCGAAAGTGACTCATTAAGTACCTTCCCTCTCACTCTCACATGCACTCGGTCCCATCATCCGAGTGAGCAAATCATCGAATCCCAATCGGTATCTTGGCCAATCCACTCGGCGGCGATCCCCGAAATCTCGTTACCCTCGGGAAGTCCAATCTCCTTTCACGCGAAATACCCCGCGGCGCGCCGCAATCGGAAAACTGGCGTCCAAAGCTACGGAGCGTCTGAGCCTGATTTCCAGACACCTGGACCAGCGCCTCCCGTTACCTGACCTTAATACTCCCTTCTCGACCGAGAGAGATTCATTATTCCCTGACGACGTTGAATATAAACCCATTGATCGCTCTATCCCTGCCCAACAACCTTCCACTATGTCTGCTCAAGCCCCGCACAACACCCTCCTGATCCCAGGACCCATTGAATTTGACGATGCCGTTCTCCAGTCCATGTCCCACTATGCGTGAGTTATCCAATACATGCTATAACGAACCGTCAACTAACTCATCTAGTGAGAGCCATGTCGCTCCTGGCTTCGTCAAGGTGTTTGGCGAGACTCTAACCCTCGTCCGTAAGCTCTTCCAATCCACCAACCCCACCGCGCAGCCCTTCATCATCTCCGGAAGCGGCACACTGGGCTGGGATCTTGTCTCCGCCAACCTGATTGAGCGTGGCGAGAATGCCCTCGTTCTTAACACCGGATACTTCGGCGACTCCTTCGGTCAGTGCCTCGAGACATACGGTGCCAACGTGACGCACCTCAAGGCCCCCATCGGCGATCGCTCCTCGCTCGAAGAAGTGGAGCAAGCCCTCAAGGAGAAGGCATACAAGCTTATCACCCTCACACACGTCGATACCTCGACCGGTGTGCTCTCGGATGTCAAGGGCGTGGCACAATCGGTTCGCCGTGTTAGCCCCGATACTCTCGTTGTCGTGGACGGCGTGTGCAGCGTTGGCTCCGAGGAGATCGCTTTCGACGAGTGGGATCTCGATGCCGTCCTCACAGCTTCGCAGAAGGCCATCGGCTGCCCCCCCGGTCTGAGCATCGTCATGACATCCGGTCGTGCCATCCAGGTCGCCCAGTCCCGCAAGACCCCTCCCGGCGCTTACTACGCCTCCATCGCCAATTGGCTTCCCATCATGAAGAACTACGAGAACAACAAGCCCTCTTACTTCGCCACCCCTCCCACCCAGCTCGTCCACGCCCTGCACACCACCCTCCAGCAGATCACCGCTGATGTCCCCGGCCGCTTCGCTATCCACACCGAGGTCTCGGATAAGGTGAAGGCTGCTGCTGCTGAGCTTGGTCTCAAGCAGCTCGCTGCTCGCCCTGAATGCCAGGCTCATGGTATGACTGCTCTTTACCTGCCCGAGGGTCTGTCCCCGCCTGATGTTCTGCCCGGTCTGCTTAAGCGTGGTGTCATCTTCGCAGCTGGCCTGCACAAGGAGATCGCTTCCAAGTACATCCGATTCGGCCACATGGGTGTCAGTGTCACTGATCCCAAGCGTGGTGATGTTGAAAAGGCCCTGACTGCGCTCAAGGAGGCTCTGGCTGAGGCCAAGCAGGCCAAGGGTCTGTAAAGGCTGTACTCAGGCAGCTTGGATGTAAATGGGATCACTTGGACTTACTTAGAGTAAGCCTCGTAGATTATATATTGGTTAAAACTACAGCAATGAATTATTGATCATAGACACATTTATATTCAGTGGTAAACCTGTCTTGATTTGTAGGATAGCATCATAACTTTGGGGGTTGATGAAAGTACTATCCACATCATCAAAGCAACAGTCTTGTCATTCACTTTCCCTTTCCTTAATAGTATCTAATCCTCGACAACCCACTATCTACTTACTCCGTACTGCCCCAATGAAACAGACTAAGCTGCAGGTACCCGCCGATCCTCCACATCCTGGAATCCTCCCTATTGGTGCACCTATCTAGACCCAAGGCCCTAGCCGACGATCGTTTCAGACAGTAGAAACGCAATCAAGAATGTAATATCGTGTCAGAACGTCCTCCGTGCAGCTTCTCCCTTTGCCTTACTAGCTCTTGGCACTGGTATATTGAGACACATCTGCTACACCCCTATACAAAGGGGCATTGACCAAACCGAGTTCTAGGAGATGGGAATGATTAGGATACCTAATTAATGACTGGATAGTACGGCCATCACATCATCGACCTCTCAGGTTCACTCGAATGAAGTCTTAGTATCTCATCTCTGCACGTAATATAATTTATCGTTTTCTTTGATGGCTTCCTCCAATAACGCAATTGCGAGAACAGAAAATATAAAGAAAGAAAGTCGCTTATCTTTAATCATGCAATCGTAAATAGACCGTTCTATCCATGAAAGAAGCCCAGACATTGAGCTATACATGTCGCCCGACTCTCCACCTAGTGGCGATCTTGCTCACAATCTCAAGAGCCTCAGCGACGAACAAATTGTCAACATGGCACTACTTCTCTATCTTCAGGTACTGCTAATTAATTTCGATGGTATGCAGGCAGATTGGAAGCCGAACGCCGCGCCTTAGAGGTGAAGAAAACGGACGAGTAGAAGGTCTACGAAGCACGGGTGGATGGGTATCTTTGCTACCAGCGTGATGGAAGTAACCCGATAATGGCCATCATTGAAGTCAAGCCCTATATTCGAGGGATCCACCCCGCTATCGATCTCATTCGAATGCAGAGGGGAGGCCAGGTGGCTGCGTGGATTTGCCAGCACCCTCCGCCACCTTCTGAGCTCACTTCAGATCCAAGTCGGACGTTCAGGCCAATTATTTCGGTACAAAGACTACTTCTACTACTGGGAGAAGCTAACGGGGACAAATTTGCTGACATGAGATTGCTAAATAGTCGCCTACTTGTCTCCCAGGATCGTGAGCATATTTATCTAACATTTGCACAGTTCAATTCTGAATATGTGCACTATATTCGTGAGACCTTTCCGGGACCAAACATTTCGACTCCCTTGGGCAAGATTACACCAACTGCTCGGAGTCAGGAGTCGCCGCCTGGATCTAAGTTTCTGAAATTGAATGAATATGGGTCTTTTTTCGTTGGAAACGAAAGCCATATGGTTTCATTCGGGCTGATCTTACTGGCTTTTGCCATTCGGGAATGTGAGATCAGGGACAAAGCATTTGAACATGCCCACAATCAGGGTTAGAGCGATATATCCAAGGTGCTTGTTGTGAAGAGAAATGGAAATTGGAAGGGGACGTGGTTGGCAAGCAGAACACATTGGGCCTTTTGGTGCTTTTAGATCCAGCCGCCACGCAGTGGACAGATTCTTTGACGAAGCCGAAGAGATTGGCGGCGGAGTCGGATATAGCTGTAGGAATTTCAATATAACCTGGAACCTAGAATTATGATGAAGCCTAAGGGGATTGATAACCGTCTTCTTTGAGCAGTGGGGAGAACGATGAGCTGCTTCACTAGTTTCTAGATATTTTAAACTGTTCAGTAGATGGTCGAATAGAATCTTATTTAAAAATAGTCCATCTACTAATAATTGTCTGTCGAGGGGCTTATCTACGAGGGTTTTACATTTTACATCAGGAGAACCCACCTAACTGAACGCACGCATCTCTCCTACATAGCACATCCCCTGCTTTTCCAGTCCACTTATAGTAAAAAATAGGAGCAAACCCTTATTTATCAATCTAATCTATATATCAGTGAGACTATAGAAGTCGATAATTTTTTTCATTGGAGCAGTAGAAACCTACCTAGGCTTCAGGCCCATGGTAATTAGATGCCCCTTTGAAAGGGTAGCTCACAAGTACTCAATACGCCTATATATTTAGTAACCTAAGAACTTAGATAGCTAGAGGATATGTAGTAATAAGAGTAGCTCGCCGCTTATGTAGCCTCAGTCTTCATCGAGAGACTTTCTAATAGACTGACATTCTAGCAGTCTTGGATATTTCCTTATAGCCTTCTGTAAAGATATTCCTTGCCTTTATTAACGGTATTGTTTATTGAAGAAAAGTATCATTAGCTGCAAATTATCGATGGAAATCACTGAAATCCCAGCCAAGTGTTTGAATTTCCAGCCAAGATACCTCATGTCGGGTCCCCCAAGCCCTCATAGTTCGTCCCTAAACAGCCCTGGAGATCATCGATCATCCGGGCGGCCTGTGGGTCACGGGCCGAGGTCAGACACGTGGACCTCACGAGGCGTACCATGAACAGAAAAGATATGAAGTGTAGGAGATTCGTATTCAGCTGTTCCAAGCGAGGTCAACAGAGCAAAGGAGTTTTCAACATCTATCCCCGGGATTAGTCATGGTCTTCGCAGTGCTGACACTGTCAGAGACATGAGTTGTGGGGCCCACCGGAACGCTCGGCAGGGTACTACGATGACCTTGAAGAGCCTACGCCCTGCATGCCTGGTGCTTCATCGGGTCAGACAGGATATCTGAGGGAAAAAGGAAAGGCAAGAATATGACGATCGCAATGGTTGCGCAGGTAGCTCTGCGGCTGTTGTCAGGACTCGGGAGCAGTGAGCTCGGAGGTTTGGGGTAAGAATGATGCTGGGCGCGACATGATAGGAGCCTCTCAAGCCGCCCCAATATACTAACCAGTAAACGAATCATTTGATTGAGAACAGACACACTAAGGGGGTTTGGCCCCGTTTCAGTGGTCCCACTTAGAATTACTCCAATGAGATCGGCTGACTTGATGCTTCGCCTCGCTCGCTTTTAGGCTGACATTTCCTTCCGGTTCCAAGAAAACTCTTGTCGCTAACAACATCGGCCAAGACGTTTGATCCCTTGGCTACTCTGGGCAGTTGTGGTCACCTTGAGGACAATGAGGTTCCAAGGTGCGGGGCATATTGCCATTCTGGCCTTGCACATTCTACCATTTGCCAGCCAGGTCTACGCGCTTGACCTCGATATTAACAATGAAGGTGAGAGACTGATTCAATCACGGAGATATATATCTCTTGACAATATTCCGTCATTCCAAAGGCCACATTGCTAATTAAATTGTCTTTCCAAAATGAATAGAGTCGATCAAAGATGCCGGGAACATCGCTGCCTACAACATGATGACATGGTATAAAGAAAACGGAACAGACAACCCCGGTTTTATCTCAAGGTCCTGGTGGACCGGAGCTGCTTTATTTCTCGCATGTCTTAATTATTGGCATGCTACAAACGACACAACTTATAACGAGGAGGTCAGCATTGGGATGCAACATCAGGGCGGCGCGAATGGAGATTACATACCTTCGTGGGCAGTAGGCGTAGTACGTATTCATTTCAACATATGTAGTAACCATTCTGACAGTTCTATAGGGAAATGACGATCAAATGTTCTGGGGCCTCGCTGCAATCACTGCAGCGGAATATAATTTCCCCAATCGTCCAACTGGCGATACCTGGCTCACTCTTGCGCAAGGTGTTTTCAATAGCCAGACATCGCCAAATGGGAAGGGCTGGGACACGACTGTTTGCGGTGGTGGCCTTCGCTGGCAGAAAGAAATGTGGCAAAGTGGTTATACCATGAAGAACGCGGTGTCAAACGGTGGCTTTTTTATGCTCGCAGCACGCATCGCTTGGTTTACGCAAAAGGAGAAGTATGCGACGTGGGCTGAGAAAGTTTGGGACTGGTCTAACTCGGTAAATTTGGTCAACAATAAAACCTGGGCAGTGGCAGATAGTGTGAGCGAAGGCACTGGGGGCCCCAATGGCTGCAGTCTTCCTGATCATACCCGGTGGACCTACAACTATGGTACCTATCTGTCTGGTGCTGCTTATATGTATGCCTATGTAAGTATTGTTCTTCTATTCCCCTACTCCTTCGAAAACTCAGCACACCACACTTCGTTTGGACATGCTAATAACAACTCTTGTCCTAGACGAACGACACTAAATGGTTGGATATCACAAACAACTTAATGGACTCATTGTTTACTACGTTTTTCCTACCTGAACACGGGGGTGTGATCACGGACTGGCGGTGTGAAGCCGTGGGCCAATGCTATAAAGACGCGAATGGTCCACTTTTTAAAGGCCTTACGGTTTCATGGCTTGCAGATATTGCATTGATCATCCCTTCTCTTGCAGAAAAGATCATACCAAGACTCGAAGTTTCTGCCGAGGGTGCTGCAAAGTCATGCACCGGCGATGGCAAAAACCTCTGTGGTAACCGCTGGTACGGCGGGTATGATGGACAAAATCAGATGGAAAATGCAATCAGTGGTAGTCAGATGATGAGCGCTGTGATGGTGAAATATCTAGGCGCGTCTTCGAAACCAGTCTCGACAGCAACAGGAGGAAACGCCACAAGCGATCCAAGTGCTGGTACTAGGGAAAGCGAGGGACCTGCACCGCTGCCCCCTATCACAACGGCAGATAAAGCAGGAGCTGGAATCCTGGCAGTGGTTTTCGTGGGTGGTATGATAGGCGGGGTGGTCTTTATGTTTTTGGGCTCCTAAGCCCCCCTAGAACATGAGTCTAGTTGGGTGATTGCTTTCATATCTCTCGCGGTTCTTAACCCTGTACAATGCCTTTCTTGTGGTCGTGCAACTTCAAAAAAGCGCGTACCCATAACCGATTGCCCAGGTGGTTATAAATCGGTTTTATTTCATCTTCTCCCGCTGGGGCTTGACAGCTGTAACATCTGCTCGCTTGGGGATCACGTTGGTCAGTATCCCCTTTATCAGAATCTTGTACATTCTTACAAAGTTCACAGACATTTCTGTGGTGTGCGGGCCTGAGGCCACTGGTAGTTCATAGATAGACGGGAGCTTTACTTTCTTTCTGACACAACTTTCTCCCTCCCTTTGATCCCTACAACTTGCACTGCCCTATAAGTTTCAGCACTGAGTGTCGTTTTACACTTGAACGGCCTGCACATCGAATAAACTGGCCGCGAGTGCAATCATCGCGAGACCAGAAGCGTGCGAATCTCAAGACTTCAAGCCTGCAATGAAGATCTTTCGACCGAGATATAAATGCCCTAGGTATCGGAGTCTCTACAATACTGCATGTCATCGATGGGCAATCCAACCGCAGGCCCACAAAACACAAGTGCAAACAGGAAGTAGTCAGTACTTACATTTGCCACAAAAAGACGGTCATCAGGACACGAGAGGAAATAATAGAGCTCACAATGGGTCCTAAACAGTCTACAGAAGCTGAGGCGATGATGAAGGCGATAGCCCTATAAGATTGTGATGGTCCCTGAAAAAAAAACCCCGTCACGATAATTTGACCCTGAACTTCAACAATCTTCCATAAAATGCCTCCTTCGATCCCAATTGAACAGCCAGCATTTTTGCGCCAGCCCCCTGTTCAGCCAAAGACGGCCCTACCTTGGGGATGTGCGGTCTGCGATAAGAAAGAGGACCTGAAAACCTGCACTGCCTGTGGTGTGTTATCTTACTGTAGTAGAGATCACAAAAAGACTCGAGCGACGTTAGATGACATACATACCCGGTTGGGGCCTTACGCTCACAATCCCTCGCTCCCCAATGCGCGCCGCCCATTACAGCCAAGCTATACCCTTCTTGTCTCTCTTCACTGCGTTAGATCAATGCCAGCATGGCCTCCAATTCACTTAGGTCCGGTCGCTCTGCAGAGTTTGTACGCGTGCAAGCCCCAACAATCCGGTCAAAGGGTGGAGGAATAGGCCATTCGACTTCTGAAGTCATTGGAATATTTGCGTAGATGATGCATTTGATGACAATACCAATATCATAAATATCGGATTTTTCAGTCCAGTTAGAATTCAACGTATCTTCGAGCACTATCTCAGGTGCACTGCGCCGTCCCCAGCGACCCTCGAGATCAGCGAGAACTAGTGTCTGACCATCTCTTGAAAACAACAGGTTATCGATGTGGAGATCGCGATAGACAATTCCCAATGAATGAAGAACTTTCAGCGCGGTAATGATATGTAAAATCCATTTCTTGTAAATGGCTATCGAGCAGAAGCGACCAAGGGCGAAATATCGCGGATCGAGCTTTTCGAAAACAAGCTCACCGACGGGAGATTTGCCAAGCAGCTGGATAATATGCGGTGACAGTGGTGTGCCTGGGCAACTGCCTCCTTGACATTTGAGGAGGTTTTCAACTTCGCTCCGGTATTTTCCTTTCTTTGTAAAATGACGTAAAGGATCTACCTCTATCTCAGGCAGTCGAGCAAGAATAGGTGTGAGATCCTCTGAATCTTCTTCGCGGTTCGGAGGCTGTGGTGGATTGGTGATTTGACGGATAACATCGCCGTTGATTTCGAAATGACCTTTGATTAATGGCAAATCCCTACGCAATCGAAGAATATCCCCGGATAGAGAGCCTGGAATATAAACTAGTCGAACAAAGGTGCCGAACGCTGCTTCGTCTTGTTCATCTTCGTACCAAAAACTCTCTATCACTCGACCCCCTACTCTTTCAGAAAGAACCTCATAAGCCAGTTTTCCCGAAGGAGCGCACAGGTTAGAACGATTCCGTAGAGCCATATAGTTTGACCTGAGATCTTCAACGATTTTTGGGAAAGAATGATTTTCAGGCATGATCCAGAATCGAAATGATCTTGTGGGTTCGAGATTTACGATGCGATTAGACGTCCATGTCGGGTACAGCTTAAGTACAGCTTGTCTTTGGCCCAGGTACTTGAGCGGTGTGCTACGTGAGAGATTCGCTGCAACGTTAGCTCACACCGCTCCTCAATCTGTAGGTGAGATGGCAAGGACCAGATTGAAGCAGGGGTATAGTAGGCTTAGTTGACTTAGACTGCTGGCGTGAATCACAGGAGAAAGAGCTAGATGACAGTCAAGGTCCGGATATGGCAGGTTCTCCTTGGAAATGGATCATTAACACATGACATGCTCGAAATACTCGTTTCGACTTCATATTACTACCATAACTGTCAAATTTTACTCTGTATACGAAATTTAGCATTATGCTAAGGCGCTATCACATTCTCTGCCTAATCTTGTATGGCATATTACTTTTATAGTGTAACTGAAGATCATTTCATAGATCGGAGTATGATCATTTACCTGTATATAATTGAGATAATATACATAAAGCACGGGAAGAAACCTGGACACCAGTAAATCCACTGTTGAGGTGGGTAAATCTTTCCAAAGTAGACTGTTGTAGCCTCTTGGATGCACTCTTATTTAGAATCATCACCAACTGGTGGCTTGTCATGCTCCCACCCCTCAATATCTTTCTCCAGACCACCTTGAATCGTCCCACCCCCTTCGGATGACTGAGAATTTTGTTTCTTCCGCTCCGCTCGGAGCTGTCGCCATTCTTCCTGGCTCCGCCCAGGCTCTTCTATGCGTTTGCCAAAGGCGTAACACGGCGGAAATTTCAAATCAGAAAACAGCGGTAGTTCTCCTTTGTCGAGTTTTCTCATATCTGAGTAGGATGCAAACGTGAATGCCTCAATACGCGCATCCTTCCGCATGATGTATGTACCTCCTCTCCGACTGGCATAATGAATTGGCTGTTGCAAACTCTCCTGAATCTGGAGCCGCACATCTCGATCGCACTCAGCGCGGAAAATATCGTAACAGATATACACATAGTCCGGGGAGCCGAGCATTTGAATTATATTCAGGCTTATCTCAAAGTCAGCGTTTGGTTTCCCAACTTCCTTGAGTGCGGCGCGACTGATGTTCTCGGCAACCTTCTTTGCCCAGGGAATGACATCTGCAGAGTGTCGGGACTTCTCAGGACCATATTTAGCCTTGAGAACGATTCGCACAGTGAGGTCATTTTCCAATGCCGTGCGAGTTTGGGGGTCTGGAATTTGAAACTTCTTGTCCGTCATAGCGGTGACCGTATAAGCGAGGCGTATGATTGATGAGGGATGTGACCAGTGTAGATCAAGTGCCCGGTTAGAAGATTCTAAGGAAGTTTGTAAGTCGGCCGCGAAGGTTAAGGTAAAGGAGAGGTTTGTGTACATCACATAGAATTATCGTGTGTCGAGAATGCTACTGTAGATGGAAGATCGAAACAATTTCATCGCTTGCATGCACACGGAGAGTCTTTCGCGAACTGTGCCCGAAACACACTAATCTATACATAGAACGAGATGACGGATTTCTCAATCATTGATGGCCGTCTGGCTTCATGGGCGCTAAGCATTCGCCTTTCATTGGCCAAGCACACTCATTAAACCGGCCTACCTAAATCATGTTTCTTTTACGCCCAGATACTTGAAATTGGGGATTCAGCCGGGTCAAAAAGGGTACTAAGAAAGTCAGGTCAGGGAATATCCAGCTGGGCATCTGTAGTCTATCACAGTATATAAATTACAGATACAAAATAAAATACAGCCCATAACAAGAACTTACAATACAAAGCGTATCAGCTCGCGATAGCTTCTCCATGCAAGCTTCAACCTTCCAACGTCTCCCAAGACCTCAATTAGTCTTGCCTTAGCAATCATTCACTATGGCCAAGGAAACAAAAACAAGGACACTCCATGTCCAGCCCGATAAAATCCAAGACCACTCCAATGACGGCGAGGATGACGATAAACAACATGCTTCATTCCATCCGCGCCATATCACCCTTGAGACCTTCCAAAACCTGCTATCCCACTACCCTTCGACGGTAGAGCGAGTGCACCGCGGCAAACTGATGCTAAAGCTGCAGTCAAAGGCAGGAAAGGGATCAAAGCGCAAGGGGCAGACGAAAACAGAGCTTGACCCGTCCCAAGAGAAGCACATTCTCGAAGAGACAGACAAATTCCTCCAGCTTGATCGCTGGCGGTACGAAACTTTACCAAAGTTCATCGCAGAGCGGTCGAGAGAGGGTGACCAGAAAGGAAGTGTACCGGAAGGAGCACATTTGCTCAAGGAGGAGTTAATTGACATAATGGAATGGAAGACGTGAGTATCAATCCGCTGTAACTATGCTCACATATCTGAATTTCTGTGACTTAATTCTAGGAAACACGGCGTCTCCCGTCCTATGCTTATGGGAATGGTGAAAAGCAACACAGTTGCTACGATCACCAAGTCTACATCTACGGCTTTCGCCGCCCTCCCAGATGTGGATCCTGTAGTTGCACCGAACGACGCATTCCCCCAAACCAGTCTGGATGCCCTTACTGCGCCTATCCGTGGTGTCGGCCCGGCTACTGCATCTTTAATTTTATCCATCGCCACAGTCTTCGCCGATGCTAAGAAACAAGTCCCATTTTACAGTGACGATGTGTACCTTTGGCTATGTTTGTCAGACTTTCCAGAGGGTCCGAATCCCGAGGCGCAGAAGCCTTCTAAACACAAGAAACCTAATGGGGAGTTGATTGCCAAATACAATGTGAATGAGTATCGAGATCTGTGGAATGCTTCACAGCAGCTGCGGGCGCGATTGAACAATAGCGTAAGAGAGAGGTCTGGGGATGGACCTGTCTCTTTTATTGATATTGAGAGGGCTGCTTATGTGCTCCGCAATATCGCTGTCTCGGACTACTTTACCTCCCAAGATCCTGAGGCTGGTTTGAAGACTGAGAAACTTATGGACCCGGCGGAGAGTCAGATAGCAAAGCAAACAAAAGATGAGTCTGGGGAGCTAGGGACGAGACGGAGTAAGAGGATAAAGCATGAAGCTGCGTGATGTCGAATCTGTATATTATTAAGGGATGACCTTCTCGCCGCATGTATACAGTAGCTTATGGCCTTTTATATTCGCCTGTCACCTTCATGCTTCGTCGCCCATATTCCATGTGTGCAATAATAGCATCATGAGGAAAACCACCTACCTCGCCGTAAGATCAGAACTTGAATTCGACCAGCAGGTCCTCAAAAGTATTGCTACGGTGATATACAACTCACTTTCTACCATCCAATTTCGCTTAACCGCTGCACCATCAACTAGCTATTTAAGACTTATCATGTATGCAGAATTTGGGTGCTACGCCTGCTAGACGACAAAACGGGAGAGGGGAAAGGATTCGAGGAGACTGCTTCGATATGATCCAAGAATCTCGATATAAGATTCATCATCAACAAGTCTCAGGACCTGTATCCGATTCTACTCCCAAACCGGATGAGGATATAGGGGTTGGTGGCTAGTAAGTTACTTTCACAACATGTCCAAAGTATTCGATATTTTGCTAGTCTCGAGGCCGTGGAGACAATATAAGGATGAAATAGTTGGATCTAGTTGTAGATCTGTATAGAGCATGTACAATGTAATTCCCTACTACGTGCCTTGCATATGATTATTTCCAAGAATATCCTGATGACTACACCTCATGAAGACATCGCTGGAGATGACTCAAAATCTATTCAACAATTATATAGGAACATCATCTTTAGCAAGCCAGTCGCATTTTTTTTAAAACTCATCGCTATGTACAAATTCAGGCCGTCAAGTCTTGATTAAAAGCAGGTATCAGATACAAGAGAGACGCATGCATCACAAGAATAAAAAGTGGGTGGGGGAGAGACAGAAGAAATTCGTCAGATCATGCAATCCGTGCATCACGGGTCATCGTCAAGATGGCCGGTTATTCAGTGAATTGTATTTTGATATGACGGATGGGATTGGGAAGGAGTAGAAGTAATGGCGATTGGGAGAGGAATAGGAAGGAGACGCAATGTCTACCGTTGAAGGAAGAATGGTGGAAGAGAGGAGATGAGAGGTTGGAACGGTAATGGCACCGGTGGACAGTAGCCATACATATCATATCCAGGCGCGTGTAAAAATATTAGGGTGTTGTACCCCGGAGGCGTTTCTCTTTTTTTTTGTCTTTTTTTTTCATAAACAGAAGTGACATCGTGAACTCACGATATCACCGCTTGGAGGGATTGGGCTTGCGCTCGGCAGCACGCTTGGCCTTGGCGGCATTCTCCGCGGAGGTTGAATGGAGATAGCTCATGTGCTGCTCGTCATTATCGCTGGGCGGGACTATAGACGAAATCTTGTTGGGGCGACCGCGCTTCAATGGCTGGGGTAGAGGTGGCCCAGACTGCGGCGCAGGACTCGTGAGGGAAGGTCCCGGCTTGGCTTCGGCAGTAGCTGATGGGACAGCGGCGCGGTCGTCGTCCTCAACCTGAATGTGGCGGAATTCCTGCTCCTCCTCATCAGCCTCGGATGACGGGGGACTGTCGGAGTCAGAGGCTGCCTCGTAATCATCTTCATCATCACTGACCAAGCTAGGAGCTTGGTTGGATTCGATGGCGTGAGGGCTGAGAGTTTGATGATCCAGGCTATCCGATTCCCGAGACTGCAGTGCCTGAGACTGGCCAGCGAGAGAGATGTCCAAAAAGGACTGTGGGCGCGACGGGGTTTCCTGTGCTATGGGAGGGCCGTGTGCGCGGTCGAGGGCCTTTCGGCTCTCAGACTCGCCAGCGGTTTGACCAACAGGCATGCGCATCGGCTGGCGACCGACGCGAGCACCAAGTGATGCATGGCTGGCTCCCACCGACGGTCTCCGAGTGTCATCTGTGTCCGAGTCTTCGTCGAAAAGACCACCCAGATCGACAGGCTTCCGGGATTCTTCCACCAACTTGTCCATGTCCAGGCCAGCACCACGTGATTTCATGAGAGCAGACAGATGAGGAGTTGCGGGAGAAGCCAAAAACTGTGGGTTCGGGGGCTGTCGAATGGGCTCGGGACGTCGTCTGTAGGCCGGTTCAGCAGTGGAAGGAGGAGTGGCAACGGATGTGGTAGCAGCCGGTTTGCGAGGAGTGACAAGGTCCTTAGGTGTATGAAGAGATTTCCAAGGAGTCGTAGCAACGTGGGTAGAACGGATCAGAGGGTGCACGTAGCCTGAGGTTGTCGGATTAGCAGTGGGCTCAGCAGAGCCACCGACGACAATCCCGGCGTCATCCACCTGAACAGGTTGACCGCAGGCCATGGCAGCAGCATCATGACTGGCAAAGTTGCGGTTGTGTGCGATGCGACAGTGGTTAATGAATCCCTGAGTGCTGGAGAAGTTATCGCGCCGGCAGTCCAGGCAGACCAGCTTGACCAGGACACCATCCGACTTGCGCCGGATGAGCATCGGCCCGGACTTCTCCTTGACCACGGGGTAACCGGTCGACAATGCAGTATGCTTCGCGCCAGTTGAGCCTCGCTGGGGGCGAGACTTACCCGCCAGCATTCCCATCTCACCAGGATTCCCGCGCGTTGACCGACCCTCAGCCATCGGATTTCCCAGCATTCCAGAGTCGACCTCACCGCCGTCAAAGCGAGGGTCAGGAAGTAACCACCGTGCATAGTGACGAGCGTACGGGCCTTCCGTTACTCCCCAGGGTGCAGGCGACATCGGCGCCGGACCATTTCCAGGTGCCAGCACTGACGCGCCCGTTCCGGAGCTCACATCTGGCGAGACACCCGCAACACGGGATCCGGGATAAGGGATTTCGCCACAGCGTCGCAGCTGTTCCAGAGCGACCTGACATTTGGCAATTTCCTGGTCGATGAGGCGAAGTTCGTTGTGCTTGAGCAACACCTCCAAGCTCAGCTGGGCGGTGATGGTTTCCCGAAGTCTGGTCACACTAGGTCTGGCGACGGCGTCCTGCGCCGACGGACGCGCGGACGCGACCGGTGGGTTTGACGAGGTAGTTGGGGTAGAAGGGGGAAGGACCGATTCCGTTGCGGTCACGGTCGGAGTTGGGCGCGTAACAATCAAATCCGGACAGACTTTCGTCGGGGCGGGCGCATCGGTCGCGTCGGAATCGGAACGTTTGCGTTTGAGTGGCAGCAGAGTGTTAATATCTGTGCATTTTGGGGCCAACATCTTGACCTCTTCCATTTTATTCCCTATAGCAGAGGGCCAGGGAAGTAGACTGAACATGCCATGTGAGTGCATAGAGATGGTTTTTGGGGATTAGGTGGCAGGGTGGTCCATGCGTTATTACGGAAAAGGAATGGACGTCGACTGCGCGACCGGTTGATTACGGAAGGCAAGAAAAAATCTATTAATAAGAGAATACAAGAAGATGAATGGAGAAGAAAAGAGAATAGGGGAGGGAGAATGGGGAGAATGGGGGAGAATGGGAGAAAGAGAAAGGGGAAAGGAAAAGGGAAAGGGAAAGGGGAGCAGGAGAAAGAGGTGCCTGGGAAAAGAGAGTGGAGTTATGATGTGATACTTGTTCGTCAAGTACAAATTATATGGGCAGATCATGTACCCTCATTGGATCAGTCTCAAATATCTCTGCGACACGTCATTATTTATTTATTTATACATTCCTTTTCTCTCCATTGACTCTTCACGATTCTGTTCTATTCTTCCATTCTCTTGTATTAACCTATTCAACATTCAACCCTATTCACCGACTCTATACCCAACAATCAAACCAATCCAATATGCCAAGACTATGGGCTGGGCCTTGTGTTTCTGCCTAAGCCAGTTGTATCTACGATCTCAAAACTTCCCCGACAAATCATAAGCTGATCTCTCTCAAACTGGTAGGGGGGCAAACCGGGTACAAACAGGTTCTGGCTGCGCCTCGATAACATGTGGAAAACAAAAGTACTCGTCCACATATGTCTGTGGCTGAGAAAGCAAACGGAAAGCGGTGGAACATCATAGAACCGACCATTCTTCCCCAGGTTCTTGAACTAAAGCTATCTATATACATATTACCCCTATTTATAGCGTAATTACGATTCTCGATTATGGGGAAGAAGTTCCTATCGGATTTCGGGTTAACCCGTCGATTTGGAAACTCCGAGCCCGACTGCTGATCACAGTAACCCTAACGAGCTCTTCCCCGTCTTTTCAACCACTCACAGCCTTTCGCTCTATTTACCAATATACAACAGACAACATAGATACGCTTCTTTCTAATCCCTGACATCATGGAGCCCAATACTTTACGCGTAACAAAGGAGGTGTACGGAGTACCCCGTGGTTTATACACGCGTACACATATGCTAGGGGCTACCCGAGTCTTCCACGTTTGCCACTGCACTCAAGCATCGCGTTGACTAGGTGTACAGGAGGGAAATTCGGCTGCACATGTGGCACTCTTCGATAGACTATCCCTATTGTACTTCGTTCATGAAATAATCATATTAAAATCACTTCAAGGACACCGTTGACTTGTCTCAAAGTTTAACATTCCAATAAAAATAATATCCCCTGCTTCAGCTAACTCAAAAGCAAATGGCTTATCATCCACTCTCTTCGCCTAGAAAGTTAAGAACCACTCCGCTCACCAACGCTCGCTGCTGTCCCAACGCCAATACCAACACCCCTTGGCGCCCTACACTCTACGATATATACCAACCCAAACGAATGAACTGACCAATACACTCCACTAAGCCACAATATAAACCTTGCGGGTAGCCTTAATATTAACCAATATCGATTCAGTCTGGTTGAAAATGATACCGTGTTTGGCCATTACCTGAGCGATTTGGCGGTGATTATATATATTGATGCGAGGGGGTCCAGGGGTGCATAGGAAGGTTCCTATTTTTCTTTATGCATGCGTGATTGAACTCGGGAGGCCGGTAACAACAATCAGTGTGTTCGCGCTCCGAGTGAGATTGTACAAGGTCGATTCAGCAGTAGTCGTTTACCAAGGGTAGAGGCTCTGCATGAATCCTCCAATGATGCTGATTAAGCACTGTTGTAGTAACCTTTTTCTTTGAGTTTATCCAGGGATATGTTGATGGGAGATTGAGGAAATTGCCCGTGCGATCGCAGGAGTGTATGTGTAGATAGATGACGCAACAGGTTGAATTCGAATTAATCATTCATTCTTTTTTTTGCTTGACAAGCACAAATCCCAAGAAACGCCGGTTGTAATATGAACAGAAAAGACAGCAGCTCGACTCGAGCATGTGAACGTAAAAGGCATTATGGCCTCATAAGCGTAAAGCAGACCAACATACGCCAAATGAATACATAAAATAGACATGACTGTCAAAATAAACAGTGAACGAACGAGGACCGGCCACAACACAATAGGCCGACATAATCAATGGTATAATATTCAAATGGCCGAACGGGAGAGATCAAAGTCCCGATCCAAAAAAAAAAAAGAACAATCGCTTCCACTGTTCAGAGCCGTCCTAGTTCATCTGCCCATCCCGAATGCGCAAGATGAAGTTAACAACCACAGCGGCGAGCAGGGCAATGGCGAGGATTGTGGGACCGAATCGATCATCGATACCACTCTGCCCGCGCCGACGGATACTTTGCGCCCGCCAGTGGAATGTCACTAGTGCATATATCATTGCGCCCATCGCGATGACAGTGAAAAGGGCTGCAGAAATGCGACCGATTCGATCACCGAAATTGAGGAGACCGACGGCGAGGCCGCCCAGAATGACGGTGAAGTTCAGCCATGAGAGGAAGGTGCGCTCGTTTGCGAAGAAGACTTTGGGCTCGACTCGGGTTGGGAGGGCGATTCGCTTGCCTGGTGGATGTTAGCTGTGCTCGGGAAAGACTGGAGGATTGTGGTGGTGGGGGGTTGGAATGAGTGGGAGTGCAATCATTCTGGTTGGCTGTGGATGTTATCGCCGTGTTCGTCGGCGTCATGATCGCACGTCACCCAACACTACAATAACAGCCACCGCCTATGATAAGCAGAAAAAATCCCATGCCATTCAGCACTGCGGTGGGGGAAAGGGATCCAGGTGGAATTGTTTCTTGTGCTGAGCTGTTGAGCTGCTGAGATTGGAGGTGTCGTCGGACTTACCCGGAGCGGTTTGGAGGAGAGGTTGGCTAGACATTGTTGGTTGTAAGGAGGCGAAGATGAAATTGAGGATATTGCAAATTGGAAGAGGTTGAAATAAAGGATTAGAGGAGAAATCCAAACTCCAGGGAGAGAAAGCAAATTAAAGAAGCGGGCTTCGAAGTCGAGAGCTGCTTGTTCCGTCCTGGGACTAGCGGGGACAGCTCTTTCGCACGTGCGTCCACGATTTGATGAGAGGATCAGGTGACTAAGTATATGAAACAGCGCTTTCTTAGGTCTTATTTGCTCATGTTATTTATTATATTTATATTTCTCTAAGTAGAGCTTGAATTGACATATCAAAATATAAATGGGTGTTAGTTTGACCCTACACTGCACTTCATACTTGCATATGTGCAACATATCCAAAAAAAAGACCCCAGTATCCTGGAAACATCCTACATAAACGGTATCACCTCTCTCTTCTTTTTTGCCCTATATGGCAAGACAATCTACTGATAAATGGGGCACGCGACTAAATGATGAAGAATTGCTATTAGCGCAACTATATATCATGTGAATATCCTCCGAGTTAGTAAACTCGACAGATAAAATGCACAGCAGACGACACAAAGCTACATCTCTCCCAAAATCTTCTGTCTCACGACTTAACTTTTCTCGATATCGCCTTAAGAAAAATTGGTCAGAATCGAGGCTGTAAATATGTCTGAGCTGATATATATTCACTAGGCCCGAGACCTCAGTCTAGACTGAAAAGGCCCATTTTTACGCAGCTCATGTCTATGGTGTATCTCTCCCGATCAGTATACTGACCTCGGGCTATATTGTTGTACAGAAAGCTGTCGAGTATAGCAACAAAGTGGGAAGTATACAATGAATCGCCTATATAAATTCACAAAGAAGTCCCTACAACCGTACGGGTTTGTTCTGACACTATAACTAACAAAAACGTCAGACAGTAATCGATAATCTGAATTCAGAGACGTTTTAGATAAAGATATACCTGGAAAGCCATCAAAGAGACATCAACAGGCCACATGAACGGGCGACTATTCTTGTCTTTGTTAATCCAAATGCGCCCCCACAGCGTACAGTCCTGGCTTAGGCTAAATTCTTGAATGACATTTGCTAATTTCAACTTCAACCCCAACCGCCTCCTGTACAAGTAGCCGCCCTCGTCTCCAGTATACCATTGAATGATAAAAAGCCTCAAACCCCGAAGTCATTAATCCCAAAAGTGTGAAGACCACTTCCCCAAGCTCTAAATATATCAACGTTCATCTTCCACCGCACCAGAATAAACCTGATAATTCTTGAAAGCATACTTATACTGTGTTCTAATTAACCTCATTACCAAGTGATCTCTTCATCTTAATCAATGAATTCATTTTGTGCGAATATGACATGATTACTTTAGTCTGCTGTTACTTGAAGGGATTAATCTGTTCTCAGTCGAAAAGTATATCTTCCAGTATAAACCACGATAGCTGACCAGATATAAACCTGCTTACATCATAATAATCTTGCTAGCCCTATAAACCCCAATCCTCGCGAATCAAATCCGCTGCTTTCTCTGCAACAGCATAAACACTGCTAACAATATTCCCAGAAACATTATTCGGGAACACCGATGCATCCGCAACACGCAAACCCTCGACGCCCTTCACCCTCAATCTGCTGTCCAACGCATCGCCCATAGCAACAGAGCCGCTGATATGGTACTCACCCGCAACCAGATCATGAACTGCTTGTCGGGCAGTGTCCATGTCCTGCAAGTTAACACTGGGCTCGGGGTACCTGCGCTTCAGGATTGAGGACTCCAGGTGCTTTGATTCCGCGACCTGATCACCCCAGCGCAGGAACGCCGCTAGGAGTGAGACGTCGGCCGGGTGACCACCGTAGTTGGGATCAACGACAGGGGGCTTGGTTGGGTCTGGATTTATTAGTATATGAGGTGATTTGCTGTAGAAGGAGAGTTCGCGTTCTGTTATAACTTACCTGCACTCTCAATATGGATAGATCCTCTAGCCACGGGGTACTGTATACAAAGCGCCAAGGTCAAACCAGCCGGCTGATCAGCTGAACGCTGTTCAATAATACCTCTCTGGTGCTGAAAGGCCTTCGGGTCCATGGAAGCTGTCACCGTAACAACCTGCATATTGGCAGAGTGGTCGCTCTCGAGGTGTGCGATAGTCTGGGCGAGCTGTTTCGCATGAAACTCGCTGGTGGGTTTGACATCACGAACACTCTGGATAATATCTGCCAGCTCTGTCTCGGAAAGAATTTTCTTTGCCGGGAAGAAGCCCTGCATGCCGCAGATCGAGCTGAGTGGTCCACTGCTGCTTTCGGCATACTGCTTACCAGCGGCTTCCATTGCCTCGGGCACTTGAGACAAGGTGTCTAGTGTAACAACGCCGGGCTGGACATCCAACACGCTGAGGGTGATGGAGTGGTCTAGGACATTTGCGCCGATGCCGCTGTTGGCGACCTTGCACTCAACGCCTGCGGCTTTGAGGATCTCTGGGTCGCCGATTCCCGATAGCTCGAGGATCTGTGGGGACTTGAGTGTCCCGCCACTGACGATTACTTCGCGGCGTGCCGAGACTTGGTACTCGACTCCGTCGTGTGTGAGACTCACACCTGTGGCCTTTTTCCGTCTAAAACGACGCGGTTGACGAGGGCTTCGCAGAGGACCTTGAGGTTTGGGCGAGTCGCACGGTTCGCTTCGTAATATCCTCGGGCAGCGTAGCTGCGCTTACCCTTATTCGGGCCGGTTCGAGCAACTGCCCCGAGGGTGTGATAAAAACCAATGTGGTCGCCGCTCCATGGGTCGGTGGGCTTGCTTGTGATGCCAGTCACGTCCTCGCAGGCTTTGATGATCTCGTTCTCCACTGGTGGGATTGTATCATTGAAGCTGGTTCGGACGGGCCCGCTCGTGCCGTGGAACTCGCCTACTAGTGGCATTGTCGAGCGATCGGTGATAGACTCGTCGAACGGCTCGAGAGTCTATTCATTTTCTTAGTTGCTGGCTAGGAAGGAACCAGATTTGAAAATGAAAATGCTGAGATCGTACCTGATGCTTTCGCATATATTGCTGCATATACTTTCCAGACCACCCATCGTCCTCTACGATCTCGGCCCAGTCGTCATAGTCCTGCGTCGATCCTCGCACGTACATCATATAATTGATGCCGCTGGATCCACCAAGGAGCTTTCCCCGGGGGATATGGTGAGTCAGGCCACGGTTGCCCTCCTATTAAATCACGAAAGCAGTTAATGTATGGGAAATATATGTAGTTGAGATATAGAATCAACCTACCTGTGGCTTCGTATACATACACCAATCATAGTCAGGATTCTCGAACATCTGCGAGAACGCTGCAGGAGTATCAACCAACGGATCTCCAATGCGATACTTGCCCGCCTCAATGACACCGACGGTTATATCGGGATTTTCGCTGAGGCGCGCTGCAAGAGTGAGTCCTGCAGTTCCACCGCCGCAGATGACATAGTCAAATAGCGTGCGAGTGAATTCCTCGACGGTGCAGGTTGGATTTTCAGTCATTATATGTATGATGATATGTATGATTCAGACTTGGAAGAATATACCAGGGGATCTACAAGTTAAATAACGGGAGGGGTAATGTCGTCTTCGGGGGTTAACAGCGGGGGTGAAGTTTCAGGTCTTAGGGATACTAAAAAAGACTAGGAGAGACTAAATTATACTAAGAGACACTAACAGATACTACATGATACTCTAAGGCGTCCATCTAGTGAGGTATACGGAGACTGAGGTTTGGACCTCGGGAGAATAGATTGCGGGGAAAAGCCCTATGTTGTAGCTATATTGGAACCAGATTGGTACTATATTCTACGACATTCAGAAATTCCAGAATCAAATACCAATTTGATATCTTTGATCATTCCTAGATAGATAAAGTTCATCACAAAACCCAAAATGGCTCCTTAATCTTAATCACAGGCGTGCAGCTGAAAGGTTCATTAACCCCCCTTCCCCCCCGATACAACACTCCATATGGATGTACACTACGGAGTATGAAGTACTCCGTATTCACTACGGACTCAAGCCGAACTCTTAAATTAACATTTTCGTTCCGTTGACTGAATTGGCCATGAATTGGCCACGTATTATATGTAGGATCCACTCTAGCTGAGGGTAAAGATTGGTTGAAATCCTCAACTTTTGTTGTCAGCCTCAAACGACAGATGCCAGGCCCGCTAATACCCACTAGAGCCAATGTCGCTTCACCGTGCATATATCTTCGAATCAGCAACGGCTGTGTGGCCCGCAGTATTGCTGATCGTCGCTGCCATTGAAGGCTTTGGCGTTTTTTATTGTGTCGATCCCGCCAAAAAACAGAATATATGACTGGCTAGCATGCTCCTATAAATATGATCTGTCGCCGATCAACTGCCCCTTTACCGTTGGTAGTACCCTTGGCGCTACAGCTGACGAAGCTCGAGGAATCTTCGAACGTGTCATGCTGTTCGTGGCTGAGCAAATTACTCTCATAATTTGGACCTCCCAAAGTCGTTCTTGCTTGCGGTATATCGGCCACATGACTTGATGATACCAATTGACATAGAGATCTCGCTGATTATGTTGTAAAAACCATGTTATCCAAGAGAGCTTGGCGCTTGGCAAGGATGTGCGCGCTTGAGTTGCAAATTCATTAGCGGCAAGTCTCATCTCCGACCAGTCGAGAAGAAAGCAGCCGGATGTTTGTGTAAATCGCTTCAAAAATGCTATATGTACAGTTTATCAGTCCCGTGGGTCATAATGCGACTATGTTCCAAAATTTCGGATGACCCAGTCACCACTTCAATGCTCAAAGCTTCATCTTCCGCTGTACCCAAGCAAGAGCACTCTCCCACCTTGGATCTCCAGATCTCAAGGCCTGCAACAACTCAGAAATGAGTGCTCTACCAGAATCCCGAGCCCACCACCGCTGTTCATCAAGCCCCTTCAACAACACCCCCAATACATAAGAATGAGCAAGGAAAATGGCTGCCGACACCGGACGCTATCAACAAATTCCTTCTCAACTCGCGCAAGCCAAGAAAGAACCGGCGCTGGATCCGCCGAATGCGCGAATTTAGCGTAACAATGCCTCAAATACGCAATAACATTTTTATTAATGCGGTGCTGATCCGAGTAAATTCCAATCATAACCTCATCGTTCAATGCCGCCAGATGTGTCAGCGCAGCCTCCGTATCGGGATCAAGCTCAGTAGGCGCTTTCTTCCAAAACTCGCCCCGTGTGAACAATTCCAGCTTGATCCACGAATTGCTGACTTGCATGATCTTCTTCACGCCCTGGAGTAGCTCAAATATTATCACGATGTTTTCCGTAATACTAGCGTACTCGTCTTTCGTGACAATTAGTCGGGGTGAGGCGATACTGATCGCGATCATGACGATCGAGTGCGCGAATACCGCGTTGCAGTTCTGCGGCGTGATGTTATCGATCGCCTTGCGGAATGGCGCTAGGCTGCGATTGTAATACTGCAGTCCTGTTTCGTGATACTGGCCTGCTAACTCTGATGGCTCGCATGTTGTTGCGATGTGCATTGAGGCTAGCGCCAAGATCCCGCTCATCAGGTAGTGATTTTTGAAGGCGAGGTTTGGGACGGTTATTTGCCAAATCTTTGTTTCTGACTCGCTGATGCAGAGACTTTCATATGTCTCTGTTGCAAACTTGTGCATTAATTCTAGGTTGTCGATGCCGAATGAGTTTGTTTGGGTTGTCGGGATTGAGTTTGTCGGCATGACTGGACCGGGCATCGCTGCTTTCGGCGAGCCATGACCATCTAGAGCCCGAGGTATATCGGATGTTGAGCTAGGGGGGTAAGATGGGCTGTATTGCGACGAGCGGCGGCGACTTTCAAGTATGTGCATTTTAGCTCGCGGGTTGTGCAGTTTGAACATGGTGGGCCCTGCTCGTCGCATTTGACCCGCCTGCTTCTGCATTGATCGCACCCGTTACGGGATTTGGTATGCGCGCGGAGAGGGGGCATGTTCAAGGTTGATTCACATGTTGAGCCCAATCATGTAGCTGACTGTATTAATGGGAGAAATTATCCGAGGTATTGACATGAATATTCCCCCGTATCATGTGACTTCGGTCTAGAACACTTTTGGAAGTATACGGGTCCAGTTGACACTTACTATTTATATTCCTTGACATTTTATGTGATCTATGTGTCCACACCCTCAATATTGATTAGGACTGGCATGACATCATTATATGCATGAATCCTGTACTGTTAGACAACCTCAAAATTTATATTCAAAGGATCAGATGTCTTTGCTAAGAGGCCATTATTAACGGAGGTAAACGTTTAATAAAACAACAAGAAAAAAAAAAAAAAACAGCCTGCCCAGACAATTGAGTGAAGATCCGACAACTAACGGGACTCAACCCAGAGCCGCAACGGCAACAAGACCAGCAGCAACAACAACCCCAAAAATTCCACCGGACATTTTTTGAGCGGCCCCATTGTAAGCAGGAGAAGCAGAAGCAGTAGCAGAAGAGCTACTCCAAGGGCCGGCCATTGACTCAGAAGGAGTAGGCATCGTCATGTTCTTCTTGCCACCCATACCCATAGCAGCCAAGCCACTGGGGGTACCCATGGCAGTCTTCTTTCCAATCTATCAATACAAGCAACATCAGCGCTGCGACAAAGGGGGCGAAGAAGCACCCAACAGAGAGGTCCAGAGTGAAGCTAATCTAATTTACCTCGACGATGGCAGGACCAGCGACAATATTGTCATCAGTCGCCTGCTTGTTACCCTTAGTGAGGACAACGTAGCTCTGTCCGGCAACGCCCTTGGGAACAGTGACGGTGAACTTTCCATCACCCATGGACTCGAGAGGAGCCCAGACCGGGCCAGTGACAGTGATGAAGGCGGCATTGACATCGCTGGTGCTAGTATCGAAACCGCTTCCGGTCATGAGGTGCACTTTCGAGCCTGTCATAACGGCGTCCATCGAGCTCATCACGAGCGAGGGAAAGGCCTTGATGGGCAGTGGACCGTTGCTGGATGGGCATGAGGCAATAAAAGGAGAGGCAACGGTGTACACTTCGTTGAAGCCGAGGGGGTTGTCGAAGGCCTGGGCGAAGGGGACTTCGCCGACCGCGGCACGCAGATACGCACTGTGTCGGGCTTCTGTGGTCAGAATGCTACCGGCAGCTGTCAAGTAGGTATCGTTCATGATGGAAGCTGCGGCTCCAAGGTAGGCGCTGACTCCGACACCTGGTATGGTCATTAGTGGTGGATATAGGTATTGTTGAATGGCATCATACCCTCAAGAACGCTGGCAAGGGCCAAGAAGCTGTTGACGTCGGTGGATGGGAAGTTGTAGGTGCAAGCGGCGACGGGAGAGGCGCCGGCAGCTAGAAAATGTCAAGATCTTGTTCTCCAATTTGCCTTTCGAATGACAGATGCATACCCTTGAGCGCAGAGGTCAAAAACTCCACGTGTTGCTTCTCATCGGAAGCAACCTCTTTCAGGTTGGTATAGAAAGGATCCTTCATGCCGGCCTTGACAAAGTCCTCCTGGGTATAGTTCTTGAGGCCCTCCGCATAGAAAGACGCCTCGAGATGCTCAAGGGTGAGAGCATAGTTTAGGACGTCGGCTAAAGCAGAAGAGCATTAGAGAATGAGCAATCAATTGGCTGGGAAGTTACATACCATCGCTGATAGCACGCTTCAAGACCGGACTGGCGTTGGCAAGACCGATAGCAGCACCGGTGAGGGCAATGTTGGTGAACTTCATTGTGTAATAGTAGAGCTTTGATTATCTCTTTGATGGAAAGTCTGACTGCAAATGAAGGATAGTCGGGTTACTTTTCACGTAGAGGGACCTGTCTTTTATAGCTGCCTCGCCGGCAATTTGGGGATCCGATGCTCGAACCCTTGTTTGTTGCCTCAAAATTAGAATTACCTGGCCAAGCAGAAACTAGTCATTCTTTGCCTTGTTTTGTAGGTGTCCTAGCCGATATGCTTGAAGTCTCAGGAGCCAGACTGAGATCGGCGATAGTATTTCTAGATCGAGAGATCAAGGTTTATGAAAGACTCGGATGGATATCAACAATAATTCAGAGAGGCAAAAGCAAGACCCAGGCTCCACTAGATATCATCTGCAGGAACCATTGTGGATCAAATCCGGGGTACTTACAGATCTGGCCCCAGGTCGATCATACCGTAAGGGGAATATGAAGCTCTAGCTCCGGCATATCAGATAAGCTTATTGGGTTTGTGGGCCTTTCTTTAAATTAAATGATGGCTACAACGAGAGCGAGAACGGTGGAGAGTCAAAGACGAGACTGGAATCGAGAGCGGGAACGAGACCGAAGACGGGAGCGAGAACGAGGCGCTCAACTCAAGGGACTACTTCCTAATAGAACGGGTCGTATGGAGATTCCTCTTATTCAATCACATTTTGGACATTTGGCTGTTTCCTTTGCGATTTCTTTTGAATTGTCTGCTTGTACCAGTCTGACATCATAAGACCGCTCAGGCGGCCGGCTATCATCGTGTCACAAAGAAACAAAATACTACACAACTTCTTGGGAAAGCAATAATATCACCAGTTCCTTCATGAGAACTTTCTATGCCATTATCGAAGGTGTTTTGTCAAGTCAGACGGCATTGGTGGTGCTTGTTGGCCATCAAAGGCAGTCAAGGTATCGCATTGGAAGCCGTCTGCCCAGCAGAAAGGCTATGATGAACAGACGGATGATGGGAGCCAAATATACAGCTGCTGGAAATTTTGATAGCAGATACACGGGTGTGACTCCGTGGGAACCAGACTGCATGTAGGCGGGGGACGCACACTAGCATCACAGAGGATCCTGAGTAGGCCTCCGCAAAGCCCAAAGCCCAAAGCCCCCAGACCCACTAATGGGCTGGGTTTTGGGCCCGGGGCGAAAGCCCACTGGGCTTTAATGGGCCCCCAATAAAGCCCATAAGCACCAAACAATGCAAACGTTCTAGAAAACGTGACTTTTTCTTAAATTCTATATGTATGGACCCCGTTTCTTACCTTTATCCTAGCGTGATATTTGAGTATTATAACTCAAATATTGTAAAAAGATAGTTTAATATATCAATTACGTTCAAAAATGCGAACGCGCTATTGAGAAAGATAATAGATCTAAAATATATGTCTGATCCCGGAGTCCATATCAATATTTCTTGACTTCCACTAGTCGGATCTCATTTAAATTTCGATTATATATTTTGGATTCAATCAAAGTCTTTATAATAAGTAGAAGAGCCAGAGTACACTGAATATAAGTTTCTAATTAAACCATTTGAATGGGCTTTGCGGACCGCTAATCTTGGGATATGGCGGGACTGATTACACACAAGAGGCTTCTCTCAAATGCCCATGCAAGAACAGGACATGCGAAGCTACAACGCGCAATAGTCACTAGGTTTAGGGAGATTCGAGTATAGCCTAATTCTTCATAGAAGTATAGTCCCACAATATTACTTCGATGTATATTTCCTGTTGACCATGAATGAGGTAGATAAACTCATCCATATCCTACCTTGTCTTCTAAAGTTATCTTTCTCATTGTCTAAGTCTAAGTATGTATATATCCCATAGATGTGGTGGCCGCATTTCCCAACAGCCCGCTAGTTTCCAACAATTGAGCGATTTCTTCCAAGCTCTCTATGGAATTCGCTGATAGAGATGCTGTAAACATGATGCCACAATACAAGTTGATTGGGTTGGATTCTCATAGCCCATTGAATCTGATGGAATTATCCTCTGTATAATTAGGGGACCAATATACGTCAATGAAACTCGTGTAGCTACTTTTATGCTGACTTCATTAATCCTAGCTTATTAAGTGGGGTTAGCAATGAAGACTACAACATTTAAACCAGAACTCGAATATCAATTCCTTTGAGTAAGTTGTACGGAGTAACTTGTTCTATCAGCCGTTAATATACTAGTTTATTGAAATAGATTGGAGCTTTTGAGAGGGAGGTAAGGGGAATTGGAGATCGACCTAATTAGGAAAGTGGACCTGGGATTTCCAGTAGGGATTGTGTATATTAATACCCTGGAAATAACTGGAATTCCGAGGCCGAGCCACACAAACATCGGATGCGCATGCTACTCGCTGGTCGAATTCTGCCCATATTGCTAGCACTGGTATCCCGCAAAAGCTCCATTATTGCCTTCTTTTTTTTTTACCGCAAGACATGCCCTTGATCTGTCTGGGGTCTTGTCTTTATTTGGATGATGTGTTCTATTCATGAACATAGGGGAAGTGGAAGCCCGCGAGCACTTTCTAGAGTATGTGCATTTTCCCAATACATACTGGCTCTAATATTTGGACCTCATCTTTACCTAAACCGGGCTGTCTTAATCTTCCCTCCAGCCGTCTTTTTGGGGAACCTTCAGAACCACTGGTTTTGCAAGTGGATCTGTCATAACCAATTCGGAATATGGATGATATTCCTAGCATCTTATAATATCAGATCTGCGAATACAGCACAAGTATTCAACTAATCAAAGCGCGTTGCCTCTCCACATGCTAGCTAAACTTGTGCGTTGAAGTATATAAGTCTTGTAGTAGCCGGAATCAAGATATTTTGGAATCAAGAATTCCACCTACATATTGTAATAAATGCCAATCATGGCACACAATTGCTCAAGGATTTCTGCGCCTCTTATACTCTTACTCCTCACTCTTTTGTCTTTTACAACAAAAGTTGTCGGTTCGCCGTTCGTCATACCTCCACAACGGGGAAATGCTTCGCACCCAATCCAAATCTGTTATTTAGCACCCATTCCGCACACCAGGGTATGGAAGAGAGACGACAAGCCAATTGAACTGAGAATCTTACCTCTTGGAGCCTCCATTACATGGGGCATCAATTCTAAGAGTGGCAATGGCTACCGTGAGCATCTCCGTAACCAGCTTTGGACTGATAAGTGGTCGGTTGATATGGTGGGCACTAAGCATCATGGTGACATGCAAGACAATGTTAGTCAACGTATCTGGATCCACGAACGAGGCTAATCGATTATACTTCCATAGGCTGTTGAAGCCCATCCCGGGGATGTGATCACTCAGGTTCACACAGCTGCCCAAAGCTCCCTGCCTTATAGACCAAATGTCGTTCTCATCAACGCTGGAGCAAATGATTGCAAGCTACAGCTTGACATCCCCAATGCCGGTGCACGTATGCGGGCCATGATTGAAGATATCCTGAATTATGATGGTATGCAAAAGACGACCATCATCTTGTCAACTCTCACCCCATCCTCCGACCCACAGACTGCCGCCAATATACCTGCAGTCAATGAACAATACCGAGAGCTGGTGATCACAATGCGGAAGGAGGGCGTGTCAATCGTGTTAGCAGAGATGAACCCGCCTGCATCTGTTGCCGAACACAACTTGATCTCATGGCCGCTTGATTATACCACAAATGACAAAGCCGACCCCACACATCCAAATGATTGCGGCTACAGCAAGATGGCTAGAATATGGTACGATGCCATCAACGAGGCATACGACCAGAACCTCATAGTAAAGGCGGGCGTGATGGCAGCCTCAGAAACCTGTGAGGGTGGCAGTTGCAATACGGTAGGCGTACTATATGCCAGAAAGGGTTAATGCACGATATATAATATCTAAACTATGGAATCAGAGGGAATAATGTATGATAATAGGTATTATTGATGTGAGACATAAATCCACGGGCTCCGGATCATGGCGGTTAACAGATAGCGCATTTTAGATCATCCATTTCTATAATATTTCGCGGACAACTTACTACGCGCTACTTGACACGTCATAAATTCATGTACACATCTAGATAGGTCCTAAAGAATTAGACCTGTATCTAAATCACAACAGCCTAATCCGTACACAGCCTCCACAACATAAGCAAGGCTTCTGGCGGCATTTTGACTGAACATGTCAATTACTTCTACGAAGTATTTTCCAACCTGGCACTTAGCATTACCATGCACTTTCTCACTACAAGAGAGTCAGTTTATCAGAATTGGCAATATTGTTTCGGGCGCATACATTCTCTCATCTAGTCACCAACCAAATGTTCACTAGCTTAAACCGCATATTGTTTTTCCTGGCCGACTATCTATTCATTCCCCGAATGTTTACGCATCTGGACTAAGTAAAGTATCGAAGGAGTTCCTTCATTGTATATTCTATTTAACTTCATCAGCACTGTAGATAAACTCACAATCTACATTTGTCTACTTCTCATCAAACTTATCCCGATATTGTTATTGGATTCCTACAGATATCTATAAGCTCGGGGGATTGGTTTAGTCTATGACACTGTGCCGTCGTCTCGATCTTTTTTTTCTCCCCTTGTGAGAGCTTCTCCTTACCAAATCCCTCCTATAGACTTGGATAAGTCCCCTCATATAGCAATTATGGTGTCTCCCTAAGCGCTAGATATACAAGCTTTTTCCTAGTCTCAATCATCCTGTTTGATGTCAATCGCAGCTTGCATATCGACGAGCAGACTCGGAGATTCTTTTCTGCTTGTTACATCGCCCTGTACTACTTTCTGCTTCACCACATCGTCACAATTCTTTGTGTTCTGGCAATCTAAAACCAAGGCTCGTAAAATATATGCACTGCCGTTTCCTAATGCGTCGAGTTTCTTAGGGTGATAAGGGGCAAAAAGCGACGATCAAGTCCTATCAGTCCTCGCTTAGATTTGCACAGTCAATCAGCCACTGGAATGTTGATAACCACATACAGTGGCACTAAGCCCAATGAAATCGGGGATGAATCCGACTGCATCAGCCTCATTGGCTTCCACCCAAGAATGAGAAGTTTTCAAATTTTCAGACCTAGAATTTGCAAGGATCACTCGTAGAGATTTATTAAGCGACTGGCCATGAAAGGATGTACCAGACTTCGAATATAGTGAGGCGGAAATTTTTCCAGAAAGGGAAATAAACCGCTGATATCAGGTGATGTCAGGTGACCGTCGGCATCCCGCTCCAACCAATGCATTGGCCCTTAGAATGTCTAGGCCCTTGATAACTTTCCCTCGGCAGAGGTGACCACAGTAATTCTCTGAACGACCAATGAACATTGTTGATATCAAAATAGTGGGGGAGTTTCATGTACGACAGGTTTTAGAGATTATGGCACCTCACGTGCAAGACCCGCCCATGGGGAATTTGAATCTTGAATCTAAGATTCTTCTTCCTTACGAGTCGCTGCTTAGTGACTAGTCAGTTATGAGCCAGTGGCTATTATGAATTCTGCAGGCGTAAGGGCCTTTCATTCAACTCCAGAAGAAGATCCGGAACGCGAGCGGATCCGCGATTTGTCGAGGTTTGTGGCGTTCGGCCAGGATCCCTGTCCCACTGATCACCACTAATAATTGCCATAACAGATATTACTGTACAGTGACCCAAGCATTCCCAGCATCAGACGCGACGAGCTCTGGGGAGGAAGAGACGTCCGCAGCACCGACAGGGGATGAGCAGCCTACCGGTTGCGAGCTCGCAAAGGATATTACCCTCAACGCACTCGCCCAGCTTGGCGTCCTGCGCTTCAAAGCCAATCGCTGCTTTGTATCCATAATTGACGGCGAAACCCAACATATAATTGCCGAAACCACGGGTTCTGTGTCGCTACGAGACAAAAACCGCCACAAACCAGGAGATGGCATCTACCTCGGAGCACGGTCGCTGGATCTGGTCTGGGGCGTATGTCCTCACACCGTCCAGTTGTTCACAGGCCGTGCGACGAATGATATCGATACGAGCAATGTAACCGCCAATCGCACGCGCTATATCATCCGAGATTTCACCCTGGAGGATTGCTTCAAGGACCGACCGTATGTTCGAGAGTGGCCGTACATGCGCTTCTACGCAGAGGTGCCTCTATTCAGTGCATCTGGATACGTCCTGGGCTCTTATTGCATCGTCGACGACAAACCATGGGCGGATTTCGGAGACGAACAGGTCAATGACCTCCAGGAAGTGGCGGATGCAATCGGATTGCATTTGGAGAACGTGCGGATGAGCCAGGCCCATATTCGAACCGAGAAATTGGTCAAAGGATTGACGAATTTTGTTAAAAACCACGCAGACTTTGATCCAAAGGAGTCCTCTAATCATGGCCGTCTTCAGTCTAGTGTAAACGCAGCGAATCTCGTACCACATGAAACTGCCGCCACCACTAAGGACGCTGACGACGACTCCGACATCACCCCGGTTGATGTGCCAGTGTATCCTGCTGTTCAAAGTGTTGCTCCTAAACTCGGGCAATCTATTCCCTCGACCGTCGCGGGAGAGGAATCTGTGTTCTTCTTGCAGGACCAATGCACCACGACCGAGCCTTCGTCTCTGTACTCAAGTTTCTCAGATCGACCAATGGTGCGGAGCCCCGGAGAAGAAAAGTCTATGGGCGAAGCATTGCAGTCAGGCCATACCGATGCACCTCAGGGTATTAATCAAGGCTTCTCGCAGTTATCATTGGCTGAGAGCAAGCCTATCTACGAACGCATTACATCTATCTATTCGCGCGCAAGTGCGTTGCTCCGGGATACTATGGATCTGGACGGGGTTGTCTTTCTCGATGCCTGTCCAACTGACTTTACCTTGTGAGTACGCCAGTCTTGCTATCGTGTGATAGCTAATAACATCCATTTGCCAGCGTACCTGAGGAACCGGAAATTTGGGAACCGAAAGTTGCAGAGCCTGGCTTCCCGGCTGCGCCACTGCCTAGTCCACTTGGACAACGTCGGCCTATGCCGCAGGAATTCGACCTCCCATGCGAAACTTTGAGTTGTGCGCTAAAGTCGCCGTCTAAAGGCAGTGCTAGTCCGAATCATCAACCTAATATACCACAGGGATTGCTTCACCAAATGCTCAAGGCTTTTCCTCAAGGTCAGATACTGAGTCTTGGTGAGGCTGTTGACAAGGGCGATTATCTTTTCGCTGATAACACCGGTACATTTGATTATCGGTCTGATCACAACACCCAAACTTGTGCAAAGCATCTTGCGCGGTATCTTCCCGGTGCTAAATCCGCCTTGTTCCTTCCCTTGTGGGATTGGAATAAGTCGCGTTGGCTTTCTGGAGTTCTGGTATGGACGACAAGCAGTTTCCGAGCGCTTGGGCTAGAGGAGTTACATTATTTCAAGGTTTTTGGTGATTCTTTGATATCTGAAGTTTGCCGAAACCATTGGTCAAGTACCGAGAGATCGAAATTCGATTTCATATCCTCTGTCAGCCACGAGCTTCGTTCGCCACTGCACGGAATACTGGCGAGTGCTGAATTACTACATGCTACCACTCTCAGCAGGTCGCAAGAAGAGATGGTGACGATGATTGAAAAATCCGGATTGACCTTGCTAGATACAACGAATCACATGTGAGTCCACCTGGGCAGAGCTTCATGGATACTGAAATCGGTCTAATACATCATAGGCTGGAGTTCTGCAAGTTTAACAACCTGAGACGTAAGAACACCCTCAATGAAATCACCTCAGAAAATGACACGGCCAATCTTGTTTCCGATTTCAACATTAGCCATTTGGTGGAGGAGGTTGCAGACATATTGTACACCGGCCAGCGAGCACCTGAACAGGTCAGCCAGCTCGTTCAAAGGATGTCATCCAACAAGGAAGCAGCCGATTCAATTATCAAGGATTCTAGCACACAAAACCAAATGTCTGTTGTCATACGAGTGGACCAAACAGACACATGGATGATTCGGTCCCTTGCAGGCGTCTGGAGAAGAATCGTGATGAATCTTCTCGGCAATGCGATGAAATGGACCACAACTGGCTTGATCGAAATAGCGTTATCAAAAGCGAGAGACCGATCGGACTCTCATTCACCCCTCATTCGCCTTTCTATCACTGACACCGGCCGTGGAATTGCGCCCGATTTCATCAAACACAAGCTATTTGCCCCATTCTCTCAAGAAGACCCACTCTCCGAAGGCGTCGGGCTGGGCCTGAGCACGGTACAGCAATTGGTCATGTCTCTTGGGGGGCATGTGAATGTGAGGAGTGAGATGGGAATCGGGACCCAGGCCGACGTCTACATCCCCGTTCAATATCTACCAGCTAGTCCTGGTCCGGAGGAATTCCCGGCTCCAACAGCCACTCAGCCAGGAACCACTCCGATGCATGCATGCCTTGTCGGGTTCAATGCTTATCCTGACCTCACAGAGCCTCCCACTGGAATTCTCACCGCCGAAGCCAAACGAAATCTTTCCATTCAGAGTGCACTTGCAAACATCTTCATGACAAAGATGAAGTGGAAAATTTCCTTGGCTGACTCAATCGAGGAGGCTCGTGGCCAGGTCATTGTCATTGAGCAAGATCTTCTCAGACGAGCTATGGATGAGAGCGATCAGCGTGTCTCCGAACTTGCGGCTCAGAATGGCGTTGACTTTTTCGTCGTGCTGAGCAGCAACGTCCCAATTATACTGGACAGTCTCTCTGTCAACATCATCCGCGTTGCGCAGCCGTATGTCGCAATCTAATATTCTGTTTGGTATAAATACTAATACTTGTTGCAGATTTGGCCCACAAAAGATTTACAAAGCCGTTGAAACGATTATGAAGTGGCGCGAAATGCAGATACCATCTGCGCCCTCTGCGCCCGATCCTGTGTCCTCGCTCATGCCTCCGCAGGCAAATCCAGGAAACAGTCCAGACTCAGGCCCAGATCCCTATGATAGAGGGATATCACGTCATTCCCATAAAGCAACGAGCTCTTCGGGAGGATCAAGTACCTCCACCCCCCGACCATCTAGCAAACAAGCACAGGCCCATGTGCTAATTGTGGATGATAATGAAATTAACGTCAAGGTACTGTCCCGTACCGCTTTCTAGATCCGCTCAGCACTAACACTGATATTAGATTATGGCCACCTTTATGCGTAAAATCAACTGCAGCTACGACACGGCGCACAACGGCCTCGTCGCACTCGAAAAATACACATCCTCCAACGTTCACTATGACTTCATCCTGATGGACATCTCGATGCCGGTGATGGATGGCCTTGTCTCAACGAGCAAAATCCGCGAATTCGAACGCGAACATCATCTCACCCCCTCTTGCATCATGGCTGTCACTGGAGTTTCCTCCACTGGCTTCCAGAACCAGGCTACCACGGCTGGTATCGACAAATACCTCATCAAACCCCTCTCCCTTCACGCACTCCGAAATCTTATGAATATTGCATGATACGATCTATTGATTTTAGGATGGCTGATTCCTGGCCCTCATTGCACAGCGTGGTGTTAGTAGGGTTTTTTTGGCCGGTTTCTCAGGTTTATATATATGGTAAATAGATTATGAGAATTGTACCTCGCCCCTCGGTTTTCAATACATTCAAGAAATTCTCAAGTTGCTTCGAGGGACCACGTAGATGTATAACGTAAGTTTGATCAAGATGACACATGCCAAGGATCCCCGGATTTCACAAGTACCTACAACCTTGTAATGATCCCTGGACTGAGTGCAAAGTACTCCGTATACGACTCGGGTGTCTCTGCTCCGCCTTGGCCTTACCAATGCCTACTCCCTCTCCCCTCGCTGGCCATGCATACTCTGTATGCCGTACATTGTTGGGAAAAGCTCAAAGTTAACTACATACTTGCTACTTCAATGGCAGAGTCAAGGAGTCAGGTGCACAGAAAAAGGCGGATGCATTAAGTGGAGTATCAACGTATTCCGACGGGGATTTTCTCGAAGATCATGATACTATTTCATTTAGTCTGTTGGCATTTATTCATTTAAAATTAGCTCTAAGAATGATCTGCATCCACGTAACTAAAGTCGAGTGCATCTGGAGCCTATCACAGTGTTGCATTGGGGCTGGGGTGTTGAAATCCCATCATTGTATGTCGCATTGGAGGAGTTGAAGACCAATCAATCTGTGTTGCAAGGGGCTGTGAGTCGCTCGGGCTTTGTGTCGCTCGGGCTTGAGGTCATGGTTGGCATGGGTCTCGTTCAGGATCGATCGATCTTCTCTAGAATGAGCAGCACTGCCTTGTCGCCGTGTCCCTTTACATAATCTATAAGTTCCTCGGTAACGACCTTCACCAGGCCTTCCGCCACCAACTTCTCGACCTCAGCTTTGAATCCTGCAGACACCCAGATCTCTTCCAGGATCGTTGAGACAACAACACCCTTGGTCTTGGTGACCCGGACAAGTTCTCGCAACGCAGGATCTGGTCCGACATGACCAAGAGTGAAAGTTCCCACACAGGACACGAGATCATATGTTCCGTCCGTCTTTCCGATTGGCCGGTTCATGTCCGCGACTGTGAGGTTTCGATAGATGCCTGTCTTTCTTGCGACGGACAGCATGGCGGGAGATAGATCGATGCCATCGATTGCTTTAGCCTTGGCCATTGAAAGAGCGACTCCCACCAGTCCGGTCCCGCAACCGGCATCTAGTATCACGCTGTTTGTGGCGCCGTTTGAGAGACCGTATTTGATGGCTGCTTGAGCGACTAGCACGGGAGCAACGTAGTCTTGAGCACTGTCTCCAACCTCATCGTCATATGAGGCTGCCCATTTCTCGTATAGAGCCATGCAATCTTCGGTGCTGCCGCTAGCACGGGCTTGACTGAGGTATAATTCGCTCGCTGAGCTAGAGGCCTTGGCCTGGATTGGAGTTGGGGCCAACATTGTGGGGAGTTGAGGTTGGCTTTCTGCAGGAGTGGGCTTGCTGGGTGTGATGGTACACGAGGTTGGGATACTGCGGTTTTCGTGGGAGATTCGTGGTATTTTCCGGTCTAAGAGAAAACAGTTGAATGAGTGATGATCTGTTTCCAACCCTGTACCGACGCCCTTCTTATAGTAAGTCTGATCTACATGTCAGTGCGGACACGGCTTAGACATAGATGATAGCCCGGGGTTAATGGCGTGATGCGGGGTTGTTGACGAATGAAGCCCAAAAGAGTGACGTTTTGTCGATCGATGATGTCGGTGGGATAGAGTTCTGGGCGAGCTGAGCCTGGACCTGGGCATGATGCATGTTCCTGCACCAAGTATGTGCCCCTCTAGGCTACTGTTTTGCTGTCCAGATAATGAAATACCTCTGTTTCATTCAACCCATCTCCGGATCAAAGTAGCGGGCACCACGGTCGACTCGAGGCTCTGTTTCGAGCCGTACACAGACACTGGAGAATCTCAATTGACGAGTTTCCTGTCTCACAGACCTTGTCTCCAGAATCCGCTTCCCCGCAAGTCATCGTATGCCAAGGGGAATTTCGTGGGGCCAATCATCAGATCTGACCTAACCATGCACTCCATTCTCCAGATATTCCCCATCAATCAAGATTAGATTGGCGTGGATGAGCCCCACCGGGGGTACCACTTCGATAGCCGATCTACTTCCTAGATTGGTTTGGCGCCATCTTAGCCTCTATTCCAGGGTCGAAGGACGCAACCTTCTACCCACTGTAGAGTGAGCAACCTCATTTTCTTGTCCGTTCTCTTTGCGTGCACCTATGCATCATTGCCTAGTCGCTATTGGATATTGCTTTCTCTAGGTTTCGAGGTCGGCATTGCATCCTGTTCAATCCAATAGCAGTGAATCCATAGACCCGGGTTTGAAGTGAGGGAGAATATTAATTTGCCGCGGTATCCAGTGGAGATGAAGTGGTCAGTGTCAAGTCCTGTCGGACTCCGCATAGGCCCTATTTGTCGACGTGCAGATCACGTGTGACTTTTTTCTGGTGGCCTTGATTTTAAGGCTTGATGACTTTCCTCTGATTGTGGGAGACTCGCTGATTGCCAGACAGCTCTCTCTCTCCTGACGAGACTAGGGTAGGAGAGTTGAGGAATATTGACCATCTAGGCTATGTGGAACTCCCTGGGACGGGGCCTGTCTAGATACCAAGTAGTGGCGGTTGACAACTAGTCATTTTCCAAGCTGGAAAGCACAAACCAATTGCATCTGGCAGATGAGACCTAAAGTACGACCTCTCGAATAGCTCGTCTACAGTCTATATCCCTAAACTTTTCCGGGGAGCTTCTTAAAACGTCCGTTTCACGTCTTTCCCGATGGATAAGCCCTGTTGGCACAGTAGGCCGAGCAAGCCCCTTTATGGTAGCGTCGCTTAGCATCCGTTTTCAACCCGAGCTCCCTTTATTATGGTATCACCATAGTAAAAAGCACCGCCCCTAAGCCACCTGAGCCGCATTGTACTTTGATGGTCTGCTCTATGATCAGTGCCATAATCAACTGTTCTGATTTCCTGGGATCTATTCCTCTATTAAATTTGATCTATACATGGCTGATTTACTAGGGATATCCGAGCACCCTTTAGTGAGATTAGTTTACGCGAGAGAATGTACCAACTGGCAGTAGACAGTATAAGCTCGGAACGATAGTGGTCATCTAGTATTCATATAACAAGGTATCGCTGAATATTTCAACATCCCTGGAGATCTCACTCCGTGGAGTTAGTCTTGTCCTTCTCAACCTAGCCTTCAGTATAACCTCCTCCATACTCAATCAGGTATGCATTCTTATTGACATCAATGAGCACATCAGCTGTCTTCGTATCCCCCCAACTAATATTGTATGATAAAAAGCGTTCGATCATGTGCGGAGCCTGGTGAGCCCACTTGAACTTCGTCGGACAATGTCAGAGGTTATACATAGAAGAGTCTATTGCACAAAGTGTGCTTCCCCCACATTCTTCTGCCTTCTATATACAGATTGTAAAGGGCAGAAATAACTGGGAAGCCCATGATAAATCTATTAGGTAGATCGCTGAATAGACCATTTGATAGCCCTGCAGGAAAGACATCATGGGGTCGCATAAGCCGCCATCTACCCTTGTCCGACTTTATTTCAATTTTGAATACACACTTACATAGCAATTATAAGATATAAATTGAGGCTTCTCAATCAAAAAGATTGAAAAAACAAAAACATACAACAGTGAGGATTCGCTGGTGGTCACCCACCCAACTACTAACTCACCGGCGTGTGGCTTAAGTACGGCTGAGCGGACGGGAAGCCCTGTTTTCCACACCCTATGGTCGTATGTGCTTGACTTCATGTGAAGAAGTATTATAGACTATATTGGATAGTATATTGGTAAGAAAGGTGAATTGTTATCTGCAAACAGCATGTACTGCCGTACCATAACTACTGACGAATAACAAAATAAAAATGAAACTGACAGGCAAAGAAGGGAAAAACCACCCGTTATACAGTGAACTACTTCTCGTTTCATTCTTGATCTTGTTCGAATTGCACATCCCACACCAGGGATACGAACTCGACGAGTTCTTGTGTCTCAATGACTATATCACGTTCACTGTTGATTTGTGCGGAGCGTCGAAAAAGAGATTCAAAAGGGATGATGAGCTGAGGTAGAGGATGATGGGGGTCAAAATAGACTGCACCATCAGATTTCCTACTAACAATGAAGTGAGTCCTGTTGGTAGGACGGGAGGTTTGGGAGCTCCATTCCCACTGGTCGATCGTGATCTCGGGCCTTTTTGTATGGAGATTAACTCCGATGGCTACATTTGCCTCCTGTCTTTCTGGATCTATCCAGTACTGAGCATCACGGCGGAGCTTGGCGTAAGTCTCCGAATTAGCGACCTCCAAAATAACCGTGGGTCTCCTAGGAGCTGTTCGGGGGGGTCTTCGTGGACCCCAGCCCCCGTCTGCCCGCTTCCTTGTGCCATCTCTGGCAAGCATCTCTGTACCTCCCCAAGATTGAATTGCGTTATGCATGCCCATTGGCTGAAGGGCCATTTTGAGCATGTTGTCGAAAGCAAATGTGGCTTGTTCGTGCGCTGGGCCGAGCATTTTGACGATAAGGATTTTTGTTTTCGGATTGAAGAATGTATTGGTACGAACAGGAGGATCCGATTTGATGAAGTCGTGCTCGAAAGCCGTAGGTTCAATAAGGAAGATAAGGTATTCGCTGAGGTCTTCCTCCTCGGGTGTATAGTCTTCGTCTGGCCTACTCTTAGTGTTGTCTCTCTCACCAAGGATATTCCGACGATTACAGTCACCTACAAGACGACTGCGGTGTAAATTGCGGATGCGCATTGGCTTTTGCGCCGAGCCGAATTGAAGGGTGTCTTCTGTCTGTGGCAGCGTGATCGAAGGGTCTTTAAGTCCTTCCCAACTTGCACCACTTGCCCGGGCTTTTGCCCCTCGTCCAACTCGGAAAGAACCATAGAGACGATCATGCTCAAGTGAGATAATCTGGCAGAAATCGTCCCTTCCACTGTAGCAATAGACTTTGACCAAAGGAGATAGTCCTTCGATATCCTGCCAGCCATGTTCGATGGCACTATCACTCAACTCGAACATCTTTGTTTTTGGAGAAGAGTTCGGTTGATATAGAACTTGAGGATAATGTGCTTTACAAAACTGGCAGAAACTCATCTTTCAAAGCGTTAACAAGAAAGATAATACCTCATCATGACTGTATTGTGTCGTAATATCTCGTCGGTTTACATCGGTCTAGGAGAGGAACAAGGACTGTACGCGATCGGGGGATGGGAGAACCATAGATAGTGTGAGTAGAATGCGACCGCTTTAGTCTGCCCCGGTAGACTAGAATTTATATAGAGAAAGTGAACGGGAATGAGACCATGGACTGAAATCAGCTGGAAAAAAAGTGAGAAAAATAGGGACCAACCTTCGAGTAGCAACATCCTTTCAAAGCTCGTCCCTACCAACTCACAAGGCTGGTACTCTCTCGTGGTGCGCTATACTCAAGTTACCCGTCGACATAGGTGACACTCAGCCTGTCTAGCTACTGTTCGGTGAATACATCCAGCCAACGGCTGTTAAGCCACACACAGTCGAGAAATACTTCCCCAAAAGGGGGAATCAGTCTCGCGCAGTTACCCTATTCCGCAACCTCACCGTCGACGGCGCATTCAAGTCATATATTGACGTCGCAGCCAGCGCTTATGCCGCGGACCAAAGCCTCCACAACACTCTCACTTAGAATACAATGCTACAATATCCACAATGAAATAAGAATTCACAAATATTATGTTATTTTATGATTTAGTTTGCTATCGTCTAGAGGTTTTGTACATACAGTTAAATACAGTGATATATGGCATCTCTATTCCAAAGTGTGCCTAGAAAGCACCGGTCACGGGAGGACCCTCAAGCTTGAAGTAACCAGGCTGGAGAGTCTGGTAAACAGCCTTGGGGTCGTACTTCTTGGCAATCTTCTTCAACTGAGCCTTGTTGGCAGCACCGTATCCACTAATGGGATCCTGGAACATGCCGGCGTAGTTCATATAGATGTACTCATTGAAGAGACCCCGGGCCTTGGCCTCAGCAACGACCTTCTCGATGAAGCTGTTGACAAACGCGTAGACAGTCTGGTCGTCAGACGCATTGTCCCACCAGCAGGCAACGTGCAAGATGTGAACAGGGCTAGTGGCGTCAGCGAGTCCCAGGGGGTTGCCACCGTAGTTCTTCATGTTCTTCAACATGGGCTCAGTGACGGCCTGGTAGATGAGCACAGGCTGGGAACCGGCAACCTTGTCCATCTGGGGGCGCACGGAGAAGAAGAGATCCACCACCCAGTTGGCAAAGTCCTCATCGACAGCCGCGCTGATGGGCCAGTACACCTCGCGATGGTGGTAGGGGTTTTCGGTCTCGAGGTACTTGACGTACTCAACAAGGGTCTTGGCACTGGAGTTGTCGGCAATGGCCGAAATATTTCTGTATTGCTTGTAGATCTCGGGGTTGGGGTCATTCTTGACGTAGGTCAGCTCGGCAGTGGCAAGGTTCATTCCTTGGTTCGAGAGGAAGGCGACATATTGCTGGGCGTTGGGGTCAACGGTGGCATTGTTGATGACGTTGATCCAAGCGTTGACAACTTTGGGGAACTCGGACTGGAGGAAAATTCTGGCGCCACCGTACAGCTCTGGGGAGGGGATGGTGTACAGATTGTACTTGGTGACAATGCCGAAGTTGCTACCACCACCACGCAGAGCCCAGTAGAGGTCAGGGAAGGAGGTTGCACTTGCAGTGATAATCAAACCGCTGGCGGTGACGACCTACATAGGATTTGTTAGTATCTGGTCTCCAGAGAATATAACGAGTGCAAAGTCTTACCTCAAAGCTCTGAACATTGTCGCAAGACCATCCGTGCAGGTTGGAGTGGTAGGAGATTCCACCACCCAAAACGAAGCCACCAACACCAATGCTAGAGGCACGACCTCCAACAACAGCCAGGCCATAGGGCTCAAGGGCAGAGTATGTAGAGAGCCAGTTGTTTCCAGGCCCAATAGAGGCGACCGTCTTGTCCGCGTTAAGGGTAACGGCGTTCATATCCTTGAACCAGATGCTGATTCCGCCAGGGGCGCTGGAAGCACCGGTAAAGGCAGCATGGCCACCACTGCGAACAGCAAACTCGCAACCAGTCAAACGGGCAAGCAAAACTGCAGTGCTAACCTCCGTGTTCTTGGTAGGACGGAAAACGCAACGAGGCTGGACCTCTTCTTGCTGCACGGACCAGAACGAGCCAGTGAAGGCGTTGTACCCATCAGAATTTTGAGCAGAGACCTTGGAGCCAAAAAGGAAGCTCAAGCTTGCGCACTAAGGTGAATTTGGAATCAGCAGTTGCTCAAAGCGGAGTTTGCTATCGAGGCCTAGTTTTTCACTTACAGCAGCTGCGCAGGCGGCGTTCTCGATCGATCGTGCCTCGATTGTAGTGTATGAGTCCAATGCGTCAATTTTGGATACATCCACACCGAGATCCTCCAATGCGGCGGTGACGTTGAAATTATCGGCTTCGATAACCGGGTTGGTCACAGCGGCGTGGGCCAGGGTCAGACCGCCAATCGCGGATAACCCGCCAATGAGGGTTGAGAGATGCATGATCCAAAACTTAGATAAGCAACCAAAACACAGCAAATAAATGTGAGGTCTAGACAAATGCAAAGACTTGGGAGAAAAAAAAAGAAAAGAAAGCCGAGAGGAGGAAAAGTACTGTCTTTAAACCTCCTCGGACGTTAGCTGATCAAAGGCTCCAATCCGATGAGGTTCCGCGTATGGTCCCTTGTGTCGGTTGTTAGTTGTAATTAAGGGGGTCGTATAATTGGAGTATATTATGGTATTGACCACAACCCAGGCCCATGGAGGTGCTGTTCGCTTTCGTAAACGCGTAAAACAATTTCGCTTCCAAATCTAAGCGAAGCGGCGCAACCCGAAGAATCAAGCTAGCCTTGTAGCTCATAACAATGGACTTGTAGTTTTGCCGTCTAGACCCGGCGGCGCCAGCGCTTGTTCAGTGGCCCCCCATATTTTTCTTCGATAAAGTTATTCCTTTCGGTTACAAACTCTCTCTTTTCTTTGAGTCCGGAGTCCAAGATAATCTTCAAATAGGGGGAAATATGATGAGTTTCCTAAGCGAGCACGCTACGCAGAAAGCCACGCAGAAGCCGACGCTCCGGAGGTCCGTGGCTTATGCAGGGCGTCGGTTTAGTCTGAGACAAGACGCCAAAAGTCAATTGGCATTACTACCCAGTTTTCCGACATTCATTTCCAGTCTGTGGCTTTCGCCGTTTTTAATTTTTCTTTCGGCATCAGATAGATCATAATTTCTCTTGATAGTACGCTGGGTCATTCTCTTGAGCCCCATCAGTCAAGGTGTATGATCTCAGGTCCCATCCATGGACGTGCGCGGCCCGTCCTCGGCTCCCGTGGCACGTTTGATTTTGAACCGTGGAAGAGGAAGAGCTGGGACCGTCCAGTGGATCCTTTACTCCACCAATACTATATCTCTCATCGGCGATTGGTCCAGGACCGATGGCTCATGCATCTTCCAATAATTCCTGCATTATTCGAAACGAATGCGTAGATTGCCCTGGAAGTTGGACCATCCTTGCTTTCCCTCAAGACATGGGTGGCTGCAGATTCCTGTCGAGTCTTAAAATAATACTCACTGGGGTGCCATGTGGAAATTTCGATAAATTATCTTTATATGGATGACAGTGGCCCCACGCGGCTCCCGATGCCTTCCTAAAATCGAGTCTCACAAGAAGGAATGGGAAATGCGACTGGCACTTTTGGGCACGGTACCATCAAAGGTACTGGTATTGCCTTGATTGTCCTCACTACCTTGGTTATCGGCGCTCGTTTTGCTGGTTCCGTTCGAAGTTTGAAAGACCTCAAGGCGGAGGACTACCTACTGATTGTCGCTTACATATTCTTCTTGGAACTGAGTATTCTCTATATCTACATTTCGCCAGTCATACTGCGGCTAGCCGAAGTCGGGGCTGGGACGATTCCCCCTATGCGACCATCTCGGACGATGGACTCAAATTACAGACTGTCTTCTTCGTCACGACATCTTCATTATGGATCTGCTTATGGATGATCAAGTTCTCACTGTTGGCGATGTATAAGCGCTTGTTGGTTGGAAAGAAATACCTGATCGCTTGGTGGATCATAATGGGAACTTGTGTTCTGGTATGGATTTCCGGCCTGAGTGCGAGCTTCCAAATAACTGACGGAACTCTTCTTAGTTTCTTATTGGCTGCATTATCTCCTCGTGGCGCTCATGCTCGAGTTTTAAAGCCTGGTTTACGGCAGGCAAATGCAACACCGAACGCGACCACCGGGCGGCTGTCATCAGCTTATACTTCGCATATGCGGTGGATATCCTCACTGACCTAGCAAGTACGTACTGAGCTCCCTCCTCTTTGAAAATCATCAGTGCTAATACTCATATCGCTAAGTCATGATCCTCCCCGTTCGCCTTATCTGGAATTTGCAGATGAAACTCCGACAAAAAATGAGCATTGGCGGGCTATTCTGTTTCGGCTGGATTTGCATCATCATATCTACCATCCGCGTCGTCCAGCTGGGTGAGACTGATAACGGTGTCCCCGCCCCGTCATGGCTAGCGCTCTGGGGAACCATCGAGGCATCAATCGGTATGCTTTTATTCCCGGCTTTCCCTACGTGCCTATTGGACGGTTTTACTAACTGTTATTCTCTTAGCTGTCATGATCGGCTGTTGCCCTGGCCTCTATCGCGTGGTAAAAACCGTCGTCTCACCCTCCAAGAAATCCTATCCGTACGACTCATACAACCTACGGGGCCGTGGAGGCAGCGGTATGCCGTCGCACCGCTCGGGTGCGTACGGGGGAGATATTGCTCTCAATAGCTTCGGGGGAAAGGAGGAGTCATACCAGTCGGCCAGTGCATACCGTTCTACCAGTCCGTCAAGTAGCCAGGAGAAACTGGCGCAACCGAGTGATAAGGGGAATATTATGGTCAACTATGGAGTTGCCGTGACGATAGAGGATCGACCGAGTGATTATACCCGGACGGCACGTTTTGCGTAGCAACACAAATTTGTTTTGAATACACTCTCTATATAATGAAATGATCAAATTATGAAAATTACAGATAAAATTTAATTTACCACATTAATGTATAGCTTGCATAGTGTTTCTATATCCCACGCTATCGCTTGCTACAAATAATGTGCATGGGAGGGCTGATAGAACAATAAAAGCCAAGGCTGCGGAACCTTCAAAATGCCTATACCTAGTTAGAGAAGAAGAGAACATAATGTTACAAGTTTCAGGCCAACTCAAATCCTGGAATCTAGGTACATCTTCTAGCTAGAACGGTGCCAATTCACCAAGACTAGCCAAAAGTGAGTACGACGTCCAAGTGTATCTTATTGATAGGAGGAAGTAAGATGTGCCTAGGAACCCAGCCTGTTGTAAGTGTGCTCTTCTTCAGTCAAACCAGTCAGTTGGTGGGTAGTAGAACTCACCTTTGTGTTCCATGTTCTCAAGCCACGTAGTGGACAATCCCTCTTCTGTTGTTCTTCAAGTATGAGTTAAAAGTACCACTTTCACGGTAGCGACGGGCCAACAAGCCTGCCACGCCGGATGAGATGGGGTCAGATTCACGTGCTGTTCTAACGATATCCCATCTAGATTCCAGGTAGCAAATGGAGGCCTCACAGATCACGTCATTTATCTCAGGTCCACATTTCACCTAGATCTACGTGACGTGCGCCCCGAAGTATTACTCCTCAATAACTACCCAGTACTGTCGTCCCGAAGATAGCAACATAGCCAAAAGTAGCCTCGATGAGCGAGAGAGCTTTCAGTTGGTTCGATCACGTAGAGTGGCGCATCCACCACGGGATGTCGTGCTCAGTGACTTCAAAATCCGAGCCAAAATAGTGTGCACGGGCATCTAGATATCTCTCCCGTCTAAACTCAGAGCCGTGAGACAACTCGAGGTATTGAAGAAGGCAAAGACAGCGATGGAGGGGGACTATTTCAGGCTCGTCAAACCTTACAGTGGGCTGAAGGATTGGATACGGTGGGGATTCATCCTCCTCCAGGATATGACCTGGAATCCAAAAGCCGGGTGGCATGTTGTCGATTGCCAAGATAGTTCGAGATCTATTCTGCTCGGAGGTGTTGGCTTGGTAAACCCCGATACTCTGCCGTAGGATCATCAATATGCATGCCATCCAGCATTGTTGGATGCGTTCACTGGCGGGACCAACGGGGTGGTTGCATCGTAGTGTTTGGCTACCGTCAAGCCTCCTTAGAAACATTAAATTCTCGCTGCTCAGGCCGGGCAGGGCAGATACAAGACGTATGGCTTCAAGGCATGGCCACATGATAACGAACCGCTGGAGGTCGAGGATACTGTCAAACCCAAGATAGGCCGCTACCGTCCGTTCGGCTTGCTTCACACCAGAAGGATAGAAATCAGCGAGATGTGAGTTCTATTAAAGATGACGATGACTTACCAGGATGGGTAGATTGAGGCTCCTCTGGGATGACATTTCCTTCACTCTGAGTGACAATAAGATAGAGGAAGAGAGATAGATCTTGAAGACGGAAGATGCTCTGTGAGAATGATACAAAGTGAGAGATATCTGAGAGCATAGGTAGATGAGGTTGAATTCAGATGTAAGTGAAAGGAAAACTTGAAAGGAAAAGTGTGGTAACAAATATATGGCCGGTAGATGGTAGTTGACTAGAGTATAGTAAGTTAAGACGTAAGCTGGAAATTACGTGAATGGGATTCCTACTTTGATCATATATCTCTCATAACCCTAAACAATATATAATTAAGACAAGAAGCTGCCTAATGGGGAAAGACTAGGAAGTCAGTCCACTCATCTACCTTATCAAGTCAAGAGTAATATGTAAACCATCACGTTAGAAAAAGGACAATGGGAGTAAAAATGCTTAACACTCCAAGAAACCGGGCGCTGGCTCTCTCTATACAAATACTATGTGAAGGCATTGAGCCCCAGGATGTTTGGTAGTGACAGGCAAACAAAGAAGAGACTGCATAGGGAAGACAACAAACAAACGTACAGCTCTGACAATGCATATTCCATCTTGTTCCGTGTCGCAATGAAGGGAATCTACAATATACATGCATCTTTACTTCAATAGATCCTACAATACGACGTGGAACCCCTTGGTTTAACCAGTAAGAGGCCTAACTTCCAAATGGGCCACAACAGTACTATTCATTCATTCCTCAAGTAGATTGTGCCACTCCGGAATATCCCTGATGAGTTTCCACATAAACTTTTCCAGTTGAACCGCGCACTTAGTGTACACTGTTGTTGCGTCGTTGAACTGACGGCAGTTGCTAAAAATTAACTTGAGATCGTCGACAAGCTCTTTTGAAGCACTGTAAATATCGCCATCCAGTCTTTTCTCTATGGTCAACAGATCCATGGGTGACTTGATGACGTTGTAATAATCAGGAACTTCGTCCTTGTTGACCGGACTAACGAAGGGCCATGCACGTTTGTGATTTTGGATATGGTTTAAAAAACGCCGCATTTCGTTGTAATGAGGACCACGGCGTGGTTCGCGTGATAACTCATCCATCGTTGGAGACCAGCCCGTTGCCCGAATGGCCGGAATAGAGGTAGGGTCGATTGGAGTGATAACCCTATTAGTCCATTGTTGAGGTGGTGGGTGGACAACATGATTCTGGCTGAAGGTACGTATTTTGGCTAGAATACACTCCTTCTGCTTAAGAAGCATTCGACCAACTTCGAGGTACCGGATTCGGGGAATGAGAGAGCATTGCATCAGGGTACCCCCTTCGTAATCCTTGATATACCCCATCCAGATCGACTTATCGAGAGTGATATCTTTCGTGAAACCTTGCTTTTGAAAGTACCCAGTGGCATGATTATCGGCGTAAGTTAGAAAATGTATTACCGGGGAAGTGGCTTTGACGTAATCCTTTAAATGGGCCATGATATGTGCACCGTATCCTTTCACTTGCTGATCAGCCGAGACCGCGCAAAAACCGATTTCGGCAAACTGGCGGTCGCGGAATTCTCGAAATGTGATTCCGCCAATGACCTGAAGAGGCATCTTGACGATAGCAATGGATAAATGAGCGCGATCGTAAACGAGTCGTGCGATGTAGTCTTTGGGCATTTTCGGCAGTTGTCTTTGGAACAGGCATTTTAGCCCTGTTAGAAGAATCATGCTTTCTGTCGAGGCATCGTTGTTGACAACTCTATACTCGATTTCGCCCTCTCGCTCCTCTAATACAGCAGGCTTAAGAATAGTCAGAAGAGTTTCTCACATTCAGAGGTTCCAGTATACCTTGTCTGGGAAGGGAACCCTCCGGATCACAGCTCGAGAATTAACATCTACTTCCGAACCATGGCGAACCCCTTTTTTTCTTTTGGCATCGGGGGAAGCTCTCAGTTCTTCGGGCGCCAAGCGTTTCACAAGATTTGGCCCGCTGTCAGATATGGATGATTGTGATTGTGTGTCGTGCATCTTAGTTGGATGCGCGTCGACTCGGATTTTGTGATATGCAGATATGCAAATTTGCTTCGTCCAGTTCAGTCTGTCAGGTTGAATCGTCCGCTTCGCGTTTGAACTGTGATATGATGGAAGCGCTAAGTCGGTTGTTGCGCTTTCAGGTAACACACGCCTGCCATCTCGACATCAGTTCTACCCCTTACGTCTCGTGACATGATCCGATCTCGCTTCATCAGTGCCACAATGGCACAGCCACTTGGTCTCGGCTCACCTGACTATTGTATCTAAGCCCTCCACAAGGATGGTTATAAAAACCTCTCCTGATATATTATAGTGAAATCCAAAGGCTAGCTTCCATCGGTTGTCGAGTCCTACTAGTCGGCCTCTCGAAGGTCCATATTGTAGGTGGTTACGCTTTCGAAAAATCGCCCACTTCACCGCCGCAAAGTCACGCTTAACATATTTCGATCGGGCCCATTCGAGCACCCCCTATGAAGTGATAGGGGTCCTTGGCAAGACCGACAATATCCGGCTCGCCAGTATCCAAAAGACTTACCCGGATGGTCAAGTCAGATCATATAGTATACAGAGACTCACGATAATCGGAGAACATGGAATGGCAACTTCAAATGAACAGATCAAAACCAAGGACCTTCTGCCGGTCTTAAAAACTGATTTTAGCCCTATATGACTATCAATACAAGTATGTTGACGTACACAACAAGCAACAGGCGTCAGTTTGTCTCTTCCACAATTTGGCGCTCCCGGATGGAATGCATAGCCTCCTTACTCGCCGTAAACTCTTCAAAATACTCTCTACGCCCCTGAAACTCAAGACCGCCGTCCTTTCTCGAGTAGCTGTCCCTTGGATGTCCGGACATGTCGGACGAGCCCTTACGCTCGACCTGCCCGGTCACGACTTGATATAGGAATGCGTCTACCTCGGCCAGGAAACCAGCCGCGTCTATGCTAGGGGTGATATGACTGCATGATATCTTTGCGCGTTGTTCTGCTCTCGTCAGCCTCTTGTAGTTACGGCTTATGTGAGTGGTCAAGCTTACCTGTCTCGGCATTGAATCGTCTGATGAGCTGCCTCATTTTACCGATCGACTCACTGTACCTGATGACGCTCTGTGTCTCAAAAAAAAAGATGGGCGCGTACTGATACAGAGAGTCGCCGACGAATAGTACTCTCTCGTATGAGTCCCATATGGCAACTTCGTCGGGCGTGTGGCCGGGTGTGTGGTACATTGTCAGGCCGAGGTCGTGCCCAGCGCTATCAATCACCTGCTGGCCGTCGCTGCACCAATTGGTGATTGTGTATTCTGGTGTTTTAATATCGAGTTTGTCACAGAGGGACGTGCTTGGTAGTCGGGCAGGGCTGAGGTAGTCTTTGTCATAGTCGCTCGCCCAGACGGTACTACCGTCCGTCTCGACAAACTGCTCGATGCCGCCTTGCGGTGTTAACAAGAATCAAATAAACTGAAAGAATCCAATCGCCAAGTACTTTGATATCATGGGACTCACTAATATGATCAAAGTGACAATGGGTGCAAATAACAAGGTACTTTCTCTGCCCACCAGAGTTGAGTGGAGTTTCGCCATTGTCTCTCACGGGAACCGTCTCGAGGAAACTACGTAGCGACCTGAGCTCGACGCTAGGGTCGCGCGCCGCGCCACCGCACCCAGTGTCCATGAGCACAAAGACAGATGGGTATATCTTGGCGTATATTATAGGCATCTCGAGAAACTTGTCGTCTTCGACGATCTGGAATGTGGTGCTATTGAGCCTGCTGGCTGTGAAACATGTCGAGCCGGGGTTGGCGGGCTTAGGCGTCGGGCTGGCCGCTTTTCTGGGGATCATATTAATACACATTTCGAAAAGAGTAACAGAATTATCGGCGCATCGGAAGATAAAATAGAATAACTGTCTATGAATTGTACTTGGAAGCGTTGTGGATGGGCAGTGGCAGGACCCCGCAGAACAGCAAGCCCTGGAGGTTATGGTGGAGAGCGGCAGCCGAAAGGGGTCAACGGAACAGTGTTCAATGTAAACGGCCTGGGAATTACTGGACGTGTTGATGAACCCGCTCATAATCAGATTAAAGGCCTTGTGTTTATTGTGTATACTCTTGCCACGGTGGGTGAAGAACCGGTGAGCTATAAATACAGGTAAATGGCCGCGGAATCGAAGGGATTCAGGGGAGTAGTATTAAGGGCATAAATGTCTAGGGTTACCAAGTTATTGTTCTGTCGGCCTTTTTATTGATTACGACCGACACTAATTAAAAGGCTGATTTGATCAAAATTGTAGTTGTCTTCGCAGAGAGCCCGTTTCCAGGGAGAGCACCGAGAGAACATATTTGATCCTGCGTCGAACCACATACCGTATTCGGTTGGGGTGGCTAGGGCATGGGTGACCCCCTCTTGCTTCATGATCTTGGTATTTTACATACGGGTCGTCACGGTTTTCGGATGAGACACAGAGGGTTCTCCCATTGGCAAAGGCCATGAGGATCTGATGCAAGGAGAAGTCAAAGCTGAGTATCGGAGTTCATGGGATATCAGACACATTCACGATAGCTGACTCTGTCGCCCGAAGATCAGGCTTGAGCTGTCAAACTGTCATGGAGAATAAATTGCGGGCGAGCAACATCAACAGCACCCCACTGAAAGATTCCGAATGCAACATGCCGAACTCCACACTCTGCACGGATGGTTTAGGCTGTGTCCTGCGGCAATTCGGCTTCAAAATACTGCTCTAGTGAGTGATACGTCTGCAAGGAATCAGAGTTGCAACAAACCTTTTGCCATTGCCATGCAAAGTTCGGATCCATCATCATGGCTGAGCCTGGAAACATCTGACTGGACCCCATGAACGGGAGCCCATAATTAAAGCTCTCTTCGAGGGTGGTTCCATTCAGCCCTCCAGTGGGAAAAGGCATAGACAGGGCTGAGCCACCGTAAGCAGAGACACGAGGGACAAAATAAGACGGACGACTGACCTGAGTTTAGGGGAAAATCATTTTTCATAGCCTGAGCCTCTGCATCCATAACAGAGTCACCTGATTGCTGAGCAAGAACAATACTAAGGGTATCTGCTGCGGTCTTTGCTTCCACCGATGAATTTTTCGACCTCGACCAGATACCTTGTGCTCTTGTCAGCGCTGCAATGATTTGGTCCAAGTTGTGACCATCAGTCAGAGCATCTGGCTGTCGCGTGAGAAAGCACAGCAGCATCGTCGCTGTCAAAAACTCATGCTTCATGAAGGAGGAAGCCCTCCATCGCATTGCATAAAGCTGGCCATCCGGGATAGTTTCCTCGTCGCATATATGTTGGATTTCCAAAACACCTAAAGCGGCTTTTATGCAAGAACTGCGCGAGTAGGAGTATGATGTGCGGTCATCGGGAAATGTGGCTAGGTCCGGGCTTAAGTATTTGCAGTGTAGCATGATCTGGCCCTTATGAAACATCAGTCTGAGGAAAAGTCGGTGCATGATCACCTGCGGGGGATCAGTCACCGCTCCAGCCATGGCCTTCATGCGGAGATAGGCAGGGACTGTGGCCTCCGCATCAGTAAGAATACGATCTAGTCGCATTACTTCGTCGTAGGTCACTGGTCGAACCGACGCAGTGAAATCGACAATCACACCCAAGGCATCAAAGATACGTCGCCGAGCGACCAGGTGTGAAACTGTCGTGATCTCCGTCTCTGGTCTTGACAGGGGAAGCTCGGAGCAATCCTCGTCGAAATCCGAGTCATTCAAATTACGGGGCTCTACTGTGTCACATTGCCAATCCTTGATCATGCGTGGCATGCCCATTTGGGTAGAGATCAAGATATCTCCCTGTAAAATTGTCGCCCAGGCCCGCCGTCTCATCTCTCCCACAAATGGGGTAATCCCTGGCAAGTGCGACGGATCTCGGTGGTAGCCCATACGCAAAGCTATATTCACTGAGATTCCCGAAAGAATCCAGATGTCCTGATCAGCATCCTTGCGGATAGAATACTCGATGGTCAAGTAGTGGTATAGGGTTTCAAACACATAGCGCCCGGACTTGGTGTACTCGCCCAGGATGAGGCACTGCACTATTTTTTCACGATATGTATCCACCAACGGATTTCGGAGTTCCGGAGATGAGCTGGAGTCTGCCGCACTAGAAGCAAGCACTGCGAGACAAATCATGGAAAAGAGGAGACCGAGCCACATGATTGAAGTCTGGGATGGATTTTCCCAGAACCGTTCATACTACATTCATTATCGTTAGTCACAGTCTACTCGTGTCATTTGGCGAGGTCTTCCGCATACCTCTCGTAAAAATTGACCACTATGTAGGCAGGCTGAAGAGTATGATGCCCTATATTAGCTGCCGGCGCTTGAATAATGTAGCTCGGGGTCTTACATGGCGCCAAGTCCAACCGATTGAAGTACTGGGAAATATGACGATCGACAGCGGGTCGGGTGGGCAGAGCTGCCAAGATATCTTCTTTACTCGCTGATTTACATCCATACAGTAGGGGAGTATGCAGCATAGCAGGTTTCTCCATTTCCCCACGGTCTTCTCGCTCAAGCTGCTCCTTTATGTCGGCAATGCCATCCAAAATGGCAGCCCAATGGGTTCCTCCGAAATACTGGGCGTCTGAGGAGCTAAAATGCACATTTCCACCATCGGACTGAGCTGGAGAGTCTCCTGAATTGGTAGCCCCTCCAGGTGAGTCTTCTTCGGGACGGCTTTGAGGAGCCGACGCGACTGGGTGGTGATCCGGCCGTTCTTGGCCATCCGAGGTGGTTTTTTGCATCAGCGAGACAACAATCTGCTCCAACTGGCCCAGGCGGTCCTGAACGGTTGCTTGCGGCCGACCTCTGTGGGCCTCAGATGCCCCAGGCACCCGTTGGCCCTTGGGTAGGGTTTGATTGCTGGGATAGGCACACGAGAGTGCCAATCCACGAACAGTACATGTCGAACAGGGCTCTTTGCGATCGCATCGGAGCCTATCGGAGGGTTTAGTCAGATTCTCTTCGGAGATTTGCAGATATATGGTACTCACTTCCTCCGACGACACAGGTTACAGGAGAGTTGTGGTTTGCTCCGACGATTGATGGAAGCTCGTTGGAGCCTGGGTTCGTCCGGGAGCGGAGGGTCCATCGTGGCTGTCGGAGATATGCAGGTGCACCATTCAGCTATGGACTGTGTGGTATTATATGCGATATATCACTTCGTAGGCCGGACCACTTGTCTACCGGATAGGTCCTTCAGACTACATGAGGTTCTCCCTCACGCGCATGGTGTGGCGGGTGGGATATGTTTTCGCCGTGGAGCACACCTGGATCGCCACATAGGCAATGAAAAGAAAGGCAGAACCAATAGAGAGATGTTTCAGGGGTAGCGTGCATTGGTGCAAAGAATGGCAGTAGATGGAGATGTCGTCGAATTGTCTGGTGGTGATTGATCGGAGGTACCTAGACGCTCATCCGCTGTGATCTAACCTAATTAGGCAAGGTGCGAGGTGATGCGGGAAGCATCCGTGGATCAAGAGCTCTTTAACCAATCGGATGAACCCTTTCCTCCGTAGATTCATCCGCCTTCTCTTCCACTTCAGCTTCGCCTTCGATTCCTCCACCCAATGTTCCTCCATCGATTTGGTTTAGATACGACTTCACAGTCTCCGAAGGTTCCTCCGCTCCGTTCCTCCGCTCCGTTCCTGGCTTGTCTGTCGTCATACCAACCAATTTGAATAGCCATGAGCCCTCCGAACCCTGGCTTCAAGCCAGTCGGCTCGGCGACTACAAGACGGAGCAAACAACGTGTAATATGCCCCCGGTGGACATTAAAACCCAAGAAGACCCATTATCTACTCCCTTTTGCTACCTGAGGTGACACTCTATCGCAATACAAAGGAGCAAAACTCGTCCTTAGACCAAAACTTCGCTTCGTTCAACTATTCGGTAAAGTCCACAGAACGATGAAATTCCCCAGCAATGACGAGTCCGACATCAACCTGAGCAAAGATGAGGAGGCGGCTAAGCCGCTGTCGCCGAAACTCGGAGACGACGTCGTCGACTGGGACGGCCCAAATGACCCCAAGAACCCCCTCAACTGGTCTGGCAGCAAAGGGTTTGGTCATGTCGTGATTGTGGCCGCTCTGTCGATGGTCGTGTAAGTGAGCCCTCATGAGAGGCAAAGCAGCCAACCGTGCTGACACAAGCTACTAGAAATATCGCCTCGACCATGGTCGCTCCGGCTATGGAAGGCGTCTCAAGGGACCTGGAGATCTCTAATATGACCCTGGCAACCTTAGCTGTCAGTATCTATCTGCTGGGATTTGCATTGGGTCCACTTGTCATCTCTTCGCTCTCCGAGATGTACGGGCGCCTGATTGTCTATCACGTATGCAATTCCATCTTCGTCATCTTCGTTGTGGCCTGTGCCCTGAGTCGCACTTCCGTTCAATTTATGGTCTTCCGGTTCATAACTGGCTGCGCAGGAGCGGCACCGATGTCCCTCGGTGGCGGAACAATTGCTGATGTTATCCCGATTGAGAAGCGTGGTGCGGCGGCGGCCTTGTTTGGCCTGGGCCCCCTTCTGGGACCAGTATGCAATTTTAGCCCACTACCTAATTGATACTATGCTAACTAATCTAGGTTCTGGGACCGGTAGTTGGTGGCTTTGTTGCCGAAGGAAAGGATTGGCGATGGACCTTTTGGGTGGTCGCGATCCTCGTGAGTGGTCTTGCTTACGGGTGATATCCACAATTCTAACATTATGACAGGGAGGAGCAGCGGGTATTGGGGCATTCATCTTCATGCGAGAAACGCATCCTAATACCCTTTTGGAACGCAAGGCCGCATACTTGCGACACACAACCGGGAATCCGCACCTCCGATCTAAACTCGATCGTGGCCTCACAAAACAGCAGATCATTGTTGCAGCCCTCGTACGCCCCACCAAACTTTTGATATTCTCGCCGATTGTTCTTGTTTTGTCTATCTACGTCGCTCTTATATTCGGCCTTCTTTACCTCCTCTTTGCCACCTTTAGCATGGTCTTCGAAGGCCAGTATAAATTTAGCACCGGTATCTCCGGTTTGGCATACCTGGGCCTAGGTCTTGGCGAATTGGTGGGGTTACTAACCTTCGGTATCTTGAGCGACCGGCTCATGAAGGCGAAGATGACAGCGGACAATGTCCAGGAATCTAAGCCCGAGTATCGGCTAGTTCTGATGATGTGGTTCCCCCCAGTCATTGGGCCTGGCTTACTCATTTACGGTTGGTCGGCATATTATCAGGTGCATTGGATGGTCCCGATTTTTGGGACATTCATCGTTGGATTTGGGGCCTTCTTCGTTATCATGCCCTCACAGCTATACCTAGTGGATCTATTCGGGTCAGAAGCGGCAGCATCTGCGCTAGGTGCCAACATTCTCCTCCGCTCCATGTTTGGGGCCTTCTTGCCACTTGCTGGATCGCACATGTATTCGACACTCAATTACGGATGGGGTAATACGCTGCTAGGGTTCCTGGCATTGGCATTTGCGCCTGTGCCAATGCTGATTTATCGATATGGAGAATGGCTCCGCAGTCGGACGACAGTCACGCTTTAAATGTTGTGCAGGGTGTTTATAGATAATATCTCTAGTTATGGCTCAACTATAGCCAATAATACAAGTCAGTCTTTTATCCGTAATAAGATGGAATGATCAATGGATTTTGTATACACGAGGTAATATACTCAACCCCAAATCAAATTAGACTCGTTATGGAAAAAAGGTATAATCTCCCAGGGCTGACGTTCTGCAGCCAAGTGGGTGGTGGACTAAAACATGAGGGACGTCGTACATTCCTCCGACGCTACTGTTCCATCTCCGCAATTCTACTATGTACTGGTATCAACTAATTCTCAGTGCAAAATGGGGAGCACGACAATGGTTATAACGTATATCCGTGTGGGCCAGATGTATCTGATGGGAGCTCCCACTGTATCGGACCTGAGGTACATGGCGTCGCCTGTAAGAGGAAATTTATCCTGCCAAACAGAATAATGTCCCGAGAACAGAAGGCGCCGGGTCCCAACATCGACACTAAACGAGTCTGCATAAGCGAGATAGTGTCAGACTATCGGAGCATTAGTAATGCTATTTTCTACTTGACTTTAATGCGCAGAGACTCTTCCCCTTGCTGCATTCGATACGAAGTCAATATATTCAACAAACGATCAAATACTCTGCTCCACCTGTTTACTCAATCTGGTACCCTGAGTGTTCAGTCGACGATCCCGCAGTGAGCGACAGCCCAAGAAGCATGACAGGCCAGAGGAAATTCCCAACACGTACTTGTCAGGACCAAACGCATCGACGCCGCCATTGGGGTTTCCAAGCTTCCCTATGGCGCGGGACGATCCTTTGCCGTCGATCGCCCGTGTGGATCCCATCGCCGACCCACACGACCCGGCCGATCCACCGCTGGACCCAATGCTGGCTGATATATGATTCCACGCACCGAGGGCCAACACAGACATGCCCGCTCCTATAGCGTTCCCTGCCTGAAAGGTAGAATGGTAGCTTTCTCCCGAATTGCTGAACCCAGATCTGGATCTCACACAATCAAGCAACGCGCTAGAACGCAGCAGTGGCATATAGCATATACGACTATCCGGTTGGCGGGGCAATTCATCTCGCCCTGAAGTTGCGGGAAATAGTATCTCGACAGGCATGGGCAGGAACCGAAGGTCCCAGCCTTATCTCCAGTAGTGATGACCCTGTGGACACACTCACCCTCCCTCCTCCTAATGGTGTCATTTTAGATGTCCCTAGTAAATATCTACGACACATTTTTCTCCGACTTACGCCGGCTTTTAGTCTTACTACCAGGCTCGACATAGTCCCGGGCTGGGCTACGATGGGTTTTGCGACTGGACGGTCTCCTTCTCATGGACGATGGGTGTGTGCGGATTCTTAATGCCGTGCATATATTGCAGGATGCGTTGGATGCAATTGAGAATGATCTCGGTATGAGATTGGCTTTCTGAAAACTGACTACTCATAACTGACGGGTTTAAAGCAGATGTTCAAAATCTAAACGACAGCAATATAGCGTCGTTGTTAAAAAGAAATCTCAGCACTGGCACGGTAGCGGAAGGGGCTTTGAATGCGGATCTACAGGCGAAGGTTGAAGAGCTGCAATGGAGTTTAAACCAGATTGATGTTTCTAGATGTGAACTATATGAAAGAAACACATTGCTTCTCTGAGATCCTACGGCCAAAATATTGATTGCGACAAAATGGACGCTAATCTTTTGGGTACAAATATTACTCTAGTCGATTTTCAACATCACTCTCAAGAAATATTGCGAATGCGTCGGACATTGGTTACAAGGCATCAAGTATGTAGTAAATAGCAGTAGCAAGGGTAGATTGATCCGGACTATAAGCAATATTTACAGCAAGTGAAATAACAAATAGCTTGGTTCAAGGCTTTGTCCACGCACAGGCACACAAACACTAAATCTCAGACTCTTTGATTCCTTTCGGAATGTTCTTCGGGCCAGAGGCTTTGGGCTACTTTAGATCGCAGCGACGTGATTAGCAACTCCGCATTGCCAGTCGCTGGACCCATAGTAGATGGTGTAATGGTCGTTGGGAGAGGCACCGCTGGACAACGTCTCGCCGTACTGCCAGAACATATCACCACCCATTCCAGTGGTGGCAAGCGAGGTAGCCTGCCACGTAACCGAGTCAGAGCAGTGGTCATCCTTGATGCCATATTCTTCAAATAGACACGGCTTTCCGGCGGCCTTGCAAGCAGCGGCATGAGACTTGATCCAGTCGTTACCCCAGCTGTTGTTAGAGATGCCCCCTTTAACAATATTAGCCACTGCATAGATCAAATATAGGGAAGAGGTTCGTCACTCACAGTCAGATACGTATAGGTGGAATGTACCGAAATCGATCTCCGGGATAGAAATGTGCTTGGCAAAGTCATTACCCTCGTATGTCGTGTACGGGTAGGAGTTATCCGAGCCGGTGGTCAATCCCATGCCCTCTGTGAGATGGGTCAGTGATGTGAATCATTTGTGATAGCGGTAACAACATACCTTCTCCAGTAGTCACCATGTGGTTAGAATCGAGGGATTTGATATATACAGCAGTCTGTTTGACCCAGTTGTAGATAACATCAGTGTCGCAACTCTGGCAGCGAGCCTCGTTGGCCAGCTCCCAAGCAAAGATAGCTGGAGAGTTCTTGTACCGAGAAACGACGGCCTTGATATATGCTTGATAGGCGCCTTGGATCTTTGCGCTAGTATACCACTCGGTCTTGCTGCCACCATAGGCATTGATGTAGGCATTCATGCCACCATAGTCGTTCCAGTTGTTGACAAAAGGAATGATCAATTTGATTCCGTACTTCTCCGCGGCAGAGACCACATAGTCAAGGCGTTGCAGGCCGTCCGCCCCGGTGTTGATAGTGCTTGTACCGCTTGATTTGTCATGAAGCTGGAAGTAAACAGTTCCAGAGCTGGGAACGCTGTTAACGTCATTGAATCCCCAGGTGCGAAGGACCTTGAGTCCTGCCTGCTGCAGGTGCTTGAACACAGAATCAACATCTGCGTTGTTCGTCAAGAATGGTAGCCAATACGCATTGGTGCCAGCAAAGTACTTGGTCTCGCCGTTGATGTTGAAATTCAAGCCGTCAACTTTGGCGAACGCTGTACTGCCTGGGCTTGTGGGAGCTGTAGTAGTTGTCGAGGTTGACTTGGTGGTAGTCACAGCCGAGGTGGTGGTTGAACTGGACGTAGTCAACGTCGTAGTGGCTATATAGATATGGATTAGTTCTCCCAGTTGCCAGAAACATGCATCATGAACTTCTCACCAGGCTCACAATGGCTAAACCACTCATTCAAATAAACGCATGACCATCCGGACTGACAGGTGGTTGGGCCGGTATAGGACGAACCTCCACACTGTCCCCAAGCGCCTGCCTGGGCTGATACAGAATTGATCAAACCCAAGGCCACGAGAGCGGAGATACTACGCATTGTGAGGAATTCTCGGTTGGTACTGGATGGGCGATGTGTTGTTGAATGCGAAGCTGCGATGAGGAAAAAGAAATCCCAGGATCAGGGAAGATCCGGTGCCTTATATATCCTGAAGCCACAGCATGTACGTTGATTCCGGCGAAGATAGAATCCTATTCCGAGGCCTTCCTGTCACACGATACTAGCATGGCAACTCACCTGGGCATACTTCCAGTCCTCACAAGGGCCAATCAGACCAGGAGCTGCCAAACTTGGCATATGTTAGACTAATTTGAACTACTCCGTACGGGCGGAGACCCTACTTGGATCATCTTCGAGTCGGTATCCAATGATATTCGAATGTTCACTCCACTAATAGGCTTCTAAGTTGTTTTGTGCCGCCGCCCTCGGATAAGTTTGGTCTAGCGTTGTAGCTCTGAAGGAAGCCTAGAACTAAATCGGATGCAGAATCTTCCAGATTTTTGTCGTCGCTTTATTTCACCGTTTATTTCCTCCGAATACACACGGGGGTAGCGGTGCATGAAAAGTTAACGCACCCCACGATTCTTCCCGGCTCCCCCGTGCTGAAAGCAGATGGGCTTCTGCACAGCATAGAAAGTCTGGGGTGCACTTTCTGGGGAAGAGGCCCAAGAAAATTGACAATTACTGGTATCTTCCTTTCACGACTACATTTTCCGCGGTAATCCCTCGAAACACTTTTCGTCCGTTGTTCAAAGTTGCTCGGCCGATAGTTTTCAAAATCCTACATGACACTTGAAACACCAATTTTATCTGCTACATTGGAGGGAAGCCCCGGTTCCTCCGTAGTTGGGGCGAATCTCACACATTAGCCCCGAAAACCCTTTTTTCAAGGTAACTGCAATCGGAACGGAAGTCCGTCTCGCTGCCCTGAAACGAAGAACGCCAAAATCTTCAATGCCGTCCCGGCTCCTAATTGCCTATTGTGGAACTACTTTGTTTTGAATCGATGATGTATCGGGCGTTATTTTCCAAGCCCCTTGACGACTTTTCATGTACTCGAGTCAAAAATATCCAGACATGGGCTCAGTAGGTGGCATGGTGCTGACGGCTCTCGGCGCAGTCTCACGGTTATTGAAGGCTGAATCTCTATCTAGAGACGAATTTCTGAATAATTCTAGGCCCAAAGAAGGTAATTGAAACGCTGTTAGCCTGTTCCCAGACCTGGCGCACATATGGAGATGCTACCCCGTAGGCATTCCGTCCATATTCCGCCCTGTTCCGAGCTCACAACGAAGTTGAATGGTATTCCGCTGAGACAAAATATATCTTACTGCTCCGGATGCCTTCTCTTTCTTGCCTAGCGTGCGAAGGACTGCATAGATCGTAGTCTATCTTGCCAGAATATCATAAATCCTTTGGTATGACTACTAGCCTTGAGCATTACCAGATTTGCCAGGGGTTATCTTCGCCGAATGTCTCGAAAGTGGAGGATTCAATTCTATGGCAGTGTTGAAGCGCTACTCTCTGTGGGTCAATGATACCTACGCAATAAGTTGTCTTGTCCGTTCGACCCACGCACCCTCCGAGTGGGGGCTCAAGAAACCCACGAGTGAATAGACTAAAAATCTGATCGCCTAAAAAGTATCCTCGAAGGTATCGAACCGTATCTAAAGCTGAGAATTGCGTGGTAAAAGGGCTGAAAATTTGAAATATAGCCGACAATGCACGCGTAGCATGATGTATGGAAGATTTTTGGCGGACAAGATGATATGGTGGCACACCACCAGATGACTTTCGCATTCGAGTTCATGAATTTCATTTTGTACATGTTGACCGTAGTCTTACCAGTCTCTACGCTGCCCTCGATCTCCCAGCTTTGATCTGTCTGCTGTATCTCCACCCACAAGCTCATCGAGCTCTCGATATTATGCCGACAATGATTCATGCCCAGTAACCCGGTCCTTTCATACTCTCCAACCAACACTCTCTCAATTTGTCTTCCACATAGAACCGCCTTTTCGTAACGACACAACGTAATCAGCCTAACAAGTGACTACAATTGCCCCTTATAACTTCAGAAATGTAAGCCCATCCAAGCCATAAAGATTTTCTCCCACACACCATCTACAAACGGTGTTTTCTACTCAAAGATCTGAGTCCCCGAATCCTCTAAAAGCAGAGTGTCTGAGAATTCTGTAGCGCTATCATAGAGCGGTACATATGCAAGATACAAATAATGCTGGATTCTTGATAAAATCCATACAGGTTTTGAGCAGGGATCTAAGCAAAATGTATCGAGCAGCGAAGCTCCTGGCTGACGCAGCATCCTGCATCGGGGGATTATGCAGCTACATAGGCCCGGAGGCGGGCGAGCACGTACGGATAGAACGGAAGCTGTGCAAGGTGGCAGTTCAAAAACCGCTTCTGCCCAATGCAGGGGTAAGGGTAGATTTTGAAAGCTTTATCCCGCAGAGTGGCTTTCTTAGCGTCTAAATCTATTGGCACCACCATAGGGTCTTTGTAGTATCTGTTATTTTGGGCCAGAAGGAAGACGCTCCAACCCTTGTAGGGGCCTACTGTGCACGCCGTAGGTTTAGATGGCCCTTCATGCAGGTGGGAAGCAAAAAAAGCCCCTTTCATAAAATGCAGGATCCAGAATCATGCCTAGTGCTGAGCAGCAAATCATAGGGCGACTCCATATATTAATGACGTTTCATGCGAAGCATTGACTGATAAGCTTAGCCAAGGCCGCCGTTTACCCACTAACGCATGGTTATGGCACTGGTACCTTAATTTAATACCCCTGGTTATGCCCATCTTAACCCGAACAGGCCCTCGCGGCCCCTGCAAACTCTGGTCAAGTCTCATAGCCCACCACTAGCGATTAAGGGCTTAGAGATATTGTTTCGCTGCGATAACAAGGGAGATAGATAGAACACCCAGCTCCCCCTCCTGCAGGGTTTCACCTTGGTTTCCAATCCCAGACAGCTTGCGCCCCCTTTAACGGATGTCACGCCGGTCGAAGCCCGTGGCGTCGCATTATTCTCCCGCGCATTAAACTATGTCAGCTTGTTCAATATCATCGAGCTCTCTAGCTTCCGTTTCCACATCGTTTGCTTCTGGTGCTCCCAGTCATCCTCATGAATCAGCAGACGGGTCAAAATTCTCTGTGGAAACTTTGAAATCGTTGTGAGGGGGAAAACAGGAAAATCTTTGAATCGGGGATTGATAAAGCGAGGAGAAGAGTAAATAACGTATCAATTCTCTGCACACAGGCAGAATGTTAAATAGCTAGCTAATTAAAACAAGTAATTTATCTATGTGAAGCCTGACAACTCAGGTACTACAACCAACAGGAATGATGGATGCATCTCAATGAGTAATCTAATTCTGGCCATTTGGTATATTGATCACATCTGGACCGACGATTAGGTTCTCATCACACCCCTTTTCGTATAAAGAATTTCGGGATGCAGAATTGCTATCTGTAATAGACATATATGTGCCATTGATCGAGTGATATCTATGAAACGGTAGAATCTAAACTCCGAAGCGGAACTCCCGGACCTTCTTTTGATAGTAGAAAGATGCCAACAGCCCAGTGGCACCAAGAGCCAGAGGCATAGCGGCCCTAGCCTTTGTCTTAATAATCCTAGGAATTGCAGAGCCCAGGAGGAGTATGCTGTTTCCCAGGGCAAGCTCAGTGCCGTAGTCCTTGTTCTCCTTGATCAAATAACCTAGCAACATAGTCAGTTTCGGTACATTTCGGCACGCCCACAATGATGATTGGCACTTACCAGAGTAGGCATAGGAGATGCCAAGTCCAACACCGGCAATCAAGGAAGGTGCTGATCGGGTTCGTAGAAACCCAACGGTACCTCCGATAGGGACTACTTATTGTCAGAGATGTTAAGTTTTGATCTCTTTGTAGGACTTACGAAGAGCGGCAAGGGTGAAGGAAGGATGTTCAGCCATAATGATGTTTAAGCAGTTGGAATCAATGTAGGGTCTGAAGCTTTGGAAATTAGAGCTCTCTCAATTGCCAGGGGCGCGCAGATCCCGGGAGCTCCCATTAGTCAGCGGACTACAGGACCGGAATCGGGGTCTCGGAAACCCGAGCACCGAACTGGCTAACACCGAAGCCATCGTATGATATAGATCATTCGAGCAAATGGCAGTCATATTTCACCTTGACATCTTAGGACTTCCTCAAAGCCTACATATACTACAGGAGTTATCATGTAGTATCATTATGCGCAAGAGGATCGTTGGATGCGTAACAAGAAATTGACACCGACAGCTTCCAAACCTGGGACTGACCTCTCATGAGTACTTCATGATGTAGGACATAGGTTGAGAACTCTGTATCTCTCTATATCGTCTTTTATATTATGCGGAAATCTTCATCAAATGACGTAAGTCTACGCATTGTAGGCAGGTGCCCAGGTGGGCTACATTGATTACTAATGTGCTTAAAATTTGAAAGGCATTTAGGCATAAAATAGTGTGTTACCTCTCAACAGTCTTCGGGTTTTGCGGAATTGGAACCACCTTCTCAGTGCAGGAAACTGTTATGCTGAATCCTATGAGACCGACAATGCAAGCCCGTCGTTGAACGGTGAATGCGGACCCAATTTCGCTGGAAAGAAAACTTACATAGGAACACAGTTCGGAGGCTGTTGTTCAACAAATGGTTATTGTGGGAATACAAATGATGGTTGCCACCCTCTGGCGCCTGTTCAACATTATGGTTCACCTCCACCAATGGTGAGTGTGGTCCTAACCTCTCAGGAAATATGAACTTTCCGGGGTCGTTGTTTGGAAATTTTGCTCTGTAAGTGGATATTGTCTCAACTCTACTGCCTATTGCTCAAGTCAAAACTGTCAAAGTCGGGCTTGTACTAGGAGATGAATCGATACTTGGAATCCATTGATGTTGCTTTTCTTCATACGCTTATCGTTTCTAAATAATTCAATTAAATTTCACCAGGATGGAGGAATCCAGTAATCCTCCCAGGCACCATGATCTGCATCCTGGAACACATTGATCGCTCCTTCAACGCCATTTTCGCCCACTGTCCACACGCCAGTTTCGATCAATTCAGTCCATCGATCAAAAAGTCTCTCCAATCTCTGCACCCGGTGCTCTCCGCCAAATGGGTAAAAAACGCCATGCTGGAAAAGCTGTGTGAATGAGCCAGATGGCACTAGAGTTCCATCACTCCGCCTAGCTCCATCCTCGCCAGCAAGATTTGGTCGTAGTGCAAATGGGAGTAGGAGGTGGAATCCAGTTTCTTCAGAATCGTATTCAAATCGATTGACCGTTGCACTATATAATCCTGTGGGAACAGGATCCCCTTGATTAGATGGCACGTCATTTCTCGATCCAAAGAACAAGCGATGGATTTCATCGTTAAAACCGATCGTGCAGTCATCATCCGCAGATGCAAAGAGTAGAAATGAAGGTATATCCCTACCCTGACCTTCCACGTTAAACATCTGACGCGCTGTGAAGGCTTCCTTATCGTGCGGAACCTCGAGTCCGGGCGCGATCAGCTTAAAACGTGGGGTCTTTACTCGGGTTAGAAAAGAGCGAATAAAGCACTCCTTGGGCACTAAAGCCGCATCGAGCTCTGCATCGGTAAAAAATGGTGCATCCTGGGATATTGGTAAAAGAGACTGCATGCGTGATTCGATCGCGTTCGTATAACGGTCCATTGCAGCGACCGTACGATCAATCTGAGCAGCGCAGTACGGGTGCCAACACCATAATCCAATTTGATGTCGCGAATTCGATTCAACGTCGGATAAATCTCCCTCATCCCGTGGATCGGCCGTGATTTTTCCCATTCGGAGCATATGGATCCAATGGGTGAGAATTGTCTCCAGAGGAAACCACATATCCCAATGCTCAGCAACAGGCTCGATACTTTCTACATTGTCGGTGGTCAATGGGAATGAGGCACGATGGTTCAGCTGGTCGTAGAGAACCCCAAGACAGTGGGAACCTAACTCGAGAGTCGTGCCGTAGATGACTACAAACCGCTCTTTACCTTCAAAATTGCTATCTTCGAGAGGGAAAGTCTCGTCGGCAAGTTCCATTGAGAGCCCGTTCACCCAGTAGAAGAATCCTGGTGTCGGATCATAGATTGAATCAAGGAATGAGTTCAAGGATGGGTCAAGCCGAGTGCGAATGGCGTCGATACTCTCATTCGGCTGGTTGAAGAACCATGACTCGCTAGCTAGAGCGTCAAGATCGGGCGTATCTGTTCCATTACGGGTCATGTGGGCATATGCGACCAGGTAGTTGTGCAATCTGGCGCAGCGTTCAAAATCAAGTGTGTCTTCATCCCGCGCTGGATTCTCGTCTGAAACGAGAGCATCTTCGATGTCAAGAATTTGTTCTGGCGTGGTGTTCATGATGAGGGTTAAAGGGGCAAGAGAATAGCCCGTAATAGCTGAGTACGGACGGATGCTGGGTTTTATAATTACGAATACAAATACACAAGTAGTTATGTATACGTGTCTTCCAATGTTTCAAGCGTGGTGTGGTACTGTAAGTACGGTGTATCATTACGAGCTCCACTCCCTTCCAAGTACCCCAGATCATCAACGCACCCGTGTGTCATTCATTCAACTATATCTCTCTCCACCTAATTATGTTACATTGTTGTGTATATAGTCACTACTATTGAATAGCTAGATGATCAATAATTAAATCAAATTAATGTGTCAGGTTTTAGATCTTTGTTTCATACCAAGCAGGTGCTAAATCAGATCAAGTCAAGTTTAATCAAGCGCATCTCATAGTAAATATATACAGGACATAAGAGACGCCCATTCGACTTCTCTTCGTCCTATTTCAATCAATTCAGGGTTATCTGTCCCCATTCAACATTTAGTAGATTCTTAAATTGCTCCTTAGGACTTTGATCTACTAAACAAGGAAGATTCCTCAGCGTAGACTCCGCACTATCCGGACCATTCCAAACTCCCCAATTGTTGGATTGCAAATAATACAAAAAATTAGCTAAACATCTATCTTTCAAATTTATCATAAGCACATACGACCATAGGGTGTGGAAAACAGGGCTTCCCGTCCGCTCAGCCGTACTTAAGCCACACGCCGGTGAGTTAGTAGTTGGGTGGGTGACCACCAGCGAATCCTCACTGTTGTATGTTTTTTTTTTTTTTTTTTTTTTGCTTCGCTTCCGTGTTGAACGACGCCCTGTTCTTCGGCTTGTTCACCTGAATATCTTGCATGCCCTTGAACCGCGAACTTGGCCTTCCTCTCCCGTGCTGATCTTTTTCCTACAGGTGTGTTGTGACCACACAACTCTAGTACTCATTTCTACCAGTTGATACATGTCAATACCACAGCCGAGACACCCCATACTACGTTAACTTCGATTGGCACCATTTGCTTATTTGCTTCATTTTGATTTCAAAAAGCGATGGAAGATTCAATCGCAGCAGAGTTGCGTCGTCGGCTTGAGGGAGAGACAGGCGGGAGGAGAAGCAGAGCACCTCTAGGGAGAGGCTAAACGGCGACTCGAACCTAATGCACTATTCCGCCTCCTCGATCGCCGCGTTAGTATCTGTTCTGCTTACTGAGGGTTTGTCTTCCATTAGGCTAACGGCTTTGGTGTCGTGTGATGTCTCGCACAAGACTCCGCGCAGACCTTCCGATTCGATGTCTATGTACAGCGTCATCTTCTTTAACTTGAGTTCTAATCATCAGGATATGGTCAAACGATAGTCCTAGCGGAACCAACGCGCCAGTTCCATCAACGCTGTACTTTCGTCCCTATTCGATGACAAAGGCTTAGCCATTGGGCAGTTTTCATGTTTGGCGGTCTTGTCGTCCTCACTGTCTCTTCGTCACCTTACAATAATATTTTTCGAGGACTATTACTGATGCTACACTTCAGCTGACGGGAGCCTTAGCGCCCCTGGAAGATGCTTTCAATGCTTTGGGCTTCATCAGCTCTTTGAGATCACTACATGCTCCTATATCAACTCCGGGCCAGGTATCTCTACCTGAGGTGCTTCTCTACGATATTCTATGTGATGACAGGCCTGAGAGCACTGGGTTTGGTGAGTTTAATCTCCTGGATGAGATAAACCTGAAGGGCCAGAGACTTGGGAACCAGCGCTTTGAAGACTAGTCCAAGTTGGAATGTTCGATTCTATTAATTTTCATAATGTATCCATCAAGCCGATAGAACTGCTGTTGTATATTTTAGATACCATCTTTTTATTCACTTATTAATGATCTCCCAATTGTCGCTCCCGGGAGATGTGTTATCTACCCCATGCCAAAAATGCGGACAACAGAAATATGCACGTGAAGTCCTCCGCCCCGCCAGTTGTTGCGCATATGAACCAGATGCGTATATATTGTCAATACGGGGAACTGGGGAACTAAAAATTATAAATCCAGACTTCCATCGATTTTGGTTCACCTCGTTTCTGAGATAGATTATTGAGCTCAGTCCTTGTCACTCCGAGTTTAGCTTGGTGTCATTGTGAGGGCGCCATAATTTTCACTTTTTCGTTTATTACCTACAACTACAACATAGCGAAGAAAAGGCCGATATCGCAGGCAGGTTGATAACATTAATGGTCGCTGATGTAGCATTCAGATTCTAACAGAGTACTTAGCACATTTCTAATATTGCGACATGATGGCGTTTTGTAATAGCGTGCTACCAGACGTATGTTGTATCACTCCAAGCCATTCCCCCGCAGATATAAGATCTGACAGTAATCCTGTTTTTCATCACTCGCCGTCAGAAAAAAAAATGGGTAGCATAGCAGCAAATCCTTTCCAAGATGTCCCAGCTGGACGAACAGGTAAATGATACAACTGACACATTTACGAAACCAAATTAACAAAACATGTTTAGAGGGTCTTGAAGCTCTTATTACGCAGTTTCTAGCGGATACCGATCCCAACAGAACCGATCTTCTAGTGGGTGTCTATAAAACAGAGGAAGGGAAGGCATACGTGTTACCAAGTGTGAAAGAGGTACATATAAAGTTCCAAATTTTACTATTTAATACCGCCGGTGCATCACTAACTCATTGATATTCACGTTAGGCAAAGCAAAGAATATTCAACGATCCTGATTGGCATCATGAGTATCGCCCTTCCTCTATAGGTTTGCAGTCTTACAGGGACTTGAGTGCCAAGTTGCTTTTTGGGCCAGATCATCGGCTGTTACGGGAAAAAAGGTAGAGAGAAAATACTTTCATTTTACTTCCGATATTTGTCTGGAGCTGACTTGGTTCTTAGAATTGTGTCAACTCAGACACTCGGCGCATGTGGGGGATGTCACGCTGGTGCGGTCTTGTTGAGAAATCATTATGGGCCGTGGAAGGAGAACGGAAACCCCGAGATTTTCCTCCCAAGCGAGACCTGGTGTAAGTGGTTGTTTCATCACACGTGAGAAAAATTCTGATTTGGTGGCAGTGAATCATCCCTTTTTATTCGAGTCCGCGGGAATTAAGCCCAGCTTTCTGCCTTACTTTAGCAGTAAGACAAACGCATTCGATTTTGTGAAGTTTTCAGAGGCCATCAAATCGTTACCAGCTCAATCTGTCATCCTTCTTCAGTCTGGAGCCCAGAACCCCACTGGATGTGATCCGTCACCCGAGCAGTGGCAAGAGCTAGCTACGATCTTTTCCCAGCGCGGTCATTTGGCATTCTTCGATGCTGCGTATCCAGGCTTTGCCTCAGGGGACATTGACACGGACCTTGCAAGTGTTCGGTTGTTTGCCGAACGAGAAATCCCGCTTGTTTTTGTGTCAACATACGGAAAATCCTTTGGGCTTTACAGCGAACGCGTTGGGATTCTCTCAATTCTCGCTCCAAGCGAGGAAATCGGACAGAGAATAGAACGGCATATGAAATTACTCGCACGAGCAGAGTCCGGCGCGCCGCCCGATTTTGGGTCCAGGATTGTTGAAACAGTTCTGTCTGATGATGCCTTGAAGCACCAATGGCGGCAGGAAGTGCGTCATATGGCGGACCAACTCAAGTCTCGTCGAATTGCGCTCAGGGAAGCTTTAGAGAAATTGGAAACACCAGGTGACTGGCGGCATATCACTGATCAGAACGGAATGTTTTCGTAAGTATCAGCAAGATCGGACTCAAGAAGACACATTATACTGATCTTATTTAGATATGTTGGACTGTCTGTGGAACAAGTCACTCTGCTCCGAGAAAAACACCATGTCTATCTTCAGGACTCCGGGAGAATATCTATTGCGTATGTTTCATGAGAATATCTCGAAAAAGAAAATCAGCTGACATATCCTTTTCCTTTAGTGGGCTGAACAAATTCAATATCGACTATACTGCTCGCAGTATCAGCGCCGTTGTAAAAGCCACAACATCCGAATAAGCTTGGAGGGCTGTCTCATCGATTGAACAATAAATATAGAGAAACCTGATTTATTGGTGTCGCTTTTATTCCTCGGTTATATTGTCAGAGTCCTAGGCACTTCAATGTCTGATTCTAGTTTCTCGTCGCCACGGTTTACACATGGAGGATGCATCATGCACATTATAGTTCGTTGAATAAGGAATCACTATTATTCTTTCCAAGAGCGTGGGCTTCGAATCATGACCTAGTCAAAGGATTCATTCCCCCAAGTTACAGTTTCCCATAATTAAGTCTAGTAATCAGAGAAAGGTTGTTGAGATAAACCTGTGTCCATGACTTCCGTGTCCGTCGTAGATAGTTTCAGAGACTTGCATTCGCAGCTGCAACAGACCAATCGTGCTTTTTTTCTCAATTCCTACAAGTACGAACTTTTTTGAACTCGGGCTACAGTTATACCTTGTGCAGCAGTATTCTTTTTGTCTCCGCCAGAAATGAAGAGGACTCCGCTATTGCTCCATTTTTCGGTTTAATACATGCCATTTCGTAACGTGTATTGTTATCTCTTTGTAAATAGTACAAATACTTGCCCCATTAGGCATAGGCAATACAATTTGTATGAAAATATTTCCCTAACTCCCATCTTCTCCCCAAAACATACAACTGCAACCTACAAAACTAAATAACAATAAATACCCACCCTCACTACTGTAATAACGAGTCAGAATCAGAGGATATTTACAACTCAATTGTTCATTGGACACGTCATATTGGAATAAGTCGCTTTGCTCCGCAACGAGTATGTGAGAGCCCAAGGCCACCGAGATCCCTCGTATTCATTGATTATATTCAACTTTGAGGTGGTGATCTATTATTAATTCATTATTAATCTCCAAGGTTCATGGATTATTAACTTACCCTGTCGTATTAATAATTTAGTCTACTTTTATACTCGTGACACAGAGCTCCGCTGGCCTGCGCTCCCGAGTCACTCCAAAGTTGAAGTTCTACCAGTACACTATCACTTGACCGCTCTTTTCTACCACGGCTTAGATTTAGCCACAGTACAAATAAAAGAATACGATGGCCGACATTGACTGGGAACGGGGCGAGTCGTCAAGCGTGGTCCCTCTGCCAACCGGACAACGGCTCTTCGCATCCGTCTACGGGCCAGATCGTGTGCCCGGAACTCCGATCGTGATCTTTATCCCAGGGGTGGCCTGCAGCATCACTGAGTGGGTTGTTGTCCGTCGCCTGCTCCAGCCGACCGTTCGTACTCTCCTATACGAGCGATCGGGAATAGGTGCATCGGATGAATCGCCCACTCCTCCCACAGCATCTAACATCGCCCTCGAGCTAGATACTCTGCTCAAAACACTGGGAATTGCTCCACCCTACGTGATTTTATGCCACTCATACGGCGGGATTATCTCCCGGGATTTCATCGATCTGCACCAAGGGGAGGATCGTGTTGAGGACGTGGCCGGGGTGGTCTTCGTGGACGCTAACCAAGAAAAGAGCACCATACTCTGGCCTGACGCCAACCTCGATGCAATCCAAAAAGGAATCGACTGGTTTACTGTAATAGGGCTCTCTAAGGCTCGGGTTCTAACGGATGCCGAATGGCAAGCGGTTCTGGACGAGCGAGAGAGCGAGAAACACCAAGCTACTGGCAAAAGGGAAATGGAGCATTACGTTAATAGCGTTGCGGAGCTGGGCCTGAAACACCAGCTCAACCGAGATCCCCCATTGTTGAATAGTTGTCCAATAAGTGTTTTGAAAGGACACCCGGAGATGGATCTACGCAAATCCTTCGAGGCTGGCGTCTCGATTGGGAATGGGACTCCTGAGCAGAGGCGCCAATTTTCTGAGAAACTTGTTGTGTACCCTGCCATCCATGATAAGTTGCAGCGAGAGATACTTTCGCTGTCAAAAAGCCACCGGTTTGTGGACGTTGAGGGGCACGGTCACTTCATCCATATCAGCGCACCGGAGGCTGTTGTGGCAGAAGTCAACTGGGTGTTGCGGAGCATTTGAAAAGATTTCCTGTGATTAAGTACCTTTTGAAATTGACTTCCTGACGAGTAGTGATACACGATACTTATACTTTACTGTCAATTGGAGTCAGCACTGATTGCGGTTCTTTGATCGCTTCTTCATAAAGTGGGTGTCACTTCAATATCCCGCGCCCGGATAAGTACCCAATAGCACTACGTTTATCTTCTAGTGACTAGCCACTATCCCTGTTAGATGGCAAAGTGAGTCATTTAAAGGATCTAAATAGTTGAAAATAAGGCGTAGATTGGTAGTCTTGGGTAGCTTCAATCGTCTCATGGTATAGCATGATCAAATACCCCCCCTATCATAATTCTTCTTCAAAGGAAAAGTAGTACGAGCTCTCAACTAGTCAAGCTTTTTATAAATGACATATTATGCACATTACGGAGTATATGGGATATATTTAAAGGAATCGGCTTATATCTGTGTCTGACCCGATGCTGACGCAGTTTTCAAGAAATATGCTCGCTTTGGAGTTAATAAAAGAGACAGATCCAAAGCAAATTGTTTTCAGAAGCATTCAATTTACATGAGAATGATTCAATTCGTTGCTATGAGCCTGTCTGGGCAGATACCCACGCTGTGTGTTTGTTTCTTTGCTATTGACCTTTTTCATTCTATAGAGCAATAGACATCAATGTGTCACAGACTTGAAGAAGAGTACGCTGATTGTATTTTCTTGAGGCCACTAGCCCTGGTATCTTGTCTGTCAATTTAGCATTTACAGATGTATCACGGTAGATGTTGCAAGTAACACGTAACGTCCCGATGTGACAATATCGAACTGATAGCCTAAGTGAAAAATACAAAAATCACCCACAGGCTGGCTGGCACGGGTCAACATGAGATGTATAAAAGGAACTCAAGTCAAGGATTTGCGATCATAGATTCATTGCAGATTCCACACTCTAAGTCAAATCACTTTGGAAAACATCTAGTAACATGATTTTCACACACGCTATCCTCAATCTTCTGTCTATCAGTGCTATATCTGTCGCAGCCCTTCCTCAGACAGAGCCTGGCAATACTCAAGGTTTGCATTCTTCTCACAATAGAAACAGGAGAATGAAAGAATTCTGACAGGACCCATATTAGGTCTTCGAGCATGTCGAAGCGCCTTTGAGGCCGCTCTATCACCAGAATTGTCGATTGAGGAATATCCCATTCCCGATGTTCAGGTTGGACAAAATGCAGATAAATCTGATGGAAGAGTCGGAATCAACAGAGTATATCAAGGCGTAATCTCGCCCCTTCTTCGTAATCCATCCTAAGACGGATAAAAACAATGAAGCGCTAATCATAAACAGTATTGTTCGGCGGGTACTACCCAACGATGCAATTTCTGCGCCAACGGAAACCTTTACTGGAGAACATGTGCGAACAACCACCGAGTAAGTTCATTGTTCTAATGGTTGGGATATGCCTTAACAAATACATTATAGTGCACTCGGACTGGGCATTGGTGTAGCTGGTCTGATGCTAGTGGTGTTGCCGTTTGTAGCTAGGTCTGACCTTATGTGCTGCTCTGTTTGACCACGGAGGAAGTTGAATTCTGTTCGGCATTGTATAACGTGTTTCAAACCTGAGCTCCACCCAAGACGGAACCATTTGGGGGAAGTAACTTTGAAAAATGAGTTTCGTATATTGTGACAACCTTGGAAACAACAGAGTGTATTTTATTGATAGCGACGCTGAATACAGAGAGAATACAATGTTCCATGAGATGGGGATATTCACAAGGAAGAAAGAGAGACGCCAAAGTACATTCCGACCTACAGGGGACGGCGTACACCAAAGTCAATAGTTGTGGGGCCGCAAACCTTAAATGAGCACATGCTGACCCGCGTCCCGAGTCCCACCTTGTGTAACAAGGGTCCAGGGGGTTGTTGTCGCCAGGGCTGGATCAAGGCATTGAAAAACACACATCTCCCGGCGTGGTTTCATTCTCTTTGATCTAATCTCCTAGCATGGCAGACGAACAACCTCCATCCGTTCCGTCCCGCGAGGGACTGTGGATACTTGATGATACTGGAAAAAATCTCAAATTTCTGTCCGAAGAAGAGCTCGACCAGAATGCTACCGAAACCACTGATAACATGATACCCGGAGAGCCACCCGCAGAGGTCATCACCAAATACAATTCCACCCTGACTTCCCCTCAGAAGAAGATGCGAGATGAGCTCCGCGACTTGGGCTGGAAGGATGCTGCCATTCAAAACCTATTCACTATCCTTGAAGATACACAGCGGTACAACTGCGCAAAGCTACGCCAGAAGGGATACACCGAAGCTGAAATCCAAAGGCTCGATGCGCTCGGCAACCAAAATATCTTGGACTTCTCGCATCTCAAACGTGGACTTTCCAGCACAGCCGATGAAGATTATCAACTGCAGCTGTACTTGCTGGATGAGGTCAAGCGAAGACGTTTGGTTATGCTTGGGGAAGAATAGGGATATCGGGAGGAGCATGTGGTCAACGTTGAGAAGGATGACAAGCATGAATATGGGGGTTGTAATGGACGTCTGTTCCTGGTGCAATTTCCAGTGTCAGACTTGATGAGCAACTTGAATACTGTGTTTGTCCCATGATCAATTACCATCGAGGCCAGCCACATCGTGATCTTGATCCAACATCAGGGGTAGGTTTTGAATTGATGTTAGCTATAGAACATCCCAAAAGCATAGCCCTGAAGACATAGCAGTCCCTATCTGCTGGTTATTAAGTGTAGCCTGATAAATCTATTTGGACAACTTATAGAATCTTTGGCCCGAATCAACGTTCTGATCAGGTTCTTATCACCCTAGCTCTCACCTCGATCTCTAGAATTGTAGCCATGTTATCTAAACTCACCCGATGAGAACTCTTCTCTCCAGTTCTATTGCCGAATGAGTTTCAAGTACTAGTCGCTCAGAGGGCACACGCGAGTAGATCTAGTAGTTGAGTGGGTCACCACCAGCGAGTCCTCGCCGTTGTATTTTTCACCGAAGCTTTCCTTGCCGTCCTATCCGGAAAATTGCAGTTCTCCGTTTGAGATGTTGATTAAAATTAGTCCCAGCATGCCGTACGAAAAAAAAAAACCCCCCAAAAACCAAAAAAAGATACAATCTGGAGTTGGATAACAACAGCCGTTCTTATGTTTGCATTGTTTGCATGTAAATTGATGAGGCAATTACCCATTTGGGGTGGTGATCAGGTGCCCACTTATTTCCCAGATGCCAAGACCATCTAAACGGCCCTCTGTGACCCTCAACAAAACAAAGTTTCTTTTCTCCGGAGTTCGACTCTGTTGTAACTTCTTCACTTTCTGATCACTTCCTACGGCTACATTTCTAGGGTCAAATGCCTGTCCTCTGCTTGAAAACATGAACGGGGGACCCTGAATGGGCACAGGGCCCCTCTTTTAGCCTCAACATTTTTTTCGCCGCTAAAATCTTGCTAGGCCATTCTAGGACCCCTATAGTCCGACGGCGCCGATGTCAAACCCTGGGTTTGTCACGGTCAATGCTTTTCCCTTTTCTTTCTTCCTCGGCCCAGCTCTACGTTTTTTTTTTTTTGATCTTCATTCATCTAACATTCTATCACCATGCACAGTGGGTTGGCCTGCCTACTCGGCTTGACCAGCTTAGCCTTAACAAATGCGTTGAGTCTGGAGAAGAGAGACAGCCCTGCGGTTCTCACGGTCCCACTGGTACGCGACACGTCGCGTCAGCTTTCCAAGCGATCGAAAACCGTCAATGTCGGTCTTGACAATGAGGATGTATCTGTAGGTTCAACGCTCAGAAATCAAATGGCTGGCAGACTAACCTCGCTTTCCAGTACATATCCTATGTCGCAAATATGACTTTCGGCACCCCACCTCAGCATTTTTTAACCTACCTTAACACCTGGGGTAACGGCTGTTGGCTTGAGAGTGTGGATAACTCTGATTGCTACCTGTACCTGAACAGGTCTTCTTGTGGTGGATATGGAGGTTACAACTTGAGTGCCTCAACCACTGCCAAGAAGCTCGACGAGCGATTTGCATATGATGATTCCGGTTCAATGATTGGTGGGGATATGGTGACTGATGTTCTGGAAATTGCTGGTGTCAAAGTGGACACTATGAAGATGGGGATTGCTATGGATTCTGCAATCACTTCCAGTACGTCCGGGCTACCTGAACCTGCCTTGTATGATCACTGACATAGACTTATTCAGACCACTTGGGTCTTGGATACGGAAATGCATCTTCCACTTCCCTGACTCAGGCACTAGCCGACGCCGGTGTCATAAGCTCTCCGGCTTTCAGTCTTTGGGGTCAGACCGCTCTGTTTGGCGGCGTTAACAGGGCCAAGTACAATGGCTCTCTTCATACCTTCCCCATCGTCAACGGATCAAATCTTACGAAAGCTCTTCGTATTAACATGGATGGCATCTCAATCAACGAAACATCCGCAGCCTCGAAAGAGTTTCCGCTAGATGCAGTCTTCGACACTGCGCTTGCCATGACCTACGTGCCCAAGTCTGTCGCTCAGGCCCTGAATGCCCAAATTGGCAACACGTCTGTTCCGGATGAGTGGGGACAAGTCAACTTTTCTTGCAAGGCAGTGAACCTCGAATCAATAGTCGAGTTCAAATTTGGAGATTTGGAATTCAAATTCTTCCTCGGACAATTCGTTGACCAAGCACCTCACGCCGTGACATCTTACGGGTGGTATCCTGATAGGGAGACGTGCTATTTTACCATCCTCGAGAATGTCCATTACCGTTCTGAGGGAAGCATCGTTCTGGGTTCCACCTTCATGAGCAATGCCTATACAGTCTTTGATCTTGAGAACGACGAGATATCACTGGCAAGACTTAACTACGGGTCTCCCACTCCGGACGATATTGTGGAGATCAAATCGGGCAAGAATTCTGTGCCTGACGCGAAGGATTCTGTGCCTGACGCGAAGGATTCTGTGCCTGAGGCAAAGAAAGACTCGGCTGGTTCGCACATCGGAGTAGCCCCGGGGATGAGCGCTTTGATGGTCGGCGCTGCTGTGCTGAGCCTGATATCTTAAATTCAACTTTAATAATTGTATGTAGTTACTACCTTCATGTACTTTTCACGATGAATACATCAGTCATATGACCCGAATCAACTATATCACAGGTTATCTGCATCAAAGATAGTGAACATGTAAACATCGGAGACTGCTAGAGTGACTCCCCCGCCAGATCCAGTGACATTCTGGGTCTTCCTTTTCTAAAGATGTTTCGCCCACATGGTCTGTATACTGAATCGCCTTACATCAATGAACACTCATTCTTCAGATGCTGCATACCACAACAGAGATTGGATGTAATGAAGAGGAGATACCACAACGTAGAAGATAGGAGAAACGGACCGCAAGAAAGAGAAAGATCAACAACCGTAAATGTTCATGATAGCTCTGAATGAGGGCTCCCGCAGAAGCTGTGTTGCTGTCAGGCGTTTCTCTGGACAATAAATGAATACTTTAGACATCAAAGACCTCACATATTGGAGCTCAATCGGGTCAACCCCAGTATCGGGACGGTAGTATGTAATCATTGAATCAATCTTTGTGAATAGAACCACCAAGTGAACTCTTCTTCTTTGGTAGTCGCATACTCCAAATGACCAACATTGTTCCGCACCCAATGATTGCGTACCTCGGACAATATAACCCCATGATCCTGACAAATGTCATCCCAAGTCAATTACGACATAGATACTGTCAATTTAAAGCCTTTTCAACTCTGTCCATTTAGCTCGATTTTCCTTTATTCTTTATTATCTCTGTTTTATGAACCTGAAGTATCGTGATTCACTCATCAAGTACGACTATATCGCTTAATAATTATTACAATGCCGGTTTGTAAAAACGGTGAAATCGAAGTCAAATAGCGCAATAAACGATCTACTCGGTGAGGGTGCAAGAGATCCGGCCGCGATGAAAGGCGCAAATAAACACCTAGTTCATGCCAATGTTTAGGGACCTGAAAAATTAGAGTTCGCATCATGCATATCAATCTCATACCATACCATGTTGGTGGAGTAATTCAACCATCCTCTAGCGGTTCATTTCATTCAACCCGTACCGTTCCCAGAAGAAAGCACCAGATTCCATTCTCCGATTGGGTTGGAACCACTTCGCTATAAATTCAATATCTATTTTGCCCTCTCCAATGACGTATCGCTTGATTATATGAGAGGTTTCGGAAAGGATGAGGTCTCTGGGCACTACAAGAATAGCTGTGGAAACCAGCATCATCTTTTGGAATCTACACGAAAAGGCAGTTGGAGTATATTTCTGCTTGGTGTAGGATACGGCCATCAAATCTTTTTGGCTATTGACATATGTAGATGTGAATAAGCCTCAGAAACGTTGCATAGTTTTGGCCCAGCGTACGGGGACTGAATATCATCAAACTGAGGTAAATTATCATTTGTGCTAATGTTCATTCCTGAGAGATGATTCGAACTGAGCTTTGCGGGCCCAATGAATAGGGAAGACAGGTGATTTGATAGGGAGAGACTGAAAAACCACACTAGGAATTGTATATGGGCACTGGTCATTCAATTCAACTGGTGATCGAGCTCGGAAAGAAATGTGGAATGCATTAATACCTACGTAGTGTCGGGTTTTACAATTCCAGCTTTGTATACACCAAGCAGATCAAAATCATTGATAGCAGCCTCGAATTTGATGCGGTACTCTATCATCTACAGATTTATAGAGAGCTATTCTTTCATTTAGAAGCAGACCGTCTGCTGCCTATACAGCTTCTATATATAACGGTATAGAACTTTTTATAATTTGGATACTGACCTATAATCACGGTGCCACTACGAAATATTGTCACTTTTCTTATCATTATTCTCTGAAATATGGTCTAAGACAGATTTTGGGTCTTTCTTTCTCGGGTATCTTCTGAGATGTCTTCTGAACAAGTAATAGAAGGTTAGGATTAGTGCACGAGTAGATAGCTTCAGCAACAAAGAAGTCACCATGCACTTTCGCATTTTCTGTTCTTGTCAACTTATAGATTGGCAGGTGGGTAGATCTTTGCTCCTTCTTCATCATCCTTGTTTCCCCAGGTTACCTTCATCAGCCAGCTGTCGCACACACAATTTCCACCACTCTCAATCTTGATCCCATTCAGGTGGTTCCATCACACAGGTCTTCATCCTTCTTTTTTTTATCAATATTCCACCGTCATTCATCTAGTCTCATCTCTCCCTTTGCCGATCTCATCGCTAAGATGACTTCCATTGGCTTTGCCGAGCCCACCCTTCTCGAACTTGTTCCAACTCTCGTCGGCGAGTCCAACTTTTCTACGTGGACGACTTCATTGAAGTGGACCCTTGACTCACGCGACCTTCGATATTACGAACTTCTCACGGGTGTATGGAGCGAACCCAGTCCAGCCGACCCCACACAGCCTACTCCCAGCGAAGTCGAGGCTCGTACCCAGTGGGATACCGCCAGTCGCTACCTTCTTCCGCTGCTGAACGCGACGGTCCACCACACGGTCAAGTACTACATTCTCGACGCCAATAATGCACGTAATGCATACGCCAATCTCCACCGCGCCTTTGCAGCCCGGTCATACGAAGCTGGCTTCACGAATTTCCTCAAGTTTATCAACACCACATACACTTCAAACAAGCCTCAGGCTTTTGTTAACGAGTGGCGCATTGCCCTTGGCGAGCTCCAAGAGTGTAACTCGACCAAACTGACACCTCTTCTCATCTTTTACCATTTCCTGAATGCCGTCAGCGCCAATCCGGCCGCACACTCGTGGCTCGACGGCTTTCTCCATTCAAAGGTCTCCACCGATACGACCATCGAATCAACCTTCTCGGACTTTGTCGTTTCCGAGGATCGTCGCCTCAACGCTCTCAATCAAGCTCACTCCTTTAGCCTGACTAAACTTCCAAATCATCTGCCTTTCTTTTGTCATTTCCACAATCGTCAAGCCGGTCATTCTTCTGAGAACTGCTTCCGGAACCCGGCTAACCAAGCCCAAAACCCCTTCGATAAACCGGCTGCGGCTCCCGCTCAGCGTACAGTCACTGAGGAGTCCCCTCCTGCATAGAACATTTCCACCGACTAGAGATTCATTTGTTTGGTGTTTCACGCAATTATTTCTCGTGGGGAGGTTTTAAAATTGGATAGTCTGTTCAGAAGTTAGTTTTACCGAGAATCAACTTCTATCGCATGTTGCTATGCATTCTGATTTCTCCCTTCTCGTGGGTGCCTTTATGGTATGAAAACACGATCCTGGAAATTTCCTTACTCAAACAAGGCATGGATATTACGACCGTACATTGATAGCACGCCATTTTATTTGGCCCTTTATGGATATTGACCGTCTAACCCACTGACTACCTCAGTCTTCAACTGCCGGTGCATACCGCGGAATGATCTTCATTGCTACAGAATACCTTATCGTAGCCTATCTTAGCCTCGAATTTCTATGCTTCTCAGCTCACTAAAACACAACTCTTTTCGCCCAGATTTAATTTTTGTTCTATCTCGCCAACCAAGGGCCCTACGGCTCTCAAAATTAGTTTATATTCTTTCTAACCTCCGGCTCTATCTTTTGATCCTATTTTTGTAGGTATTGAAGGATGGCGGTCGTCGGTGGTGGAAGAAAACCGGATTCACCCCCTAAAACTAAGTTTTTAAATGCCCCTAAAAAGCCATATAACCATTTTAGCACTATAGATAAGCTCGCCTAGGGTGCTAGAAAGGTGCTTAATACCATAGAAAATAACAGAATAGGTAAGAGATATATTATTAACTTTATTAAATCTATAGAATAGTACGCACTAAACCCCCCGAAGGGGGATAAACTATAGGTTATAGAAAAGGTGTAATAGGCACTCAACTAACTTGACTAGTGTATAGAAATCATCGAAAAGGCTATAGCGCTATTAACCTAAACTAGTAATTCGAACGATTCGGCGGCCTTCTAGGCGTAGCTCTAGAAATAGGGCTAGGGGACTAGATCCGGCCCTCCTCTATCTCTCCCAAGGACTAGTAGTAATAGGTTATCCTTAGTTAGGGTTTCGCTAGCTAAGCTCTGTGAAGACTAAGAGATTATTGTTAAAATCTAAGATAGTGATACCTATAAGACCCTCTATCGGTGAATACTAAGGGAAATTATTAAGTAGGCCGAAAGGATATATAAGTAGGTAGTATAGAAGAAGGCTAGTGCTCCCCTTAGTGGTAGCTACTACTTTATAGTAGCGAAGGTCCTACCTTCTAGTGATATAAAGATAATAGTAGATAGCGCTTTAGGTATAGAGCTACTATAGAAATATATAGATAGCTAGCTAAAATTATTTAGCCTAGTGGCTTATATTTAGAAGCTAATATAGGGGGTTATTATATAGGGTATTAATATAAAGATAATACTACTAATACTAGAGTTAATAGGGAGTATAGTAAAGGAGCTTATCTAATAGAATAGCTATTCCTAGGGTAGTTCCTAGGAGGTAGAGATTAAGATTCTCTATCTTAGCTAGCTAATTAAACTAGGTAAGCGCTAGGAGGGTTTAATTATTATTAAATTCACTAGCCTAGTAGTTACTAACTAAGTAATTATATAGGGGACACTCTAGTAGCACTAGGTATACTAGACTACCTATTTCTACTAAGAAGGCTATTTAGAGTTGTACCTTAAGTATTAAAAACTAGGATATATATACTTATAATATTTAAATAAGTATTAGTGTAGCTACTATATAAAGTAGTACCTAACCTAGGAGTGCCCTTCTAGATATAGTGACACTACTAAGATTAAATACGCTAACTATAGTAGGGCCTATAGGCTAATAAGTGATATCTATAAGGTAAGAGTGGTGGTAAAGGAGGAGATAAGACTAGTATTAGCTAATAGCCCTCTATACCACTAGGTACCACTCTACTTCTAGTAGAGGGAGGCTATAAAGGGTAGTACCACTACCTCCTAGTCCTAGGGTAAATAGGGACTTAATACCTTAATTTATATACTATAAAATACAATATAATAAGCGATAATAGTGTTATAACTAAAGATAATTATTAAACTAAGCTCTAAGTAAATCCTAATCCTAGCGTTAAGTGAGATTAGGAGACTCTATATAAGTGTTAGTATAGAGAAACTAGTGAAATAAACCTAGTAAAAGGGACTAGTAGCTAGCCTAGCTATATAAACTAGGTCGAGAATGTTAGAGGATAATAACCTACTAGCTATACTAGAGGAATATACTAAATCTACTATCGTAGTAAGCTAATTAGCTCACTTACTCTAGTCCTAAAACTAGGCGCTAGTCAAATTTATAATAGACCTAGAGAAGTAGCTATAGGCTATATATAAGAAAAGGTAGATAATAGAGCCTACTAATATTATAGAGGAAGACTAGGAATAGGAATAGCTAACTAGTGTTATTATAAGGATAGTAAGACACTATTAAAATATATAGCTTAGGATTACTAAGGTTAAGGATAACCTAGAGAAGGAGTTCTATAATACCTTAGAATATAGTGATACTACTAAAGCTAAAACTAATACCTATACTACTACCTTATTATAATAAATCACTTCTAAATAATTTAATATAATATATATAATACCTATCTAGTTATAGCCTTATTCCTAATAGATAGGAATATATAGAAGGTGGATATAATCGCGATTTAGGAGCTATAGATTAACCCTTAATATAGAATAACTTATTACCCTAATAAAGTAACTTACTAGCTAGTCTTTCTAAAGGAGCTAGATAATAAAAGGGCTAGGGTATACTTATTTATCTCGAAAAAGATTGACCTAGGGACCTAGTTATATAGGATAGTATTAAAGGGATACTAGCTCTTAAAAATATAGAGAAGCTAATAATATCTAGAAGGGTAGACTAATCTCTTTATATATAATATATATAATAATAACGATAGCGAGACTATAGAAACACTAGATAAAGAAATCACCTAGAGAATATATATAGAGTATATAGTTATAGGGGATATAAATCTATACTACCTAGCCTAGGGGGTATAAAGGTAGATATAGTAGCTAAGAGATTACTAGATATAGCTAGGAGGTATAGCCTAGATCTAATAATAGAGAAGGGGGTTATAATATAGCGGCGTAATAAATAGGTATCTATAATCGATCTTACTTTTGTTAGTAGTGTACTAATAGAGAGGGTAATTAAATATTAGGTTAGGATAGACTATAGATTGGATCACTACCTAGTAGTGATAATAATCGATATTATAATACCGCTATATAAACCACTAAGGAGAAGAAACTAGAAGGTAATAGATAATAGAAAACTTATAGAGTTTATTACCTAGCACACTAGTACTAGTACTAGCACTAGTACTAACACTAACACTAGATACCTTATAATAGCTAACGAAGTGGAAGCTAAGTGTTAAGTATTTATAGGAATTATCACTAAAGTAGTTAATACCTTAACACTATAGGCGGTCCTATTATAGTAGGCTAACCCCTACTTTATACTAGAGTGTTAAGAAGTAGTGAAGGAAGTATAAAGGCTTCGCTAGAGATATAAAAGAATATATAATCCTTATAATAAGGAACTATATAAAGTAGTAAGGAACCGGAAAATATAACTAATTAAGGCTACTCTCCGCCTTTATCACCGATAGAAGGTATAGGAAGTTATTAAGGAAGGCCTAGTAGGGATATAGAGGATAAGTAAGTAGGTAAGAAATCGGTAGGGGGTATATAATAAAGGGATTATACTATTAATTAAGATTTTAGGCGTAGAAAGTCTAGTAGAGATAGTTAAAGAGAAAGTGGCTACCTTCTAATAGGCCTTCTTTCTAATACCACCGCTAATAGATCTCTTAGATATTAATAATAAGCCGATAATACTAAGTTATATACTAATCTAGTTCCTAGTAATTATATACTAAGAAATTATATAAGTAATTAAATTAGTACTACTAAATAAAGTACTAGGGGAGGATAGCCTATTAAACTCACTATAGTATAAGCTAATCGAGATCCTAGCGGTCCTCGATACTATCTTATAGATATATAATACCTACGTATAGCTTAGAACTAACCCTTTATACTTCTAAAAATCGATTATAGTGGTACTATATAAAGTGGGTAAAAGGGATTACTAACTTATAAAGTCCTACTAGCTAGTTACCCTTCTTAATACACTTAGTAAATTCCTTAAGGTAGTAATTACTTAGAGGATTAGTTATATAGTTAAGACTAAGGGACTACTACTAAATATATACCTTAGTAGGAGGAAGGGTATCTTAGTGGACTATACTATCTAACTAATTATTAGCTAGGTATAAAGAGTATAGGGGAGTAGAGAAGGTAAGGTAGTAAGTATACTAATACTTAATATATTAGGTATATATAATAATATCTCTTATAAAAGATTAATCTATAATCTATATAAGAGAAGGCTAGGAGAGCTAGTACCCTAGGTAAAAGTATTCCTTATAGTATAGAGTACCTATATATAAATACTAGAAGGGATATCGAAGCGAATCCTAACACTAACTAGTATCCTATAGGGGTTATCTCTCTCCCTAATCCTATACCTAATTTATAATATAGATCTAGTGGAAAGATATACTAAAGTAGGGGTAAAATCAAACACTTAGGTAGATAATATAGTATTTATTATTATAGGGAGAGATAAATAAGAGAATATCTCGAAACTATAAGGAGCCTACTAATATATAGATACCTAGGTAGCTAGATATACCTTAGTATTTAACCCTAAGAAATATATACTAATCTACTTTATTAACCTAGTAGAAGGAGGTAGGAAATATATACTATTAGTATTACTAGGTACTATAATATAGGCTACCACTATAGTAGAGCGATACCTTAGGGTCTAGCTAGACCTAGGATTAACTTTCTAATACCACTAGGAGTAGATACTTACTAAAGTAGGGGTTAGCCTATAGGCGCTATAGGGCTTAATAGGCTCTATATAGGGAGTGTCTCTTTTAGCTATATAGGCTATCTACTAAGTAGTGATAATCCTATAAATACTCTTTAGGGTAGTAGTATAGTACTTACTATTAACTACCACCCTAAGGGAGAGAAGCTATATAAAATAATTCGCTAGTATCTAATCGAAAGTGGTATACTTAATAAGTAATACCTTTAAAACTATAGCTAGGGAAGCTCTTAATATAGAACTATATCTATTACTAATATAGTAATAGCTAGACTAGCTAGTCTAGCTAACTACTATCTATATATATATAGGACTAAGATATATAATACTAAAAATAATATAAAAGGAGAGAAATCTAGCCTAATAATAATAGGGGGGATAGACACTAATAGAGGCCTAGTCCTAGAAGAAGGATAGATATCTTACTATACCCTACCTAGGAACTTTAGTGAGTGAATAGGAGAGTAGGAAGGTATATATCTAGGTACTATAGAGTAGACCACTAAAGGTATATATTAAGGAAAGAGACTAAGTAAGGAGTATATATAAGAGAATTATAAAATAATAACTATAGGTACTAGCGTAACTTTATACTAATAGGAGTAGGTATTAAGGCGGTATTAGAGCTATAGTGTACCTAGTATACCTATATAGCTAGAATAAGGCTAGACTATATAATATAGGATCCGACAATAAATCTATAGTATATACTACTAAGCTATATATACTTAAGATAGTATTAGAAGTTATTAAGGAAAGATCTAATAATAAGGATAACTAATAGAAAGATTACCTAGTAGAGAGCGGCGTAGTTATCTTTATAGATAACTAGGTAGCTCTTAAAGCTATCTAAAATCTATAAATACTATCCGGCTAGATATACCTAGAGGGATACCTCTAGTCACTAGAATAGCTTAATAGCTAGGGGGTCTGGGTTAAATTACGCTAGATCCTAGCCTATAAAGGTATTCTAGGTAATAAGATAGCCGATATCTTCGTAAAAATAGTAGCTACTACCTAAGAAATAAACCACTATAATAGGTATATCTAGCTTACCACTATAGTAAGTAAGAGTGTAAAGTAGGAATCGATAATCGTGTGGGAAAAGGTATAGATAAAGGGAGGAAGGACTATATAGAGAACTTAGAGGATAATTGAGGCGCTAAATAAGTTAAATCTAACTTACTAGAAGGGCCTAAGGAAAGCGATAACGTTAGTACTAATCTAGCTCTATATAGGGATCATTAGATTAGCCGAGTACCTATCTAAAATTAAGAGGAAAGACTTACCACGGTACTAATATAACCTAGGAAACCAAAGTGTCTGATATATATTGCTTAAGTGTCCGCTCCTAGAAGAACTCCGGATAGATATAATAGAGGAATTATTTAGGGAAGGGGTATTAATAACGCTAGGAGAATAGGTAATATTAATAGAAGTGAAAGCGGCACCGATTATAGCGAAGTTTATAATCGTATTAGGACTCCTAGGATAGTTTTAGTTAGTGGACTCTATCGCTATAGGTAAGGAGAAGGGGGTAGGGGACAAGGATTATCCTAATCTAAAAATAAAACTAAAATAAGACACTATAAGTACTAGAGAAATAGGACGTATAACCTAGTGGCTAGGCACTAGGTCTACTAAGGTCACCTCATAACAATATATATAGAGAATAACGTTTATTACCGGCGAGGATAAAGAAGTATAGTGTCGCGACCTAAATCTATTTGTGTATGACCTACCGGAGTGATATAGACCTAGCAGTCCTGGTGATATAGGGACTCGGTGACTCAGGGAGCTAGGGGAGATAGAGAAGTAAAGAAGTGAAGAAGTGGAGAAGTGAAGAAGTGAGGGAGCGAAAGGTGTATTGCAAAGAGAAAAGGGGTCTCTCTACGCCCGTGGGGACTACGGGAAACCATCTATATAGGGTGGATAGATTACTTTCTTTACGTTGTATTTCTTATGTTATTTTGTATTTACCGGCCGGTTTATGGCCTTACAATTTAGGTTGCGGGACCTCGAGAGATCGAGTCCTGTATGCAGGGTGGCTGTATACTGGGGATACACCACTATTTGTCGTCGGGAGCAGGCTCTGGGACGCTATCCCCGCATAGCAGCATGTATGTAATTAGCGAGCTACATCGGGTCAATGAATTCATCATCATTATCATCATCATCTTCTCAGCTCACTACCACCTCACCACTCACACTCTAAAAATATTCAAATATCTCCATCGACCTAAAAGCGTAAATTTGCAGTATTCGAAGATCTCCCAGCATTTCCATCAAAAAATGTATGTATAATTTTATCAGCGGGGCCCTTCTTCTGGCCTGTCGTGATTTGCTTTGATCTGCTATCTTCTTGAAATTGCCTTTTCCGAAGAATAGATATATAAAGCAATCGAGAGGTAGATTGTATTTGTCGTGAAATGGGATAATGGCTATAAGCTTGTTCTTAAAAGACGTGTTGAGTCTAGATTTAAGCCGCGGAAATCAACAGAGTTGCAATGAAATATCTTTCATGTCGTTCAAGGAACTGGAGATACTTGCATGGATTGATAGAGCTTGACATCCGCCTCCGGGGACTACTTAGCATTGCTAGGAGATGTTGTAAGCTGAGACTGGAAGATGGGTGCGAGCACAGTGAGATATGAAACGATGAGACGACCGGTTGCTCGCTAGTTGTTTGCGTTTGCATGGCTTTGTCATGATTCTCCAACTATGGGTAGATAATAACATTTCTTTCAAGATCATAGACTATGTCTCCTTTTAAAGAGTTATCTTCTTCTGTGGATCCACAGCTCATGGTCTTCAAACATTTTGCCCCAAACATCGTGTTCCTTTGCCTCTACCCTAGTACTCAACAACATCTACTGATTTCCAGTGTTCTTTTTGCATTAGTACACCTCGTCTTTCTCTGGCTCCTTTTGATGTCGAGGCTTCTTGATAAAGCCATCACGGCTTTTAAGCACCGTCTACCGGTGTTTTATCAACAATGCAGGCCTTTAGTTGATCCTTTGATATCGCTCCTCGTCGAAAGAATATACCTCGACATCGGTAGTGCTGACCTCCCTCGTTGGAGAGATAAAGAAGACGAACAGCAGACAGAACTCCGAAACAAGATTGTTGGGCGTCTGATGGACGAGATGCGGCAGATGCATAACGAGGAAGTCCAGTTTGACGATGATTACGAGAACGATATCTTTACCATTGTTCTGTACTGGTATCTGAAGGACAACTCAGCGAAATTTCTTCGACAAAGAAAGCCGCCGCAAGACAATAAATGGCCCACGGCTCTCTTCTGGGGATTTGAGAGACGCTCTCCCCGGTCAATCCCTCATACCGCCGATCGAGCTTTAGAGTACTGTTCGCCACTTGCCCCTGTTTTTATCAGACGTGAATCACACTTCGCGCCTAATTCATTCTACGGAGAAAGAGATGTGAGTAACGAGTCTTGCCTAAAGGTTAGTGCCTGAATATTCTAACTTGAGTCTTATTCTAGCCTCAGACTGGTCTGTTAAGCCAGCTTGATGACGACTCAGATGAAGGAGATCAGCCCGCTCTTCTTGAAGATCATACCAGTAATCAATATATCACAAAAAGAGGCAAAGGCGAGGTGGAGACGCACTCACAAAAGGAGCTGTCGAAGTTATATCTCCCTTATGTCGAGAAGCCAATGAAGTACGGACAGCTCGGCAACTCCCGGGATGCTGATGCCGCGCCTGCGAGCCCCGACAATGATTCTGGTCATGTCTCTGCCAAGGAAGATAAAGGTGAGACGGAGAGGCCCTCACAAGAGGAGCTGTTGAAAAGATATATCAGTCGTGCTCAAAAACAGATGAAATACGGCAAGCGCGCTAGGCCAGATGTCAACTTGCCAGGTGGATCTATCTTACCAGAAGAGGCTCCCCAACGTCTCTCAAAGATACCGACCAAGGGCGTACTTACCCATATGCTTGAAAAAACAAATGAGGAATTCCATGAACGGTATGGAAATATCCTAAGCCGCATTGGGATTCGTTCGGTGGAGGAAATCCTGCAGGCTGCTTTTACCCCGGAAACAAGGTCCCTCTTCTCGGTCCTCGAGTCAGGCTCCATTGGCCTAGAAGAGTAAGTGGATCACTTTGACATAGTTTTGAACTCGGGCTCAACATCTTTTAGACTGAAAAATCTTGGAGGTCACCCAGAGAAGGATGATTGCCCAGGAGTGTACCTTCATGTCATGTGGACTAGGGAAGGGAAATTCTGGCTCTACATTGGCCAATCGATGAGTATGCGAGCGCGGATTATGAAGCACTGTGATAAAAAGCATCGCGCACGGCATCCGTCTCTACACTACAGTGTTTGGGACTTTGAAGATGTCGTTGGCGATATCTGGGTCACGCTATCCCAGTTCCCCGCCTTTAAACTTACACCCACTGGGGATAGTATATCTCGCCACACACTGCAGGACTGCGCGCTCCTTCTTAACCTTGAGGAAATGTTCATGTCATGCATGCTTCAAACTCTGCGGCATCATCACTTAGAGCGTTACTTGCCCAAGGGGACCTCCATTCCATGGGCAGGCTCACATTTGAACATCGCGCTTCCCCTGTGGCAGGGCTTCTCTATTCAATCAGGAGAGGTAGTTACGCGACAGACATTCATGGATGCTATTCATAGCTCTGACAAGGCAGTTCGCGAATGGGCAGCATCTTGGAGAAACTCCTACAATTCCCTCCGATATTCTTCTGATCCCCTGCTTCGTGGATACTGGGCCCGACAGATGGCAGATATGAGAAACTCGGATATATCACCCGCAATGGAAGGTGTACAGCGGGCAAAAAAGGGAAGATATCATGAATTGCTGAATTGCGGAGGTACTGTTAAAGTTTACCAGGACTCGCGCAGCGATCGTATGTTTTTCAATTGGGGCGATGGGAGATTTATCTTCCCGCTTTTGAAGGATGTCCGGGAAAGTTTTCCCTGCAAGCCCCACGAGAAGTTGTACTTCCTCCCACTCCTATTTCAAATTCCCCAGAAATCCCCTTTCGCACGTGAAGCCCTCGCCACAGATCCCGCTAGTAGGCTGGTAGTTGCAGTGAGACTTGAGAGAGGGGGAAAACAGTACTGGGGCTGGCCATACACCAGAGGAAAAATGGCGGTCTTCAATATGAATCACTTCGTCGATTGCCTTGAAGGATTATCTCTCTCACAATCCCAACAACTGCCACGACGTTCGATGGTGAGATTTCAAGATGGTCGAAAAATCATGGAAATAACTGATCCGGATGCTCTTCCCGAACATGCTGTTTCTGAAACTTACCTTCGAGAGTTTGAACTGGATGATCTTCTTTCTTAGGTATTGCTTGTGCCCTGCTCTATTTCCTTTTGCTTTTTCAGCGTCCATACATATCCGGTTTCCAAGAGGGTGGGAGAGGGTGAGGGAGGGCGGAGGGGTTCTTTTCTTTCTACGGAATCCTGTCATGGGCGCTTGAAATATGTTTTTGAAAGCAAAAAATATTACATGCTATTCACATATAATTATCTCACTCACACTGGTGATCTCAGAGGAGAAATATAAACCAGCGCAATACAAGGTAAGAAAGCGGAATATAGTGGTAGACATGGATCTTAGAAGACCTGTATCAAAAATTTAATCTGAAACTAAGATTCCTCGTCTCCGTGGTCGATCTGGATGATGCTGAGAATCCTAGTCGACTCTTCGTATGGGATAATTAAAATAAAGACTAGCCCTAGTTTTTACGTGCATATGTCATACAATCCTCGTATGCCATCTAGAAGAATATGAGGTTCCCAAGCCATCGAAATTAGCGAAATTGATGCAGATGTACACCTTCCGCACTGTTTTCTGCAAATAGGATACATTATGATATTTCAGACAAACTCCTTTCAATTCGGACTGATTTGAGCCCACAGAATATGGAAGAGTCTAGCACTCTATCCTACGGCCGCCCATTTGGCTTATTGATTCTTCATATAGATTGATGAGGACTCTATGTGTTTATGATTGTGAAATGACATCAGTAGATCTGGTCTCAATCCTGGGTACAGAGAGATTGAATAAATTGTATACTCTCTAGCGTACTGATTGATCCAACAATCACAATTCACGGTGACATCAACCGGTGCATACAATTGGACCACCGCAGGGCCCACAAGGCCCAAAGCCTAACCCGGGCCCAACCCGCAAATAGATAGGGTTTGGGGCTCTGCCTCGGCCCCACCGATGATCTAAAGGCCCAATGCAGAGGCTAATGGGCCCTAAAATAGGCCCCAAATAGTACAGACATAAAAGTTGAACCCCCTTTTCGGGTTTTGAAACTTACCCTTCCTCTTACCCCCGTTTCTAGGCCTTGAAATAACGCTGATATTTACCATTTTGAAATAGATAGAATCTATCATTAGTCATACTTCTATATCAATTCTAGAAAAGTGGAAAACGCTTTTGATAACAATTCTCAAAATTATTCAGGGCTATAAAAAAGTATTAGGTAGACAGACATATATTGAATATCAAGATATCAACTTTTTACCGTTTTCGCGATACCTCGACTCTTACTCATAGGATTTTGTTCAAACTTGAAATGTAGACTTAGATAGCTATCATAAGCCCGGACTTCGAATCTAAACCTTCTACGACCAGTAAAAATGATACAGCGATTACAGACGCCGTTTTGTCAGCCCCGAGATAAGCTCTGATAGAGGCTTCACGGAGCGCTACATACAACAGGGAACGGGAACCAGGAATAAATTCGGAGAGGTATATGGAGTAGGGGGATTGACATTTCTATGCTAAAATCATAACACCGCGAAAATAAGACAGAATAGGTGCGGCCAGTAAATAGTGAGCACATGGTTCGCCACTACAATAGCAATGCTATGGTTTGAGCAAGGTTTGGTACATAAGTAATGTTAGTAAAGCAATGTATATATTACGGGCGGCTGGCCTAATGGTAAGGCGTCTGATTTCGGTTGATTTTCATCAATAGGTTCTCAGAAGACTTGCAGGTTCGATCCCTGCGTCGCTCAAATATATTTTTTGTTTCAACAACAATGTTCTCATCCGATTGATCGAATCCTGGATTACCAACAATTATGTTTATGCCAGAAGGGCGGCTGGCCTAATGGTAAGGCGTCTGATTTCGGCTGGGTTTTACCAACAGCTGCTCAGAAGACTTGCAGGTTCGATCCCTGCGTCGCTCATGGATTTCTTTTTTTATTTCTTTTTATTTTTTTTTCTTCGCTCCAGCGAAGACAAGACAGTCCTTATTGGATAGACAAACTTGCTCTTTGTCCGATATACAAGGCTGTATAGGGACCAGGGCTCGTTCATTCACCCTTGAGTATGAAGGTGTTGATGTTGATTGAATTGAATGCCTTCCTTACTTTTGCACAACAGGATACCAAGATACCTGAATTGCATATATGAATGCTTCAGTAATCAAGGTAGCCTGCTCATGTTGATTTCGCCAGTGCATTGGTATAGAGTTGAATGAAGGCTGTCTTTTTTGGGACTTATAAAGCACGTAGTAGTATAGAGATGCCTCGATTTATATGGTGGTTAAAAGTTTCGTCCATGTCGAGAAGAATTTACAATACACAGTAACGTATTTTATAGGCGAGCTACGCAGTTTGGTACACATGATAAATCTGATATACTACAATTTGATACTATAGCAACCTCTGATGAAGTTTTACCTGTAGTCTACTGCTTTTTATATAATATCTATCCAACCGATCGAGTTTACGGGAACTGACTAAATGAATCTATATTTCTGAAGCTCAGCAATACTATAATAGTTCGAGATTTGAATTCGGTTAGAATTGATTTGAAGTTATGAAATGCTTACCAATAGCCATTCAAATGGAAACCCGTGAAAAAAAAAAAAAAAACGTTTATTGTTAAGAAAAAAAAAAGGGGGTTGTATATGTATCACATTTGCTCTGGTTGTTCGGCCAGAGAGAGGTGCAAATTGAAATCAATTAGGCATCGAGCCCTTGCTAGATAGGTACGTTGCGGGCTAGGTACACATCTAGCATTTGAACCATGTTTCATATACTAAGGGCGGCTGGCCTAATGGTAAGGCGTCTGATTTCGGTTGATTTTCATCAATAGGTTCTCAGAAGACTTGCAGGTTCGATCCCTGCGTCGCTCAGTCTCTTTTTTTCCTCCCTCTTTACTTGAAAGAAGTCTTTTTGAGGAATCGTCATCATATTTCTTTTCGTTTCACAGTCCGTCATCAACCTACCGAAATAATAATGGCTACCGCTGAGCCACATACCCGGTTGGTAGTTGGGTGGGCGAGCATGGGTTATTGGGGCGTATGTTATCCCCCTGAAAAGAGTAAAGGGTGAAGCCACAATGTTTCATCCCAGTCATGTGTAAATGAGTAGGCATCGCCATGATCTCTCTCGTGCTCCCAGGCGGATTTGGTTAAATTATCATTATAATTACGATACGAGAAGACACGTTGAGGTCCAAGGTGCGTACCTCATTCGGTTATCGCCAAGAGGATTTCCCATTTCTGGGCTGCGTGGAATTAATCTAATTTGGACATACTCAGTCGCTTGGTAAGTTCAAAAATAGGTTAGTTCCGTTCGACTCCTGTGGTCCGATTGTAGTGGCCACATGAATCCAACCACCTAGTTTAATAAGCCGATGAGTGAAACACAACTCTGTCCAGATATAAAGCTGATCCAGGCCTGTGACATTGTTAGAGCCGAAGTTTGACGATGGATGATAGCGGGTCATCTTCTGTAGGCACAGTTGCTGCTAAATTCAAAAGACAGGTCCATGGGGCCCATCTATTCGAGAGAAATTCAACTGATGATAATTATGTTAAAAAAGAATGAATATAAAGGGAATGATATGTTTGTTCCCCGCAATATAGGGGCTTCGAGGTTGCAAGCGTTGTCTTGTATGGGCTCGATTATACAGGAAAACCTGCTGAACGTGGTGTTTGCTATCCGACCTTGGGAAGATATAAGCAACGCCTTAAATCCTCTTGTTCTGTCTTGGCAACCGGCCACTAAGGCCAAAAAAAACAAAAAATGTCTGGACTTGCAGGGAATCGAACCCTGGACCACTCCCATGCTAAGGGAGTATTATACCACTAAACCACAAGCCCAGTTGATTGATTGCTGGTTGAATATTGTGCATTATAAATAGCTAATCATATATACGATGAAAAGAACGAATACCTACGCTTCTCATCTCATCTTTTTACCTAAAACATGGACTGGGGGTTTTTTTCAAGTTTATTAGACTGTTGGTCACATCGTTGCTTGGTACATGATGTGATTTTTTCGATTTACATGACACAGGTACTCAGATCTTCGTCATGCGTATCGATATATATCGTCAGTAATTGTGGAAGAATATCGCAGAGTTTTATATTATGTCTCGATCCCCATAATAAGCGTCCCAAGAAAACCAATCAAACATGTTATCTGGAATGGATCTGGTGTTACTGAAACGAGAACAAGACACACCAGGTTGATCGGCGTCAAACATAGACCATGGGGGGCTCATCTCTGTAGGTAACCACTTGAGATAGTTGGCAACGTTTAATTCTCCAAGATGAAGGTCCGTTAAATCCCCAGGGTCTTGGTCGTGGCCGTCTATATGCTCTTCAGGCCGTGACTGAAATGGCTCGTCCGGCTTCCCAATAGTCTCAGTTAGGGCGTGGCGCGAAACATGAACTTGAGCTAGCTGCAGAAAAACAGACGCAGTATGCTGCAGTCTGGAGCATACAGTGGCCAGCAAGCGCATCTGTGATCTCATTGCCGCGAAATAGTCTACCGTGGCAGATAAAAGTTTCAGATCTTGCGGAATCGTAGATGCCTGAGTGCCATCGCTGTGGATGATGTTGCCGAATATCACGAAGAAAGGGGTAAATGGACAATATAGAAGTTGCCTGACAGACCTTTGTTAGTAACCGAACCGGTACTCTGAAAACGGACGTGAAGATAAGTGGACATACCATACTATCCCATTGTATACAGAGCTCCAATTTGACACCATGGAGCTCAGGGTAAAAATAGCCTCGCGGGCAGATGAAAGACGTAGGACGGGTGAAGAATCATCCCCCTTGAGTAGAAGGATGAGGGAATGTAGATACTGAAACCTCATTGTACTGATTCCTAAATTCATTTCTCGGATTTGGCTGGCTGTTGCTGAGGCACTTTCGACATGCAAGATACTCGTGAGAGACTGTCATCCGGTATTAATAAGACCAGCCTTGATTCAACGAGAAGAAGTGTAATATACCTCATGGGTGTCTAACCACCAAGTCCCGAGGCTTGATCGGACCTCTTGCTTTCGATGTACCGAGCCATCCATTGCGAGAAGTTCCGCGACCGACCCCCCGAGTTTCGCCCACTGAATGGAACGTGTGATAATCTCAGCACCAAAGCGCGAGCCAGAGGTAGGCACATGCCCACCCCCGAACCCAGCACGCTCGTGCGGGTTGAATCTGAGCAAGAGAGACTGGTCTGGTAGTGGAACGTTCTGATACAATGCCGTGGGAAGAAAAGCCGGTCTTCCAAACGATAGGGAGCAAGATTTGTCTATTAAAAGAGAAGCCAAAAGAGACAAAGCCGTTGCTGTCTCAAGTTCACGTCCTGGTGAGCCGGTGAATGCAATCCCAGAGCTTCAGCCTGCCTACAAGCATGTCCTAACAACATCCAGGACAAATTTGGTGCTGCGAAATCCTCGCCATGCATTGCCAGGAAGCATAAAGCCTGCACGTTGGCGTAACTTGGTTTGAAAAAGATACTGCTGTCTCATAGCGCGAGTTGCACGTTACGTCGAAATCTTTTGGTTTCGCCATTTTCTCCGTCCTCGTTAGAGACAATGGAAAGCATCATGTAATTGAAGTAGGCAACCCATGCCTTTTCCCGGACTTTGTGGGGTTCAAATACCACTTCTCTTATGACATTGTCTGGTGGAAAGGAGAAGAAAGGTTCACCGAGCTCACCATACTCCAAGAATTCTGATTTGATGCCAAAAGTTAGCGTCAATCTATCTCCCCGAAGAAACGAAATATTACTGCTGATCATGCGGTAACCGGTTGCCTTTGAAGGTATATAGAACGCGGTTGAATCCTCTATAATCTGTTGGTCACCTTCTGCGGTGGCCAGCCGCCCAGAGAGGTATTGAAGTTCCGAATGTGCACTTTGACTAGTCATATCACCCAGTGATTGGCGGATTGCATCAACATTGGCCGATGCCTCCTTCAGGAAGGAGAAAGAATGTGAAGGGCCGACGTATGGCCTCGACTCGGAACCGACATTTTCTGTAAAGATGGAGCGAGAGTTCCAACTCGATATTCCAGTATTCGCCGGAGGTGGTGTAGAAGTGATAACTTGAAGGGCTCGATTGACAGAATCTGCCAACTGTTGGACTGTGTGCTCAAGTCTCTTCAGTCTACCTTCGATGTCGCTTACTACTGGTAAGTCTCCCGTTCTAATATTGTCAGGCCCAGCTCTAGATACAGGTCTATTGATGGTATCGTTCTCACATGTGATTGGATGTTTGAATTGGAGTTGGCTGAGCGGAGCTCGATTTTTCTCGCGAGTATTCACAGCCACTGGGCCAAGGTCTGCAGTTGCTGCATTTTGGGAGTTCCCGCGAGCACCTTCAAAGTTTTAGCGATCTCAGCTCAGAGAAACTTGATCTGCTGGGGTGGAATACTTGAGCTTTTTGTGTCGGCAAAAAGTGCACTGTGCAAGTCAGTCACGATCAAGGTGTTGGTAATATAGTGGTGCCTACTGCAAACCGAGGAAGTTTGGTCTCCATAATGGCATGTCAGATAGTGATTCGTGTCATTTCAACATGGCTGTACGGAAAGTTGTCAATAATAGGTAGAAAGAGGGAAATCCGGAATGTCGTCCGGAAGCCAAGGTTTTGATTTGCTGAGTTCGGAAATTCTCGCTCCCGACCAATCAGAGTGGTTTGTTTCGGAATCTGGTCCGCTGCGTAGCCAAACGCTGTCATAAGCACTCAAGAAATCGGATATCTTGTTTGCTATTTGGAGAGGTTCCTTTCAAAGTCTTGCCGAAAATGCGCTGCTTTGCTAAATGGTTGTTTCACCGTCCAGAGCTGTTCACATGCAGGGGCGTCCGTCCAAGTGCACGCTTGAAAAATATCTCGACAGCTGTGACAAAGGTGCTTCCGATTATAAAAAGCCCCATATTCTCCAGAGCATCAATATCTTTGTTCAGTCATTCTCTCTGGCCGTTCGATCTCAGCCCATATTCAATCCGCAATTATACCATAAAAAAAGCAATGGAAACACCTCCATCGATCGCAATCATCGGCGGTGGACCAAGCGGTCTGATGCTTGCTCGGCTGCTAGAAGTCAATGGTATCACAGACTACGTTGTCTTTGAACGAGATGAGTCCTCCACATCAGGTCCCAACGAGCAAGGTGGAACTCTGGATCTCCATCGAGACTCTGGTCAAGAAGCCCTCAAGCGAGCCGGCTTGTTCGACAAGTTCAGCAACGAGCTCGCGCGCTGGGATGCTGCATGTTTCCATCTGCTAGACTCGACTGGGGAGACAATTGCCAATTTCAGTGATGTGGGGAACCGTCCTGAGATCGATCGTTTGCAGCTTCGTCGACTTTTGCTTGAGTCAATTCCCCATCACAAGATACGATGGGGACATGGTATCAGATCCGTTGAGAGAAAGAAGAGCGATAAGACGATTGCTGGTGATAATGGATGCATCATTCATTTTACGAATGGCTCCTCTGCTACTGGGTTTCGACTCATTGTAGGTGCCGATGGAGTATGGAGCAAAGTCCGTCCCCTGGTGAGTATAAATGAGGACCAAAATCATGAAAGACTTTACTGACTCATTTTTTTCCAGCTCACATCCGCAAGGCCAGTGTATTCCGGTAAGCTCTACATCGAGGGCAAGATCGCACACAACAATCCGAGCTACCCTGCTGCCCACGAGCTGGTCGGACCTGGAAATATGCTTGTGTTAGGAGATCAGAAGACGATAGCGGTGCAGCAGCTATCAGATGGTCATTATCGCGTGTATTTTGGGCTGGTAGCACCTGAAAATTTCTATCAACGCAATATTTCCTTTGACGCTAACCCCAGCGAAGCCACTGAGGAAATCCGTTCCCGTCTTTTGTCTGATAAGTTCTTCGCACATTGGACACCGCGAATGAAGGAATTTGTCGAAAACGCAGAAGGTCCCTTCCGTCCCTGGCCCTTGTATTTTATCAAACCAGAAACAGTCGGCTGGGATCGCTCTGTGGCTCCCGCAGTTACCCTTTTAGGGGATGCTGCTCATGCTTCGACTCCGTTTGTTGGTGAGGGTGTTAATTGCAGCATGTATGATGCAGTCATACTTGTGGAGTGTCTTGTCAATCACTGCGGCAAAAGCACTATGTTGACTGATGTGAAGGAGGTTAAGTTGGAGGCTGCACTAGCTGCGTACGAGAAAAACATGTTTGCACGTGGTCAAGATTTGATTCGGCGCAGCTCTGAGAGCGGCAAGAGGCTATTTTCGGATAATGCTGGTCAGCTTACTCTCCAGATGCTTAATGGCGATATTTAGATTGAGATCTTTTATGTTAAGATTCACGAGGAGGAGAATGCAAATTATTGAAGACTACTATTACAATAAAGATAGGGAGAGATTCCATTTAGCACATGTCCAGCGTCTTGGTAATTTGTCCAGCTAATAAGACGTCAAATGGAGAACTCCGCCCACTAAGCATCCGATGAGATATATGAAATCTACTTATCGTGCATCTTATAAGCGATTGGCTTGTTTTGATCAAGTCCGGCAATCTCCCGGGAATTTCGGGGTTATCCCCTCACGAGGCGTGATAAGCCTTGACTTGGTACTTTTGACTAGCTCATAGAGCTGGGGACTATAAGGCTCCTAGACAGTTCATTCTTTACCTGTTTCTCCAGACCTGCATTGCAAAGTGATCATGTCAGAGCCAAAAGTAGAGTCACCATTCACGATCGGTGCCTTGGGGAGCAGGGGCACTGGATTATCCTGGCTCTCCAACTCCGGAATTATCAAGCTCAACTTAATACTTGTGCTTTTACAAATCTCGAGTTACGCAACAGGCTATGATGGATCCATGATGAATGGGCTGCAGTCCCTCACCACCTGGAAAACCTCTTTTAACAACCCTGGACCTTCTGAGCTTGGTCTGTACGTGATGATCAATTCTGACATGCTGGAATAGTCTGACCGGCAATCACCGGTCATTACACAGGAATCTCAGAACTGACATAGTTTTTCACAGTCTGAATGCAATCCAAAATGTTGGCCAGCTCATTACAATGCCTATCTGTGCCATCAGTTGCGATAGGTTCGGCCGTCGCCCGGTGCTATTTGCTGGTGCCTTCGTTCTTTTAGTTGGAGTTGCCCTCCAGGCCGCAGCACAGAATGTTGGTATGTTTATTGCAGCCCGAGGGATTATTGGCATGGGTCTCGTTTTGAATATCACTGTGGCGCCGCTTCTCCTCCTAGAGTTGGCCTTTCCCAGACAACAGGGACCAAATGTAGCAATATACAACAGCCTTTGGAACCTAGGTGCTTTGGTTGCAGCGTGGATCACCTACGGCTCATTTCGAATCGGAAACACATGGGCATGGCGGCTTCCTTCGCTCCTTCAGGGCGTCTCCAGTGTGCTCCAGATTGGGTTCTGCTTCTTGATTGAAGAATCGCCTCGATGGCTTATTAGCAAAGAGCGTGATGAGGAGGCAAGGAAACTCATTTGCAAGTATCATGCCAACGGCGACGACTCCGATCCTTTGGTCACACTGGAGATGGAGGAAATTCGCATTGCCCTTCAACTCGAGAACGAGGCGAGACGAACCACCTCGTACTTGACATTCTTCCAAACCAAAGGTAATATCAGACGCTTTTTTATTATTCTTTCTGTGGGCTTTTTCTCACAGTGGAGCGGTAACGGCCTGATCTCCTACTACCTCACATTAATTCTCAACTCGATTGGGTACACAGCGGAGAGCACCCAGACTTTGATTAACGCACTTCTCACACTGTGGTCAATGATTTGGAGCTTGGTATTCTCTTCTATAATGAATCGGTTTGGCCGGCGAACGCTCTTCCTTATCTCAACCGCAGGTATCCTGGCCGTCTATATTGTCTGGACTGGTCTCGAGGCTACGTACGAGAAGCAGTCGGCAGATGGAACTGGGGGTGACGGCTACGCGAAGGGTGTTTTGGCCATGATCTTCTTATACAATTTCTTTTATTCCGTCGGCTGGACGCCTCTGCAAGTTACCTATTGCATCGAAATATTACCATTTGACTTGCGCGCCCGAGGTCTCGTTCTGTATAACCTCTTCGTTGCACTTGCTGGTATCTTTAACCAGTACGTGAACCCGATTGGCGTTACCAACAGCACGTGGAAGTTCTATATTACCTACGACGTGTGGTTGGCCTTTGAGCTCGTGGTGGTTTACTTTCTGTTTGTAGAGACTGGCAGTCTCAGTCTGGAAGAAACTGCCGTCATTTTGGATGGAGAAGAGTACGGAGACAAGTTGGTCGAAGTTGCTTTATCTACAGCCGAGCAGAAAATTGTCGAGAGAGCTAAGGTACAGGCGATGACCAATAGTGGGATAGTGTCAGAGAAATCATAGAAATGGAGAAATCCGATGACTGAACCGAGAAACTCAGTTGGCATTTGGATCCCATCAGATCACCAAACGGAGCCATAATATGTGTCTATATGTACACGACCATATCAAATGTAGAATCCAGAATCTTCAAGGTACATAATGTACTTTCATTGTCGCCCTAAGCCATCTTCTTCACTGCAGCATCTTTGGGTCTAAGGGAGCAAAGCCTTGATTAATCACACCGATAATCTACGACGCCCGCTCTGGAATTCATGAGGAGAGCGACAATCAACCCATATAAGCCTTCATCTCAGATGCATTAGCCCTGTTTGGATTCCATTGTGGAATGAATTCCACTACTCACCTAGGACCTCAGCAAAGATTAGGATAAGTATCATGCCAACATAAAGCCGAGGCTGCTGAGCCGTTCCTCGGACTCCAGCGTCACCGACAATTCCGATCGCAAACCTTCATCCTGATCAGCGAATTCCCCGAAGACTGTAGATGTTGTCTACAAAATTTGTTCAACCTACCCTGCAGCTAATCCACAGAGACCAACTGCCAAACCTGCACCCAGCTGAAGTAGGCTTGTGTAGAGAGTGGCTCTTTGAACGAGGTTATTTGCAATCAAGACCGAGACTACCAGCCCATATATCCCGAGAATACCGGCCATAACAACAGGAACGATGTCTAGCACTTTCATTAGCCTCAAACTCATGCTTCATTCTTTCATCCAGACATACTTCTCACGATGAGATCAGGTCTCATGATCCCCGATGAGCAAATTCCAACGCCAGACTTGGCAGTTCCATAGGCTGCACCGAAGCTCGTGAAAATGATTGCACTCGCACAGCCCAAGGCTCCAAAGAATGGCTGTCCATGAATACTCAATATCCAGAAGACTACACCTTGCATCTAAGAATGAAGCGGAGGAGACTTACTGCGTACGCAGGGCTTTAGGTCATCAGCTAATGGTCTCATGAGGTTGCTATAGTATGGATAGGTGGATAGTGAACCTTACCAAAATTCTGATAGCATTTCGTCTTTCTTTTGTATCTGAGAAGAGTTTGAATGCCAATGCCAATAGATATAGCGTTAGAAATTTTCAACGAGGCATAGAGCAATAAGCCGGGGCCATAAAAGTCTGTGAAGTTTAGGCAGCAAGTTAGCTCTACATGAGAGGATGTCAGCCGCACACAGTCATTTCATTCGGTAAGCTACAGGATTTCTCTCCACAGAACATTATGATTGGTGTCCATGTTGCTCGTCGACCTTTTTTTTCGTGATGAAGAGCCTATCAGGTACTAAATTGGAGCCTGGAGCCTGAGACCGATGTGACGTAGTCCTACCGCGCATAGAGGCCGGCCATACCCAGCTGCTATATGTATAATCACGGACATTTGAGATCACAAGTGTAGTTTTATGCACTAGCATACCGCATAAGATTGCTGCATGGCGGCTGTGTCTGTGTATCATTTGGTAATTTTAGGCCGAATCGCGGTTCGTGCGGGATCATTCAAGGATTCACCACTGAGGGCCAGCATATAATCAGTATTGGAAACAACCCCAGGAGCGAGAGTCCACAATCAAAATCTGTAGAGATATTAGATGGTATGATGTCCTTGGCTTAGGTAAATTTTCATTTGATTTCCAAAGTTGTGTATGTTGTTTGTCCACATACTATGAATAAGAATTTTAGGGAAATCATCGGAAATAATTCTAGTCCTATATTATAAAAGCTTGGCTTTTTGATGACAGAGAAGATAATGATATTCTCTATCTAGAAGCAAGACTGGAGAGAGAGAAGAAGGAAAGCAAGTATGAATAGGATACTGAGATCCTATTTATACTGGCAAGCATGACGGCAGATCAAACATGTTTGATCTATATGCCTGGATGCCTATGGCATCCGACACTTTTACTATATTTGAAAGCCTTGTAACTCAATTTTATTGCAATATTTGATATAGAGAAATTTAGCATAAACATCCCAGCGAATTCCGTTGTTCTTCCCTCTTCTACGTCCTGCGACTCACGGGTTTCTGAAATCGAGAGCAGATATTCTCTCAAGAGAGTAAAAGGAAATCAAAAACTTGCCTGCCAACCTGATAGTCCGGCACTTGCTCCCCATAGTAGCACCCACTTTGTAGGACTATAGGATTGCACATGCAACATACAGTGCAAAAGGGGGCCAGGGGCAATATACATCAGCCCTAGGCAGATTCCATTTCAAAACAATAAGATACGCGAACTTGAACTTATTCGAAGTCAGATCCCTGATGTAATTCGGCATTCTCTCCGAGTCTCACTCGGCATAACTCCTACCGCATAATTAGCCGGTTTCCGTATTTATCCTAGATGCCCTTTATATTCTTACCAATAGACCAGCAGGATCATGTCTTGGCGCATAACGCCGGCAAAATATCCTTGACATTACCCAAGTTTGCTGCAAAACTGCCTTAAGGGCGTGCACCATCGCAGCCCCAAATTCCTTCAACATACCTAGTCACCCCTATAAAAAACTCCCAGCTACGTGTCAAGTAGTCATATTTGTAGATCTCTCGAGGTGAAAGTTGCAATTATGTCCTTTCCGAAAGCTCTACCCGATTGGAACAACCTCAAAGTGATCCACAAAAACACCCTTCCACCGCGGGCGCACTTTTACAGCTACGGTTCAGAAGAGCGGGCCCTTACCTTCGACCGCGACAACAGCGAGTATATTTCCCTTAATGGCACATGGAAGTTCCGGCACGATGCCTCCCCCTTAGAGGCACCCGAGTGGTCCACCGCGGAGCCTTTGAGCTGGGACGACGTCCAAGTCCCAGGAATGTGGCAGCTTCAGGGTTACTCCCATCCAACTTACACTAACGTCAACTTTCCATTCCACGTGAATCCCCCGAACGTGCCACTCCTCAACGAAACTGGATCTTACTGGAGGCAGTTTGTAACTCCTTCCACATGGAAAGAACAACAGATTCGCATCCGCTTTGAAGGCGTTGATAGTGCGTTTCATCTCTGGATCAACGGACAAGAAGTGGGATATTCGCAAGGTTCACGTAACCCTAGCGAGTTTGACATCACCCCCCTACTCAAACCAGCCGGGTCTGTGAACACTATCGCTGTTCGCGTGTACGAATTCTGCGATGGCTCGTATATTGAACGCCAAGATCAGTGGCTTCTCAGTGGCATCTTCCGAGATGTTGGTTTGCTCGCCTTTCCGCTAGACTCGGTGGTTGACTTTGATGCCGTTCCAACGCTTAGCGAAGACCTTTCTACAGGTCAGCTGCTCACCAATGTCAAAATTCAGGGAAAAGATGCCGACGTCCAGGCCAAGTTATATCGACAAGATGGATCGCTGCTCAAGCAATTGACATTCAGTTCCAAGGAATCCGGTCATATCACTGTGTCCGGCAGTGATTTAAAGCTGTGGTCTGCTGAAGATCCAGTTCTCTATACCTTGACTCTCACCTTTAACGGCCGTACAATTCCCCAACGCATTGGGTTCCGACGCATCGAGCAAAAGGGCGCAAACTTTTTAGTCAACGGAAAGCCCATTATTTTATACGGCATGAACCGCCATGAGCATCACCACCTGCACGGTCGCGCCGTCCCATATGAAAGCATGCGTGCAGACCTCATCCTGATGAAAAAGCACAATATCAACGCTTTACGGTGTTGTCACCAACCCAATGATCCCAGACTCTACGAAGTTTGCGATGAACTTGGTCTATACGTTATGGCCGAGGCAGATCTCGAGGCTCACGGCTTCGACCCCGTGGAACGATCCAATATTCCGAACCAGCACCTTATGACCGCGCACGAAATCCAGGAGATCTCCTACAAAATGGCTACCAAGTGGACCTCCGACAATCTAGAATGGAAACATGCGTATCTTGATCGTGCTGTTGAGCTTGTTCAACGCCTCAAAAACTTCTCTTGCATTATTATGTGGTCTCTTGGAAATGAGGCGTTCTACGGCCAGAACCATGCGAGCATGTACAAGTGGATTAAGGAGGCTGATCCTACCCGGCTCGTCCACTACGAGGGTGACCGGGAAGCTATCAGCGCTGATCTGTACTCCACTATGTACTGGAGTATCGACGACCTGAAAAAGCACGTCAGCGAGAAGCCCGACAGACCTTTGATCCAGTGCGAATATGGCCATGCAAGTAAGTTTGAAATCTGGTTTGTCATATTTTATCTATCGCTTTCTAACCTCTGTTTCGCGCATAGTGGGTAACGGTCCAGGCGGATTGAAAGAATATATCGAAGCTTACCGCACCGAGAAGCTCCTGCAAGGTGGATTTATCTGGGAATGGTGCAATCATGGCCTCCTAAAGAGAGATGGAGACATCTCGTATTATGCGTATGGCGGCGACTTTGGTGACGAGCCAAATGATGCCGACTTCATCCTTGACGGAATGGTGTTTTCGGATCACACACCAACCCCAGGCCTAACGGAATACAAAAAGGCGATCGAACCAGTCGTAGTTACACTTGAAGGACGCTGCCTAGAAGTGACCAACCACTACGACTTCAATACCCTGGATCACCTGTCCATCTCATGGCACATTGTCAAGGAGACAGGAGACACCCAGCCAGTGCCATGGGAAATCCCCCAAATCAAATCCGGAGAATCCAAGTTGCTCGATCTACCTGACGGGATAACTTTTGGCTCTGATCCAAGCTGGCTCACTATCAACTTTCGATTGAGAGAGGCTACAACCTGGGCGCCCCAGGGACATGAGATTGCCTGGGCGCAGGTTTCATTGTTCGAGGACCAGGGACTTCCAATTCCTCCAACAATAACCTTATCACAATCGAGAATGTCTGTCCAGGAGGGATCAGGCCGTCTATACATCAACTCAAACAGCTGCGCCTCCCACTTTACTTACGACCTAATCAGAGGAGATCTATCTTGGTCCACAGACTCAGGTAAAATCTTCAACAGTGGACCACAGCTAGGAATATACCGCGCTCTGACCCAAAACGACGTTGGATTTGAGGGGCCCCATATTGAGTGGGAGCGTTTCCGCGTCAAAAGCAGTCGCATGTTCATCGAGTCCGCCAACTGGCAAGTCGATAATGATGGAAGGGTACTCATCACCACCAAAGTGCGTGTTGCGCCGACCGTGCTAGAATGGGCATTCGAGGCGACCCTCACCTACACTTTAATGGAGACTTCGGTGACTCTTCATGTCAAGGGTGATTTCACAGGCACACACCCAAAATACATACCAAGAATCGGACTCACACTCCGTCTTCCCCGAGAATACGATGCCGCCACATGGTTTGGCAGAGGACCCGGAGAATCCTATCGTGACACGAAGGCTGCTGCACGGTTTGGGACGTATACGGCCTCTATTGAGAGCGGTCTTCAGACGCCGTATGAATGGCCCCAGGAGAACGGTAACCGCATCGATACGCGCTGGGTCAATGTTCACTCCTCGCCTGCGGAGACATCTTACGCTGCATCAGCTGGGGCGATTGCGCCTATCCCGGAGATCAAAGCATCCATGGATGTACCGTTCAGTTTCTCACTTCGCAAGTACGCCACGATGGAGCTTGATCGCGCGAAGCACCCGCATGAGCTTTCGGAGTTGAATAATGAGACCGAGCTCAACATCGACTATGCACATCATGGGATTGGCACCGCAAGCTGTGGACCTGGTGCCTTTGAGGGGCATAGACTTGAGGCTGGCGCGTTTGAGTTCACTACTAGCTTCAGTCTTGCTGACCGCAAAAAGGTGTGAGAGGCAATCAACTGGCCTGCCATAGTCGTTAGCACAAAATTCTCAATTGGTACGTTGTATTTTCAGTTGCGAGAGATTGTTTTGCATATTTTATCTATCGTAGGACTGTGTTCGATGAATAGGCATATTGTTAAGGGCACATGTGAGTAGTAAAGGCAACATAGTACAGCTTCAAGACACAGATATGGTAATCCTGTTTAGATACATTTTATGAGCTGGTCCTCAATAAATAAAGACAGAAAACCTCTTGTTTATCTGGATGATTTTGTAGAATATCGGTCCTTCGAAACCCAGTCTTATATAATTGCCTAGCATTGAGTCTGTGCTAGGCGACATTGATTGTGATTTTGGACCTGGGCTATATTGTCACCTGATAAATAGATTAGCCATTCGATTTCCACTCAATGATAATCTATGCTCTCCAGCAAGGTCATACTCCATAACTCAAGAGGTGGCTCGTTCTATATCAAGACCACATCATGATACTGTGGGCAAGAGATGTTGCAAACTAGGATCTACGACCCAAACATGCCTTAATCGCAACTACTGCGAATAATGCACGATCCAAGGCCACTTGCTTGTCCACCACTGACCCGTGCAGGACATGCGGCCAGAAAGGGCATCCGCCAGGAAAATGTAGAGCTCACTGGCTCAACCCCCGAGACAATCAGCCGAAAGCACAGATAAAAGCGAGTGACCCTCGAGGTTTTGTTGGCCGCGCTCTCAACCAAATAGTGGAGGGACCTTGCCATGACAGTGATGAATGGTTCTAGATTCCCCCGGAAATACGAGATGTACGATAGTAGACCTTCTGTGTTGACACAAGTTAGCCTTCTTCATAGTGTTTTATCATAAAACCACCCATCATCATCTTCCATATTTCAATTCTGATTTCAGAGTGAGGAATGTTAGATTGATGAGTTGAAAATCATTCACTTTATATTTACTAACTGGTTAGCTTCGTTTTCTCCACGCACCAATGAAGCGTAGACCAAGCTCGACCGCACTAGCTCTTTAACAAAATCCTGGGTGGAATGTAGTGAATTTTCTCTAAATACTCCTCTAGATTACTGTCAAGGATGGGGAAGGCTGAAACTTTGATTCCCTGTGTTTGATGATGATATTAGATGGCGGTAAAGCAGGGAGACTAACATCCCAGCAGTTCCCATGTATCAAAGGTCAGTCTTCTTCATTTTTATTCTGCTCCTCGTCAAAAAGAGACTTATACCAGCCGGTGGTAGCATCCTTAGCTGCATGTGTCATGCGGCCCAACGGGACACGTTCGATTGTAACGCCGTGTCGGCGAAGGTGTGCACGCAAGCTGTTGGTGTCGGCAAAGGCATTCTATCATTACTGAGTTAGCAATCGTTCGATGTAGTTCTGATAGGAGACATCTGCGTGGGCTTACCACGCCATGCTTGCAATAGCTGAGTCGACAAAACACTTCACCCTGATACAAGATGATGCTTCCGGTAGAGGTCTATTCATAATTGTTTGCATGAATTAGACACTGACTGAATGATTTGGATGTGGATGTGAGGTAATTTGAGGGTAAGTTGAAGGTTCGGCCAATGACCTTGAATAGAATTTACGCACCTCCTCGTATTGGGGGAGACGGGGGAGACTCAGCTCCCCGGCCGCAGCCTCTTGGAGGTAGCGCTGGTATGGGGCAGAGTTGCGTAAGAACACGGGGACAATAGGAGGCACCGTTTTCGGAGCTGGTTGACTATCACTTGGTTTTATGGAGCTTGTAAATTGATAGGATACTCCTTGATATGAGGAAGAGAAATTGGCGGGACAACTTGGGCGTGGATAAATAGAAGATGAGAAGAGAAGGAAGCAAATTTGCAGAGCAGTCCCTAACTGTGCCTTCCATCCATCCATCCCTCATTAAAGGCTGGACTCCTCGCTAGCCTGCCACAGGTTAAATATATTTTGACTCAACAATCTCCCTACATAGTCCAGCTGAAAAGTCAACGAGCCTTCTATGCTGGACGGTGTTCTCTGTGTTCTTTTATGGGCCCTATAACGCCTATAAAATACCGAATTATTCTTCCTCACTATCATAGTTGTCCTCCTCCCTAAAATCCACCTCAAAGAGCGCGCTGAGTCAGGCTGCAAAAGCCTTATTGTGGGCCTCGATCATCTGGCACAAAGCTCTGCGTGTAATAATCGCACCATAGTAGGGGTGGAGGTGGTCACGTAGATTATTGATCCTCCACATTTGAGAATGGGTTCTATCCAGATCAACGGATTAGCAATGGTTTGATGTAGTCCCCCAAAGAGACATCTCCGTAGACATACAATACGGCGCTCACATTTTGGGAGGCGACAGAACACTTCCCCATGGTACACGATAATGTCCCCTTATCGTCCTATTCCAGTAATCAATCGATTGATTAGCAATGGTCTGACTCATTCAAGATGCTCCAAGGGTTGGGGCAATGCCCTTGATTGACATGTACCTACGCGTTAGTAAGGGGGGAGACTAAGCTCCCCGGCAGTAACTCGCCGGAGATAACGGCGATATGTATCGCTAGTTTGTAAAAAGGCAGGATCAGTGACGTGGCTAATTTTGATGGCTGAATCTGTGTTTGAATGATTTTGGTAGTGAAATTTGCTGGGGGAAGATAACTGTGACTGAAAAAGGGAATATAAGAGGAAGAGAGGATGGAAACAGGGTTTTAGAACAACCTAGGAAAGAAACATTAAGAAAAGACCATATAGGTAGAAAGCACATGAAGTACCCAGGCGCATTCCTATTTGGCGATCACGTCTTCACTTCACTTCCCTCTCATCTATTGCTCATTAGCAACCAGACTCTCCGTTGGACTGTGGTCTATCAAGTTAAGTCTGTTGACTTACGGACCTCCATTTTGTACTCCAAACATTCCAAAGTCTCTGACTAGAGAAAGTATCTGGGTAATGAGCATACTGTCCTGGGGTTATCGTCAGCATTTCGGGATAGACACCATAACGTTTGTCTCATGTCATATTACCCTTACCCATTTTAATTACCCTCCTCCTTAAAGGGCCTCTCAAACCAGGCCACTACAGCCGTCTTGTGGGTTTTCTCATGGGGCGCAACGCAGTGCATGCGACTGTCACGCCATGATAGTGGAGGAGATGGCCAGCCCCCAAATAAGACTTCTCCATGAGGTGAAAGCTTCGTGTTAGCAGTTTGGGAGGCGACACAACACCTTACCATAGTAGACAACGATATATATAGTGGGGGTCCCTTCTTGTAATACATTGACTGATTGGCAATGTTTGGGGGATAGAAAGATGTTCCGGCATGTTTATACACCACGGCGGGCGACTTGGTAGGATGAGCACTAGCCAGCTCAAGGTCGCCGTGATTCCATTTCAAGTCAAGATTTCTTCCATGTATGTATGTATTTGTGAAGTAGTGGATAAAATTATATGGCTGTATTCATGTCAGTCCATTGGATGACCGTACCCAAGAGTGATTATAGCAGTTGCGATAGCTCACGTTTCTATCGCTTTTTTTTAGTGATCACTAAACTCAACCTATAGGGAGATCTCCATGAAATTTCTGACTTATCATAGCGACTGTGACTCATGCAATGAGCTTGTTGGCGACCAAGTCCCCAGCTTAAACTGGTAGTTGACTCTGAAAAGACAGGTGTGGTTTGTAAAAGTCAAGTGTATATTCACATCCTGTGATTATATAGGGATATCATTCGCCAGCGTTGAAAGATTCAAGCAGGTTAGCTTAGAAGATCTTATCAAACAAAGAGAACGTATGTAGGTACCTAACTATCATAAAATTAGCCATGCTGGAGCTCACGTAGATGTCAGGACTGGCCATAGGTACGGGCCAAATCAACTAGCCTCTGTGATTTTTTTAACCTAGTTGTTGGCTACTCATTGGAGAATTCCAACCAAAAGATACAAGAAAATACATGAATGCCTTTGGAGAAACCCATCAGGGACACAGTTCAAAAAAGTACTTGGATGCCTTAAGGATATGGATCTCTAAGGCAGAAACCACCGCCCCACTTTGCCTTCCCCTTCCTCCAATCATGTCTCATCCCCTCTGCTTGGGCAGCACTCCATAGTTTCTTATCTTTCTTCACTATGGATTCACCAAGGCTTACATCGCGCCAGGATTGATGCAGTGTTTCAATGCTTAGTTGATCGCACAATTCTAAATTGTTCAAAGATATACATTGACTTTACTACTCCACCATTTAGTTAGATGCCGCCAAAGCCTGCCTATTCGCCACACTTCCCGACGCCCTGAACAAAGCTGGATTTCTAAGGAAATTTTCATGCGCTCGGAATTCACCTTTGGGCTTCTTGGGCTCCCTCGCCTTGGGATCTCTGCCATAACCGCCGCCACCGGGCGTATTGACAATGATACGATCACCAGCACGCATATTAGCAGAGGACTTGCCGCTCATGCCAACATGTCGCACCTCCTTAGTGATAGGATCATGTCTGACCCAGATATTGACACCGCGCATACCCTCGGAGCCACCAGCAAGACCGTAGGGTGCATTGACACGTCTTTCTGAGAGAATTGACACCTGCACAGGAATGCGGAACTCGATATCGCGAACGCAGCCATCACCTCCGCGGTGCAGACCGGCTCCACCACTGCCCTTGCGAATAGAAAACTCGCGAAGAATGACGGGATACTGTCTCTCGAAGATCTCAGGGTCGCCGATTCGTGTGTTTGTCACGCCGGTGTGGACGCCACTCTCGCCTTCCCAGTCCGCACCTGCACCTGCGCCGCCGGCAATCGTCTCGTAGTAGCCGAAGCCCTTTACGACCTCGCCGGTGACGGGATCTTTTCCTCCGTAGCCGAAGGTTAGGTTATTACATGTACCCTGTGATGCAGCAGCTGTGTGGAATGCCTTGAAGATTAGGTCGATGACGCGGTTTGTTGTCTCGCCTGTTGATCCAACGGTTGCCGCTGTGAAGGATGGTGTTAGGAGAGTGCCCTTGGGGCAGACGATTTTGATGGGCTGCAGGCAGCCTTGATTGAGAGGTATGTCGGAGGAGATCATGCAAGGAGGCAGTACTGGGGGATTGATTCTTAGTAAAAGTCGTATATTGTTGACATGGGAGGGAAAGCAAGAGAACAGAATATCGAAGGAGACGGAAGGTGGGAATACTTACGAGGATGGCGGAATACATGCAAGCGGGCGGGCAGTTGAGATTACCATGGTGTTCGGGACCGGTACCTGTGAAATCGAAAATTGCCTCTCCCGTTTCCGAATCAATGGCGATTCGCAGCACTAGCGGAGTACCGTCGTCTGTGTAGTCAATGGCCTCAAGATCTGCACCCTCAAAACGGTCCGAGAAGACCTTGAGCAACTCCCGCACGGACTGGGCAGCGTTCTCTTGAATCGCATTCATGTAAAATTCGACCACAGGCCAAGTATACTCATTAACAAGTGCTCGAATGAGTTGAATACCCCTCTGATTGGATGCTACAGCGGCCTTCAAGTCGGCAATGTTGTCCTTCAGTGTACGAGTGCCACTGCATCCCGGATATTTAGCGGGCTCGTGATACAAGATATCGATCAGGCCTTCCTCATCAAAAACACCCTCTTTGATCATCTTAAAAGACTCAAATGAGGCACCCTCTTGCCATAACTCAGTTGAGTTGGGTGGCATAGACCCGGGAATGATACCGCCAATGTCGGCATGGTGGCCGCGGTTGCCGACATAGAACAGAATCTTTGTCGGATTTTCGTCGTTGTCAAAAACTGGCGTAATACAGGTAATATCTGGAAGATGAGTTCCACCTGCGATAGGGTGGTTACTCAGAATCACATCACCAGGCTTGAGCTCTCCCTTCTTGTAGCGATTGGCTTGGTATGCAATTGCCGAAGCCATGGATCCGAGGTGTCCGGGGATATGAGGTGCGTTAGCGACAAGGCCACCACTGGCGCTGAAGACTGCACAGGAGTAGTCAAGTCGCTCCTTGATATTGACTGAGATGGATGTTTTTTGCATCGCATTGCCCATTTGCTCGGCCACACTCATGAGGCGATGGCTGAAGACACTCAGGAGAATGGGGTCAATGGCGTCAGTACTGGCGGCCTTGCGCTCGCTGTCAGTGATCTCGAGGATGATGTGCTCGGGGAGCTTGAAAGCCTTGCTGTTGCTGTCGACCACAATTGTTTGGGTCTTGTCGATGATCATGGCCGGGCCACTGATCCGAGCCCCGGCGGGTAGGTGAGTCAGATCGTAAACGGGAATGTCGAGCCATCCCTCATTTTCGAAATAGACCTTTGAAATGGACTGCTCCGTAAATTCAGGAGCGGATGATAGCTCGAGCTTCTTAAGCTCTTCGAATGGGCTCGAAGTCTGGACGTCTTTAGCCTTGCCAACACTGCGAACACGCACGTCATCGACTAGGATATCGCGCGGCTGGGAGAACCCAAACTCTTGCTCGTGACGGCGAGTGAATGCGTTTCCAAACTCTGCAAGGTTCTCCGGCTGTCGGATCATCAACATGGTGTCACTTCCACGGTATCGCATGTTCAAATACATTTCATGCTCGATTGATGATATATCAAAACCTTGGGCAGCTAGGCCTTGCTCGCCTTGCGCGCGAAGCCTTTTGAAGCGAGACTCTACCCTTGGCACAATATCGGGGTGGAAAATCAGGGATTCTGGCTCCTGATTCTCAACAGTCACATCAGCAAGAGCCATTCCATATGCAGAGAGAATACTAGAGTAGCGTGGGATAATGGCGCGACGAATGCCGAGATCCCGGGCGACGAAAACAGCGTGTTGGCCACCAGCACCACCGAAGCAAGCCAAGTTGTGATTTGCAGTCTCGTATCCGCGTCCCTCGCTGAGCGTGCGGATTGGCCGTGTCATTGTTGCATTGGCGATAGACAAAAAGCCACAAGCCACCTCCTCCGGTGTTAAGAAAGAGCTGCCATCTTTCTCCGAGTTGATGGTAGCCGTTATTTCTAGGAACATCTTCGTGACAGCATCAGTGTCGAGAGGCTTTGGGAATGATTCCTTGATAATGCGGCCGAGGAAAAGGTTGGCATCTGTCACAGTCAAAGGTCCGCCCTTTCCATAACAAGCAGGCCCAGGGTTGGCGCCAGCGCTTTCTGGGCCGACCTTGAATAGGCCATTCTCCCAAGACAAGATGGAGCCACCACCTGCAGCGACGGTGTTGATATCAAGCTGGGGTGTTTGGATAGATATTTCCGCGAGAGTGCTCTCAAACACATGTTCGAGCTCGCCTGAGTACCGAGCCACGTCTGTACTGGTACCACCCACTAATTTCTGTTGTTAGTGACCCATTTTATACCACCACAATGAGACAGAAGGGAGCTTACTATCAAATCCTAGCAATGGTGTTGCGTCACTAGGGTCATAGCAAGTTCTTGAGACACCGACGACACCACCAGCAGGACCACTAAGTACACCGCGCAAACCAGCAAACTTTTTGAAGTTAGTCAGGCCGCCGTCTGACTGATTGAGAAAGAGCTTCTTGCCATTCTCGTCTTCAAGCAGACCCTTGAAGCCCTTCCTAAAGCTCTCGAGATAACGTGTTGTGACAGGAGTTAGGTAAGCATCAGCCACAGCTGACTGACTTCGAGGAATGAGCTTTGCCATGGAAGAAAGTTTGGAGGAGACAGCGACATTGAAGCCCATCCCCTTGGCAAGATCTGCGACAGCAAGTTCATGATCGGGAAACATGTATGAATGCATGAGAGCAACGGCAACATCGCGGAACCCCTGGTCCCAAAGCCGTTTGAGATCGATGCGGACAGCATCGAGATTTGGGCTTTTGAGAATCCGCACTGCCTCTCCTGTGATGCCTTCCCGCAGGTCCACATCGGAACTAATATCAATCGTCGTGGGTTCTGGATTTTCGCCCCAGCCCTCAATAGTCACACGCTCATCAACCTCGACAACGGTTTCATATAATTTGTCGAGGCGTTTTACTGTAAGATCGAATAAATCTGGGCGAGCCTGGTTGCCAATTTTAAGAGCTTCCTTGAAGCCCTTAGTGGTGATGAATGCCACGCGTTCGCCTTTCCTCTCTAGGAGTGCGTTGGTGGCAACTGGGGTACCCATGCGAATTGATTCGACACATTCTAGATCTAGTGGTATCCCACGGGGGATGGTGGTACCCGTTGCGATTTCCAGGATCTGTCGAATACATTCGGTCGGTGCGTCGCTATATTTGTCGGGTGATTCAGAAAGTACTTTGCGAATTACATGTTCCTCACGGCCAGGCATTTGAGCCCAGGCATCTGTGAATGTGCCACCACGGTCAATGGCGATGAGAAGCCCCCTGGATGTCATTTTGTTGTTGATGATGTTAGGAATGGAGTCTGTGTTTTCGTAGTTTTGGTGCGTCGTTCGTTTCTTCTGTATCCTAGCTCTCAAAATCGTAATACCTTGAACACTTGCATTGACATGTACTTACTATTTAATAGTCCCGGCCTGAACGGGATGTTTAGGCCGGGATGGCCGGCTGAGGGTTAGATTTGCCGAGTGCCACCGGCAGTAGCAGCTATCAGCCAACTGGGCGTGAGCTAAGCGGCTCGAGGCTCAGCGGCCCGGGGACTCGATAACCGGGAGATGTGTGAATGCATTATTCCAAAGTCCTGAGTTTGATTTTGTTTCATTCAGTTCTTTGCAGTCATCCCTCTCGGTGTTTTCTACATAATGGCTATATTGGATTGCAGCAACTTAGGCAATGCGAACATCGCTGGCAGAGGATATTGGCCTGAGTGGGAACCAATTTGGTACCGCAACCACACTTCTGTAAATATACCCCTTGCTACCATCCTATCTGGAATTTCCCTTACGAAAACGCAGATATGCTACTTATGTTCCATTCGAAGCCCCCGTTTTGGTGTTAACCAAGAGCGTTGGCCTCAAAGTCCTGATTTCAGCCTCCGCCTTTTGCTGGGGCTCTGTCACTTTGGGAATGGATACGACTACGCATATAATTCTCCTGCTCTCTTGTACCGAGAACAGACACCGCTAGCAATCCGAACAGCATTTATCACAAACTACAAAGGACTCTACGTCTGCCGCCTCCTGATGGGCCTGTTTGAAGCAGGCCTGATCCCCGCTAGTGAGGTATACATGGCCCTAGTCTACAATCGCACCGAAAGAGGGCGACGCATGTCCTTATTCTACACGTTCAGCTGTCTTGCTAGCGCCTTCGGGGGTCTCCTCGCGTACGGACTCACACAAATTCACGGGCCCAACGGTTTCGAAGGGTGGAGATGGTTATTCTCAGTGGAAGCAGCCATTACCATCATTCTGGTGCCTCTCTTCTACTTCGTTTTTCCCAAAACCCCCGTTGAAGCTTGGTTTCTGACTGATGAGGAGAAACGCATTGTCAGAGCCCGCTATGATAATGATCCCCACTGGGCATTCGATGAGAATTCCTCGTGGACTGAGCTCGGTAAAGTTTTTACTGATGTCAAGTTCTATGCCTTTTTTGTCTACCAATTCTCTATCAACCTGACGCAGTTTGGGTTTACTACCTTTTTGCCGACTATAATTTCAGGCCTCGGATACACATCTGTTCATGCAAACCTAATGACCGTCCCAATCTATATCTCAGCTCTTGCAGTCTTTCTTGTCATTGCCTTCGTTTCCGACCGTTATGGTAGGCGGGGTCCGTTCATGGCTGGGCCTACAATGCTGAACTAAGTAGTAGTATTCCTTAAACCCAAAATATATATCTCACCAAAACATTAAGATTAGCCTATTTTCGGAGTATCCCGACCTCTGGGGGTTGGATTTAATTCAAAATTTTCTAGAATATATACTTATATAGCTAGTACAACTCTGAATCCTGAATTTGAACTTTATAGACCCAGTGGAAGGTCGTAATACAGCGATTACAGAGGCCGATAAGATGGACTTTAATGGAGGCCTTATGGGGCCCCATTAGTGGGCTATGGGTTGGGTCCGCTTTCCAAGGTTAGGCCCATAGCCCACTGCGGGTTGGGCTTTGGGCCTAGGGTGGGGGCCCATTTGTGGGGTTTGCGGAAGTCTAGACAGAGATCGACTAGCCGCCAACAACCGACTGAGCTGAGCTCCGTTGTCCGTCCCGTGACACGCCATCTCGGGGCCAAAACAAATCTCCGCGGCCTCTGCAATCCTAGCAACGTACCACCTGCGCCATCCTAGAAACATCACTGGCATCATGTTTCAGGCACTTGCTATGGTATGCCTTTTTCTCTCTGCCCAGGGGACTAGCGGGTCTCAGGACCATGAGTCTAGGCTTCTTCCCAGGGACGTTTGCGATGGGATTGACGGTATGCCCATCCTGTATCACGATTACCAGAGTGATGTCTGCCGACCGAAGTATGTGATTAGCTCGAAAGGGGTCTGCGATCATTCCGATTTTCAGTCGAATGCGTGCGTCGCGTTCTGTCAACTGAGAACTCGGTTCGTTTATGGAAGAGAGTTTCCCTTGGGTATTTGGTGTGACGGTCCTCCTTGCAAAATTGAAAATTTTACGAAGACCATGACTTGGTCTGTGGATATGAGCCCACAATTCGAGAAGGGGTTAGATGATGGGATTAGTGGAGGCTGGCAGTCGAAAATCACGAGTGATGTCGGACCTCGGGGCATGTCTCACGAAGTACCTTTAAATGAGGGACAGTGTGGGTATTGGAGCTGGGTGTCTATCAAAAAAACTGTGTGGTAAGTAGGTCATTCTTGCTATTCGCTTGGCGGAGGAGGATTCGATTGAGACAATTAACTCGTATCAGTGGAACACTGTCCCACCAAAAGACAAGAGCAAATCGTTGCATGAATTATATGCACACCATCCAGAACTATTGCGTAGATGATCTACGACGATATTCTGATAGCACCGTGGACGGAGAAACGATCTTTGTCTACACTGACTGCATGACACGACGGCCGTTGCCAATGGATCAACAGAGTAGCACTTACAGCTTACCAGGTGTTGCTCTGGATTGGGATGAACATTCTTCAGTCTCGGCATTGGGTGGCCTTTCTGTAATCACAGAATCGAGGCAGGAAGTGCTATGAATTAGATATGTTTTCGTATTGTGAGTATACCTCCCTTTCCGCAGGAGTCCTTCCGCAACGATTCACTTCTAACTCATAACTTTCTATACAAGACAGGGCACGTAATCACAATCTGCACTCGATTATCTCTGCACCCTAGGCTAGCAGACAAGCTGCAGATGAATTCAACATCTTACACAGATCAAGATCTGACTCAGAGAAAGCCTCTTTGTTTTAAATCATGGAGATGGGTGCATGTTATAAGCGATCGTACCCCAGTTCCTGAGTTTCTCGAGGCAGTTTGGCTGTATAATAAGATTTTGTTCTTCCATCATTGCACACTTCACTCTAGACATCCCATCTTCGTTGACCTTTCATCACTTCTTTGAATTTTTACCCTATATTATTTTCCTTCCCTCGAAAAGAAGCACATACGACCATAGGGTGTGGAAAACAGGGCTTCCCGTCCGCTCAGCCGTACTTAAGCCACATATTCTGCACGGCTAATACTCAATGTGCCCTCAGCACCCAAGCGGCACTCTAGGGTGAGTGCGGGTGATATAGGTGAGAAGTCTTGAGACTGGGGTGAGAGAGGTGAGAACGGGGTGACAATTCTCACCCTTAAGGTGATAGGGGCCAACTCACTCTAAACCAATGTCAGTCCTAAAAAAAATATATATAGCCTACTCCCGAGGCGCTTCTCTTAGTCTACTATGATTTTCTTTGAATTTCTTTACTAGCTAAAATATATTCCCCGAACGGAATATCCCGAAAGCACTCTAGGAGCGTCTCGTACGTACGATATCACGTGGCTTTATACGTGACTATTAAGATAAGAAGGAAAAAAAGGGCAATACTATATACTACCCTAAGCTAGCGCCTACTACGCTAGAAAAATATAACCGTATAGTTAACAATTAGGCACTATAAGCTTCGCTCGGATTTAACCGATTTTGGTTCCTAATTATTAGTAGATAGAGGATTTCCCGTAACGAGTCTATATACCCGAATTTTCCTAACCTACCTATTCCGACTCCTGAACTTTTGAAACTTTTCGTAGAGTTTTATATTAAATCGTGTAAAAAGCTTCTGTCTTAATAGTTAGCTTATAATCACTTCACTAGCTTTATATCGAAGTGGGAGCGAGAAACTTCTTAATCCCTTCCTAAGGAAGTCAAGGACGATATTCTTAATATAAGAGGTAATAATTATCCTTTTAGGAGCTCGCTACTAACAAAAATAAAAGTATATTAGGACCGAACTTATAGTAGACTATAAGCTCTGTATAAAGCCTAGAGAGCGGTTCCTAGTTAATAGAAAGGATATAGCTTACCTACTTCGACACCTATTTGTGGATAACTATCACAATTATATATATAAGAGAGTATATATATAGACTATAAGTTCTCTTTCTTTATTTACTAGCTTAGGTATAAGAGTAGGGGCTATTATCGAATTAAGTGCTTATTATAAATTAAATAAATACTTATATTATAGGGTTTATATCTTAACGATTACGATTCCTAATTATACTAAAACTAATAGATAATAATTAGTATCTTTTATTTTATCTTAAATAGAGTAAGGAAAGGGGATCTCTAATATATTAGGTAATAATTAATCCTAAATTCTTAAAAGGCTAGTGTTATCGCGATAATACTACCTTATAAGTTTACGAGCTATAATCATTATATCTAGAAATAGCTAATATAATAAAATTAGACCAAAAAATTGGTTTAGGGAGTATCTGGTGCTTAGGATAAGTTTTGTTTTCTAGGTAATCGTCTATAGGGTAGCGGATAGTGCCTTTAAAGGGCTTACTACTATAACCGAGGTTCTTACCGTAAAGCTACCTAACGGAAGAGAGTTATAGACCTTAGAATAGAATAAAACTATAAAAGATTTACTATTCTTTAGAAGGGTCACTACTTAAGGACCTAACCTAATAAAGGTGTTAACCTTCTCCTTATTGCGGCACAACTTCACTACCTTAGCCTAGCGGGATAGGTTTAAAGACTAGTTACGTATATATAGAATTTAAGTAGGTATTATAAATAAGATCGACCGTAAGTATATTTATACCGTTATATCCTAATTTTACTAACGAATTTTAGCTAAGGCTTCTTAGGCTACTTATAGCTAGGCTCTTAATCACTAGAATTATAATACCTATCTAAAATATCAGTCTTCTCTTAAGGTATTAGATATATAAGCCTTATTCTATAATTTAGAGCCTAACCACAAATACCACGATATAGAATAAAGTATATCTTATCACTAAGACTCGAACGTGCCGCTAAAACTTAATATAGCTACGACTATATAATTCGAATCTAATAATAAAATTGTTATGATTAATTAGAGAATTACCTACTTAATATAGGAGATTACTAGAAGACTAGAAGAGAATAGGGATCTTATATTTAAATAGGATTGTCTCTATAACAAGAAAGCAAAGAGATTGCTTGCCTAGAAGAAAGATTTTATCAAAAACTAGTGGGACACTTTGTACACTAAGTATATCTCTAGGAATAACTTCTCCGAACGCGACCTAATACCTCTTTTCGATATCTATAAGAAATATCTACTAGAGCGCTCCTATCTTAGCGAGAATTTATTGAATAAGGTAACTCTAGATAGTGAACTTAGTCGATAGTGCCTAGAAGATATAGTCACTATTTATATATTGATAGAACGTGCTATTTACTACCCTAGTATAGCCCCTAAGGAAGGCTATTGTCTAGTATACAATAAGTCTATACTAGAGTAAGTGTACCCAAAGAGTATTATAGATCAAAAAGTTAATAAGAAGATAGTATTCCACTATAAGGGAGAGCTAAGTATATACTATAGTATCGAAGAAAATCCTTAAATAGCGCATAATACTAGTAGCGCTATAGGAACGAAAAGCGCGCCTATCGACGTGTATAGCGTAGCTTTGTTTAATTTTATTATCTTTACGCTAAACTCTTCCTTAATAAAGATTCCTAGGATAATTATTATAAATACTATCTTGATAACCTTAACCCCTAATATAGTCTTTTGACTTTCCACTCCACACTTATTGCGCTAGGGTTCTATCTATTCTACCTAGGCGATAAAAGTAAGAAATCAGACAAGAGATTCTAATAATAGGTTACAAAATTAACTCTTCTAAATCATATTAACGAACACTTAGTGTTAACGGACTCTTTAGCCGTAGTCTTCTGCCCTTATCTATATTGCGAAGAAAGGAAGTATATTAATAACTTATATCTCTAGTGGCACTTCTTTGATATATATTCTATAGAAGAGCCCCAGTTAAATTGTGTTAAACGAAAAAGAAAGTGGTAGCTTTAGTTAGAGCCTATAGAAACTACTTTTGGGAATTTAAGTGATAAAATATTGCCGAGTTTAGAGGATTATTTTCTTACTAGCACTCTGCTAACCAGTTTTGAAGATTCGGATATAACCCCCGTAGATGATTTATTTATGGAATTTGTACGCTTGGATGATAACTAGGTATAGGGTATTGACCAGGATTCTATCGTTGATAATGACTATTACTAGAAATAAAGGTGCTTGGTGTTACACTAATTGTCACTCCTGGCTATTTATTACACGATTAAACGATGCTAGATTGATAGTATATTTGTTAGGCATAGATTTAGTGTTGATACTTATATCTTTCTTCATATACTTTCCTTAACCAAACCCTGGGTGTGTGGTTAAGAGTGGGAGTGATTGTACTTTACCTTAAGAATTACGGCATATAGTACCCCTGACTTTCCAGTACTTCCGGAAATTGGTGTCACCACGTATATACTTCGATGGATTCTCGACCCCTAGTGTCAAGATAGCTAGTCTGTTCTATTGCGTTTGATAATCGCATAGGGAGAGGGCAATAACCCGTTCTAGCTTGCTCGAGGATCTCAACTGGGGTATTTTTACATATAAATGTGCGATCACCCTGCGATCTGGATGGGTATAAAGGGGGATATCAGTATAAAAACCATAGCGTATAGACAACCAGCACCTGACACCCTTAGATATATATCCCCTCAGTATGGCTCTATAAGTATATATTTCATAGGCTCACACACCGGTTCTAGGCAGGCCATTAGTGATATATAAAGTATAGGTCTAAGTGCTCAATCTCGCTCTAATCCTATCTAGTATTTTACGAGTAAAGTAATTACCCTGGTATCACCTATATCACTAGTTCGACAGCCTACACCAATCAAGCGTATCCACTTACAAAACCCGGTTTTATAAAACAAGGTCACTAGGCTCGAATACTATAATATTTATAGAGAAGCGAAACTTAAAGGAAGTCTCTTTTATATTTACGCTAGTGATATAGAAAACCTGGTAGGTAAAACTATATCTAAAGAGATCTATATACTATCGATCTTTTCTCTGTACACTATAGGGTTAGGTAACGTAGTTCTATCTAAGTAGAAAAAGAAAGTGAGTGTAATCGTTTAATCTAAGAGCGGGAGGATAAGCTATATTATAAATTATATTCTAAGGGACAAGGCTATTTATATAGCTACCCTATAGTTATCTTATCCAGAGTTAGCGTAGCTAGATATTTCGCTTAATAATACTAAAGTGGATAATAGAGATAATACCGATATCGAAGGTATAGATTCCGATGATTCCGGTACCGATAAAGATAATTGCGATAAAGATACCGATAAAGACAGTGAAGATAGGTCGGAAGTAATACACAAGCTACTAACCTTAAATCCGTTATCTAATCGATACCCTACCTTATCTCTATTTTAGTTATAGAATTTAACCACCCTATTTTTGTTTATATCTATCTATATAATAGGTAGGATATTATCTTTCGTGCTACTATATACGCCTATATCGAGCTTAGAGTACTCCTTATAAATACTATATATAATTATACTTAGATCTAGAGTTTCGTTAGTACTAATAGTATATCGGTAGAACTATTACGCACTAGAACAATCGTCTATATCAAGGAGACCAAAAGATAATAAATATCCTATATAGCTATAGTTATCGTTAGACTATATCACGTATTAGCGATTATAATCGATAACTATAAGACTACTACCTAAGGTAGCGTATATATAGACACTAGCGAGAAGTAGGAAGATAGAGAAAGTTATGTTTCCAATATTTATAAGGATTAAAAGATAATAGATAGATTAGTATCTCTAGCCTTAAGCTATTGTGAAAAGCGACGATTTTGTACAGTATATATATATCTACGAATTTAAATGTCTATAAGTCTCTTGATACACTATGATAAAAACCGTGGCAATACGCGCGTAACACGCTTTACGGCACCCTTTGTGGTACCCTTTGCGGCACCCTTTGCGGTACCCTTTGCGGCACCCTTTGCGGTACCCTTTGCGGCACCCTTTGCGATATACTCTGCGACACACTTTTTTGAGTCGAGGTCCCACTAATTCCTAACTTAATTTTAGCTCCTAAGCTAGCTTATATCCCTACCCCCTGATATATAGCTTTACCGAGATAGATAGGTAGAGTTGTGATATATACTGTCTGGTGGTATAGTGCTAAGGTAGATTGGGGTTACTACTCTAGGAGTCGCACTATAAACTTAAGTATTAGCGCTATTTTATAAATTGCTAGTATAGTTTAATGACTTTTTAGTCTATAGCCTAACTTAGATATATAAAGGTAGGTATTCTTCTATATTAATCCTCGATTATATATCCTAAAGTCTATTAGGCTTAAACGTAAGTTTTGTTAATATCTAATAAATACTATATATACTAATACCGCCTAGAATAAAGGGAATTATTACCTGGTTTTATGTCTCTTATTATGATATTAATTCCTATTGTATGAAGATTAAATTTATAGGAAACGAGCCTAGATCCTATTTTGTTTATATTTAGTTGTATTTACTCCCTACTAAGCGGCGTATTAATATCAATACACTATATATAAATTTCTTAGAGGAAACTAATCTTCTATTATCGAAGGATTAGCGAGAGTTTATCTATAAGAAGAAGGATCAAATTATATTTAAAGAATATATTGTTTAGGTAAAGTAGGAGTGGGACCTTTAGGTTACTTCTCGCGAATACTAATATATCAATAAATCTATATAATATAATAGGGGCTTATATATTTATCTATTTAGTGGTATTAGTATATATTAGTCTTATTTCGAGTTCTTAAGGCGGGGTAGATTAGAAAATCCGACTAAGGGTAAGATTATTAGATATAGGAGGAGTTAGTATAAGAACACTATTATAAGTCTAAGTTCTATAGTACGTATCTATTCTACAATTTTATATATATTAATTCTATAACTCTAACTAGAGTACTACTAAGTAACTTAAATCATTCGAGACCTTACTATAGTAGTCTAATATAGATACTATTCTAAGTTATTTACCACTATACTAGAACACTACTAAGAATAGGGATTAGGGGGTAGAGTAACCATAATAGGGTATTTTTAGCACTCTGATTATTTATCGTATTTTTCTAAGTCTATAGGTAAGTCGAAATTAGTTATAAGTAGATATAGTAGTCTACTAGAGAGTAGGGACACACTAGAGAGTAGGAACACACTAGAGAGTAGGGATATACTAGAGAGTAGGGATACACTAAAGAGTAGGAACGCACTAGAGAGTAGGGACGCACTAAAGAGTAGGGACACACTAGAGAGTAGGGACACACTAGAGAGTAGGGACGTACTAGAGAGTAGGGATACACTAGAGAGTAGGGACACACTGGAGAGTAGGGACACACTAGAGAGTAGGGACACACTAAAGAGTAGGGACACACTAGAGAGTAGGGACACACTAGAGAGTAGGGATATACTAGAGAGTAGGGACACACTAAAGAGTAGGGACACACTAGAGAGTAGGGACGCACTAGAGAGTAGGGACGCACTAGAGAGTAGGGACACACTAAAGAGTAGGGACACACTAGAGAGTAGGGACACACTAGAGAGTAGGGACACACTAGAGAGTAGGAACGCACTAGAGAGTAGGGATATACTAAAGAGTAGGGACGTACTAAAGAGTAGGGATATACTAAAGAGTAGGGATACACTAGAGAGTAGGGATATACTAGAGAGTAGGGATACACTAGAGAGTAGGGACACACTAGAGAGTAGGGATACACTAAAGAGTAGGGACACACTAAAGAGTAGGGATAGACTAGAGGGGGAGTAGAGGCTGGGTATAACGCACGGACCCACTAGAGCCGGTAAAGCGCGACACGGGTTTAAGTGTTGTAGGTATATTTAAAATTATAATGGCGCTTCTTTCTATCCCTTTGTATAAGATTTTTCTCCTCTTTTATTTAAAGTAGAATAAGAAGAAAATAGAAGTAAGCGAGAACCTTCTTGGTCACCGAATAAACACCCTCGCCCTTTAACAGCTACAATATTATTAGGGATACGTAATTATAAAGTTATAGTATCTTAGATATAAAGAGTATAACCTAATAGGAACCCGAGAGATCGCCGAGAAAAATATAGAGAAACTTTTTAGGATATTTGAAATCGAAGGCTATAGTAACCTAGAGCCTAAGCACAGAGTTACCGCGACTATTAATTAGGAGGTCCTAAGAAAAGCACTTACAAAATCAAATCTTACCCTAGAAGTACTTATCGATCTAAGAAATCAGCTAAATCTCCTATTAGAAGGAGAGGATATCCTTACTTATATATATAGGAAATATTGTCTAAAAGCTAGCGAGAGATTTAGAGAAACTATATAGCTAGTTAATCTTTATCTAAATAGTAGGGTAGTATTAAAAAATATCGAATAGAGACTAATAATATTATAGATATCTCGATCGATACACTTACCTAATTACGCGAAGAATCGACATAAAGTATAAGCTTCACTATCGGCGAAATATATTATACCCTTAGGTTATACTAAATTTCACAAAACCCTACTTAGGAGCAGAAATGGTAGGCTAGACTTAGTTCCGAAGACTATCGTAAATAAATACAGCGCTTATAACGTAACAATTAACAGTATCGTATTTTAGATAAGTTATTACTATATATTAGGCTATAGAAGCCACTACAATCTTCCTAAATCACTAGGATATTAGGCCTAAAATACCTAGAGGTATATTTAATAATTGTATACCTTGTATATAGCTAACTTCCTTCCTAGATACTAAACTATTATCTATATATAGTCCTAGAAATATAGACAAAATTTCTTAAATCTTAGGATAGGTAGCTTATCGACTCGGATTCTATGTCCTATATTAAAGGATTAATACCTAGTATCGCTATAGTAGACTAAAAATGTATCACCGATCTTATAGATTCAAAAAGATATTTCCTCTTCTTAGAACAACTTAATATAGGGAAGTCCTTAAGAGTCGCTTTCTCTAAATACCTAGGAGAATATTATCTCTTACTACACTTATCTAAGATACACTATTTATTAAGAGACTAGTAAGAGCACTCTACTATCTCTATCCTCTAAAATTTAAACAAAGCCTTCGAAAAGTTATACTTACTTAATAGAATCTTGTCGGAACTAGAGGCCTCCTTAAAGTCTAGATAATAGAATATAAGTTCACAATAATATAACAAACTAAATACCTATTTATTATATCTATACTATAGCTTTAGCTTTTTACTTATAGGTATTTTGTCCACTAAGGAGGCCGCGTAAGAAATTTTCGATAATAATTCGAATATTTCACTATAGATATAAGCCTAAGTAAGCTTACTATATTAGCTTCCCGATTAGGCTTTAAGTCGGACTAAATTAGGTAGCTTCGAAGTAGAAATTTAGGGTAATATATAGTATAAGGCTTTTTTAAATCTCTAAGTAGGGAGGAGTTCTATAAATACGAAGAGCGAAAGGTATAATCGATATTAAATAGACTTTAGAGTATATTACAGAACCTTCCTAGTTCTCTAGCGGAGGACAATAGTATAGCCCGATTTACAATAAATAACCTAGAACTCGAAGTAAGCCACCGATTTAATAGCCTAGCACAAGATAAGTATCTATAGTAGCGTAGAAACATTTTTTATAATTAAATCTTTAGTCCTAATTAGCCACTGTCGGAATATATAACGTCGCTCGGCGTGGTAAAAGATATTATTAGGTCGTTCTTCGGCAAAAGTTTATTTTTTTAGCCAATTTTCGATAAACGATAAGCTATACCTATCTAAAGTCCTATAAGGCTTACTAAGACCGCGCTAGGATCTATCGATCCTGATATAGATTTTGAAGAGTGGTATCTATAAGTTTAACCTATAAATCTATCGCCTTCGGAAGTACCCTAGCCCTTAATAAACTCCGGATTAGAGTTAGTAGAGGAAGATACTAGTGAGCTAATAGAGTTAGCTAATTACCTAAGTGGAACTCCCGATCGTGATACTCTACTATTAGTAGCTGGTTTCGAGGAAATATCTTAACAAATAGAAACAAAAAACTACCTATCCGTTCGAAATAAGGTACCTGATATTCTTTTAATATAGTATCAATTATAGTAAGAAGTGATTGTTTTGTACCTATTCGAATCAAGAGTCTATTATAAATTCTTCTTAGGGGGTAGATTTAACCTATAAGTAGTCTTACACAATCTAGTAAGTAATTATCTCTTTATAGTGATTAATAAGTATAGAATAGGTACCCTAGATATAAATAAGGTATATAAAGTAGCTTTAAAAGAATAGTTAATACTTATCGGGAAAATAGACAATCTAAGTTATAGAAATAATATAGAAGGGACGATTTTATTAGATAAACTCTATAATTACGTTCTATACTATGATATTTATATAGGAAAAAGAAAGGTAGATTCTATAGACAATCGATTAGGAAAGTGTTATTAGGAAACGGCACCTAATAAGTAATTATAAGGAATAAAACTGTTTTCTTATTCTTTAATCAATTTTTTATCTTATAGAGGATATTACTCCCTCCGCCACTTATCTATAGTTTTATACCCCCTTTTAGTCTAATAATAAGCTTCACTCTTATCTAAAGGATTATACCTCTAAGTAGATAGTGGTAGTAGTTAACGACACTATAGTGGTGTACTATATAGTATACCTTATAGGTACTACGATAGATACTTTACCTATAATAAATTCTAATAGGCCTTATATCGCCCTACTATCTTTTATCTTAGTGTAGCGCTCACTATCCCTTCTATACTTAGAATATACTAGGTAGATACTTATAAGCTGTATAGTTAAGTGAACTAACTAGAGTATAGGAGTCTAGATTATAAGTATAGCGGCTTACCACTATAGTTATATATCTATATTAGAATACAAAGTATAGAATATAGACCTATTTATAGCGTGGAAAATCCTCTAGGTGAATAATATAGGTTAAAACAAAGAAGCTTTACTATTTATTATAGACACAAAAATAGTACTATAAATATTTTTTTGGCTTTCTATCACTTTAATTGTAGTCCCGACGGACAAAGTTCTATTTTGTTTATATATTTAGTAGCCCCGATAGGTAGAGATTTACAAACCTAGTAATTAATATTCTTCTTAGCTCCTTATATTTTATATCTAATATATCCTATCAAGGTAAATATTATTGATATATTTACTAATATAGATTCCTAAAGGAAATACCTAGTGGTAATAACACTTTAAACTCTAATATCCCCCTAGGTTTACTAGATAAAGAAACTCTTCCTTTCGATCTATTATTATATATTTATATCTTAAGTTTAAATAATACTAACCTTTAGTAGATCCTCTACAGAACTAGAAGTATTCACCTTCTCGATAAATAACTACGCTAACTTAGAAAGATATAGTATACCTAGGCCTTACTTAGGGTCGCCTAAATAAGTTAGTCGGTCACTTAGTGAAGTCACGATAGACCTAATAGCCTCGATATGTTCTTTAATACTATCGCGAGACCTTCTCTTTATTAAACACTCCCCTATATTTACTATCTAATAGTTAGAGTTAGTTATTATATTTATTAAGTACTATACCTATCTTGATTTCGCCTTTCGATATAAGAAGTATATTACTACAATCCAATAAGGGATAAGAGGTCTTTAACTTATAGTGGATAAAAATAACCCCTCTAAGGATTTCCTTATAGATAGTTACTATATCTACTTCACTAAAGCGAATATTCGTTACTATATAACTAAGGCTAATAGCCAAATAATAATATTTGTATACAATATAGAATTTCCCTCTAGATTAAAAGCCTTCTATTAAATACACTAAGTTTTAGTGTATAATAGATTGAACTTGTCTAAAAGTGTGGGTATTTTGAATACTACACTACTTAAGAAAGTAGGTAGGTAGGTTCTTAGTGTCTTTAAGCCCTATCACGCCTAGGCCTACCTAGTTAATATTGTAAGATAGATAGTACTATACCGGTGATTCCACTTTAATAGTTGATAAGCTATTAATATTTTTAGTTAGAATAATAGGGACCCTAAGTCGATATATATAATTATTTTGGACTAATTTCTTATTAGGTTTCTTAATTTTGGTGCTTTCCTTAACGATACTTTCCTTGTCGAGCTATAGTTTCTTAGGAAATTAAGTTTCGCGCTTCTCTCGATTTAAATTAGATACTATTTTAAACTAGTTATAAAAGTAGAAATAAAATATTAACACTTTATATCCGAAGTACTATCCTTATTTATATATTTAAGGATTATATTTCGATAACTAATACTCGCCCTAGGCACTCTATATTCGTGGTTATATTTTTAGTGTTGTAGGGTGGAGACTTAGTAAATACTTTAAAGTTACGACTGCCTAAATTACCTATATATCTCTAGTATTTACTAACGTGTTAGGTATAGGACGTATAGCTAAATATAGTTGAAAGTAGCCTATTAGTAAATTTTCTCGATATAAGTGATTTTATATAAATCTAGTATTTTAGCTAAGAGACTAAATTAAAGAACACTTTTCTATTCCACTGTATTTAAGTACTTAATTTTTGGTCAACAAAGTAACTATATATTTATGGAAATTCTACGCTTTCACAATGCCTGATATTGTGTATTGCCCTGTTCTCTAGCGTCTTTATATTCGTTTCGTTTCTCACAGCCTAAGGAAGGTACGTAAGCTTCTAGTTTGACCCTAAGGCTAGAACTTAGGTTCGAATAGCTCGACGTTCTTATCTACGCGTGACCTAACCAAGTTCCTGATATTATCCCGAGTTTGTGCTTGTATATATACTGGTTTAAGATAAGAGGGTGTTTTATAATAAAGGGAGAGAATAGGGCTTACCTAGGATAATTATTTTCCCTAATTGATTTCCTATCTCTATATTAAGCTACTTTTCCTAGCTAATATATCCGCTATATATGTCGATAAGCCTATTCTTACTAATGTGCTAAACTTTATCTTCTGATTAAGCGCGTAGTGGATTGTAAATTAAGATATAAAGTATCTACTTAGCGTAAGTAGATAGTATCACTAATATAGAAATAGGCACGAACGTATCTGTTATCTTGCCTGATAAGGGTCTGGAGTAGGTCTTATACACTCTTATAATCACTAACCCTATCTAACTACTAGATAAGCGAGATTATCTATATACGTACTTAAGCCTTTTTATAGCTATTAAGAAGCTCCTTAATATATGGTAATTAAGCCGCGATACTAATACCGGTAGCAATTATAAAAGTATATCTATAGTCGCCGATATTATAGTTTAATCTCTAACTAATAGATAACGGACTAAAAGGGCTATCAATCTATACCCTATATTCTCTATTTAGCTTAATACGATCGAAGAGTCTCTTTGTGAAACCGGAACGAGGACGAAGTAAGATTAAGATTGAAACCGCCCGGCTATTAATATTATTCTCCTACTAGCTAATAGCAAAAGGGTGTGATTAAAAAATATAAAAGATTCCTACGGAAGGAACTCCTAGGTTAATATATTGACCGGCGCGTATAACCTATAGTCTAGGTAATAATAGTGTTATTCGAGTAATATTACCTATATAGGGTTGTAGATTTATTTATATATAGCTTCTTCCTATCACTATATTACGATAGATAATACGAATTAGCTACAAAACCCCTATAATAACGAAGGTATAAGCGAATACTAGTGGGAATACCCAAAAATTCCCTTTGGCCGACCGGATATACTACTACACTCTGTAGATTATTATCACTGTATATCTAATATAGGTGATAAGGAATACTTCGTAAACCCTTTTCTTTACTAATAGCAATATTACTAAAGCCAAAAATATACTAGCGGCCTTACTAATTTTAGTATCTATTTATATTTTAGGAGTACTAGGAAAACTTACTAGGAGACTATAGAATTATATCTTGTTTACCCAAGATATCGCCCTTAATCGAGTAACGATTATAATATAAGCTAGAGCTTTAAATAGAGCCACTAGCGTAAATAATCGATGAATGAATCTATAGGAATAGAGGGAAACTCTAAGAAGACAAGCGCTAAACTCGTAACCACCGCCCAAAAACATTGGAAATAGGTTAATAAGTGAGAGCTTCGCTACCCTCTTACTAGTATCTTGAATAGAATAGACCCGTACAATATTATAGGCACTAGTGCTAGCAAAATAAAGAACTATTAATATTGAATAGGTTCTTAATGTACTTCTAAGACCGGCGAAGCGCTAGTAGGATTAGGTATAAATCATATAGCGCAATAGAAACGGTCGAACACAAGAAGACAAGAAAGGAGAGGTTAATAAGAATAAGAATATATATAATATAAGGCGATATAATATAAATAAGAGAGCTATAAGACCGAGGACTACGCTATAGATTACCTCCAGTGTTGTTAAAAAACGAGTGATAGCAAAATAAGTCATTTCAGTGAAAAGTCTAGAAACTTATTCATCTACTTTGTGTTACAGACCTATCAGGCACCCAACGACCCAAACTACCCTACCAGCATCATAGGCCATCGAGAGCCAATCAACCTAGATCACATGTAAAGGATACCCCAGCCAACCAGAAATCGTGTCACGTGATCATATAGGTAGTAGACCGGTCGATGGTAGAACGATAGATTCCGCCAAGACAAATCTACCAAGCTACTATCTACCTAACTACCCCCAGGAAGACAGGAGGATATATAAGGACGTTCATTTATATACTTAGTCTAGTTCTTTATCTTCAATCCTATATTATTACTTATATATACCTATACGGACTTACGACTCTTAACTAAGATATAACTTAACAAACACTACGAGCTAGACTAATACCCCAGTATAGATCTACTCGGCGCTCTACCTAGTATCGTTTCCTCGACACAACTTCTAGGGACTTAGGCTACAGTAAGGCCTATAGATAAGGTAATAGCTTAGTGACAACAGACGTATTGTTAACGTAGGAAACCCGAGGTATATTAAGGTAACTATACCCTAAACTACCTAACCTAACCGTGACTAGTTAGCTAGTGTATAATATATTAAAGACTATCTCGATCTTAGTCTCGAGTCTAAACAAACGACAATATATCTCAAATCGAAAAGAGAGTAGTATAGGCTCTAGTCTAGTAACCTAAGAAAGAAGAACCGGACTCCGACAACGAGAGAGATAAGACAATCGCGAAATAGGAAAAGTAACTAGCCGATCTACGACGTAACCTAGAGAAGGCTATATAGGCCATTAATAATCACAACGCGAACAATAGTAGTAAGTTCGGGTAAGTCAACGACTTCCTCGAATAACTTAAGTAATAGGTAATCGTATCTACACTAGCTAGCACCGTAGGTATACTATAACTTCCTAAGGTAGAATACTTTAAAGGAACCCGATCTAAGCTTTAAGGATTCCTTACGTAAATAGATATATACTTAGATATAAACCGAGATAAGTTACCTAGTGAAGCTAGTAAGGTGATTTTTGTATCTACTTACTTACGCGGACAAGCCTAGAACTAGCTCGAGCTATATATATATAACTACTATAAAAAGACGCCGGAAGAATAGTCTTTTACCACTACTTCTATCTTTAAAAGCTATACTAGCTTTAGATAATACCTAGAACGAATATTCGGAGATATCGACACCTAACGAATAGCCGAAAGAAGATTATAGAAGATTAAGTAGTAGGGTAGTATATCAGTCTATATCTCCGAATTCTAGTAGATTATATCCTACTTAGACTTACCCGATCGAGTGTATATTCTATACTTCGAAGTAGGGTTAAAGCTAGAAGTTAAGGATAAACTAGCACAAATCGATAGACCTAACACTTTAGACTAACTTATCGCTATTGTGGTCAAGATTAATAACTATATTAACGAGAGATATTATAAGCGACAAGAAATAGAGTAGTAGAAGAAGGGTAAATTATATAGATTTAATCGATTTCGATAGTATAGGCGCTATAAGAAAGTACTATATGATAATAACCTATATAGCCCGAAACTGATAGAGTTAGATACCACTCAAGATAAGTAGAAAGAGCGTCGGTAGAAAAACCTTTGTTTTGTATATAGGAAACTAGGACACTATATCTAAGAATATAAGAATAAGAGGCCTAACGGACCGAGGCCTAGGTACTAGGCTCTACATAAAGAACTATATATAACGCGCGAATAGGTACTACACAAAGAACTATATATAATATAAGAAAATAAATACCTAATTAGCGAGTTATTAGAAGATCTCTTGGTAAGATAGAATAACCTAAGCCTAGAAGAGATATTAGCCGGCAACCTATATATTGAAAGGTTAGCCGAAGGACTATAAGCGGAATTCCCAGAAATTGAGTGGGATACGATAGAAAGTTAAGGATGGACCTAGTATATAAACCTAGGAGATAGCGACTCCCAGGAAATAGGTAATAACTTTTAGGAGCAAGAAGTGGGTTACCTAGGGACACCAGTCACGTCCCTAGGAAACTAGGAGAACCTAGAGACCTCCTAAGGGGCTAATTATAGCGTAGAGCCTAACACACCACTAAGGATAAACTAAGCGATCCTAATTAAGGGACTCGAAGACTTAGAAGAAGGAATACCTAAGTACAACTATAGATAGAACTATAGAGAAGCCAAAATAGAGCTTTAGGACCGCCTCTAAGAATAGAGTTAGGTCGACGCGTTAGAAGGAAGGATACTTAATATTATGAATAGAAACAATCTAATAGGATACCCTTATAACGATTCCGCTTATATATATAGAGGATATATACAATACCTAGAGTATAGTAGGATGGCTAGCGTGATATACTATAACGAACTATACACGATTTATAGGTCTAGTAAGTTAGATCTAGGCATTGAACTAAGGCCACTAGTGTGGATAAAGAAACTATAATAGCGAAAAGAATACTAAGGAATTTAGTACAATAGGCGATAAATATATAATTATCGGAACTAGCTAACCGAATATCTCGCCGCGATAATATCGGGAACCTATATTAAACTCTATATAGAGTTACCTACCAGAAAAGCCTAGACACTTATTAACTTAGGGGCTATAAATAACTTTATAAGCCTAATATTCTAGGAAGAATAAAGAATTTAAACCTAAGGATTACCTTATATAATCCTAGTCAGCGGA